ATAAGCTTAGGCCACCGCCATGTGGCTGACATCGGGTGTCGCCAGTGTGGCGCTCCGACTTCATCTCGGCAGTACCGTATAGAGGTGAGGTACCTTACCTGCCAGGACGCCCTATCTCGAAAACGAGCATTTGAATAACGTCAAGATATTGAAAAAGACTGACATCCACGACTATTCCAAACTCAGGATCCAGATCGAACCAAACCTCCAAATCGAAAGACCTGGCCAAACACACTAACTAGGCCTACGAAATCCCCATCTACCCTCCAGCGCCCATCTCCCTCAAGCAACGGACAATACCTGCAAAGTAAGATCCCACGGCCCAAGCAGGACTACCTCAGTATGGAAACAAAAACAACAACATCCCCCGGCCCCCGCGCCGCCTTCTTCTACGGCACCCTCATGGCCCCCCAAGTCCTCCACCGCGTCTGCCACGGCTCCATGTCCCCCTCGAATCCAATCTACACCCTCTCCTCCCTCACCACAACCCCAGCCCTGCTCCCCTCCCACCGCCGCCACCGCGTGAAAAACGCAGACTACCCGGCAATCCTCCCCACCACCCCATCCGACAACACCAACGCCTCCGTCCGCGGAACCTACGTCTCGGGCCTGACAGACTCCGATATCTGGCGGCTGGACATCTTCGAAGGCGACGAGTATACCCGGAAAATTGTAAAAGTTAAACTTTTGAGTAATGATGACGATGGTGATCACGCGAGTGAGACGGGCGACGACGTGGTCGAATGTGAGACGTATATCTGGACTTCAGACCCGGAACGATTGGAGGCAAAGGAATGGGATTTTGCGGAATTCCAGAGGGAAAAGATGAGGTTTTGGGTCGGTGCGGAAGGTGAGGGGGAGTATGCTGGTAGGCCTCCCATTATCGGTCGGTTGTGACTGAGTTTCTCCTGAATAAGAGAGCTAAATACTCCTCTGCAGAAGTCGATGAAGCCGTTGCGGCTGCGAAACAAACGAACGATGGCACAGGGGGCAGGGGCGCGAACGGTCACATCACGAATGCGCTGAATGAAGAGCTGAAGCGAAACGCAGTCTGAGATGGAAAGAGGTCGGCGAAGTTGTGTTGCAAGATACCCCGGGGGCGTGAATCTCCAGATTAATATTTGCATTGGATTGCTAGGCCGCCACACGGTACACTGAAGCCTCGAGTCTGAATCTGTACTAACAGCACTGCCGACTGCTTTCCCAAACGATACACAATTGCTCCTTCGTCTGAATCTGCGTCTCTCTCGATGCCTTGATTATAAAGCCACGATGACAGCACCATTTACCCGGCCAAGCACGAAAGTAGCAGGCACTAGAATGTAGGATCTTCCGCTTGTTCCTGTGACTCAGGAATCTCGGGCTCCTTGATGCCCTGCGCCAGATCAGCTTCGCCCTTCGGAACAATGACCTTAGGGCTGTATCTCTCTTCCTGAGCTTCACCGTCGGATCCTGTTCCTACGCCTTCCTCCTCGGACACGTCATCGCTTGGTACAGGCACATCGTTGTGCTCGCTCTCCTGCGGGCTCGTGTCATTCTCTGACCGATCATTCATTCCAATTGCTCGCTCGAGATGGTCCAGAAGGGGCTGCGCGCTGCTGCCCACCCTCTGCACGCTTGGAGAAGGCTGTTCGCGACCCATATCATCATCCTTCTCGCTCAGAGCATTCTCAACAGCCTCATCGACGCCCGCCGCATTGGAGTCGGCGTGGTCTGATGGATTGTCAAGCATTTCTTCATCTTCATCATCTTCGTCATGACCAAGAGGGGGCGGAGAGGAGGGAATGCTTGTTTCACGGTCATCGATGCGCTCACCAACTCCACGTGGCATCGCAACCTCAAGATCTTCTCCTTCGTCAATGCCCATCGCAGTTAGCTCTGACTGAGGTTTCGGTTGATCTGCGCGCGGTTCCTCACTCGGTGCCGGCAGATTGTCAGAGGGCTCAACCGGTGCGCTGGGAGTTGGACTCTTTTCCTTCGCCGAAGAGTCGGCAACAGCTTGGGTCGAGGGCGCTGGAGTTGTCGCGGCATTCTTGGCAGCTGCCTTTGCTTTCTTTTGAGCAATCCTCCGCTCATATTGGACCTTCTCGAGCTCGAGAAGCACGTTGCGGATCTCCGTCCGTTTGTGAGACGGATGAAAGCCTTCGAAATCCTCTTTGATGTCGTCCTCCCGACGCAAAATCTTCTTCACGAATCTCGCCGGATCCTTGCAGAACTGCTCAATATATGCGAGAAGATAGACACCACAGTCCGTGAGGTTGCTTTGCTCTGGAAGACTTTTGGCAGTCACACCTTGTAGTTCCTTCAGATCAAGGTCCATTGCTCGCTTCATTTCGGCTTCTTTCTGCAGGTACAGCTTCAGATACTTGAGTTCAGCGGTACGCGCGAGACCAAAAGAATCCATGCTGATGAGAACGGGTTGGTCGGTTTCAAACTTGCGCATTCCTGGCCCTTTGTTCTGAGGTTTCTTACCCTTGGCAGTCTCGTGAAGGGCTTCCGTGTCACCAGCGCCCTCGTCAGGTTGAGCATTGCTCGCTTGGCCATTTGCATCAAATGTGAAAACATCTCCTTCATCCTCTGGTGATGCGCGATTGGAGGATGTCAGGGCTTGAGCGTCTCCTTCAATGTCATCGCTAGGTGGTTGTTCGCTCGGAAGATCGATAACCACTGGGCCGTCAGCTTGGTCAGCGGCACTAGCTTCCTCATCTTTGACATCCGAAAGCTCGCGTCTGATGTTCGGCAGATTGCAAATTATGACCGCAAACCAGTGGTAGCTAGCATTGATCGGTACCACGACATATGGTTTCGTGAACAGATCAACGCTTTTGGTCCACCGCTGGATTGCATCGTAGTTAAATCCGGTCTTCCCTTTTTTGGTAGTCATTGACGTGTAGAAGTACGTGTTGAAAAAGTGAACCTTGTCCTTATGCTCTGCCGGCATGTTCTCTTCAATGCGGCGTAGCCAGAAGTTGACCAAGCTGTCGTTGAGATACTCCTCGTCGTCTAGCTTCAGAAGGTCGCAAAATTCCAGGGTTACTCGACGTGGACCTTCACTGGGATAGACCACTTGATTTCGCCAGGGCGCAGGATTATTCATCTCCGACCACTTCTCAACAACGCGAGGCGGTGTCGGCGATTTGGCTTGCATCCGTCCGGTAACTCGTCCAGATCGCCGTGGTTGGTCGAAGTATGGGGACCTGGTGATGTTTTCATCTTGCCGGCAGCGAGGCTGCTGATAACCTTGGTTCTGAAGTTCTTCTCGAAGCGTATTTTGCATGCGTGAGCGCAGTTTAGTTCGAGGGACATTCGGTTGATCGTCCTCGACCGTAATCTTCTCAACTGACGAGCGTTGCTTATCTTGCAATCGCATTTGGATTCGGGATGGCTGCGTTGACCGAGATGGGATCACGGATTTTTGACTGTGCCGCTTGTCATCGATGATTTCAGCTTTCAGGTTCTCGAACATTTTGTGGAGCCTGTCCTGGTCGACCGTTTTGGTGCTCTCCTTCAAGGTTTCCTTGGTTGCGGCATCGAGGTACGACCAGCAGTTATGTTTGTCGCCCATGTTAGGGAAGTCAAGTAAGAACTTGCCGCTGCTGCCAGAATACATAGAGCCCCTCAAGATAGCTCTGGGGTCATTTTCGCACTCTGTCCAATCTCTGCTCACGGACAATTGATTGATTGAGACAAATTTGCCATCCTCACCGTCTGCGCCGACAGGTTTTCCGCATGAGTATAGAATGAGAGCCACTGCATTCTCATCCCAGCGCAGCTCCAGATTCTTCTGATAACCCGCAAATCCCGTACAGAAGAGACCGTTGACGGGTATCCGCACTTCGTGAGGATCGTCATCTTCAGACTCCACTTTAAGACTCTCCGACTTGAACTTGGTGGGCTTGAGATCAGATGGTGATCTTGAGCGTCTTGACATAGAATTGTTTGGCCTCTCGTTCGCTCGAAATTGTAATGGCGCGGCCTTTTGGGGTGACGTATTTCGCGAATGCACGGTTCTAGGTCCGCTGAGTTCATCGTCGTCGTTGAAACCCACTCTGTTGCTGCCTTGCATCCGGTCTCTCAACTTTGTTTTTAACATCTGATTGTTCGGCCTCCGATGTGACATCTCTTCGGGAGAATGCGGATCACGGACAAATTGCCCACGAAGGGCAGAGTTTGCGCTTGGCCGTCTCATGTATTTATCGAGGTGCCCATCCCCGACGGTGCGATTCTTCTTTGCAGATTGAGCCGGAGCTTGTTGTTTTGCGAACCTCGGGTCCTTCATAATTTGTACATCGCGATTGCCGTTGCGGGCAGACCGCTGTTGTTGCTGCTCTAGCTGTCTGTGTGCATGTTTTTGAGCGTATTCCTCGATGCCTCTTAACAATTGGATTGGCGGCACATGCTGGTCGGGCTGAATTTGCTGTTGAGTACTTTGTGGTCTGGGTTGCTGTCTGGGAATAGAGTCAAGTCCATCTCGCCTCGGACGTCGAAGCGCTGTCGATCCGGTAACTTCGATTGTGTCATCATCCTCCCCTAAAACCACTGGCGTTTCTCTAGTACCGGAAGATTGACCAGACCATTCATTACCCAAATGTGAGGCGCTTGAAGACTTCGACGATTTGGGCACTTCCAATGACTTCGGAGCCCGTAAGGATTGCCGGGACGACATCATGCTGTCGTTCGTCTTGTCAACCTTTAACATCTCGCCCCCACCCAAAGGGTCCTCTCTCTGGCGGCCTCGTTCCCTCTTGAGGGACACTCTCGACCCCTGCTGGCTTCGCTGGGAACTTGATGGGGCCCTCGGCCTGCTCTGAGTAGGCTCAGGAAAGGTGGGGTATCCAAATTGATTTCGTTGCTTTTCCTTCAGGTCCTCGGGTGTAGAATCTTCAACTTCGATGGGATCGGACGGGAGGTCGCCATATTCGTTCTGCTTGCTCTCCATCTTCTGTCTCTTGCTGGCTCGCTCGCACCGGTCGATGTGTTCAGATGGAGGCGGAAAGTTATTCCGTCCATTGAGACTAGGCTTTGGGGCAGTTGAACCCTGGCCGGCTGTGTAATTAGAGAAGAAGGCGTTCGAGGTCCCCACATGATTCTGATTGCGGTTCTGACTTGACGCAGCTTGTGGAGCTGTCTTGCTCAGAGTGTTCAACGGCTTGAACGGTCCAGGCCGTCTTGCCGCGGGCATGTTCGGCTTCGCTTGTGCAGGCGACTGCGTTTGTATCCAAGGCTTCGATGACGAGGGCCAGTCTTTCTCAAGATTGTATTCCCGCCTTTGTTCGTTCGTCGAATGAGGAGCATGTGATTCAATAGCAATTGCTACAGCGTCCGAAGGGTGGGAATAGTTGTAGTCCGGTACCAGGCCCGAGCTGGTGCTCGTCCGCCGCAACCTCTTGCGCCGTTCCTCCGCCTCAGTAATCTCGCGGTCCACTCGCCTCTTACTCCCCGCCGACGTTGCAGGAATCTCCTCCACACTAGGAGTTCTGGCGAATTGACGTCGCTCGTGGGCCGCATCGGTGTCGTGAGCCTGTGCGGGATCAAAATAAGCCAACGCAGCTTCTCGCTGTGCTCTCGCACGGGTTTGACTGAGAGTCCCAATTAGACGTGAGGAGAAAGACATACTTCTTGATCCTCTGCTTCTTGCTTCTGTGTTCCCCCGCCAAACAAGCGACCAACCTGCGCTTTTAAGTCTCCGAATATGCCCGGCATGAGGCTCTCTGCCCAATCCTACGAGGGAAGAGCGCTCATTGCCTTCTCGGCGCTGACATGTGCGGGCAACAGGCGTTCTCGCAGAATCTGCGAGTGGCAAGAAGAATGTATGATCTTTTCCGTTCGTTAGGTCGGTGGTACGTGTGCGTAAGTGGTGGTGTTGGAAGTGGAAGAGGAATTCTAGAAGCTCGGCGCCCACAACGCGAGCTCGGTGCGTGGACGTGACGTTCCCGTCGGTTCGGCTACATGTACGCCAGAACAGGGTCTCGTAGGCAAAAAGTTATTTGCTCCTTCCTGCAGCGCAGCGGCGATATCTACTAATAAAGGCATAAAGATTACAGTAAGTATTATCGATGTGCGACTACCCTCGCTCCGTCGACGCCTCGAAGACGACTTGCAACAAGAATTGCCATTGAATATGAAACGACACCTCCAGATCATCTGACTCTCCTGGATGACCTAGCATTCACCAGCCATTCACAAGCCTCACAGGCAAAGACATGGCACCGTAAGCGCCAGGGCTAGATTCTTGAACGAGTGCCTTGCAGCACAGAAATATTGCAGATTCATCGCTTCTCGTCGCTTTCGCCATTCCCGCCGCCGAACATGTTTGAAGATGCACAGAACAGCCTGCCCAGACCCCAACATAAACCCCATTGAGTGTTAGTATACAAACGCTTTGCTCTGCCTCGCGGGCAGTAGTGTCGCCTCGACGCTATCAGACATGTCCTACTGAAGGAACAACAAAAATGCACGCTGCAATAGAAAGTTCAATCAACTCCTTGCCAATGAGAGCAATCGCCGCCCGCATCTTTGCATCAGGAGACATCGCGTGTCGGTGCCGCGCCAGGAATTTCAGTTCACCCACAAGCGAAAGAATACAATTCATCCTTCGGCATTCGTGAGCTGCCGTCAACGATCATGTTACCAAAGAGCCCTCTATGCTCTGGTGTCGACCGGATCTTCCTCGCCTTTCGTTGTATTGCGCCGCTTCTCATGGTTGGCTTTCTCCTGTCGCGCCTGATCAATGGTGTGTCTCTGGGTGATGCTCTCGTCGTGGCTTTTCCATAGAATGATTGTGTCGGCTGGTAGATTCAGTAACCGCTTCAGGCTCTCGCGGATCTTGACATTTCTACCACCATCATTTCTGGTCCACACGGAGATGACATCTTCACCGGACCGAACGCTGACAACCGCGCCGCAGACTTCGTCGCTCGCCTCGTCAAATTGCTCCCCAACCATGGCCAGCCGGAGATCTTCCCAGTATCGATCCGCAACTCCTTTCTTCAGGCGCATAATCCATTTGCCGCCCTTTCTATTGGCCTCGTCCTCCCACACAGGACGTATGCCTTTCTTGAAGAAGTGGTAGTCGCTGACAGCAGGAAGTCCGCTTGGGTGCTTCAATTGTCGAAACACGCCCCAAAACTCGAACGCGGTGTGCATGCTGCCTATCTCCTTAATGGACTTCTCATAGTCGCTGTTCTTGCTGGTCGGCGGCCGGATGTATATTACCCAGCCACTCTTGAGCGGCAGGTCTTGGGGATGTCGCCCTGCAGGCTCTACTGCCGAACTAGGAGTACGGAGTGAGGCTTGCGACTTTCGCGCAGGTGGTCGCTTGCTGTCCTTGGAATCGTCTGACGACTCTTTCCTATCGCTGCTCGTCTTTCCCAAGTCGAACGATGCACCCGGGGTCTTTGGAGTCTTACTCGCACCACCAAACCCAAACGCTCCACTTCCTAAGCCAAAGGAAGCGGCCCCGGCGCTTGTGGCTTTTGGCGAGGCAAGGTCGCCTGAAGAATTGTTGAACGGATTGCGGTTTCCGTGACTGCTTAGGCTGCCAACTCGTCGGTTTGAGGGAGTGTCGTGGCTATCGTTGCGGTCGGACCTGGTGGTGGAAAGGGAGAGCTTGCCGCTGCTGTGGGTGCTATGGTCGCGTGCTCAGTTAGCAATGGCGCATGAGGGCGGGAGGGATAGCACCAACTTCGCTCTACGGTTCCACAGATTGGTCGGGTTGTTTTCGGTGTTCTTCTTCTCCATTGGTCAAACCCTGCGTGGAATAAGGTCGAGGTATAGTGGGTATGGTGTCCTGCGAGGGCGACAGGCGGGAGGGGAGGCGAGGCGGGAGAGGGCGCGGACTTCCGAGCGCGGCGGAGCTCTGTGGGATATCGATCGTTGGTGTTGCGACAATGCTGGACGATTGGCGGTATGGGCTGGAGATGCGAGTAAGTGATCGAACTGGTAACGGGAGGAGGCGGACAGCGGTATGGCAGCAATGGGAGAGATGTGGGAGTGGTGTGTCGGATGGGTAACTGAGCAAAAGTGCTTCAAGCATCAAGAGCCGCCGCCGAGCTTCAGCCACGCACGGGCCACCAAATCCAGGGCACCTGCACTTTTCTTCGCGACTCCCTCTCCTCTCTTTCTTCCTTTCAACAATTCAAGACCACCAACTCAAATCATCGCTATTCGCCCGGCTTTTCACAGTCGCTTCTGTGGGTGTTGGCGATTCCGATAGTGGCCGAGAGCGACATGCCGCTTCTAAAACCGTCGTCACGAGGGTAGTCCTTCGGGACGGCGCCCATGATGCGAGGACGACCTACAAGACGGGACATACCAACAATGACTTCCATACAATTGGCAGCGAGAGCTCCAACCTGAAGTGCTGTACGCGCAAATTGGTGAGAAAGGATTGATGCGCAGGTCGAACTCGGCCGCAGAGCCTGCACTTTCACTTGCAGCAGTACAGACCGTAAGTCAAAGCACGCACTCTCCTCCTATCCCTCATACTGTCCATGATGATTTACAAGAGCATCTGGTAAACCAAAACCTGCCCAGCCGCATCTTACACTACTTCTCTGCAGTTTGCTGGTTGGGCTTGCGGAAAATTAGGCAAAGTCTGATCACTACCCTACCTTCATATTTAGAAAGGGCCCTCTGCACTGTAACAAGGCAAGATTACTGACGAGAGGCACAGTTCCTGCAATGCGTGCCATTGAGCAGCATATTGCATTTGCTAGATAGCGACAAGTACTCTGGCATTCTCTTAATACTCCATCATCTATAGTACACACAATCATTAGCAATGCAATGCGCCAAACAGACCACCACCCAACGCCACCGCTCCGCTCAATTTCGCATCCATAAAATCTCAAAGGCACGCTTGTTAGCCCATACAACGCTCTCAAACAATGTTCTCGTGTCATCCATTCAGTCCATCAGTCCTATTCCTGCTCGTCAATCTCCGGAATTAACCGATCACGTTCCGTAGCCTCTCTAACTTTTCCCTCCTTCTTATGGATTTTATGATCCTGTATCCATACAAATCCCACCAGCGCCGAGCCAAAAACAAGTCCGAGAGAAGCCATAATGATATTAATGGGGATGGGATTGTCGTGGAAAATTTCGTGATTAGTGGCGTCGATGAGTGGTTGCGATAAGTTGATCAGACCGGAGAAGCAGACAATTGTTCCGTAGACGCGGCCGAAAGTTGCGAACCCGAAGACTTTGGCCGCATAATCCCTACACGTGGGGGTTAGTAAGCTGTTACTGAATGATTGGTTTGGACAAGACCTACGACATGGCGGAGTAGTACAGCGGGCGCAAGACGACGAAAAGGACTACGTTGGCGTAGGCGGCGTAAAGCCAAGGCAATGAGCCCAGCACGCCAACCGCGGTGATGAGTGCCACGAGAATGGTCAACATCATCGCAGTGCTGACGTTATCCAGGAGAAGGCCAATGAAAGGTGTGGCTGCAACGCCTCCGATCTATGTAGAGATTAACTCTGTACTCCCTTGGTGGGTGATCCAACGTTACTTACTGGCAAAGCGACATCGAAAAAGGAGTTCACAGCTCTCCCAGCCTCTTTGGACCCAAGCATGTACTCGTACTGCGACCTGACCGTGGCAATGAAGAAGTTCATGCGCAGCATCTGGAGTACGGTCAGCAGCGTAATCAGGATGAACCACGGAGACAACATCTGCTCTTTAGCAGATTTGCCATGCAAGGCACCCCAGACCCCACTGGTCTGCTCCTTTTGCTCCTGCATCTCCTCTCGGTGATGTCTCTCCTCCGCGTCACCAAGGAGGTCGTCCAGCTTCGTGAGGTTAGATTCTCGGTGCTCTCGTCGCTGCTGCCGGCGGCGGCGAACTTCGCCGTCGCTGAAATCGTCGTCAGAATCGTGGACCTGTAGTCACGTCAGCAAAATACGCAATGCGTAAGGATGCAAAACTTACATCTCGCGTGGCGTCTTGTTCCTTTTCAATCTTCTCCTCCAACTGTGGCACTGTCTTGTAGCCGTCGGCGTTCATGATTGTCAGCTGAGCAAGAAGGATGAGTGCAGGAACGATCAGGTAGCCGAAGAAGAATTTCTGGGGCGTGAAAGTGCCACCTGAACGCTCATATGCCAACCGGAAGAAGAGGAAGACTGCCGCCTATTTCATTGTGTCAGTCGACTTCCACTAACGTGCTTTTTGGGGAGGGAAACTTACAGAAGCATCGAAAGCGCCCGTCACAATTGCCACGATTGTGCCCGCATACTTGGGGAAGGCATTTGCAACCTGGTATGACGGGATGAAGATGAGAGTGCCGCCAAATGAGAGGAAAATGTTACCGGCGATGTAGCCATCGAAGTCGGGAATGGAGAAGGCTGTGGCCATGAGAGCAGCTCCCACAGCCAAGCATATTGCGCCGATGATGGTAGCAAATCTTGGGCCATATCTATCCAGCAGCGTTCCTGCTGGTAACGACGAAACATTGGCAGTCGTAGAAGCAATCGCAAAGAACAAGTTCAGCCTGAGAAGAGGTTAGTGAGTAGGCCCAGGGAAGTCGTTCGATTGAGACATACCACAAATCTTGCTCGTAGCACACCTCGACTCCAGCGGCCAATTCTTCTCGAGTACAAAGCTCGCGGTACACGCCCTGATCAACAAGTACCGGCTTCAACGCCGCAAAACCAAAAACAATGCCCGCCGCCAACCAACACGAAACTATCTGTATAGCTACCTGCGCTGTTACGAGTTAGCAGGATGCCGCACGATTCGAAGGCCCATGTACCTACCTAGTCGACGATGGACGGATACTTTGTAGGCAGTCACGCCACCGGTGGGCGCAGTCGCTTGGGAGTCTTCGTGGGGCTTGGGGAAGGCATCGTAGCTGATGACGCGCCGCAGCGACTTTGCGGTACCATTTCCGAGCTGCTTGACGTCGACCTCGGGTGGGAGTCTGTCGTGTCCATCAATAGAAGTCACGCGCTGGAGGAGAGACATATCAGATTCTGCTCGTTCTCGCTCGGACGACAGAGACAACAGAAGTCGTGTTGAAGACGAGTGTTTGTCGCGATGTGCGGGAGAAGGAGCAGAGGGAAGAGGAGAAGAGGACCAGAACCAGAGCGGAAGATAGAAGGGAAGTGGCACGCCCGCGAGTATCGGTTGCTGCTGCCAACGAGAATGTTCCAAGCGTTCCAAGCGTTTCCGGGGGAGAGCTCCACCGTCGTGTGTCGGCTCACACCACGGCTGCACTCACCGTCACTCCCGTGGGAGCGTTGAAGTCTCTGTGCCTGCGAATACTGGTCTGCTTGCCACACAACCGCCTTGCTGTCGACTGCGATGTTCCGTCTTCAACGGATGTTTTCTCTCTCTTCGGGCAAGCGGGCCTCCCACGGGCATGTCCGTCATTTTAGCGTCATTTTAGCGTCATTTAGAGTTTCGGGCAAAGCATCTGACTACTTCCTCTTTCGATCTCGCTCGGCATCTTGCCCTTTTCGCTCAACTTCAGCAAGTCCACCATCCATGAGTGAACAACCCAACGACATCTCACGAAACGCGTCCCAATGCTGCACGCTCTCAACCGTGCCACGTCCGGCGAAGGTACTGCACGCGTCCGGCTGATGGCAAGTCGCGTGTAACCTGATGCTCAAGCCGTGCTAGCGCACCTGTTGGTAGCGCTGTCGCCCTCACTTGCGAGGCCCGCATACCGGAGCTATCCATGTGCAAGCTTCTCGGCCAGAACAAGGCTCGCGCGACTTGTTGGTAGACCTCTTCCCGAGACCTCTCACCGCCCATTGTGCTCGCGAGGAAGACCGACCACATCTTCTTATACGCGACCTGAACCACCCGCGCCAGCACGAAGCATTGGCTTGATAAGAGCAGCAAGACTGCGTGTCGGAATCATCAATGCAGAATTCACTGCAAGTCATTGACATGTGCAGACTTCGGAGCTAGGATCCTCGGTCAGCATCTACCCACTACTACAAGGCCCTTCTCTGGGTAGCATGCAGCAGCCGGCTCGGGGACCTCCTGAATACCTTTCCTGTCGAATTCCACCATAATTCGAGGAGCCAGACAATATTTGACATGGTTCAACAGCGGCTGCGCAAGCTGATATGCTTCTGATGTCAAATCGGTGTCCCTGAGGAGTGCTACGCGGAATAGCTTCTTGCTCGCGGACCTTTCTCCGGAACGAAGTCGCTGGGGTCGGGTCGATTTTTGCCTCAACGATAGAGCCTGCCATCTGCGAGGGTACCACCAGCTACCTGGAGACAACCTCACCTTGGCAGTGATTCGAAGTCAAGCACCTGATGTCCGACACACAGCCTTGATTCGCGCACGTGGCGTTTCAAAGCCGGTTTGGGTGTTGAGCTATCATTCCAGACGTGCATGCCATACAGCATCCACTGTCAAAATGGACTTGCCGGACAGCTCGGGCTGTGGCTCTCGTTGGCGTACGGCCATATGGTGTCGTGGTTTCCTCTACGCTATTCAGTCTCTACTGGCCAAGAAACGGATGATACTCTTCTCTGATTGTTTCTCGGGCTTAGTCGCCGGGCCGGCAGTTTCGTTGAGACGGGGAATCATCCGAGAAACTGGTGAATGAACTTTGATGTGTTGACAGGCGGCTGCAGGATGGTGGAAGCATGAAGTAGACTGGGGTGACATTTTGTCTATTTGATCGATTCCGGCAGCGAAACGGAACACCTGCCAAACTCACGGCAGTTTAAGCGGAATTAGCGATTTCCGCTGGCTCAAAATGATCCCTGCAGCCCGACGAACCAGATACCGAATTCTCACGAACCCGTCTTTGGTGGGACCTGCAAAAGCTCACGCTCGCTTGCGTGCGCGTGCACTTACGCAACAAGCAAACAACCGCCTCAGGCCTTTACGACCCCCTCGAAATTCGGGGTGAGACGACGCAGTCATCCGACAAACAGACTTCCATTTTTGGCAATAGTAAGATGACATTATCCTGGCGTAGGACCTCACATGCTTGTTCCATGTCATGGGTTCAAAGCACCGATAAGTGGTTAGGTTTTTTGGTGAAATGCCAATGGCTTGAGCACGATCAGTCCGGAATACAACCGGGTCAGACAGATCACGGCAAATGAGACACGATGTCATCTCAAAGATCACGACCTCTCCTTGCGCGATCGTCTTATCGTTCAACTCCTTCAACTTGCACGACGAGTTTATGAGTCCGTTCTGGCAGCCTAACACTTCTAAGGCCCGACTCGCGGCCGGACTCACGGCCGAAATGGAGAAAATAGACTCGATGGAGGCTCTGCCACAACAGAGCCAGCCCGAACCAGCACCACTCGTCCACAAGCTCTACGAACAACTCACCGAAACCTGGCAATATGTAGTCGCCGATCCAGTCTCTCGCCATGCCGTCATTATCGATCCGCATCTAGACAATGGCCCCTCGGTTACCAACATCTCTACAATCGCCGCCGATAGAGTGCTCTCCGTGATACGGCAGAATAGTTACATCGTCGACCGAATCCTCCACACCCACGAGCCCGTTAGACATCCCACTTCCGCCTGGTACCTCCGCACCCAACTCCTCGAAGCCACCGGCCACGCCCCGCAAGTCCAAATCGGCCGCAAACTCCAAGCCATCCAAAACTTACAAGCCATGCAACGCGTCTTCAAACGAAAATCCAGCATGAACGACGACTCAACATGGAAGACTGATTTCTTCGAAGACAAGTACGTCGACGGCTACGTCTTCCAAATCGGAAACATTAGCTGTCGCGTCGTCCATTTACTCCGGGGCGGTCTAGCTTTCGTGATTGGAGACCACATATTTGCGGGCACGAGTACTTTTGAGTTTGAGATGAGGACGAGGCATACGCACCTTGTGGGCAATCTGAAGGAATATCAGGTCTATGGGAGTCGGGATCAGCCTCCGCCGCCTAGCAGGCAGAAGATGCAGTTGGCGCCGATCTATGAGAAGGATGAGAAGGGGAAGGGTACGGCGAGGAAGTTGGCGATTCGGTACACGGCTGAGGAGGTTTTGGGAGGGAAGTGAAATGAGAAGATTATTCTATCGTGGGTCTTTTGGTGGCGAGTACGAGGGACGTTCTTGGTGTTCTTTGCTGATTTGATACCCCATCTTGCGAACAGGGCGCATGCGTTCGGGTGTTGGTGGTGGGCGTGGGTGTCGTCTGGATGTTAATGCGATCGAATAGATCCTCTTTTTTCCCTTTTGGCTTGTGGCTACGGTCTTTGTAGATGTTCCATTAAGGAGAGGAAAAGCAATGCTAGCTCTTAACTGGTTCAAAGTCTTGAATTGTTCCTTTGACGTTGCAGTTGCTTTCCTCTTCGACTGTGATATGCGACCGGCATGGAACTCTGGATCTCATCTTGGCTTCTTACGCGTGCTGATCAAGTGCGAGTGGCACGTCTCGACAATTGTATCCGGACAGCTTGGATTCCTTGGATTTCAACTCAGCTTTCTGTGGGTGGAAAATGTGTACAGGTGACAGGTCACGAGAGTTGGTACGGGCTAAAGAAGCGGACACGCATTATTACAGAGAAAATTTCGAGTCAAACTCGTACCTATTTCTATGACGATCACTGCTGATCCAATGGCTTATGTTACGGAAGAGAAATCTTGTGTCCAACACCTTCTACGATGATGTCTGCTCCTGGGTGAGAATCCACCGTCCCAATACGTTGTGCTCCATCGCTAGTGCTCCGTGTCGGGTACTTGCTCTCTGTCCTTCGACCCAGCTATTCTCTAGGAGTCAAAAGATACCGCCCTACTCGATAGCGAGCCCCAGCTCTGGTGGAGGTCATGGAGCTGGTCGTCTTCGAATCGCTTCATCTCAGCAGCAGCGATAGCATCACATCATCGCATTCGCACATTCACGCACATTACAGCACAAGCCAGGAATCGGATCTGCGACGCTCTAGATGACCAGAGACCCTCCGTGCTAACTCGATCCAGGTGTATTGGTTGGATTGTGCAAATCCAGTTCCGAACGAGATGATTGCGCCCAAGAGCTGCTGAAAGAGATAGAAGGCAGAGGAGAGAGTTGTGAGGAGCGTGATAGCGTTTTCAAGGTCTCCATCCATGATCAATCGGATGGCAATCGACCCAAGCACTCATGGCAGCTCAAGGTGGTGGGGTTGTACTTTGTACCAGGGGATGAAGAAAGTGATTGAGCTCCAGATTGGGAAGTTGAAGAAGGGAGAGGAGTGCTTCGCAGTTCGATGCCGGCGCTGCGGACAGATTTATAGAGCGTCTTGACGGCTGGACGCGCGAAGCCGTATCGCTTCTTCACCTGCAACGCAGTGAGCGTTCCAAGACCTGTTCCCAGTAGTGACAAGACCGTCTATCAATACCCTGCAATCGTCCGACATGATCGATGTATCTGCTGGAGAGTTCCAGCTCGTGTGCAGTCGTCCGCTACGCGATAACAGATGGAATGGTGAGGTTTGTCTTGATTCGAAAGTGCATCGGATCTTTTTCTGGGGCGGTGGGAGGCACAGCATTCCGCCGCGAATAGCCAGGGTTTGCATGCTTCCCTTGACGGTGACAAGAAGCAACGTTGTTTCCATGCAAACCCACCGATGTTGAGAGAAGTACCTACCACGACAGAACAGTGAGAACTTTAAAGGGTCCATGTAGCCGCGACATGGCTTGATGGCCAGCTGTGATTTTCCGGCAGCAAGAACCCTGTAGAGCCCGTTCACATCTGCGTGGAAGTCTCAATTTCGTGTCCTCTGACCCAACAAGCTATGGTGGGCCTCAGATGGCGACACAAACACGCATAGGTGCGGGAAAGCATGTGCAGCTGCAATGTGGTTGTCCTGTCCCTACCAATTGCTGTGCCTCACGGAATGAACGATCAGCGCTAAAACGCTTTGAAGCTGTTCGTTGGAGAATAATTTATCGCCGTGAGTGCCCGGATACGATCTTCTAAATTCATGTGCGCAGCCGCCGTAAGCATGACTATGGATATGATGGAGATCATTGAAGACAAGGCACCAGACGGAAGGGTGGATAGGGTGCCGAAGGTAAGGCAAAGTCGCCAAATCGAGTTCCAGAAGAGGACATAGTGTAGAATGGGTGCGAGGCGATATGCTGCGATCGAGACCTCTGCCATGAATCGATGTTCACGTACTTGATTCGTTTCAAGTTGATGTAGAGCTGGCGAGGCGCGACTGCAGCAATTATGCCTGCGAATATGGAAGAGCTGCTCGTTGATTTCCGTGAGGTCGTAGCGGCTTGTTGTCAAGTCGCAGCAGCCGGTCTGTCTCGTCCGATATCCTGAGCTGTAGTCGCCGCTTCTGTGCACATCTTGACGACCTGGAAGGTCGGAAGTAGGTCCCAATTCTCCATCTTGCAAATCGGACGGTACTCAGTCCTCACTGATAACTTCCCAAACCCTCCTCGCCTTTCCCAGACGACTCTTATCATCCACAAGCTCCGACTGAACAATGACAAATGCCAGCGCTAAGTTCATGGCCAATGCTCCCAGCAGCACCGGCAACATGACCATGAGCATTCTGAAGCCCTCTAATGCCTTGCGAGTCCTCTCTCCATCCGAATGTTCTCCGAAGGGCATCAGTCGAGATGTGAACAGGGCGACAGGAAAGAGGAGTACGATAGCTCCAAGAGCCATCAGCACCCCAGGCGGAACTAAGTCGAGATACCGGGGCAGGAGCGTCAAATTGAATCCGTGGTAGAAAGCGAGCTGGGCGGAAAAGGTGATGGCAAGAATGACGTTCAGGATCCAAAGCGCGAGAAAGTAGACGATGGCGAGGAACGATGTAAGGAAGTTGAAGATAAAGCTGCTGACTGCGCTGACAACTTCGGTGATGGTTGTAATCGCGGTATGCATGGTGGCGGGCGTGGGGTCGCCGAAGTCGCGATCGGCGTGAGCGTCCATGTTGTTATTGATTGTGTAGTCCAGAGATGTGGAAGTGCGTTGTAGTGTTGTAGATGGAGGTTCCGCAGAGATTTGCGGAGTATGTGTTTTGCAATTGCTTGGGATCCGTGGTCACATGCCAAAATTGTGCAGTCGACTCACGTGCTTGTCGAAAGCAGCACGCTCGCCTTTGTCCTTTTGTACAAGTTCATCTTCGCTAATCCTACAATTGTCGCTCACGACTGCACGGACAGGTCCTTTGTCGGCAGGCTGTCCGGCCCTCTGAAATCTCCATTCAAGCTCATGCCGGGTCCGTGCGTGCTACTTAGCACAACCTCGTGAATAGCTTTGCTTATTCGATCTGACAGGCCTGCAATGTCCTTATTAACACCCTCGATGAACGCGCGAATGTTGGTCTGCATCTGCTCGGGTGTGAAGGCCAACTGCCCAATGCTCATCCTGACAACACCCAGTCTTTCCCTGTACTCTGAGCCTCCGGCCATATCTCTCACGGCTGATGCAACATTCTTGACTACACTGCCTGTCTTGGCAGATGGCATGAGCCCTCTAGGTCCCAACGTGCGGGCGACTCCGGCTTTCGAGAGTTTTGATAGCGAATCTGTCTGGCAGATACAGCGGTCGAAGTCGATCTTCCCAGCCTTGATTTGTTCGAAGACCTCGTCCTCACCTACCAAGTATGCTCCAGCCTCCTTTGCCGCCTTTGCATGTGCAGAGTCTGGCGGACAAATAACACATATCCGTATGTCGCTCCGTACTGGATGTGGTAGTCGGAGCTGATTTCGTACGGGCGCGCCATTCTTTGGAGTTCGTAGTCGTACGTGGAGTTCATATTTGGCTGATTTCGGGTCGCGTCCTACTTCAGCTGCTTTGAGATATCTGCCAATCTCGATAAGCACGGGTATGTATTGGGATGAGGGGACCGTGTCTTACCGCATCGCGTCAACAAGAGAGAATTGCACGACCTGCTTGATATCTGGGACGTAGAACGAAGTCCTCTTCTTCTTCTTGTTGTTTGTTGGAACATCCTTCTTCCTCTTATACTTCTGCGCATTGGCGGACTGGACCGCTGTCCGAACTTGATGGAAAGGGAGTATCGAGGGTGCTCGGACGCTCGCAGGGCGCATATTTGAGATCGCTAATCGAGAAAACGCTGAAAGGCATGACGGGCAGGCCCGCGAGGTCGACATCGTATGAGAATGTGAGTAGGAGGAGCGTTGCAAGATGTCGAGATCAGCGAAAGTCGAGATGGAGTCGCGGAGATTCGGGGGTCTCGAGTCAATAAGCCAGCACCAAGTAGACCACTTGACTCGCGCCGGCTTCACGACATCGTCAGAATTGCTACTACAACCTCACTCTCCACTACTTCGGCGTTTGGGGAATTTCTCTTAGCGATGTCGAAGTTCCACCTTCCATCTTCCACGACTTCTGCAAACTCTACTCCAGCAAATCCCTCAACATACACGACAGACGACGAGGACGATGACATCGACACGCTGCCGTATCCCGGAGAGCTTCCTCGCAATGACTTTCTAGCGCCTGACTTTGACCCACAGACATACCTTTCGACTCTCCGCAATCGACACCAAACGCTGGAGGACCTGCGCTCGGATCTAAGGCAAAGAAGTCAGCTGCTCAACAAGGAATTGCTCGATCTCGTGAATGGAAACTACGAAGAATTCTTGAGCTTGGGAGGGGACCTCAAAGGTGGAGAAGAAAGAGTAGAAGGCGTGCGACTTGGTTTATTGGGCTTTCAGCGAGAAGTAGAGGCAATCAAGAAAGGTGTTAGAGAAAGAGCCGATGAGGTGGGACAGCTTGTGAAAGAGCGAAAAACAGTCAGACGAGATGTTGCGCTGGGCAGATCTTTGCTGGAAGTCAACGAAAAGTTGACAGAGCTTGAGGAGGATCTGGGTATTAAGACGGGCGCAGAATACGATGACTTGGACGATGAGGATGAAGAGGAGGATGCCAACGTCGGCGGAGTCCGTGTTAAGAAGTTGCAACAACACGCGCAGCAGTACGTCCTGATCACCAGATTGATGGGTCGCATTGGCGCCAGTCACCCTTTCCTCGTCGCTCAAGGATCAAGACTAGAGGAAATCAGTCGGATCATTCTTTTGGATCTCGCCGCAGGGCTGAGACAAGCGGAGAAGAGCGCACCGGAAGCCATTGTTTCGGTGCTGAAAGTTTACGGAGACATTGGAGCAGAGGAAGAAGGCGTGAAGGTCTTGAAAGGCAGCTGAGTAGGGATGCCAGCGACCTGGTCATAAGGCCCCTTTGCGCTGCCAGTTCATTACATCTTCTACTGCAAATCGGTCACAATGCTCGGACATATCCACAGAACTACTTCGCATAGCCGACTACTTGACCTCTGCATTCCATCGGAAGCAATGGTCCAATTGTCTCACGCCCGCTGCGGCCTTGCATGGCCGCAAACAAGCTTCACTGGTCCAATCAGCCGCAGCAAAAATCGGTGGTGAGCCATAAATGTGTCGGGCACTCAAGGGTTTGATGTTAAAGCACAGGAGTACGGTCTCGCCGCCTTTGGATCGATCGACCTGCAAACTCAACTCCCGTCCCGACTGTGTCCGTCAGGTCAGTGACCTGCCATCGCATCCCAGGAAGACAACATTCACCATGCATCTCCATGACCTCATCGGCCAGTCTGGACTTGCGGGTTGTATGTCAAACATGACTGCGAAATTTTCGTGGCCTTCGAACCAATCTTCGTTGTTTTGTGCGATGGTCACAGCAGGGACATTAGCATTGGCCTTTTGGCTTTTGCACATGCAAGTCAAGAGGAATGAAGCGTCAGCGCTACCACCGAGACCCCAGATTGTGGCTCATTCAGACGACATAGTCTTTCAGTCGGCATTGCTGGCTCTAGAGGAGTACAATAATCAGTCGTTCCGGCACTTTGCGAATCCATTCGGCTTGGAAGCTTTGTCCTCCTCTCCTTTGATCTGGGAAACCAAAGATCGATCTATACTAAGTGATGAGTGCGAAGGCATCTATGAAACCAAGCCCGTGACTCATCAACTCCTACTGAATGGACAAGTCCAACTTGAGATTGACCATGACGTTGGCCTGGGCACGTGAGGCCCGGGCCTTTCCCGTCCTTCTGGGTAAACATGAGTACGCTTGGATACCGCTCCGATACTGGCTCTCCCCGTTGCAAGTACCGAGACCTCAAAACATTACTGGCGAAGAAGCCTATGATGTTCAGGAGAGGTGGTGCTAGGCAAATGGGCAGGCTTTCAAGATATCGGAATCGCCTGAGAAGGCGCAGATGGCAATACACCATTACATCAGCTAGTCGAATCTCGAAAATCCACAATTAGTATGTGACGTCTACTCCAGACCTACGAGATCAACGGCAGTAAAGGAGAGCTTTGTCAAAATCTGATCTTCATGTGGGTATCATTTGATCTGTATAGATGTATCAAAGTATGTGGCTGTACGATGTCTGGAGGTATGCCACATCTGGGGTTTTGAGCCTACAGCTACACGATTCAGAAGCAAACTGATTCGGAACAATGACCTGCCCACAATCAAGAGCCAGGACCACGTCAACTCCTCGGTTACCATGGAATTGTCTGTGGCTTCCGTAACTCATGCGTCAACACCGGAAAACTCCACGCGGTCACCAAGACACCTGCTGGAAGCACGCACAACTAGGACGGATCCCTCACTAGCACAATTGGCGGCGCTCTGCAGGCCATGGAAGAGTAGGAACGTATTGGCCACGACTGTATAGCTGGGTGTACTGTGCAGGTCGTTTCCCAACTTTGTTGGGACTGGCTCGACCATCAACGCTCTGGATTTCATTCAGCATGGGAGATGCTCTTGTGTCGGCGGTCACGATTATGATTCCAATGATGATGATCCGAGACATGTCTACAATCTTTGCTTGAGACAATGCTGGCTCGTGAGTATTTCCTCCGTACCATTAATACGGGAAAACTACCATAAATCTGGAGGTGTCATGCTCAGTGTCTCTCAAAGTACCTATCTGTTAACTTTGAGAAAGCCCAGCAGGTATAGCGGCTCCAGTGCCGGTGTTCGAGCCCCAGAAGTGATACAGCGCGTCTCTTGAGAATGTCTTGAGTGCGTTCAGAGTCTGTACTAGAGGTCTCACGAGCCTCAAGCCGCACTTATATCTTGGATGCTTTTCACACACACTCTCATTCTTTTGCTCTTTTCAATTTCCCCTCATACAACCTCTTCAAACATACAGTGCTGGCCACTCTTTTCCTCTTTGGCATCAAGCTTCCTGATCACTCCCCCTTCGTGCTTCTCCACTCAACGACACCAGATTCAAGTCCCGTTCGTACTACCCAATCCAACCTCTAGCACATACGCCGCTACCACAACACCACCCTTCCACTATGCAACCGAAAAGTGGTGCCGTTTTCTCGCTGGACGGGTTCCGTGCAACATTTGACTACCTCTTCCAGAACCAGTCCATGACCCGTGCCCAAGCCCAACAAGTCCAGCAACTGCAGAAGAAGATTCACCAACAGTGGAACTATATTACGCGCCAGGAGAGGGCTACCCTCGTTCGGGCCTTGGTGTCTGCCGCCACTCGCAGCGCGAACGCTGCTGCAAAGGACATCCAGCGTGTGATGATTGGCACGTACGCTTTCCAAGATGGAGAGTTTCGACAGAAACCTCACAAGGACACCAACTACCACGGGTCATCTCCAAGGAAGCCTAAGAATACTCTCCAAAAGGAGGCATTCGCTATCCAACAACCACCGCATTCGGCTGGATCTCACGGTCAAGTCGACGCTCAGGGAGATGAAAGCGATCTTACTGGTGCAGGTCAGGCGTTTGAACTTCCCTACTTTCGCGGAGCGGAACAATGCTGACGCTATACACAGTCATTGACAGCGTTCCCAACTCACCGTTTCAGCCTCTCACTCCTCATGCGCCACAAAAAAGCGGCGCTAGCAGCTCTGCTGTGCACAATGGCGAAGATGCTCTCTCTCACGAAGATTGCGTTCCTCGCGAAATGCATGAAGAGCTCCGACAGCAATGGATCCAGACCACGGAAACGATGGCAGAGCAGCTCGAGGCCATCAACCAGCAGAATCAGGCCCTCGAGCAGCGAGACGACACGATCAACCAGCAGAATGAGGAGATAGGAGATTTGAGGCAGGCGTTGCGGAGCTACGACGAGCTCAAGCGGAATATGTTGCATATGTTGAATGGGCATGAATAGCATGAGCGAGAAATTGCGGGTGAGAGTTAACGAGGCTTGCCAGCAATCTTCATTTGTATATCTGTGATGCCTCGCGGGACGAGAAGTACAAATTAGTAATATTTAATGTATAATTTCCATCACATCCAATTTCCTACTCTGCTGCCATGGATCTGCTGTGCGACGACTGCGCGGTAGCTTGGCCCAAGCGTCGCACTAACTGCCGTGGTAAGTGAATGTGGGGTTAAGGTTTCTCCTCTTTATCCATGTCAACCTGAACAAAACACATTTGACAGGCATGACTTCCTCGATGCACCGGTTTCTAGCGGTATTCAGGTTACTGCTGAGGACCAACTGGCATGCATAGTCGGCGGTCCAGAAGCTTCATTGAACGGAGCCGACCTTGTGCTGTTTGAATTTCGTTCCTGTATGGCAATGATTATGCCAACAGCGTCGGAGCATGGGACTACACTGCCTTCGAACGATAGAGAATGGCAGCCGGTAGGAGTAGCGATGTGTCGATAGTTGAAGCTCACAGCTTCGATCTCGACTAAGTAGTCAAAATCACCCAGACTTGGGGTTGGTAAGTTGGTTTAAGTTGGAATCCACCGAGACCGTACTGTGGTCGCGGGACAGGTCATGACTCGCATACGATGGGGTCTAGCACGCCTTGGCCGGCATGTCGGTTGCCAATGGGATGCTGTTGAAAGTAGTCTCTCGCGTTGTGAGAGGCCAAAGGCAGAGATAAGTAGCGATTAAGTAACTCTTCAAGTAGAGCGAAGAGTCGGAGTTCCGATGTGGGAATATTTGGAATAGGTTTGTCGTCAAGATTACCATGTTAATCGATTCCAAGATCTGTCGCTTCGAAAATAGGTCCGTCGCTGAATGCAGAAACCGTGCAAGTGAGGGCAGCGAGGGAAGCAGTGGGCGACGCAAATTCGAGCTTCATACCCCATTCACAATTTTGCAAGATTCGCCCACTCCTTAGCACGGCTTGGTTCCCACAGGCCTCTCAATCCTTCTGAAGAGTCTCCTACAACTGGATCGTGCGCAGGCTTGGATACCGACCATACTCGCTTGAAGTGCCCTGCGTCCTTGGTCCCCACGGCAAAGTCCCAATTGCTGCCCCTGGGATAAGCTCCCATCATCGTGAACCCAGACAATTTGATCTCGCTCAAGGCCTTCTTCGGGTTCGGCGTCTGTAATCCATGTCCCTTGCCAGGCGTGAGTAGAGCGAACTCCGCCGGTGTAGTATCATATGTCTTGTGCGCGACTCCAGCGGGGATGACAAAGACATCGCCTGCCTGGGCATGGATCTCGACGCCTCCGTCTTCCTTGGCTGAGCCATGCGTGCTTGCTTCAAGATCGTCACTGGTATCGGCCACGCCAAAGCGAATGGTAGCTGTTCCTGTCAGGACGGTCATGCATTCGTGTGCGAGGGAGTGATAATGCGATTGCTGAGTCGGACCATATCGAAATATCCAGTGAATCTGCCAGTCATTCTTCTCGAACAGGTCGTACACATTAGCTGGATTGCAACCCACTTCTTTCAAGAGGCCTGGATAGTGTAGCAGAGGATACGGCGAGTTTGGGATCAGTGTTGTCGGTGGCAAGTTGTAGCTTTTGACTTGGATCATTTTGGTTGATCTCAAGACTTCAGCTGGTTCTCAGAATATTTCTTGTCCACCAGTGTCTGGTCGGAAGGTCAATAGTAAGATCGAGTTTCGAGGCTCACACAGCTCGCGATGAAGCGAATCGATCTGATGATTAATATGAACCCCGGTATCACAGACCGAGCGGGGAAGCATGCAACGTCGGCTCAGGGATCCGCCGGTGCATCCCTCGCGACACTCACGGAGATACATCTTGTACCAGTTCTCCATACCATCTTCATGCTGTCTTCTGTTGTCGCCAGTCATCAATGTTACCAGGGACTCGTGCTCTCGTCTCCCAGCCTCCCGTCGGCCCAAAGAAGGTTTGAGACTTGCGCTGTTTTATAGCCCTGCATAGGCCCAAACTAAACCCATTGCTAAACAATGACGTTGGATATCCGGACTTCTGCGGCGCTCAAGCTGCCAAAGCCTTCTGAAGGAGCCGACCGCGCCTCTTTGTGCAAGCGCTGTGGGAACGGTCGGAGTATAAAAGAAGAAGGACGTCCGGCACAGCCGCATCCGTCGTCATCACCAGGTTGCACCCCACCGCATCGGTCAAATGCGATCCAATGTCTGTCAACACCTGTCCTCCATGACCATGAACAAACCTACGCGAAACAGCCGAATATCTTACCAACCTAGAGATTGAAACAACCAATGCCAAAGCCAGAAGCAAGAACCGGGTCTATATAGCGATTGCAGCACGCATCAGATCACATACTCTGCCTGCCTGTCTCAACATCACCCAACGACCCTTCACTTCAAAGCTGTCGCATCAAGTCCGGCGGCATGGAGGAGTCTCGAATCGGTCGACTGCCACCTGAGCTTCGAAATCTTGTCTACGAGTATTCATTGAGCGAGCCCGATGGCGTCGAGATCTGGAGAGAACCTGGTTTATTGAGGACATGCAAAGCCATCAGAGCTGAAGCAGAGCTCATGTTCTACGTAAACGATTTCTCCGTCGACGTTCACGAAGATCGCATGTCGCATGCCCTTTGCAAATGGCTCAAGTCGAAATCTGAAACGCGACTGAAGCTGATACGAAGTCTTTCGGTCCATTGTCACATGCCGTCCATGAGCGAGAAGGAGGTCCCTGCAGGCGCTGAGGAAGAAGACGACTCCGCTGGCATCCTTGCACTCCTACAGCTCATGCACCTTATGGATTCCATGCGTCGTGCTTTCCTGAGCAGACCTCTGGAGGAAGTCATCAAGTTTACTTTGAATGGAGCAAACGATTCGGAGCCCTTCGACAGAATCGACAACATGACTGCGGAGGACCAGGACCGGTATCGTAGTGCGAAGTTCCTGATCATGTGTCTCGTTCATGGAGAGCAGGAGACCCTGGAGGCGGCAGAAGAGTCAGGTTCGCGAGAGCAGCTTGTGAAGCTCGATGAAGTGATTCAGCGCCGTCGCAGGCAAAGCAATCGAAGTGCGGTCGAAAGGTCTATGATAGTGTAGCAGAAGTCGAATTGAGAACGCGAGCCTCCCCAATCCCGATGTGTGTTTCATCTTCAACCGCCGTGGGAAGCTCGATCTGCGGAAAGAAGACGTTGAAGGCTAGACGCTGCTGCGCTCGGAGCTGGTGGTATGGAAGCTGAGCCGCCTCGTCCAACAGGGACTATGGTGCTCTCGGACGAGTGCCTGGTATGGTCCGGTAAAGAAAGAGCTTCGGCAGCCAATGCAGTAGTCGTGCCAACAGGTATTGTTCTGTTCATGCCTAGACACATCCGTCGCATAGGCTTGCTCTTTTGAACCTGCTGCTTGCGGAAGCTGAAGATGCTGCCGCGTGTCTTGCTCTTTCGACTTCCCTCACTGCTTCCTGAACTGGCTTCTGGCACACTTGTGAGGGCTCTGCGCATACCGCGCCCAGGGACATGCAAGTGAGGCCTGATTCGGGAAGAAGTTGACTCGGTGATTTCCCCAAGAGGTGGCAGGTGCGAGGAATATTCATCTGCCAAGCTCATCCTGTTCTTCGCGCAGATCTCTGCAATCCCATCGATGGCATTCTGGAGCTCTGAGCTGTCCGCGGCGCGAAGGATGTCGGCAAAAGCGTATGAGGCCACTGGCGGCAGGGCGTGGGCATCGCTGCCAGTGATATCGTTAGATGCGCGCTCCGGGCGGCCCCTCTTGTTCGAGTACGTCCTTACGAGGACTGGCTGGGCCATGCTACAGTCACAGCCGCATTGTAGATTGTCGCGTGGTGAACACGAGAGCGAGATTTGGGAGGTGTGAGCTGTTCCCGGGCCAGCAGGGATAGTCATATGTCACAAGTCATGGCCCATGGGCGGGATATCTGTCCATGCCAAGGCGCTACTCCGCATCTTCTGAACTTCACGCTTTCACAATACACCTTGATCTCCCATGCCTGACTTCGCATGATCTTACACACGCCATTTCTACCGATATTCGGCAAGAAGATATCTTCCCAAAATGGCGCAGAACGAAGAATACCACATCCTGGGTGCTGCCCAGAGGCGCGCGTCACAGACGTCAAACGATCACCAAGATGACCAGCCACCAGAAGCCGATACTGATGAGAAGAACCCAGATGCGGCTGATCAGGCTGAGGAGGTGAGTTTGTCGCCAGCGACAACAATGCACGCGAAGAGACTCCTCGGTCCGGGACGTCTACGAGCGAACTGCCGCCTCAAGCAAGCACGAAACCGCACCAATTAAGCCACTTGCTCCACTGTTGTTGCTGCTGCCACCCGTCATGCTCATGATGCGCGCCCCTTGGGAAGGAGCTTTGCTATATGTAATTCCATGCTTTGCTAACGGTGAGTAGGCACAGGACGACACTGCAACTGAGCAGGCCAACGTGAGCGCTGAGCATGGCGAGGATGAGAAGACTCAGTCAGATTACGAACGCGACGAAGACGCTCGTTTGGTGAGTTGCCGTACTGCGTGTGCAACTGCGGTTGAACGCTTTCCTTTCTTGTCTATACATCTGAGCTTCATAGGCCACATGCGCTCGTTGCGCTACTTCGCAACGCATGTGACGGAGCCTAATTTTCGTCTCCCCAGCCCAACATCATTACGGGAGTCACGTACTTCATCGCATCATTCTTATTGCATTGTAAATCAAATCATTCGTCTTATTTCTCATCGACTAACAACCACGAAGGAGTGCCATTACACTTGGTACGAGTGCAAGTGCGACGTCCCCGGCCCGGCAGGCGAAACGCGCTTTTATTGGAACAAAGCCACGAATGCGTCGACATACGTCGAGCCTGACGACAAATACTGGATCTTTGACCCCACGACCATGGGAAGAGACAAGACTGTTGGACTGCAGGAACCAGGCTCTGCTGCTCTCAGGCACGAAGCCGAAAAGCCTCCCTACATGGGCTACAACCCGGCCATCCACGGCGACTACGACCCGAACGCCGACTACGCCAAGTGGCATGAACAGAAGTATGCTCAGGAAGATGCCACCGCAGTAGCCTCCAGAATGCCATACGGCGGCCCGAACGGTGTACAAGGGTATGGCATGGTCGGCACTGCTACCGAGTATACGTCCACTCTTGGATTCAATCGATTCAGCGGTCATGCTCAGCAAGCACATCTTGCCCCCGAGCGCCACAGCGATAGCGCCAAGAGCGGACGACAAATGAACGCCTTCTTCGATACCGAAGCCGCCGCCAACTCGCACGACGGGCGATCCTTGAAAGAGGAGAGGCGCAACATCAAATATACCAAGGCAGAGATGCAGGAGATGAGGAAGATGCGGCATGAGAAGAAAGAGAAGAAGCGCCGGCAATTTTGGAGTTCGTGAGTTGGAATCCACAGGACGATTTAGAGGGAGGGTCTTGCCCGGACGATACCCATTCGCACAGAAGGAGGCGCTTGAGAGCATGGGAGTTCAAATAGCTATAGGGTGACTGCAGACCACTTCGGGCACCGGCACCGAATAGCTACCAAGAGGGACCAAAAGTAAACGCGTGTTTTCTCCACCTTGATCGGATTTCTCATGCCGATTTCCTCGCCCATACCATGATCCAAATCTATGTTCTGAGCGCCGCCCCTACATCATGCACATTCGATCGAGCAAAACTCCCCACAACCTCACCACGCCGGAACCCCCCGCCATTTCCTACCTACCCCCTCGCCTGCCCTCTCCCCACCGCATCGAACCCCTCCGCCTCCCCCCAAATCCCCGTCGACTCTCCACACCGCAAATCCCGCCCCTCATCAAAAGCATGGTCCCCACCATAACATTCCCAAAACCCCTGCACCCCAGGCCTATAATCCCCAAACATACGCTGCACATACAAACTCTCACAATTCCCCAGCTGCGCGCACCAATCTTGACATTCTCTCGTTGCGTCGCCTTGATCCGTGATGTTGGAAGGGAGTTGGAGGCTCTGCCGAGAGACGGTGTTTTCGCATCCTGGTGTGGGGCCGAAGATGTGCGTGAAGGAGGGTGCGGCGAGGGCGAGGGTGGTTGTGGAGGTTGCGGAGAGGGTTTTGGTGGAAAGGGGGGTTGTGGAGTGGGTGGGAGTGATTGTTGTGGTTGTGGTTGTTGTTGGGGATGGGTTTCCGAGGCAGGAACAGGCTGTTGCGAAGATTTCGTTTGGGAGATTCGAGAGGGAAGACAGTGCTTCCGGGGTTTGGCAAGTCACCTCTCGGCGCTTCCTTTGCGGAAGTTCTATGACGGTAGGTGATGGCGTTGTGTAGGTTGTAAAAGTCGTGCTCTGAAGGTCTGTGGTCGTGGATACGACGAAGATGGTGGTGGTGGCTCTGCAGCAGTGTCATTTAGAGGCGCAAAAATGGCATGGGCTCCTCGAACTCACCCGTTGTGTCCCGCTGTCATCGTCTCAGTTTGTGTGGACGTGTATGTTTGCATTCGCGAGGAGCATTCACTCGCAGCCGCATTATTCCCTGCCAGACATGCTAAAGGTGCATATTGCGATTCAGAACAGACATCAACAGCTGCTCTGGCGGTAACCGCAATGCAGGCAGCTATCACAAACGTAGAGGCTCTCATAGCGGGGGTTGTTGTCAAAGTGCTGGCTTAGTAGTGCCAAATGTTTCTCAGGAATCAAGATGATATGGATATAAGACGACGTCCTCGGGTGCAAATACCGCAGTATTTCGACAATGCCCACTCCAATTGGACAAGCTTCTCGGCTCATGAGATAGGCTACAACGAAAGTATCTTGACGCCGAAGTGGAGTTCGACCTGACATTCAGGCCTTTGTGAGGATACCGAGGGTGCGGGCTTGCGCCGTAGCTTCAAGAGACCAGAGCGTCAGAATGTACCATGAAGTGAAGAGACAACAAGAAGGTTCCATATTGTCCCAGTGGCGTGAAAGGATATGGTGGAAGTTGAGAGGCTCAGAGAAAGATGCTGTAATCCTCGCTTTATCGCACCTCCATTTCGCTGGTCCTTGAGTAAGGAGGCAGTCACGAGGATCTCTCTTAGTTTTTTGTCAGCAAAATATCCATCACGGAGAACAAAAGTCGCTGGTGGGTCCGATGGGCTAGCAATGACGGCGCTGGGAGCAGTGAGCTTACATTCCGGCTCACCCACTGGAGAAGCAAACCTTAGATTGCGCGCCCCCTACCCAAACACAATGTCACTCCGCAGTCGCGCTCTGTTTTCTCGCATTCAACGCTGTTCCAGATGTGCCAGGAACACAGGATAGGGTGGGAAAAGGTCGAGGCAGTCAATGGCTAAGGCAAATGGCTTGAGTCCGAACGGTTCCCACTCTCGAGGACGATCATGAAGCCCTTCCAGTTCCAGGCACACCAGGACATCTTCTGAGAAAAGTCATCTGCACTAGTAAATGCAGGTACCAAATGTAATAGATTCTTCGGTCGGTCTAAACAGCCTCCTCCACTGCATTCGCCGAAGTGGCCAAACCATGGGTACCACAAAATATAGGATCAGGCCGGATCGGTCCTGACACGGAACGCAGAAGACGTCCTACAGCTTGCAAAGCGTCGAACGCAAAAGCTGAGCCATGCCGTCAGGTACGGCGTCCAGTAGCTGTATTTCGGCTTTTGTGTTCATCTGTAGCATTCGCTGCAGCTCATGGCCCGTCTCCCACCCATCGCTAGTCCTAAGGGACTCTCTATTGGCAAGCATGTCGAGAGCTTTCCTCCGGTCGCGAGGTGTAAGTGTGAGCAAGCCTTGGGTTAGGTGAGCGCCATGTCCCAGAGCCAGGTGCTCACTGCGAAGGCCTAGCCATTGGAGCTGCGGAACTGCGTGCTTCTTGCTCTCATGAGCCAGAGACTGAGAACCATGCCTGTAGATAGACAGGATGGCGATGCCATCAGGATCGAAGTCCACCAGCCCGAAGACCGGTGGAGAGACAAAGCCGTTTCGGGCGCTTGGGGTGACCAGGAAATGTAGCATCGCTCGAGTGGAAAGGTCCGGATAGCCTTTACCCGTGATAATGATCCCTCGGGCAGAAATCACATCCCAGAAGCTGGACGCAGCAATGGATCGAAAAGAGGCCTCCTTCTCGATGACTAGAATCCATCTCACGTTTTGCATCATGACGGACAAGACATCTTTCAAACTGGGGACCAAGATGCCTTCTCTGTCGTTGAATGCATCTACAGTAGAGCCGTCCTTACGGCAAAAAGATACGGCGCCAGCCAACAGGCCTTTCGCAACAGCGGTGACGTTGAGGGAAGAACGTGGCACGCCGAAGGTCAGGGCAATGTCGTCAACATAGCGGTCAACAGTTGATTGATACCCGAATAGTGCGGGATCGCGGTAGTACAGGTCACTAAAAGATCAGTAGCTGTCATTTGGCATCCGATGGTTCTCGACGTACCGCTTGCTGATAACAGCGTCGTTGCGGAGTGCCTCGTGCATGAGCTCCAGGATACGGACAACAACAGCTGAAGGCATTAGTGAAGATCTGGCATTCCCGAGATGACTTACTGACCGAATCGCCATGCTTCATCTGCGGTCTTGGCCGGAAAACGCAGCTGTCTTGTGCCGCTGCTGGAAGTACGATTTCGCGTCCTCAACGTGATGGAATACTGATCCTTCTCATTCAGCATCGCATCCACTATCGGCTCCAGCATGTCTTCGATCTTGTCAATGACGTCCGCGCTAGATGTCGGTCAGTGGGTGTCCTCCAACGCGAGAAACAGTACTGTGAGTACTTTGGATACACCCTGTCCTCCCGTCTGGACTGCCTTTGGAAACCCTGAGCTGGCGCATGGTTGTCTTGGTGCGGAGGTGGCGCGTCGGTCAAAGACTCCCGAGCAGAGTCCCGAAGCAATTCGGCCTCACCAAAGAGGTCTCGGAAGTCCTCGTCTTCCATCACGGCCTCTTGGCGTCTCCTCGCGTTGCAGAGCCCTGGACTGCCGCAGTCTCGTGCGAGAGAAGTGGATGACGGCAGTCTCAAGAGCAGCAAAGGCAGCAAAGGCAGTTCACGAGCTTTTTCAGGCTGCAACGTTGACGCGACGAGACGCTGGTTGGCGATAGGGTCAACTTTGTGAGGGAAGGAGCACTTCGATACTTGTTGCCTCAGGCACCCAGAAACACGACGCGTCCGAGGAGCACGCGCCTTCCTCTCAATGCATCATCCTCAGTGCTTCCTCTCTCTACAACACCACCACATTCTGACATTCACACTCTCCCACCCGTGCCGCAATTCGCTGTACGCTCTGCGCTTGTTTGTTCGAACCGTATAGTAATACAGCCTCCCATGGAGGACATCGTGTCCTCCCCACCATCGCCCAACATCAGAAAGCGGCAGGCACCAGAAGACGATTGTGCAGAAAAGAAACCAATCAATCTAAAGGGCTCACAGTTCCTGATGCCGACTCCGCCAGATACGGACCAATCCAGTAACGTCAGTGCAGATGCCAGCATCAACAATGACGAACCAAATCGCGCGGCATCTCCGGCTCCAAGCAGCTCCGCGTTGAGCAGTGTTGTTGAGGCCACGTCCAGCAACCAAGTCCAACCCTCTGATGCTGCGGGAACCCTCTCAACGGCCACTGCTTCTTCCTCAGGCCCACCTCCTGCCAAGAAGCGAAAGCTGACGCCGTTGGAGAAGCTGGAGAAGTCTAGGGTTAGGGAGATCAAGGAACGCGAGAAAGCTGAGGAGAAAGCGCGCAAGGAAGAAGAAAAGGCTCGCAAAGAGGAGGAGAAAGCGCGGAAGGAAGAGGAAAGACAGAAGCTGAAAGATGCTAGAGACGAGAAGAAGCGTAGCAAAGATGAGGAGACTCGCAAGAAGGCTGAGGAACGCGAAGCTAAGAAGCGCGAGAAGGAGCATGAGGAGGAACGCAAGAACCAGGAGAAGCTCAAGAAGGAGCGTAGTCAGATGAGACTGGGCGCTTTCTTCCAGCAAAAGCCCTCGACTCCCGCCAGGGACGCGGATAGTGACGAATACACTGCACGCGCTAGGCGCCGTTCTGTGTCCCTCGAACACTACGATGATGTGGTAGATCAGATCAAGAAGGCCGCTTCACCCATGAAGGGCACGCCTCCACCACCTTCAGAAAAGAAGCCTGTCGCAAAGAAGCCGCACTTGTCGGACTACCATCGCTTTTTCCTCCCTTTCCAACTACCGCAACACAGCACTATGGCCCCATTGCCCGAATTCTCAGAAGCCGCACAAGAGGCGTTCGATCGCGAGATCCAAACCCCTTCTCTTCAGGAGCAGTACGATCTTGGAATTGTAGCATCCTACCGAGGATGGGCTGACATTGAGCACTACTTCGCGCGCCACCGTAATATCAAGCGTGGCATCCAATATCCGAGGACGCGGAGACTAGTGGATGTAATCCACGGCACCTCGAAGCAGCCAATCGATTTGACGAACAAAGAGACTGCCGAGCATTCTCTGCATCTACTCCGCGAGCTGCCAATCCGACTAATCCAATTCGAGGAGGACGTACGGCCAGCCTATTGCGGTACTTACACCAAGATCGATACATCCAAATTGAAGCAAAAGGTCAGCCGGAATCCTTTCACCAAGGCGCGTCAAGACACCGACTATGAATACGAGTCCGAGGCCGAATGGGAGCCACCTGAGGAAGGTGATGAAGACGTTCTGTGTGACGAGGAAGACGAAGCGGACAGCCAAGCCGATGCGGATGATGAAGGCTTCCTCGATGACGAGGACGACGATGGAAAGAATAAGCGAAAAATCATCACGGGCGAACTGATCCCAACCAGCACGGGCTTGTGTTGGGCTGGTCATGCAGGACGCATTACCATTGTAGATGGGTCAGAAGTCGACAAGCAGCCGGAGGAGCTGCAAGGGATGCGGATGGGTATATTGCTTCCAGGACTCACCGACCTTGCGATTGATCCGTTCTCCACAAGCTACTGGCAGGTCACCATTTCTCAAGCGCCAGCGGCAGCTGCTGGCGACAGGATTACCTGCTCAAGTGCGATGGCACCTCCGCGTCCGCCACTTGGACCTCGTCCTAACGCAAATGGATCTTCGCAGCCAACGCTTATTGGAGCGGCTGAGGGTATGAAGGGACCCATCACCACTGCTGGTGCTGCCCCTCCCGCTAAGCGCGGCCCAAAGCCAGCTCCCAAGACCTTGAGCAAAGAGGACATGGACGAGTTCAAGAATGCGGTGATCGGCAGTGATGTAGGCAAGCTTGAGCTGCAGAAGAGTCTGAAGGCGAGGTGAGTATCTCGTGGACACTCCAGATTGATACAGCTAATCAGTTATGACAGATTCCCCAAGATGACCAACGAGGTCATCAAGGAGACGTTGAGCTTGCATTTTGCACAAGTTGGCAAGACGAAGGCAGACAAGCGTTGGAAGTTCGTTACCGACGCGTGAGCTGTACCAATTACTTGGACTGTTGGACGATGACATCTTTACCATTTACGAACTTAGAAATTTGCAGCGCGCAAGGAGCGGCATAATCCAGATGGCTGTACAGCGTCATCATGTCAAGCCTAGCACAGATGCTTGGCCGGATAGAGGAATTGAAAGAGGGATGCCAATCACGACAATGTAGCCATGATTGCACTGAGCAGGTTCGCATACCATATCTCATGGTCTACCAGTTAATGAATACATTCTAAGCAGCTGCTGCGACCTGCTGGGTCTGGTCGCTGTCCTTGCTACGAAATTGCACCTTTGCTCGTAATTTCCGATAGTCCTCCTGCTTTTACAGGCACATACTTCACGGGATGAGCGGCATCCGTACAATAAGCCGGTAGACATTCGACCTCATACCGATCCCTCAGCACCGCCATACAGTGAAGTTCTTCATTGGCGGGATGGAGCTGTGTGTCCTGGCCGATAGCTCCATTCATCAGTGATCATGGCACGGCTATGTAGGATACTGGGTCATCGCCGGCATCAACACCACAGCTCAGACATTTATTAATCTACCATTTTAGATCACCTTCGTGACGATTATCTGCACCCTGTTCGGCTTGCAAGGCTGGGCCCCCGGAGGGCCACAGCAAACCGCAGCTCCCTCTCCTGCGCATCCACCATGGCCTTCCAATCCATCACCGGCTCCCTAGTCTCCTGCTGCACACGCCAAAAGCGACTGCGCCCGCTACGCCGCCCGCTCCCCCAATTCCGCCCTCTCCAATCCGTCTCACGGCCGTCTGCGGCCTCCTCCTAACCTATGACATGACTAATCTTTCCATGGCTTCTCCGCCGCCGGGGCAGTGTTTTGATTTCTATATTCTGTCCTCCCGGTCGAGAAGCAGACGGGCAATTCGCCGTTCGTGATGGCGGAGCATGTGCAGAGGCTGCAAGGAATCGAAAGCGATAGGCATGGCGAGGTAGACGCCGAAGCAGTCGACATCGAAGCCGCAAAGCTAAGCCGAAGCGTCAAATCAAATGAAAACGATATCCACTCATTGCATTTGCGATAGCACTCTATATCCCATTATCTACACACAATAAACCGTGTTTTTTCATCTCCCGTCTTACTCATCCAACACACTGGCAAACTTCTCGTTCATCCTCTGCATCAAGTCCTCATACTTCTTCGTGATGGCCTCCTCTCCCTCGGTTGGCACCTCGAACTTCATACTCCTCAATTCGTTCTGAATGTCAGACGTCGCCTCCCGCACCTTGCTCCAGTTTTGTCCTTGTGAGATAGCCTTCTGACTCTCATCGTGGAAAGTCATCATAGCCTTCATCATCCACGCAGTCTTCCACAGAGGACAGAACTGATCGTAGTCACTGTACCCATTCTGTTGCAAGAAATCCTCCTTGATCAGAGTGGCGACGTCAAGGGTGATCTTGTCGCCATCGCCAAGCGCGGACTTTCCGACGAGTTGCACGACTTGATCGAGATCTTCGGATGTGGAAAGAAGTTCTCGGATGCGGTTGGCGAACTGAGGGAATTCGGGGTTGTGTTCGCCGTAGTAGTTTTGCAACACGTTGGTGTATTTCGAGTATGAGGCAGAGGTGTTGATGGATGGGAAGTGCTTCCGCTGTGCGAGCTTCTTGTCCAAGCCCCAGAATACCTGCACGATGTTCAGAGTCGAAGAAGTGACGGGGTCTGAGAAGTCTCCGCCTGGAGGCGAGACGGCACCGACGATACTGATACTGCCCTTGCGGTCTGGAGAACCAAGCGAAGTGACCTTTCCAGCACGCTCGTAGAAAGAGGCCAACTTGGCACCGAGGTAGGCGGGGAAACCTTGGTCAGCAGGCATCTCTCCGAGACGACCAGAGATCTCACGAAGAGCCTCAGCCCAGCGGGAGGTGGAGTCAGCCATCATGGCAACATTCTTGCCCTGATCACGGAAGTACTCAGAGATCGTGATTCCAGTGTAGATGGAAGCCTCACGAGCAGCGACGGGCATGTTGGATGTGTTGGCGATCAAGCAAGTACGTTTCATGATTGGTTCTTGGCGGCCGTCGAATTCGATGGTGAGCTACGAAACTGTTAGCACGGGGATTGCTCTCGTTGGCACAGGACTGCTGGTTACCTCGGGGAAGTCCATCAAGACTTCAGCCATTTCGTTTCCTCGTTCGCCACAGCCCACGTAAACAATCAGATCACTGTTGGAGAACTTGGACACAGACTGAGAAATGACAGTCTTGCCGCATCCGAAGGCGCCAGGAATGCAGACGGTACCGCCCTGCACACCGGGAAAGAGGGCATCCAGTACTCTCTGTCCGACGATGAATGGATCGCCAGAGCTCAGCTTGTCCGTAGTAGGTCTCGGCACACGAACAGGCCACTCGTGCATCATGCTGTATTCATACTTCTTGCCCTCAAACTCCACCTCCAAGATCTTCTGGTCAACAGTGTACTCGCCCTTCTCTGGGTACTTGGTGATGGTTCCTCGTGCGCGCGGAGGCAGCATGATCTTGTGATCACTGAGCAAGCTGTTCTCCTCGACAACACCAAAGACGTCTCCTCCAGTAATGTGGTCGCCCTTCTTGAACTTGTCGCTAGGTGTAAACCTCCACTTCTTTGTGCGGTCGAGAGCAGGTACGGCGATACCCCTGGGGATGTAGATACTCTCAGACTTGTCGAAGATGCCCTTGAGCGGTCTCTGGATTCCGTCGTAGATGGTCTCCATCAGACCAGGACCCAGCTCGACAGACAGAGGCTTCCCACTTCGGTAGACTGGGTCACCGACTGTGACGCCGGCAGTCTCCTCGTAGACCTGGATAGTGGCCTTGTCGGCATCGATACGGATAACTTCTCCAACCAGCTGATCGTAGCCGACTTTGCAGAGCTCGTACATGGCACATCCGGTCATGTTCTGGGCGACAATAACGGGACCCGAGACAGAGAAGATGTTTCCCTGCTGCGACTCCTCATCTTGGCCGCTCTGCTGCTGTTTCTTGGGAGGCATCGTGTCTGTTGTTTCCGGTGGTGTTTCCTCACGAAGCTCTTCCTGTTTCGCCGCAATAGGTTGTATATCCGCCTCTTCTGCTGGATCGGCTGAAGAGAAGGTGGAGAATGACAGTGGCGAGGGCCGAAGGAGCTCTGGACTGTCGGGTAGTGCAACGCTGACCTCTGGTGGTGTGAATGGGCGAGGATGGGGGTGTGTGGTGGTGGTGGTGATGTCGGTGTTGTGAAGCTCGAGCGAGGCGGGAGGCTCGCTTTTGGCAGGGTCGCTAGAGGAAGCACTGTCCCTGTTATGGCTGTTTTGAGCTTGGATGAGGTCGAGGAGCGAGGGGCGGGCCTTGAGGGTGGGACGTGGGCGCAGGCCTAGCATACAAAGGCTTGCATTTGCAGTGTCTCCTGCGTGAAATGCGTGTGACGCGATGCGTACGGTACAAGTTGATCCCATCCGATCAGGCAGCTTCCTTGTCCTTGCTGCAGCCAGCTTCAAGCTTGGCAGATGACGCCGCTGCGAGCTCCGTCAACCGCCCAAGCCAAAAGCCGCACGCCTGCGCCAGACAATTGAGAAGAAGACGTTCTATGACAGGAGACTGACTTACAATGTCAATTGAAGCTACATGTATCTATCTATCGTACAGCGTCTTTGCGCTTTCTCTCTTTCCTCAACATGGCAAGACACACCACCGAGCCTTCCAAACAGACATCGATCCTTCTCCAACACCCAGCAAAAGCCGAGAAACTGACGAAAGAAAAAGAAAAGCACCCCGCGAAGGATGGCCAGCAAAAATTACGCCGCTGACGGCCCCGAAGGGAAGCCACCGAAGCCCAGTCTCCGCGCTGTGCAATGCAGGACAGACTCAGCCCTCACCGATTCACGAGCTGGATTGGGGCGACAAGGCTATGAGAAAGATTAGAAACCGAAAAGCGAAAGGCGCCGAAGCGTAGGGGTGGTTTGGGGTGTACTCACTAAGTATGAAGAAGAAAGAGGGCAGGAGTTGGAGCAGCAAAGCTCGAAGGTCAATGTTTCTGGGGCGTGGTCCGTGCCGCGGGCTGTGCCGCGCTTCGGGTTAGCCCGCTCAAGACACGTGACACATGACTCGCGACGCTGTGGCCTCAGGCCCCGTCCGAAGTCTTCGAGGGTGACGGGACGACAATTTGCACGTGAAGAAGACCAAACGTGCCACGCTAATCATTGCATTTAGCACTACAGGTTACATCTTACCCATTGTGATAGTCTCCCAATCCCTTCCCTCCCGTCTACACTTTCTTTTCCTACGGGTATATTCCTCATCTCATAACTTGTTGCAAGACTCAAAGGAACATAAACTCATCACCCTTGATTCCGCATCCCCTCGCCCGTCCCATGTGATTGTGTCATCACGAAAATAAGTAGTGTTACAGGCAGAGCACTCAAGGCCCGCTTTCATGCTCTCCGTCTCATGTTCTTCGCACTCTATCGCCACAGGTCGTGTCTGCTACCTCTTCGGTTGTGCGTTGAATCTCCTCCAATGCTGGGCGGCGGCCGCAGGAAGGTGCTGTGGTCGGTGCTGTTGCTGTTGCTCGTGTGTGCACTTCCAAAGCTGCTCCAGCGAGCGTTACTTGCGCCACCATCCGAGGTCATTGGTCGCGGCACTTCCTCCTGCGGAACAGCAAGGAAGCCACCAAAGCCGTTGCCCACGATGACAGATTTGCGCGCTTCACCACCAAAGCCACCTTGTGCCCACTGCGGTCCAAGTCCACGTGAGGCGCTGTACGCGCTGAGTGGTCGACCTCCTGACACGATGCTGCTACGGTTGTCTCTGCCACCCAGATTTGGCGAAATCGCCGTGAAGACCCATTCCAATTCATCAATACCCTTCGCGAACACCTCCAGAGTCTGATTGAAGCCGCCGCCCGGTGGTGCCCGTGGTCCTGACGAGAGGGTGCTGAGGTTGCTGGGCTTGCTCCTCAACGAACCACGCTCTGAGCCATTGGCTGCGAAGGGCGCCGAGAAGGGTGGGAGGATAAGCAGCTCCGGGAAACTCGGTTCACGGACGAATAGTGTGGTCAAGGCAGGTAATGCATTCTGGTGGAGTGATGAAGCCAAATACGAGTAGTATGACTCTGCAGGCTTCTGCAGACCCTGGACTTCCTCGCTACTCGTGACCTCAAAGTGTAGAGTCTTCAACGAGATCGAAGCAAGCGGAGCCACTTGCTGTGCTGCTAAAGAAAGGGATCTGGTGACAGTTTCAACAATCGACAGGTGCTGAATGGAGCTAGCATTCCAAAGTACTGTCGATAAGTCCTGGACAGTCACACCAGTCGCTTCCAAGCTCAGCGAGTACAGCACTTCGCGAACGTGGGGTGCGTGCAGCCAGGTGTTCAGTCCCTGGGCTGTTACTCCAGGTAGATTCTTCAACTTGAGCATCTGTAATGGCGGAAAGTCAGGAAGTTGACCAGGTGCTGGCTGGAATATCGTATCGTCCATCCATGGCATATCTGAGAGCGTCAATTCGTGAAGAGTCGGTAAACTGCCAAGCACTATCCTCAGCGTCGCCGGCTCCACCGAGAGGCCAGATAGGTCCAACATCTCAATGGCCTGCCAGTGTCTCTGTGCTAGCAATTCTAGCGCGTCCTCGGATCCGCTCCTGTAAATCATCTTCCGAATATCCGGGCACTGGACCTGTAGTTCCTGTCTCAAAGCCATGCAGCTCGGATCTCCAGTATAAAATCCATCCGGAAGGTCCACGTATCTCAAATTGGGGAGTGCGGCCACTGTACGCGCCAACTCGGCTTTGGCCGTCTCTCGTGTCATGAAAGGCAGCTTCAGAAAGAGCGTCTGCGCTGCCAGGTTCGGCTGCTCCCTCACTGTCCTGCACAGCAATGACAATCTGATGTTCGGCACCTCCACAGGCTCCACATTGCTCTTGTTCCTGAAATGTTTGTTCTTCTTCCTCCGCTGCTCGCCCAGTATCTCTTCCAACTCGCAGTAGTGCACCGCATCTATGCGCACGCTTCCGTACAGCATCGATTGGGCGGTCGCGTACCACTTCCTGCACGTCTGCGCCGACTTGGCGAGATCACGCAGGTCGCAGAGCATGCACCCATCGCCGATCTGCGAGTCCTCGCATGTTTCGTAGGAGACGTCTTGCGTGTGCGGACAGACGTAGGAGAAGATGTTCTCGAGGACTTTCTCGGGCAGTCGCTGTGTGTGGTCAGGTCCTGCGCGTCCGTACCGCGACGTGGATTGAAACGGCTGGCTTCTGGTGGGTTGCGGGCTGTTCTCCTTCAATCGCGACTTGGAGCGGAAGTGCTTTAGTAAGCCCATCACTGTAGGGGTATGCGGAGATGATCGGAATGAAGTTCAACGGCGGTGGTTCTGTGTTGTCGCGTCTGCAATAGAGTCAGATGCTTGTCAATTGCACGAGACCGCAATTGGGGTCGCGTGAGAATGCGATCCTGGGCGGTTGAAAGAAGAAGGCAACGGCGGCAAGCAAATGGCAATGGATGTCGGATGTCGTTCGGTGACCGTCAGCGTAACCCCCTAAGGAATGTAGCTCAACAGGAGGGTCCGCCGGCGGGGAGACAAGTTTCCGTACCTGTTTCAGACGCGAAGATTAGAGCCGAGCTAAACGCATGAAACCGAGACACACGAGCAAAACGTTTAAAGCCGCCCGGCCTGCGCCTGCCTCTTCGTCATGTCCCCATACTCTGATGCCGAAACACTCCACTCGCCAAGCTCTCCAAGCCGCCTGGCTGTGCATTGCTTGGTGTAGGACAAGCGCGCGTGACATGCTACTATTTGGTATCCGGAGTCGGATATCTCGGCGGTTACACTTCAGCCTGCGATCAATACCCGGGATGGTCATTCCGGTCTACAGCATCTCTGCGCATGGCAAGGCTATGTTCTCCGAGCATCCTAGCGGTGACATGGGTAACGGCCAGTCGGAGAGCAGCGAATTAGCTGTAATGTCCGCCGAGATAACTTTCCCATGCGATCAATGCTGTACCACGACTTCGGTGCGAATCTGCGTCAGATGTAGATGGATTGAAGCATCTCGAGGCTTGCGACAAAACGAGCCCACACATGGATGTGGAAGGGGGGCAGAGGCCCAATGACAATTATCTCAGACTATAGAGGTCTTCTGAAAGACGCTGTCTCGTCGAGCTCGCCCTTGGCCTTCTGCAGCACCACGCCACCATCAATGATGCCTTCCAGTCTGTCTTCTCCAGCTCGCCGGCGCCGGAAGATACACCACTAGGGCTTTTGTGTTTGTTACATGGTTCTCGACGAAACACCGTGCTCGCAGGGTATACACGTCCGTAGCAGCTGGCGACTTCTTCACACAGAAGGGAACTCATGACCTCGGGAGAATGAAAGTCTCATCATCAACATCACCACCGTTGCCAGAAATCAGCCCTGCGTATCCTTTAGTACCTACGAAGAAGTGATTGTTCCGGACCACCCACAACAGGTAATCGGCGAAGTCCCTCTGGTTGGAGCCCTGAGGGGACTTCAAACTCAATGTCTGGCGGTTGGGTTCCTGAGTAACTCCGCAGCTTGTTCGCAAGCGAATTGATGCCATGGCTCGAAAGCTCATCCGTCAGCTTTCCTCCACATACAGCTCGCCGGAACACAAAGTCACGATCAGTATCAGTCGCTTCGATGGGGAAGACGATCACCGCTTGCTGATCGAACAAGGCGAACCATCTAAGCATTGAACTGTCTCATCTCGAAGAACACACCTTTCCCCTCAAAGCCATCGCCGAGTTCAATGTAGAAAGCTTTAGTGACGAGAGTTCCAGGTTGAGTTGGCTGTACGGTCCAGGTCAACAATCATTCCGCTCCTGCAGCTCGTCCTGGTAGACTTCTCTCATGGGCAATCCGGCCGCACATCGTGAACGACTTCTGGCAAGAGGCCAAGCACACCATAGGTCTTGTCTGGAGGATCGGCTGCCAAGGAGTATCGAGACCGAGTCAACAGCACTTGAGGGACTCTCAGAAATAATTGGTCTCCAGCTACTGTTGCATGGCTGACAGGTTTCCACCAGGCTGCCATAGCCATTGGCTCAAAGACTGCTGCAGTTTTGTGGATAGATTCGACGCTTCTTTGTCCAGCTAGAAGGCTTGAGCGCATCTTCAAGAGCGGGAGGGGGTCCACGCCTGGATCCTTCAAAACAGAAAGCGGGTCGTTCCAATGTACAACGACATTACTCGTAAACGAAACCTCCTACAAGTTCCAGGTTCGTCGCCAATTTTCATTGCGAATGCTCTGCTCAAAACCAGTCACATCTGGTCGATCGAGAACGTAGTGCTTCTTCAAAGAGCAGTTGGCTTTGTGGCGTCTAGACCTCATGGAACGGTTTTCGGTGTTGGTGTTGCCCATGAGGAAGGTTTATACGGCGGACCATTGCGAGTTTGGCCAAGAATGCCGTATCCCCGCTTTCGCTCCTTCTCGACCTCACCGTCAACATCTCCTCGGTATATACATCTAGTCTTCGCCTGCTGCGTCACGTCTCGGATGGTACTGTGAGCTGATGTCAGGCGCGTCTGGACGAAAAGCATGGCACGCTCTCGTCACCACACATCATATCACCTCTCGCAAGAAAGTCGCCAAACTCAGGCAAGCTGCTCATGTTGAGAGTGTTTATGCTCTTCTTCGGAGCGGCGGCAGCCCCGGCATAATGTATGTTGAAGGCCCAAAGGTCAATGTCGAGAATTGGCTGGCCACGGTCAAGGTTTGCATCCCCAAAAATGACAGGCTCGGCACGAGCTGACCTGGAGAGCAGCGACTTCGATACAAGGACTTTCAGCTGGCAGGCCGACCAACGAGGATCCAGGCGCACTTTGAGGAGAGTGATGACGGCCCTGAACAGACCGGTCTCTACGAAACGGGGTCTGTCAAGGACTTTGCGTCAAACATGGACAAGCGCGGCGTCCTTGCCTGGTGGCGGATGGCAATGGGCTATAAAGATCGACTTTGAGTTCCGTATCTGATGTCTCGCGGCATGGCTCCATCGTCGTACCATTGTAGAATCATATCTGGAGGCTGGTGGGGGGTGTCAATTCTCCAGAAGCCACCTGCCACATCACGGGAAGCGAGCTAGACCAATTGTCTAGTGGCACTGTCGACAACGAGGTCAGATCGAAGAGCCTTGACTGAAACTAGTGCTCGTCGCTGCGCAGACCAAAGACTGAGGTCCTGACTTCTTTGCCTCAACCGGAAATGAAAATGTCCAGAGCTGGACCGAGTCGCTAGCCTCGGATCCGAATTCGTCTTTTGTGGAAGGAACTCGACTGGCTGTTCTCGAGACAAAAATCAATGGGACCACTATTCCGAGAGGAGCGTTCTCCTACCTGCTGATAAATGTCAAACCTATCCTCTGACACGTAACAATATTGGAATACCCCATCGGAGACGACTCGAACGCCTGCGGTCCAAAAAGAAAATCAAAGGACATGTTGAACAAGCCGTCGAATCTAGACCGGACAAGAGCAAAAAGATTAGCATCTATCAGTTTCGATCTGATGTCCTCCGGGTTATGAGCCCGGCGCGCTTCCACTGCGCCAAGATGCTTTTTTTTGTTTGTTCATTCAATTGGTTGATTGATGAGTAAGGGTGAAAGTATTTGCATTATATCCCTTTCAAAATTTTCGAGCTGAATGACTCACGCCAGGTCGGCCCGCTTTGTCTATCCTCTGAGCTTTCAAGGACATTCGATTGGAGCAAAACAGAGTCTTCAGTAAGTATCGTTTCTTTCACCAAACAACACTGCTGTTACCTCCCTTGAATATTGCACTTCACCTTCCATCTCTTCAGGTAGGGCTGAACGCTAGCCTGAAGCTAAGGCACAAAACCACCATCTCTACAGATCTCTACCAGACATCTTCCACTTCCCATGGGATTCCAAGTTTCAATAACAGGTGCATGTATGGCACACGACACGTCGTGCAACATCCCAAGAAGCTCTACAATTTCGATATCTGATTGGCTGCAAGCTTTGAAAGCTGGGAGAGCTTCCGATGTCATCACCGTTATGGACTTTTTCTGCTCTTACAACACATGCATGCCTGTAAAATCGCATGGCTGAAGTAATCTACAAGAATTGAAATGCTGCTGGGTACCCCGTGATCGTGACGCCGGCGAGTGTTGAGACATCGGAACATGACGGCGACGGCGTTCCGTAGCAGCGCACGGTCCTCCGCTATCTGCCAAGCATCCAGCGTCCAGCCGAACCTCTGATGGATGTCTCCTTGACAGTGGAAGGCTTTTACTACCACCACCCGCCGTGCACCACCGCTACCACCCCATCTCCGCTCCACAACTCCAATGTCATCCGCCGTCCTGGCTCGCGTCGCGCGGGCGAGCCTGTTCACCTCCCAGGCCTGCCGTCTGCGACCGGTGCGCGCCCTCCCAATCGCTCCGTTCAAGACCGCAACAGCCGCCTTCTCGAGCGCCGGCAGGAGGCTTGCAGAGGATGCACACGATCCTCACCACGAGGAGAGCTTTGAGGAGTTCACTGCCAGGTATGCCAAGCAAGACATGGTCCTCCCCGGCCCTCAATCGCTCGCCGTAGCAACAACCACCTCAAACTGCCTCAGACTTGCCGATCACTCTCCGAACAACCTCATGCGCTTCCAGACTTGACCTTCGCGGCTGACATGCGCACTCATGCAGATACGAGAAGGAGTTCGAGCAAGTCCAGGACGTCTTCGAGCTCCAGCGTAACCTCAACAACGCCTTTGCCTACGATCTTGTGCCCTCGCCATCGGTCATTATCGCGGCGCTGAAGGCCGCTCGGAGAGTCAACGACTTCCCAACTGCAGTCAGAATATTTGAGGGTACGATCACACAGCCCATAATACGACTCTCGGTATGACGTGACGCAACTGACCCACCGCAGGAATCAAGGCGAAGGTGGAGAACAAGGGCCAATACGACGAGTACTTGCAAGAGCTGCAGGGCATCCGGGAAGAGCTGGGCGTGAATCTTAAGGAGAACTTGTACCCGGAGAGCTCGTAAGAAGAGCGCGACAACTTTATGCATGTGATAGAGCGAACGAAGCAACGGAGTTGAGCGGGCCCAGCGGAGAGGCTGGCTTGAGAAAAGGCGAGCAGGAGAGAATATCAAGGGCACGCATGCGGTGGAAGTGTCTCTTCTTGTGCTATAGCCTCACTCATCAGCATAACTGTACAGACATCCTACCTCTGCTGACTGTTTCCTGCTTTCTCATTGGATCGCGACCCTAATCTTGCGTCCAGGACGTCTAAGCGGTTCCAAATTCATTTCTGGACTTTGGCCTCACCACAGTTCGAGAGGACGAGCAAGAAGCAACCAGATACTTCGCAGCAAGGTGCCTGTTTGCTCGATCTAGGACAATCGCGATGGCATCTCCCGGACCTTCAAACAAATACAGCTACTCCAGAGTTCGTCTGCTATTCCTTAACAAATTTCAGAAACCATAGCATCCGATACAACATGGAAATCTGTACGATCATGGCCATAACAAACTTAGCGCTACTTGTAGTCCTGCACATCAGACAACGCCGACTTGAGGACCATTTTCGATACATCTGGCCGGCTTTTCAACTGGAGAAGAACGAAAGGAAACGGATGAAGCGTTATTTATTGAAATTGCAGGGCTGTGACTTGGATGCCCAGCGTGGGAGGGTGAAGACAAGGATTTCGAATGAGGCAATTGCCGCGCGATCAGAATTGGAGTAGAGATCATCGGGCCGGGTCTCGCAACCCGTGTTTGGAAGAGAAGCAAATTGAATGGGGAGTCAGAGGGAGGCAAGCGGTTCGACAAGCGAGACTTCTGCAGGTGGTTTTAAAGTCTATCCACTCTTCTCCTATTCCTCATCCCGTTCACCTCCTACCATGGAACTCACCCCCGCCACGGAAATCACATCACTCGCCGTATCGGTTTTGTACTCCATTTCACTCGCTATCCATATCCTGGCTTTCTTCTTCCCCGGCCGTTGTTCACAACCTGGATCCAGGCGACAGCCAACCTTCGACCAACGCTTGGCTGGGGCTTATGAGCACGGGCTGAAGAATGGTATGGGATGTGCCAATGAAAATCTTTGGAATGTTGGCTACGAGCAGGGTGTGGCGCATGGGAGAGAAGAAGTCGTTAGGGAGACTTATCAAAGAGGCTGCAGAGATGCGATGGAGTCATTGACGGGGTATGTCAGGCTGTTGGAGACGGAATTGGATTTGGCGAGATTTCGGCGGTGGAATGATGGTGAGGAGTTATGAGTGTTGTTTGCTCTTCATATGGTATGAGGAATATTGCATCCGCATGGAGAGAGATCTGAGAACTGGCGATGGGATCTCCAGCAAGATTGCTAGGATAGTGTGCATGTAGAGACGGATCTGGACGATCATCGGCGTATAAGAATCTGCGTTTCCTATCCACATAGCTTCGAGTACATCATCACAAACCAAATTTACCAAATGCTGAACGACATGATCTCCGGGATTTCTCTGACGTGGATAATGCTGGGTTTCCTTGATGGCTTTGTGAGCGCTCTCTGGCTTGGGATCGCCACAACGCAATGCACAATTAATGTGCAAGAGAACCTTCCCTCCCAGAACACGGCTCGGCTAATCAATGATGACCGTTATGGCATGAAGTTTCTCCCTAGAGCACGGCCGCGGCTGCCTGAACAGAGCATGGGTGCTAGCTGCCTGCGAGATGGTGGTGGAGAAGAGGAGACTTGGAGCAGACGTGACTTGGAGGATGATATATATGGTGGAGATAATGGGATCGAGGATAGTTTCCACGAGGAAGAAGAGGAGTCACAAGCAGACGAGCAGCTAAGGAAGGATAACGAACCTCCTTCACCTCGTCAACTGACATTGGAGGAATTTGTCGTACCACGGCAGAAGCAGAATGAAGATAGGGGAAAGCAGAAGCATGAAGAAGCAGGTGAGAAGCGGGAGTAGCTTTTGTATGTTATGTAGGAAACGATTTGACAAATGAGAACTCAATGGCGAAGAACTGAAGAGCTGTGAGCATCGGTTTCGTAAGTGGAGTAATGTATTTCGTCTCAAAGATCCTCGGAGTAGGCCACTCAAGATCCTATGACCAACATTGTCGCCTTAGCATCGCCACGATTCTGGCCTCGACCACAAGAGTTTCTCCTCATTAGGGAGAATAAGATGGCCAAAGAAAGGCCATGTGCCCACGGCGCGCGAGACACCTGGAGACCGGGAGAAGCGAGACTCGTTGCAACTGAAAGAAGACGAGGAAGATGAAGATGAGTATTGGGGTCGCGTTGTTAGTTGAGTCGGACGATCAAGGAATGTTACTTTCGACTGTTCAATGACTGCGCCAGAAGATGAACGTCAATTTTTCGTTGATATTGTATGACTTCATACGGCGGACAGCCTTCGATAGGAGAGAGAAGCAATGATGACATTGATGTGATCTTGCTTTAGGTGTGGTCCTGCCCATCAAATTCGCATATCGATGCCCACGAATTGATGCAGTGAAGAGAAAGTGCTCAAGCAAGAGGTGAAGTCCAGCTTTTGTGCCTGAGGCAGCAATAAGGACCCTGCGGCTTGCCGTATGGAACTCGCGGGGTTTCGATATTCCTCAAGACACCACGATTAACCTAACTACACCACCTCTCCAACCTTCTGTTGCCACATTGCGAGTCCTCCTCAAGACCTGAAATACTCAGGAGGCAGACTCGCAATCATGGTCCTCCAAGATCTGGGCCGACGCATCAACGCCGCCGTCACCGACATCACACGTGCCCAGACGCTCGACGAGAAGGCCTTCGATGGCATGATCAAGGAGATCTCCAACGCTCTCGTGGAAGCCGACGTCAACATCAAACTCGTATCATCTCTCCGGAAATCCATAAAATCCTCCGTGAAATTCCAGGACCTCCCGCCACACGCGAACAAGAAGCGCATAATTCAAAAGGCCGTCTTCGATGCGCTGGTCGATATCGTAAACCCCCACCAAACGCCGTATAACCCAAAGAAAGGAAAGAGCAATGTGATCATGTTTGTGGGTCTTCAAGGTGCGGGAAAGACGACAACATGTACCAAGTTGGCGAGGTGGTATCAGGCTAGAGGGTTCAAGACGTGCTTAGTGTGCGCGGATACCTTCAGAGCTGGTGCTTTTGACCAGCTGAAGCAGAATGCGACTAAGGCCAAGATTCCCTACTATGGCTCGCTTACACAGACAGACCCTGTGGTGGTAGCAAGAGATGGTGTAGAGAAGTTCAAAAAGGAGCGCTTTGAGATTATTATTGTGGATACCTCTGGTCGACATCACCAAGAAGACGCCCTTTTCGCGGAAATGGTGGAGATTCAGGGCGCAGTACAACCGCATCAGACGATCATGGTTCTGGACGCATCAATAGGTCAAGCAGCAGAGGCTCAAAGTAGAGCATTCAAGGAGACGGCAGACTTTGGAGCAATCATTATCACCAAGACGGACGGTGCGGCAGCCGGAGGAGGTGCGATATCCGCGGTAGCAGCAACACATACACCGATCGTTTTTATCGGAACGGGAGAGCATCTATTGGATCTGGAGAAGTTCAACCCGGAATCGTTCGTATCGAAAATGCTCGGATTTGGTGATATGCAAGGCCTCATGGAGCACGTGCAATCACTCAAGCTGGACAACAAGGAGACCATGAAGAACATTACGGAAGGAAAGTTCTCTGTCCGGGATATGCGAGACCAGCTACAGAACATCATGAAGATGGGCCCCTTGTCAAAGATGGCTGGCATGATCCCTGGCTTGAGCGGCATGATGGGCGGTATGGATGACGAAGAAGGAAGCATGAAGCTCAAACGTATGATCTACATCTGCGACAGCATGACACAAAAGGAGCTTGATTCAGATGGCAAGATGTTCGTCGACCAACCTACACGTATCACCCGGGTAGCAAGAGGCTCAGGTACATCGGTCCGCGAGGTGGAAGAACTCCTTTCACAACAGAAGATGATGGCCAACATGGCTAAGAAGATGGGCAAGAATATGGGCAACATGCAGAAGGCTCAGGCTGCCATGGGCGGAGGCAACAAGCAACAACAGATGGCCAACTTGCAGAAGCGTCTCCAGAGTATGGGCGGTGGCGCAGGTGGTATGGGAGGCGGAGGCATGCCCGATCTTAGCAGTCTGATGAAGGCCATGGGTGGAGGTGGAGGCGGGATGCCTAATCTGGGCGGCATGGACATTGGAAAGATGATGGAAATGATGGGCGGCGGAAAGAGATGATCTCTAGCATCGCTCAGGTGGAAGCGCCTCTCGAGATTTGGCATAGCGATGGAGTTTAAGATGCGCCATAACTGGAGCTTTGAGAATGATCGCGCCACGGAGCGTGAGCGAAGCAACATGGCAGGTATGAGAAGACCTATGCGAATGCGAAATGACATGAAGAAGGACGACTCTTGAATCGATCTTGGCAGCACAAGTGGACGAGATGTTGCTTCGAAGATCAGCAGGCAGCTCTCAGCTGTATAGCAGCTGTAGATGATGGAAGACCTCGGCCACTCGCGAACGGGAGGATGATTAGGGTTTGGGCGGCACATTAGTGCTCCTCACACCTCACGATGTACTTACTGTAGGCATCCACATAACAATTAATAGCTTCCAATGCCACGAGACAATTAGACGTCAGGACGGCAAGCAAAAAGAAATTTGGAATCCACTGAGGCAGCGAAGCTCTTTCATAACTCCCCATCTGGACTTCTCCATCCCCGGTATCCACCCAAGTCGTGTCGTCAACGGGAGGCGATATCACCCCTTCTCACCAACCTGCCACCTGGACAGCGTAATCCAACAATGAAAGAACCCCTCTCCAAGCAAATCTCCAGCTGCTGCTGTTTCTGCTGCGGCAAGAGACGCCCACAGCAAGAACCACCACCAAAGGACGAAGAAGAAGAATACGCTTTCCAGGAATTTGAACACCAGCCTTCGTCTTCCATCGCTCAAATAGCCATCAACACCGCACTACGCTATCCGTCGTCAAACCGTGATTCCCGTGAAGAAGAACCCCCGGCACAGAGTCAATACGCGAGGAGGGAGGGGGACGAAATTCGTCGTAGTCTGCAGCCGCCGCCACCGGATTACGATACCGCGATGAAAGCCGCTGGACATCGCGATCTGGCGAGTATTGCTACTATTGCACCGCAGCCTACCGAGAGACCTAGACCTAGACCTAGACCCGGGACAGCGGAGTTGGAGAGTCGCGTACAATCGCATGTTGGAGATGCGAAGAGGGGAGTCTCTAGACAGGAGGAAGGAGGAGAAGGAGAAGAAGAAGAACTGAGTGAGCCGGAAGATATCGATCGTCATAGTGTTCGGTCTCTTGATTCGGATACCACGGATTTGGGACCGGGGATCTTGACGCCGCCGTCGGAAGATGAACGTCATGCGAGCATGGTGAGTGAGTAGAAAGTCATAGCCTGCCTTGTTTGGATATCGGCAGCTTGGTCTGTCTGGATGGAAGCTAATTTGAACCTTCGTCGCCACAGATGCGAAGCGTACGGCGCGATTTGAACGGAAGCTGAGGCGTATCAGGACAGACAGGAGCGAGGGAAACGGCGTGAGAACCAATTCGACGGAAACACATCATACCGGCAGGAAGAATCATCGTCACCAGCCCCTTCGTTGAAGAATAATGAACGAGTGCTAATCACCTTTCTGAACCCCGAAAACCGCTATGCACCATAAAACTCCCCGCCTTACCATCTTATCATCCATTTCTCAACGGATGCAAGCCACCTCTCGGCCTCAGCTCTCCCGCACTAGGGCTTGTCTGTCTACTACCACGACCGCCTTTGTGGACGGGAGAGCCGAGCCGCGGACTCCGCGGGACAGAAGACTGTCTCGTTGCGATCCGACCACGACCAGCCTGCTCCCGCTGAAGTCGCTCGTCCATCTGCTTGAGGTCATCTTCGCGATTCTTGAGCAGACCCTTCAATTTCTTGTTTTCCCGCTCCAGAGCCTTATGCTTCATGTCCTGGCTCATCTGCAAAGCACGCGCCTGTTCGCCGCTGGCTTGCTTTTCAGCGCGTACCAGGCGGCCTTCCAAGTCGGTATTCTGCTCCGCCAGGTCACGAGCCTGGGATGAGGAGTCTTGGTACATCTTACGTGTCCAATCCAATTCCTTTTCAAGACCAGCGACTTTCTTTTCTGCTTTTTCTTTTTCCACTCGAGCTAGCTGGACTTCCAATCGGAGCCTCTCAAACTCTTGACGTTCAGGGATCGAGATATCAGCAACCCGGGCATTGGCGTCTGCGAGCTGTTCCTTCAGGAGCGTGCGTTCATCACGCAGTGTCGTGTTGTTCATTTCAGTGACGCTCAATCTCTCCAAAGCCGCTTCCGCGCGTGTCATTTCTGAGTCTCTTGCCTGCCTGACTTTGACGAGTTCAGCATGCTGCTCCTCAAACCGGTATTGAACATCCTCAAGAGCTTTCTCGTACTCAGCGAGGAAGCTTCGCGCTTCTTCAAGTGCCTCTGCTTGGGCTTCAGACGGGCCAGACGGTGCGAACACGTCGCCCATTTCAATGTTAGTCTGCGTGCCCTTGCCCATAGAGTCGCTGATGTGAGTAACCTCGATCTCCTGCGGATTAATGGTCCCAGGCATTTCCGCTTCATCAAGACGCGGCCGCTTGGACGCATCTTCGGGCGAACCAACGCCACTTTCAGCGTAAGGTCGCTTTCCTGGGCTTTTGGACCTCGTCCGGGGGAAAGATGCGACTTCTTGCGAGAGCTCAGTCTCAGTCTGACTGTCCAGGTCATCGATCATGCTCAATCCAGTAATGGGCCATTCGGTGTCATCTGTGCGCCGTTGCAAGAAGTCTGCAATGACGGTGGCAGATTTTTCTGGGGAGACCTGTCCGGCTTCGGCCTTACCCGCGATATCCTTCACCCGTCGAGTTGCACTGAGAATGACATGGGCTCGAGCTTTGCGTGACATGCCGGGTGCAAGACATCGCTCTATGTGTTCGACCGTAAAAGGCACAACAAGAGTAAGAAGCGTCGCCCAAGTGAAGGTTTGGGTCATATCGAGGGTCCGTTGTTGACGAGCTGCCCGAATGACAGGGTGACGGTAGTTCACTGAACCGTCCATCGCAATGACAAGGTGTGCACTGTCAATAGACGCGACATCCTGCTCCAGGTCGATGATAGAGACTCGGAGGCCGAGGCTAGAAGCGTGGAAGTCTGCTCGAGCGGAAGGATCTCTATTGTACGGAATACTCGTGCCCCGTAGGAACGTCTCGAGCATGTCGGGCACCTTATAGCCGGCTGCTACCAACGCTAGGTGCATGTTTCGCTCGCTTAACATGCGGAACAACTGGTTCAGAAACCGGAACTTCGCACTCGAGTCCACATCCCATTGCGCCTGGCGCTCAGGAGTGGATACTTGAGACAAGGCATCGTGATTGACCAAGTCCGGGTGCATGGAGATACTGCGCAGGCGCTCGACGACTGTCTCTGCGTCGACAATCTGTTCTTCGGAGGGTTGTTGCTCTTCAAGAAAGCCGTCGATAGCCTTCTTTTGGAAATAGATGTTCTGGAAGTACTGGTCACGTTGATGAGGTCCCAGAACAATAGGTATGCTGTGGACACTTGCCGCCTCAAGATTCTCGCTAGGCTCGTGGGGATGAGGGAATTGCTCGGAAAGCGTCCCCGGGACAGCACGTCGATTGCGCAGTTGGGCTGGGCTAAGCCCATTGCGGCCCTGGGCTTGCGGGATAAGTGTGTCATATCTCTCGGAAGTGTTCATCTCTTCCATCGTAATGGCAGGTTCGGCCTCCATGGCGGGTACAGTCGAAGGAGACCGCCTACTATCCAGCATAGGAGAGCCTTGGCGAGCGGCGGCAACCTCTGCGCTGATATTAGGAGGCAGAGAAGATGCAGGCTGAACTACAACGGCGGGAGTCTTCTGGCGACTGCTAGGAGTTTGAGCATCCTGGTCTGTCATCCACTGTGGCGCCATTTTTTTTCCGCTGCCTCTTATGGGAGTGCGAGGCTTCGAGTCTGTGACAGAGAAAGAATTCTGTGAAGGCGTGGGAATCCTGCCAGGAGCGCTTTCGCCCACGGTGCCGATCGACTGCGACGGGACAGAAGGAAATGGCGACGATTCAGGCGACTTTTGTCCAGGACCAAAGTTCAGCTCACTCCTTTGCACTTTCTCAATAGATCGCACACGAGGGCGAGGTGAAATCTGCGTTTGGAAGCGTAGTGGAGACGGGGTCGCGGGAAGACTCTGCGTCACCAGGTTTTGACGTTGAGCTCTAGGCTGGCTGGAGAAGAAGAAGTTCGGCGATGTTATCGCCTCAGACGCGCTTTGCGCGGGCACTTTCGATGGCGATGGCTGCGAACTTGCTTTGAGAGATTGGAGGATTTGAGCACCCTCGAGAACCGAAGACTCGACCGGTCGCTGGCCAGCGGGAGGCGGTTCGTAGTCGGGCTGCGATAGGAATTGGGTAGATGAAATAGGGGGCGCTGAGCTCTCAACGACGATGCCTTCTGACCCGTTGATAGCAAACGCCAGTGAGGCACCAAGCTCCTCAATCGATTTTTCAGAGGAAGTTGTTGCTGCGCCTTCGGTCTGTGAACGGTCTGTGATTTTCTGCTGTTCTCGATTGAATTGGCTTGCACCTTTGCCGGGCGAGGTCTCCTGATTGCCGCCCTCAGCGGTGATCTCTTCGTCCTCGTTCGCTGCGCGATTTGTCGGGGTATTTTCCCTTGTTGAAGCTCCGGTACTGGGTTTGTCGTCTATCCGCGCAGGTGAATGTCTTGTTGTCTCATCAGCTGCATCAGAAGTCCCATTCACGGTCTCCGTATCACGGGGTTCGCCTTCGAAAGAGTCGTCCGCTTTGGGAAAATCGGTCCGAGGCTGCGTTTGCTGTAAAAAACGCCCGTCTGAGCCTGAACGCACAAAACTCTCTTTTGTTACTGAATGCTGAGATGCAACTTCCGGCTGCGAGGGGTTTTGCTGCTCTTCACGGGTGTACGCTTGTGTCGCTCCACTCGCAGTGCCAGCAGATTGTACGTCTTGGGTTTCAAAGGAATGCTGTGCCGCCTCTTGTTGTTCGCAATCCTGGACCTGCGCTGATGGGTTCTGCTTGGGTTGCAAATCGGGCGAGAACCCCCTGAAACTCGACGATGGATGTGCTTGCTGTTGCTCTGGCCGACTCTGAGACTCCGGCACAAGCTGGCTCGAGCCCACTCCACGATTCTCCTGAGTGCCTTGTGTCTGCGTCTGCCGAACAGAAGCAGAGCTGGGGTCAGAATCTGGGATTTCGCGCCCAGTCTCAGCGGCGAGTGGACCAAACGCCGACGACGGCAGCGGCGAAGGCTCTTCGGCTCCAGAGTTCCGCTGAGAATCGTCGAATCGCTGATAAGCTCCGCGTTGATAACTTGAAGGCGGATCGCTGAGTTGGACGTTGAGTTGCTCAGACCGAGCCCTGGGAGTCTCTTCGGCTTCACTGGATACGAAGAGTGGGCTATCAGGAGCTACGGCACCAAGAGAGGCTGGTTGGGTTTCTGGAATCTCAGGCTCGATCTTCTCGCTCTCCGCTTCGACCCGTCCCTTCGCAGCGCTAGAAGCCTCTTGGGAAGAAGAACTCGGGACGATGTTCCTGCGGCGAGGAGTCGCTGCTCTAGGCGCAGGACTGGATCCTTCTGCAGTCGGATCACGACTTAGAGCTGGGCTCGCAGTGGTGGCAGAAGATCCTCCAGTCTTTCCACGTTTCCGCGCAGGACTCGCTGCTGGGCCAAACGACTTGCGCTTTCTCGCCTTCTTCTGCTCGCGGACTACGCCACGTTAGCAAAGCTGGAAAATCAAAGACACCGTAAAACTTGGAAAGACTCACGCCTTGCTTGCTTTTCTCTCCAGTCTGCGACAGCAGCTTCGTTTGCGTTCGCCTTGGGCTCCCAGGTAGGCTTGTACGACTCGCCGGTAGCTTCGTGGTCTTCCCAGGCGATAAGATAGTATCGCCTGTCTTCTTTCAGGATCTCTTTGATCTTGTATTCTTGCTGCGGGTCGAAGTCTTCTTGCGGTTGAGCTGTTGCTTTGTCGGGTGACTTCCCGGTTCCTGTTTGACACCCCGTCAATACCAAGTTGCTCGATCTTTCGGGCTCTCGGCTCGCGCCGCCCTCATTGGATAGGCATGCAGGGAGCGATTCAGAGGAGATAGATACTTACCGGCACCGCGTGGCTTCTTCGTCTTCGGGGTATTGGGGGTAGGTGTCTCGGTCGCCTTCCGCTTCGCCATTATGCGGCGCTCCGGGCGATCTGAAAACGGTTCGCTGCCATGGCATTCAGTACAAAAAATCTCATTGTCGGAATCCAAAATACAAGTCGTGCGTACACTCGACCGTACAAGATTGTTTGCCGGTGATGTGGATGGAGGTCGAGGAGGCCCAAACTTACGGGAAACTGAGATGTCGCCTTTCGCGCAGCTGATTGGTCACTCGAACTTGGGGCTTGGCGCGTGATGACTGCCGTTCGCAGCAGCGAAATGTGTGTCGTGTTCTTGTAATTGTATGGCGACGGCGAGTGTGTTTCGAGGAGAGAAGATGGATGTGGCGATTGCCTATGGAGTGAGTCGTTTGTCGGTGATGGGAGCTGTCAAATTGCAAGTTGCACGGCGAAGGTGGATACATAGACGGGTAGGTGAATGTAAGCCGTGCGACAAGGATCCAACGCCGCACTAAAGAAGACAATGGACAAGAATGCTCTGGCACAGTCTTTCATATCCCTTCTAATTGATTCGCGGCGAAAAGACAATAAGACAATTGAGACAACAAGAGAATTGCACGTGCTCGAATCGAATGTGGTCAGAATTTCTCGCATCTCACTCGGGAGGCTTGTATACTGAGGCTACCCTTCCCTGACACGTTCTCTTCATAGTAGTGAGAAACTCCACAACGCCTCGCTCCCCATCAGCCCATGCAATGGGACGCAATACCACTCCATGCCACAGTGAAATCCTAGCTCACTTCTTGTTCACACCACTGCCAAACTCCGTCTCAAACGAGCTCCGCTTCTTCTGCTCTTCGGTCCGCTTGCGCTCGAGCTCGCGGATCATGTCTGGCGGCGAGTCCTCGATGAGCTCGGATCCCTCGCCGTCGTTCAACTTGGTCCACTTGGGCAACCCGTCGGGGATGTCCATGACGCGCTCGTTGTAGAACATGTGCAGTCTAGCCACGATCAGTACTCAAGTACAGGAAAGGTTTCTGTGAAGCATGCTCACCTAGGCTTGAAGTTGTGCTTGTCCTGCTCGGTCTTGAAATGGATCAGGCTCGGAAAGAGCAGGACCATGTTGCGGCCCTCATCCATAATCGGGCTGTGGCAGTACCCACAGCGGACCTTGCAAGGCAGCTTGTGCTCGATGGACTTGGTCGTTGGATCATACCACTCCAGGTTGTGGTGGCCGTTGCGGAACGAGATGTCGTCCTTCTTGAAGATAGCAGCCCACTGGAAGGGAGCAGCATGCTGGGTCTGGCAAGTAGTACAATGACACAACTTGCTATCCAACGGCTCCTCTCTCGACAGCTCATATTGCACTTTTCCGCAATGGCACGAAGCCTCGTATCTGGCCTTGAAGCCGTCGTTGCTCTCGTGGATACAGTATGGTGCGCGCTTCTTCCACTCCTCGACGTTCTCCTCGTCGATAACGTGTGGATCTTCGGTACCGTTGACGCCGGACATTCTGATGGTCTTGGTGAAGCTTCTGGTATTAGCTGGTCGAGATGCGGCAGTGAGGCGAGATTGGCAGAAGGGTACTCGTGGGACGGTGCGAGTGAAGTTGGTTGTGATGGAAACCGCTGGACGAAGTAGACGGAGGCTCATTTCCATCAGGTTGGCGTGTGTAGAAGGAGAATGCAAACGCCCTCTTGACGAGATTTGTAGTCATTATTTACCAGTCGCGTGCCCGCTCCTGCGCGCATGGAATAGATGACGTCCATATTTCTTCATGTGCTCAATTCGGGGGACCAGGCGGGGGCCTTAGCGCCAGGGGGCATTGACCACACTCGAAGATTCGATGGATCTCATGGAAATTTGATTGGAAGATGCGGGGAGGGGCCGATTTAGACTTAACATGCAAGATTGACTTTCAACCTTGAGCGGAATAAATCAAACGCTAAACGACATTCAATGCTAGTTGCCCTGCAGCGCACGCTCGGCTTCTTTGGGCGCCATTCCAAGTACGTTGGTGAGGTATTCGAGTCTGCATTACGTTAGCTCACAGTCTTCAGACACTGTCAGCAGGCAAAACTTACTGCGCAGCCTTGGCGATCCGCTGGCTAACGCCCTCGAATTCCTTCACACATTTGTCCCAGGTGATTTCCCGTTTGTCTCCATCTACGGTCTTGACACGCAAACGTAACCGTCCGCTGACAGGTCGGTGGTCTGAAACTCGGATTTGATCCCACCGTTGATACGAGTACCCATCCATCTTGACTTTACCAAGCCCTCGATACAGAATCCGATCGCACCACGCTGGGGCTCTGCGCTTTTCAGAAGTGTCGTACTCGTCGCTGCCAACATTGTACTTGTATGTCGGGGCAAAGGTGATCGGAGACTCCTGGAAAGCTTTCAGCCGAAAACCAGGATTCTTCTTTCTGCTCAAAAGCAGCTGGTCTCGCTCCAAGAGTTTCGTCAGATTGCCTTGCTGCACTTGCTTTATCACGGCATCCCGTCCCATGGTGTCAATGCGGTAGTTCAGATCGCCGTTCAAGATGCAGATTTCGTGGTCCATGATCATGCTGCCATCGCCACCGTGTGCGAAGACATCAGAGTGTTGCGCAACTTCTCCGTCGTTCAGTGGATTCGGCGGGAGCGGATTTGCCTCCAGAATCGCGGCGATGTCGTTGTTGCGATGCATGGTCTGAGTTTGTCCAGCAGCCAGATGGCAGTTCACAAAGCACATGCTGCTGTCATCGAGCACCAGCCGCAGAAGCAGAGCACCCTTGTTGCCATGATGACCACCCATGCCGCGTTTGACCTGGGCTGTGTGGACGTGCCGGACACGTTGCCGCAAATGCGACTTCACAAAGGTGCAGGTGAAGAGTCCGACCATGCTTGAAGTGTGCAGATGAGTGTAGGTCTGGGTGTTGGGCATGCAGTCATCTATACACTTGGTGAGGTAGTCTCGCCAAGCACGGTACTGACGAGACATGTGCTCCTGCTCGGCTGGATCTTTCTTCTTGCTTTTGAAGAATGACTTGGCCGTGACCTTCTTGTCTTCAAGATCGACTAGCTCCTGAAAGCCAAATACGAATATGTCCGGAGGTTCGCCATTCGTCATGTATTCGCTAAAGAAGTTGCTATCTTCTTTAGACTGGTTCAAGTAGCTCGGCTTGGAAGCACCGGCATTCCATGTTAGAACGGATGCTGTCAGCTCTTGGAATGAGCAGTAGTCTGAGATTCGAGCATTCATACGAGATTCGATCCAGTCCCCTTCCAGCATGCCATCCCAGATCCGCAGTGAGTTGTCGAGGCCCAAAGTGACCACATTCAAGCGATTCATCTTCCACATTGCTGAGGGATCTGCAATGATGCTGCAAATTTGCTTTTCATGCGCCTTCCAGTCCTTCTTCACGGTCCATGGCGTCGTAGAGGTATCGTACACATACGCGTTGCCAGTGCTGTACCCTGCCCAGATGTAGTCGCCCACGCCTGTCATAGAGCTGATCCTGTATACACTCACATTGACAATGGCTCGACATGTGTAGTCTGTACGGTTGTATATGCTCACTTTGCCATCAGAATGGCCAAAGTAGATCAAATTGGGATTGCCGTTGAGGGTGGCACCGCATGTAACATCTCCAGTCCCTGGTTGTGACAGTGGAGTCCTCGAGGCTTGGAATTCTGAGTCCGAGTTCGCTCCGGGGAGGTACACTCTGATCTCTTTCCCGGTTGCAATCCACAATTGCGCGCCCGATGCAATCGAATACGAGATTCCTTTGGGGATGCGCCAATTCATATACTGAGAGTCAAGGCTTGGTATGCCCTTATGATCGGCCTTCCAGACATACAGCTCCCCTCCATCGTCCAAGGTCCACAACTCGGAGGCGTAGCGAAACATACGAATGATCTCGCGCCTGTTATGCACCATGCTCTTCGTCTTCACAAGAGATTGAGACGGGATGTCAATTTCTTGTATGTCGCCGCTACTGGTGCCGAGCCACAGCCGCTTGCCCTCGTCCTCCACGTTAGGTGATGGTTTGAAGACCAGAGCGGTGACTTTCATGTTTTCTCGGGGCTCCATGTGAAGCAACTCTTCGCCAGTCCGTATGTTCCAGGCCTTAGTGATGTAACCAGATGTGCAGACATATTCTCCACACACGCCGAACAGTCTTGTGTCGTACTCGGTATAGATCGTCCAGGGTCGTGATCTGAATCTAGGTTGCCGCCGGTTGGATTGAGTGGCATCTGGAAAATCCGTTGGGCCCGCGACTTGCTCACTGTTAAGGCCGCCAGGCGCCAGGTCCTCCTCGTCATCGCGTGAGTGACCCTTTTGGATACTCGATGTCGCTGTACCTGGAGGTGGAGGAGGTGGAGGCATCTCCCGCCTCCGGTCGACAGACTTGCGCGGCGGAGGCACTGCAGGAGCCCCTGATGGAGTCATCGGCGATGCCTTTTCAAAGCCTTGGCTAAGCGCAGACTTGACATCGGTCTTGATGGCCGGGATGCGCCGTGTGGTATCCATGTCCGCAGCTGGACCCTTCCTCATCACGTCCTCAGATCTCCTACCCGGTAGCATGTGATTCTTCAACGGACTGGTGCGTCCAGACCGCATCTTAGGCGGGCTCGTCCTCCCATTCCGAATTTGCAGTTCGGGTCTTGCTGGTAGTCTTGGCCGATCTTCCTGCAAGTCGTCTGTTGATTGCGATTCTCTCGTCCCAACTTGCCGGTATCTTGCTGGCATCGGCATCGTGGGGGCTCTCGTGATGCCACGAGCATTCAACTCTCGTCGTGCCGCTCCTGCGTGATGGGTTGGCGGAGGTAGCCAGGTCTCGGGCAAAGAAGAGGACTCCACGAAAGAAGCATCGGATTCCGCTCGTGCGCGCCTAGCGATTGAGAAAGAATCAGAATCGCCCCCGAGTCTCGTCACCCACGATGCATCGGAGTCGTTCCGGGACCTTTGTACAAAAGACGCCTCAGATGCCTTCTTGATCGGTTGACTCGTGGCTGTTGCGTGTTGTTTCCTTGGATCTGGTGAGCTGTCGCCGCTGCTCGGCGGGGTAGTAAAGGGTGAGATGCTCTGATCAGTGAGCTCTGCATTTGTTTCTGGAGCTGACAGATTGGTTTCAGCCTTTGCCAAAGCCTGCGGCTTCACAGGTACTTTGGGCTTCGCGGCTCGATTGACTATAGGCGGATGCTTGGCCTCTGGCTTCGCCTTTGATTCCGTCTCGGCTTTCACATCTGCGACGTCATGTGACTTGATCGAAGGTGACCCAGATGACTGCAAAAAGGCCGCGGCGCGTGCTTCGATTGCCGGCGTAGCTGTCCTACTGACTGGGCGAGAATAGACCTTGTTGAGGGTATCGCTCGTTCGGTTGGGCGTCAGCGGTTGGCTGGGAGTACTGTATCCAGATGCCGTCGGCCTCAGATCCATAGAGAATATCTTCTGCGGTGACCTCGGAGAGTCGACGGTCACCATAGGAGGCGACGGCTGTGTAGGCGACATAGAGATCATGGAGGCTGGTCTAGCTGCAGGCGGATCCGGACGTGGCTGCCTCGGTGAAAGCGAGAGCGGTGACACTTGCGCGGCATTTCCACCTACCGGTCCAACACCCATTCCACCAGGATCTCTTTTGTGTTCACCAGATATCCGTGACCATCCTCCTCCAACAGGCGAGGGCGTAGTGAGAGAAGCCTGCTGCGGCGCAGGCGAAGTCGGTTGTCCAGCATTCTGATCTTTCCCCAAATTCTCAAACCTGGATCGCAACGAGGATATGGGTTTGATGGAGGAAGTATCTGGTCCGTCGGCGCTCTCTGCCATTTCGTCTTTTCAATCGGTCCGGTCAGGTCGGAAGGCTGGGGGAGAGGGTTGGCATCCACAAGCTCATGTCAAGCGCAAGTCACCTGTACGCGCTCTGCGTGCCCCAGCTCTTCCCTTCACCAGATGCGGTCGTATAAGATCAACGATGATTTTGGCTGACGTGCCTCTCTGAGTTCAGAAGTTGGTCTTTCATGCCGAGTGACAGCCCAAACGCTAGGATCTGGTCATTCCGCGTAATCCCTGGCAAAGCCGACACATTGCTCGAGGTAAGGCAAGGCAATTAATTCGTGGGGTTGACGCTTGCTGGCTCCGGATTGCAAGCTGTGATCGTTCGGTATGTTTGGTATGCGACGCGGTGATCGTGATCGTCCTTGGCTGGGTGGTACCTGAAGCGCGTGCAAGGCTACGTAAGTGATCTGTAAATAACACGGCCTACATGTACCTCTCAAAATAACAAAATACGACGTCGCTGCGCGTGACGAAGCTGTGGCCCGTGTGAAGCCACGCACGTTGGATCGGCGGCACTAAGGCGGCTCGGCCCTGATATCCGAACATCCCTGGACCTGCTCTCACGAAGCGGGTTCGATGGTTTCACAGAAGCGTAACAACCTCGCGTCAAACCAACTCTGTGGAACACTTGCCGACATCACGTCTGTACGAGCCCTTTCAACACCCTCCGACAGTCACAATGTGGTAAGTCCAGTCCCGTGGTGCTATACAGAACTCACTTCACTAACACGCACCTCAGCAAACACATTCTTAACGCCCAAGTCTCCATCCGCTCCCCCTGTTGCCGTCAATGGTTTGACTGTGCGGAATGCCACGCCGAAACCCAGGACCACCGCCTCAAGCAAACCCTGGAAATGACCTTCGCGTGCAAGAAATGCAAGAAATGCTTCCGTAAAGACATGAACGAGTTCGAAGATAGCGACGAATACTGCCCGCACTGTGACAACCACTTCGTGATCGAAGCAAGGGAGCCAAAGGCGAGATTGGAAGTCGAGGGTGAGGATGTGCGGAAGGATGCGCGGATGCTGAAGGACGAGCGCGTAAAGCCCAAGGAGGACTTTTCGATCTGGGATGATGAAGGAGACGCTTCGAGGTTGGGATGAAGGGCAAACAGCTGCTGTACAGGACAGCGAATGAATCAATGAAGGAGCACGAGGATATGAGGATACGATATCAGCCAAGAGGGAAAGGGCGAAGGGGACAAATCACATCCGACGGACAGAGAGGATAGACCTGCTCAACAACACTTGCGAGCACACGGAGGCATCCAAACTCGACCGCAGCAGAAATATGGCTCCGCGCAGGCAATCCGTACGCTACAAGATGACTTATAGAAAGTCTACAGTCTTGCTTCTACTCTGTCAACAATGCTCAACAATACGCTCAACGTCCTTCTCCGCGTCTAATACGTGCTCGGAATCTGGCTCGGAATCTGGCTGATCCTCCCACTATTAACCCCGCCTGACTCGCCTTATACAAACAGAGACCAGCCACATCACTCGTAGCACTCAACCTCTCCACAGAGAACACACCCCTCCGGCGACGCTCCCGAAACTCTCATACAATGGCACTGCCAGATCACTGGAAAATAGATCCGGCACGATTCCATTCGCACCGATACCGTATGGGAAGACGGCCCCCAGCGATCCCTTTGACCATGTGCGTTACTGTGCTTTCATCGATGGCATAACAACCCAAAGCATCCGGGGCACGCAGATAGCAGGACATACTACTTGAGACCAGAACCCGCGATTTCGCCCGTGGGAATTTCCTGACCTTTCTTCCCTGCATCCAGCAGGAGTTTCAAGAAAGCGAAAGGCACCGCCGTGGGTATCGGTAGCAAATCCCGGAGACAACGAGAGGAAAACCCGCACTACGGCCACATTAGCCAAGACACATGGAAGAGTCCTTTCCCTTCTTCCCAACCCTCAACCCTCTACTCCAAAACCACTTCTCCGCAACCTCCCCCCCCCCCCGCCTCCCTCCCCAACATCCTTCCTTCCTACTCCCTCACCCTTATCATCGGCAGAGGGGGAACCGTAAGCCATCGCCTCGCCTGCGATTACACAGACACACACACACACACACACACACACACACACACACACACACACACACACACACACACACACACACACACACACACACACACACACACACACACACACACACACACACACACACACACACACACACACACACACACACACACACCATTGTATTGGAATGCATTCTTTTGGAATTTGTGAAAAAAAAAAAAAAAAAAAAAATCCAAGTATTCTTTGGAAGACTTCCCATTGTGCTAGATAGGTCGTCCACTATACTTGGCTGTCTTGTCTGTCTACCTGGTGAAGTTGGTAAGTAAGGTGCATGTAGCTGCAGAGAGGTCCACGGTGAGGTCAAATCATAGGTAGGTGATCCAATCCACTTCAATTGCCGAACAGGGAAGGTGCGGACTGTGAGATTTGGTGGGTCGATGGCGAGGAATGGAAGGGAATGGCACCATTTGTCCCAGTCAGCGAGTACCTTAGGCTCCAAGACATGGATGAGCAACAATGGTGGAGCAGACGAGATCGAACAGAAATCGCCGCCGAGCGCGGCTGGTGTTTGATAATAATAATAATAATAATGATAATAATCATATGTTACCCTGACTTCCTGTGCTATGCTGTGGTATCCCAACGCGCTAAATGAATCTGAACCCCTGACGACAGCGAGCGTCGCTGTCTCTCTCTCGCTCCAGATGATCTTCTAAATGAAACAATCCAGACACGATGCTGGCCTTGAAACAAAGGACGCCAACGCGGCGTCCGGCCGTGTGAAGTGAATATGGCCCGCACATTCCTCCTAATCGCTCAGGTCGGGGTTGGCAACGAACAGTCGTGGACCGCTCATGGTCATCGTCCGTTCGTCCACGCTTCCACGCCGGCGCAGGTCGTCGAGGGTAGACTTGGTGGGTTGCTCTGCGCCAGCGCGCCTCGGAGGAAGGCCACCGACTTTGCCGAAGCTTTCTTCTTGCTCGCCGCTGTTGCCACTGCCACCCGTCTGGGTGAAGTAGTCTTCCTTGCGAGTGCCATCATCGTTCACCATCGGTGTTTCTTCTTCTTGCACGTCGCCCATGCTATCCACAGGACTGACTCCCGGCGGCGTTGAGCCATTGCTGTAAGCCAGGTTGGATCCGACGTAGCTCTGTCCCCTTCTTCCGCTACCCAGACTGCTTCGTCCGCTGCCATTTCTTGCGTGATGGCGAGCCCCCGTCTCCTCGTCGCTGTCATTCCCGTCATCCACCTCGGAGGCGCTCAATCTCATTGGCACTCCTCCGGATCCGCCAAGGATTGCAGCGTTGTATGCGCTGGCCTTGGGTGCACCGTGGTGCCTAATCTTGCTCCGCACTCCTCCGACCACACCCGTGCTACTCGTGCTCGTCCGTACTTGAGTTGCGTAGTTGTGTCCTCCGGCGACTTCTTGTGCTGCCCTCATCTTGGCCTGCCGTTGAGCCGACAGTATCCTCGGGTCTTCATGCTGCGCTCGGTCGCACCACACGGTGCCTTTCTGTTTTCGCATGAGGGCAACGTATGAAGTTGGCGATGCCGAAGATCCATTGCTGCGGGACGAGGTGGATCGTCGAACTCCGCTGGTGGTGCTCTGGCCCGAGCTCGTAGGAACCCTCTGCAGACCGGCAGTGGTATTGGTGGAGGATGTGGAGGAAGTCGCGTTCGACAGCGTGCGGCGGCTTTGCCCGGGATATGGCGGTTGCTGCCGTGGATGCTGCGAGGTCATTGTGCAGGTATCCGTGTTCAACTGCGGCGGCGATGGGTTGGAGGCGTTGTAGGGAATGGCATTGGAGGAGCTTGTGCGTGTCCGCGAATGAGAGGCTTGTCGAGCGTACGGCTGGGCTTGTGCGGGTGGCTGTTTCGGCATCGGGGTTTGCATGGTGAAGGAAGTGGCGGGCGAAACAGAAGTCCTGCCCGGCACGGGCTTTCGGTGAGGAGGGGGATTGAGGCCGCTGTTGTTCATGATGATTGTCGACATGATGGTGAGTGGCCTCCCAATGGGCGCGAAGACGCTGGATCTCGCGTGCGTGACGGGCGGGTGTCCAGGTGATTTGGCAGGAACAATGGAGGTGGTGGACAGCTGGCTGCGGGGCTCGCACGGAGGAGGAAGGCAGCGTTTATCAAAGGAGCGAGTGAGGTTGGGTGGGTGGATGCGAACAAGAACTGGAGGCGTCTGCGGCAAGGTCGATGGGTGTTGCCAGGATGCGTCTGATCAGCTATGCAGAGCTGCACTGCGGGAGCACGGCGCGTCGGCGAATGAAGGTTGCGCGGATGGGTGGGCTACTGCAAGCGGGCGGGCGGGCCACGGTGCAGATAACGACTCGGGAACTTGAAGAGAGGGGATCGGCAGAGATGGATGTGATGCGAGACAAGTACGAGTGTAGGATGCAGTCGGCCCGTCCGGTCAAGTGTCGCGAGGGAGATAGCACGGCAATGCGAGCTGCTAGGCGTGAAGGGTCGGTCAGAGTTAGCCCATTGCATTGCACACAGCACCTGGGCCGGATGGCGGCAGACGAGAGCTCGACGGTCGTCGTGGCAGCAAGCCTCCCGCCCTTCTGAACGGCTCATGGCGACTCACCCACGCTCCTCGCTTCCCCAATCGGACCTCAATGGACCTCGATGGACGGTGGACCTCAATCACGATGGACACCTGCGTGCGTATGCGGCAGATGGGCCGGCGGTAGGATGATGTTTGTCGGTAATACCGGACACGTTGACACGGTGGAAGGATTAGTTAATATGATGATTACGGGTCAGGTTGAGGCGAGCGCTAATTTGGAACGCGATCGTGCGGAGAAGACGAGAGATCCCCAACGTCATCCTCCTATTCCGGACAACAACTCACACAGTTGCGACTCTACAATCATCATACGAGACGCATCGCTCACGCCGAATCGTATCGTATCGTATCGCATGGCGGATGCGGAGCACGGAGGACTTTCCGACACTGCGCTGTCACATTCACAATTGGCCGCATCCGGCTGGTCAGGGTGAAAACGTGGGAGCTCGTCATGCCGGGCGACACGACACGATGAGACGGTGTCGGTTTCCGCCGCGAATGGTGTTGCGGGCGCAGAAACTCTGTGCCGGCATGCCCAGATGGCGAGTGACATGCTTCTCCCATTGCTGTGTCAAATCGCCGATTTCTCGTGCGTACGGGCTCAACATCTCATCAGAACGTCTGCCGTCCTCGAATACTGTGTGCCTCGACGGTAGTCGTGGTACCTCGCAATGGTGACTTGGGCACATTCTGCCCCTCCAAGCAGCAGAGCATGCGCCTCAGACTTTGCTAGAGCTATCTTTCCACCAGGCTACCAGCCGCGACGGTGCAGGTCGACAATGCACGCTGCAATCGGTATCGCGTGCAGCAAAACCGCTGCAAGGTGCTCCTCAAACGAGATGCCTCACCGCGGGAGCTCTACACCGGCATGCAGGGCCTCGCCTGCCTGCATGCCCACACCGTCTATCTGGCAGTCTGCCCGCATCCGCACGCACGCTGCATGCACCCAAGAGCAGAGATCATGATGAGAGGAGAGGATGAGGAGCAATATCTCTGCCCCAAGATATCCATCCCCACCTCCTCATCTCATCTCTTCGAAGTTCTTGGCGCGGGTCGAGATCGTGACGTGGAACCGGTAAACCAGGGTCCACATTTACTGTACGGCTCAACGGCCGACTAGCGCACCTATTTTCGCCGCACATGCTCCGTGCACATGCGCTCCGCGGCTTCACAGCACCATCACAGCAATGGAACCCTCCCGAACCTGAACCTGAACCGCACCGGCAGACAGCAAAGTGTAAAAACAGCTCGAGATACCTACACACCACAGCCCGCTCGCCTCCAAAAAAAATTATACTCCTACACAGCATGCTGCCGTGTACACGAAAAATCGAAGCCCAGCCCACGGTGTCACGGTACCTTGTTTCCATCCTCCCCTTCACCGACCTAGCTGTGTAGCGTCCCGACTACCATAAAACGGACTCGTCCTCTGCCTGTCGTCCCGTGTCATCGGTAACCCGATCGTGCAACAGAACACGCTAGTCGAACGACCGTCGTCAGAAGTGCTGACATCTTTCCTCTTCTCAAATGATCGTACACTCTTCGATTTCTGCAGACTACAGTACATGTGTATGCTTGCCATCGTTCTGCCACGTGGAGGCTGTGTGGCCTGTGCCAAGACGAGAATGAAGCCATCCAGCAGGGCAGGCGCTGTACTACTACTACTAACATCAAGCACGCAGCACAGCACCCTCACCAACGGGACCAGCATTGCCTTCCCGAATACATCTACGAGAACAGAGCTCGTGGCGAACCGCACTGCAGCCATATCGACCATCCTCTAATTCCGTTTGAGATATCCCTCCGTCCTCCTCGCACACTGGAATGATCCTACCACCAGGTCAAAGAACAACGTCTACTACTCCTACAGTCGCATGCATGCATGCTGAAACCAGCGTCGCATCATCAAAGCGCAACACCACCTCAGACGCCTCATCATCATCATCATCATTTCATGTGATGAAGATGTTCGTTCTGTGTTCTGTGTTCTGTGTGATCTGACACGAAAAAAAAAAAAACGAAGCCGCCGCCGAGCTTAAGAATAATAATGAAAAAAAAAACCCCCCCATGGGCTGGGTGAGACATGTTTTTGATGCCGTGCGCGCGAAGTCGTTTGGGCTGCTGCTGCTGCTGCTGCTGCTGCTGCTGATGCTGATCCTCATCATTTCTTCTCGCCAGTGAAGCAGGAAGCGCAAATTCTCGACAGTGTCTCGCGCGTCTGGCTGCAAGAGTAATTCACCCGATCATGTTGCCGAGCAGGACGGTGGACGGTGGACGGTGCGATGGTGGCGTTTCCATTTTTCCAGACCCTACCTTATCGGAGGTCCTTGATGATGATGAGGCGAAGAGCTCAGCTCGGCTCACCGTTAAAATAGCGGGCGGCAAACAAGCACAACTTTTTCTGATTTTCCCACTTTGCGTCAAAAACGCACTCTTATCGCACAACAGCAAGTCAATCCCCCTTCATCACTTGCGTCTCTTTCATACTACTCTCTTCTTTCCATCGCGACGCCTGCCTGCCTGCCCGGGGCAGATGAAAACCAACCGAAGAAATGGCAAGCCAATGCCAATGCCAAGACCAAGGCCCGGGCTCTATATTCCATGCTTGACAGAATTAAAAATTTGCCTCTTCTTGCGTCGAGGGTGCGGCAGCTCAATAATACAACCTACGGAAGGTCATTCATTAATTGTTCTCGCTATCTAGCCGCGCATCTCTCTCTCTCTCTCTCTCTCTCTCTCTCTCTCTCTCTCTCTCTCTCTCTCTCTCTCTCTTGATTATGATCATTATTTACACACTCGTGTACCCCCCATCAACCACAAGATCGCTTCCGGTCGTATAACTACTCGCATCCGAAGCCAGATAGAGATAGGCACCTTTCAATTCGCTCGCCTGCCCTTCGCGACCCATGGGGATCTTGCCATGCCAGATGCGCTTCGTCTCCGGGGGCACGAAGTCGGAGATTTCCGTCGCCATGTAGCCCGGGGAGATGCTGTTGGCGCGGGCGAATTGCACCCATTCGACGGAGAGGGATTTGACGAGGTGGATGACGCCGGCTTTGGCGGCGTTGTACTGCGGACAAAACAACACCACCCCCCTCTCGATCAGCAAAGGGGAGGACGAAGATTGGAAGATTGAAAAAAAGTAAAAGATCCGAGAACTCACGGCGCTCTGCAACTGCGGAATATTCGCCACATGCCCGCTCATACTCGCGGTCGCGATGAAACTCCCATAACTATAACCCTCCAAAGCCTCGCCCCGGGCATCTTTCCCCGTCAGATACTGTCGTCTCCAGACCTCCCCGGCGGCTCGTGCGCAGTAGAAGACGGAATCGAGATCGGTGGCGACGACGCGATGGTAGTGGTCGAGTTGGCCGTCGATCATGCGGCCCTGGGTCCAGGGGATGCCGGCGTTGGCGACGAAGATGTCGAGACGGTGGTTGAATTCCGACACGATCTGGGCGATGACGCGTTTGGTGTCTTCGGAGTCTGTCACGTCGGTTTGGTAGGCGCGACCTAGGTAGGGAGGGGGATTGTGAGTGGGTGAATGGACGATGGGTAAGGGGGATAAGTAGGATCTATTACATTGTACGTCGTAGAGTTTTTCAATCTCGGCGGCTCGGTCGAGGGCTTTCTTGTTGCCGTGATACTGTGATAAGAGCGTTGGTTTCGGTCCATGTGGCTTCGGACGTGATGTTGTTCATAAAGTTGGTGGTGGAGGAAGATGCTTCAGGGAACATACCCAAATCGCCACATTCGCACCGGCCTCAGCGAACCCGTGTGCAACCGCCAGTCCAATCCCGGCCCCGGCACCGGAGACAATAGCCGTCTTGCCCTTCAGACTAAACAGCGGCAGAACGCGCTGCTGCGCGGGCGGAACGGTATTGTCTTCCTTGAAGATGCCATTCTCCATGGAACTGTCCTCGGGGGACTCCTTGACGAAAGGGCGGACCACCATGGTGCGTGCCTGATGCGACGCGGTATCGAGGATGCAATGCAAGAATCGATCTGTTCCGCGACCAATTGTCTGGACGAGATGCAGGACGACGACGACGCAGAGTTGGTAGAGCGAATGGGTGTGCAGTGGATGATGCGATGGAGGGTGGGTCGGTCGTGCTTTGTCAGCGTCCTGCGGATGTTGGAGCTCGAGTTCCGCTCCTGACTTCAATCCACCGACGCACGAGATCCCATGATGCTTTGCGGCGGCATCACAAGACGGGAAATTCCCGCTCGCTACGTCTCGAGGCAGCCCTCGCGGTGTATATCTTCGTCGTGGTGTATATACGCCCGAAGAAAGATGAATGGATATCTTCGTCCTTCTTCCTGGGTGGTGGGTTGTGCGTAGACTTCATCAGAACAATTCTTCTTTCACTTCTTACTCCCATCTCTGTCTCTTCGTATCAGGTGCCCCATACTGACCACAGCTATAAGCCTCGGATAGAGTGAAGCTCAGTCATTTTTACATTCCATTCCAGCACTGCCTGGTAGGGCAACGGGCCGCATTGCATGCCGCGCAGTACCGCGTCACAACACTGAACAACAACCCCAATCGCTGTCGACCTCAGCCCGATGTTTGCGCCGAGCAGAAACACGGGCTGAGAACCCCGATTGCGATGGAAAGCCATAGACCGGCCAAGGACGACAGGATCTCCCGACGGGACGGGACATAATTTGCAAAGGACGACAGGTCTCTGGCCTTGCGAACACGCAACCCAAAGTCATCTGGAAGTATGGCGCCAAACTGGATCGGAGCGCGCGCAGTGCTGGGAGCGGACGCTCAGATTGTTGTGGAGAGGCAACATGGTGGAGTACCAGCCGCCGCCCAGAGTACAGCGGCGGCATCGAACACCTCTCTCATTATTGGAATCGCGGTGGGCGTGCCAGTGGTCTTAGCGATTGCCATCGCGATTGTGATTGCCAGGATTCTTCGCCTACGAAGGGCCCACCGCAGGGCTTTGGCCGAGCTGGAGCAGAGAGCAGGCGCCGCTACGAGGGGACAGATGCAAGAAGTTCCACGACCAGTGAGCAGCGGAAGAACTGGAAGGTTGGCTTCGTCACACGCGCAGGGAGGATGGGACATGCTTGGATCCAATGATACAGTAAACGAGCCAGAACAGGTTGCAAACCCAAAGCGCAAGCGGTCGACGGTCTCTTTGCCGAAACGAATTCGGCAGTCAAAAGACATTCAACTGAAGAGATGGAAGCATCTTTCCGCGATCGTAGAGAGCCCACGGAGTGAAAGCCGAAAGTCCTCAGCGCAGCCATCAATCCATGCGATGCCACCAGCAGAGAATGCAATGCCATCGCCACACCACTCGAGCATAGGTCAGGCGACAACAACAGATCAGGCCGTGATGCTGCATCCTGACCAGAGTGTGATCGGTTGTTCTGGTAGCCCCAAGCCTGAAGTATTGCCTTCGTTCGCCTTCCGATCGCCAGCAAGATCCGGCGCAGCCATCGCAAATGATGAACCCAAGCGCATGGGAATGAGATCTGCGTCCGTGGGGGCACTCAACGCCGATGGTGCCGTCTTCAGCCACACAGAACAGATCATTCGCAACCCCAGGAGGAATCGCCCGCCGCTGCACGAGCGTTCCATTTCTCTGGGGGCACCACTCACCAGACCACCCTCTGGACCAGTGCCGCCCCTGCCCGTTATCTCTCCTCACACCATAACAAACGATGAATGTTCACGCCAAGGCGTCTGCGTGTCGCGAATGTCCTCCTCCAGCAGCATCAACTCGGCAGGTAGCTCCGTTCTGATCACAAGTCCCATTTTGGCAAGGACTGACGATCAAGGGCTACTCAGCACACCGACGCTAGAAGACGTCGTGGCTGACGATGAGAACGCAGCCTTGAAGAACGTCACGAATCGTCAATGGCAGAGACCACGTGTTGCAGGACCAAGGGCAGGTAGCAGCAACTCGATGAGAGTGGAAAAGTCCCGTGCTTCCGTGCGGGCAAATATTGTCCGGTTCAGTAGCGAGAGTCTGTTGAGTCGCCAGCTCTCGACTGCAAGTACAGCATCGAGCGACAGCGGGCGTAATGGTTTGTCCGTCCCACACATCGCGACCGCAGACAGCATCAGCATCCGTCGTGTTTCTTCTTCGAATTCTCTGCGCGATTCCGGGAGCGCCGTCAAGAAGATCACGACCCCTACTCGTCGGCCCTCGAGAAGGCGGGTCAGCTCCGTTTCGCATAGTGGATCGCCTGCGGAGCGGAAGAGGAACAATGTTCTGCGTGACATCTCGGGCAATGCGACGAAGCCAGCACCGCAGCGGCAAGTTTCCATTTCCACGCAAGATTCCGGCCGAAGCAGCAATGGCAATCCATTCCAGTGGGATTGCAGTCCGTCACGTAATTTGACGAAGCCCAGTGCGCTGAAAGGTTCTCCAAATGCCAGGAAAGGCCAGAGGAGACAGAACTGCGTCCGCATCAGCACATTGACGCCACAGATTCTGGGTCCAGCTTCGACGAGTCGAAGTTCAAGTCCAGCCGGGATCATGATGGACGGCATCATTGAAGAGCGTGAGAGCGACGAATACAAGCGTGGAGAGTACCGGGAGATCGAGCGCGTTGTTGCGAACGAGAGGCGAAGGACTCGTCCTCCAATGCCCTCCCGCACTACGTCCAGCGAATCCAACTTACGAATCCAGACGCTGCGTGCATCGTTGACTCCGAGCTCGCCGACACTTTCGACTTGGAATGCGTACCAAGAAGCGCATGGCTTTCCCATGCAGCACTCTGATTCGAACCTTTCAGTCGCTCACTCGAATTTCTCCATGTCGCCAATCAATAGTCATCGCTCCGGGTCGAGACAATCTTCACATTCCGGCTTCGTGATCCCGACGTTTCCATCGCCTACTAAGGCTCGAGCGTCGGTTGCAGTGAGCCAGATCGATACCGCGCCAATGCCTCAATTCTCTTTCGATATGGAGAGCCCGACACTTGGCTTCGGGGACCCAAGCAGCTGTAGTCCGTGGGCACTGCCTCAGGAGTCGACGCCGGCGTCACCGCACGGAGACTCTCCTGTGGACTTGTCACCAACTTCTCCAATCGACCTGCCGTCTTCTCCACCACTTCCAATCTCGAAGACGAAGGAATACGACCCCGCATGGCCGATGGCCAGTCTGCCAACGCTGGGGGCGGAATACGACCCAGCGAGCCCGCCGGTGGTGTGGGATAACGATGCCACGGAACCAGAAAGGAGTTCCGGCTTCTTTCTACCCTTCGCCGCCGTCGTCGCGAACCAGGACGCTGATGTCTCTCCGCGAAACCGTCTAGACGGCTACGCACAGAATGACGATGAGCCGTCTTGCTTGCTCAAGACCGTTTCTCAGCCTGTCTTTGATGAAAAGCTCACGAGTGCAAATGCGAGCTCAATCATGGCACGTATGCCCGAGTCGCAACCTGGCACTTCGAGTTTCCTTGGAACCAACGTTCCGATTCTAATACCACCGACCACGGGGTATGAAGATCTGTACCAGACGCACTGGCAATCCTCCCCAATCGTTCCCCATTCAACGCTGCATCATAGGAATCGCTCCGTGTCCATCTCAACACCAGTGACACCCGGCACCACCGTCCGCACAACAACAGCCCGTCCACCACCTCTCCCTACGATCCCCCAAAGCGACGATTCCCCACCTGAAGCCCCACCACAAACAACCAAACCGGCAGGCAAAACCTCCCCCCGCGGTCCCCGTTCCGCCCCGGCAAAATCCGTCCTCAAAAACGCCATGGCCCTCCGCCGCATGAACAGCGAAATCTCCTCCTATTCCCCCTCCAACCGCGAATCCCGCGCCTACGCCCGTCTCGGCCGCGAAGCATCGCCCCTCCTCCCCTGGATCGGAACTCCCACCGAAACCGTCCCCCACGACAACGAACTCTTCGATTTCGACTTCGACGCAACGACCGGGGGCGCCGAACAAGCACGACGAGCCGGAAACGAAAGCCCCTCCGCCCTCGACGATTTGGATCTCGAAGCTTTCGGGAGGAATATCGACGGTGCGCTGGCGGAGTTTGAGGCGGAATTCGAGGCGAATCTGGGGTATGCTCGGTTGTCGGCGGTGGGGGATGGTCATCGGCATCGGCAGCACCATCACCATGACCTTTCGAGGGCGGAGAAGGCCAATAGTCCTGGTTTGAGCGGGCAGGAAGCGCAGAGGAGTTCGAATGTGTGGGATGATGGGGAGAGGTATTGGTCTGGGGGTATACCTTGTTCGGAGAAGAAGACTTCGCCGCCGAAGAAGGAGAGGGGGTGGGAGAGGGAGGAGGATTCGCGGACGGTGGATCCGAGGTTGTTGTTGTCGACGCCTGTTGCCAGGTTGAAGCAGAGTTCGCAGCAGCAGACGACGCGCGCGGTGTGTGGAACGCCGGAGAGTCTGTATGGCGCCGATGGATTTCTCAAGGCCTAGGAGGGTTTTGACGATTGCGGCGGGATTGGAGGGGTATGTTCTTTTGATTTAGGTTCGATGTCCATGATACCCGATAGAACGTCTCTTTTTATCCACATTCGATTTTTAAAAAAAGGGGGGTACCCCCCCCCCCCCCCCGCCCCCCCCCCCCCCCAGCTTTGTGAGTCATGCGCAATTGACGCTCATAGTATGTAGCCGCTTTTTTGTCATCAGACACATTCTCGTCTCATTCATGACGTGCGCTGCCACTTGGTCTCGTCGCCGTTCGGTGCGCCATCCTCCGCGTCAAGCTCAGCTGCTGTCCGGGTCCGACCAGCGCCTTCACCGAGCTGGTTGGCTTCCCCTGCCTCTTCTTCTCCTCCTCCACCGACGACCGTCATTCCCTCCGGCATACGGAAATTCCCATTCTCATCCATAAAATCCGCCATATTCTCCGACGTGATCCAACCCCCGGCGCCAGGCGCTGTCTGATCTTGCAGAAAATCCTCCCCATCTCCATCTTCTGAAGGATCCGGATCCGGGTTGAGTTCCTGGCAATCCGAAATGGCTCTGAAGAGGGCCGTAGCAGCGTCGTCCCTATTATGAGTTGTCGTGGTGCCATTTGCTCCGGCGCCGGCGGCTTGCTCTTCGGATTCGGGTGCTGGTTCTGGTGCATGGCGTTCGATCGCACCGGGGAGGATCCGCAGTTGGACGAATTCCAGCTCTTCGTCGGGCGTGTCTGCGTCCGAGAGGTTGAGTTCGAGGAGGACGGCCTGGCCTTCTTGTGCGGTTACGGTGATTGTTTGGTACGGGATTTGCAGGCCGGAGGTGTGCGCGGGCGAGAAGAGGGTGAGGTTTCTGCCAAAAATGTTAATTGGAGACTTCTTGGTGGTGGGGGTGGTGGTACTGGTTCGCTTCGCGCGTACCTTGACGAAACCCAGACGTCGACGCCTGCAATATGTAGAATGCCATCTTCCGCAGACGCAGGAGGATTGCTTCCACCAGTCAGGCGCTTGAGATCCGGCTGCGCTGCGAACTGCTCATGCGAGATCTTGATGGTCGAAGAGGTGACTTGGAGATGGAGGACTGGTCTGCCGCCGAAGAAGGTTCTCGGTGTCTGTTCTTGGTGTTCGGATAGCAGCGCAAAGTCTGCGATCGCTGGTGTTGTGTCGATCGTTTCGAAGGCCATCTTGGGTGCGTTGTTGTAATTTTCGTTTGCGCATTCGAAGCTTTCCCGTCTCGACCAAAAGCTCTGCGCTCGGTGGTTCAATTCCACGGTACGCTAAGATGTTGTGCATCGTTAGCGCTGCGCTAATGAATCTTGCCCTGCCAAGACCGTTTCCATCTCTCTGTCATGACGACTTCACGTCTTGCAATAGATGGACACATCATCGTGTCTTCTTACATGGTCGGCCGCCCACAAGTGCTCGCCACGGTTTCATATACCGTGGTCTCAGGGGGGGAGAAAACTATGCACGACTTGAAAAAGTATACTTGGGACGAAGTCGTTATTAATGATGCCTTCATATGAGATGTTGATTACGAGATGTTGATTACGAGATGACTCGAGATTCATTGCTTTGGAATACCGTGAAGGCACATACGGAATCAAACTACCCCTGAATCATTTGATCAGCTCTAGAAAGAAAATCCTACCCAGACATTGCACACGCACGCGCCGCAATCAGTAATCAGTGAAGTCTAGCTAAACAGGACCCTAGGCCAATCCTAGATACAACTCCTTCCATGGCAGTCCACATCCTCCCCAAAATTCCACACCGCGACGAAAATCTACCTCCCTCGGGAAGCATCCAAGATAGCTCCCTTACCCTTCGGACGACCGATGCAAGGAGAGAGCCCCTCATGCTAGCCGTAGCAGCCTCAACAGGCGAATGAATCCACATCCCATCCTGCTGGATACACTCGTCGAAAATCTTCATGTACGAATTCCCATAGAGCCGTCAAAGTCATCGGGTTCGAAGAGAGTCGAGTTGACGGTATTGGGGGATGCATTTGGCCTGAAGTCTTGGGACGTATTCGTCGTAGAGGTGCAAGTGGGCGCATGACGCTTGAGTAGTAGAGGAACGCTGCGCCGGACCGCGAGCCGGCTTCATGGAAGCGTCGAGACCGGGCGGCCTGGATTCGAGGCCGGGGTGCTTGGCGAGAGGCAATGCCAGCCTTGCGAGCAGTGTTGCTACCTTTATTCTCATTCCCACCAGCTTTCATCCCGTTCCGAGCCTCCTCGGGGAATCATGCGTCGTCCTCCACAGGGTTATGATGGGTTTGCCACAGCCTTCTGGAGAACGATGGTGGCGCAGGCTTCGAGGCCCGGGGGGGGCGATGTCCTCCTCGTACCGGAGTCCGGAGTAGAGGATCTGAGTATCATCGACGACGTCGCTGCCGGCGGAGACGTCTGGGTGTAGATAGAACGCGGTCAAGTCGTGCTTGCCACCATGGAAAACGACGGTACGACCGTCGAAGGATCTCCTTGCACCAGGGCTCGACCGTCTTGGCCGGAGGTACCGCGCCAGGAGAAAGAACCCAGTCAAATGTCTCTCTCGTCCACCTAAAGTCAGCACGAAGAAGATGAGCTGCTCGTGCTTCGGACCGATGCGTGTCCGGTAGTACGGCCGAGACCCCGCTAGATGGGGGGGTAAGAGACTTGAAGAGTAGTATTAGAAGAGCTGGAAGGCGGACGTAGTGTCCGACAGCTGGAACTGTGAGAGATGACGGTACGGTCGGCGAAAGCAAACCCTTCTGCTGTCGGGCGAGATTGGGTTGCGGGCGGGCGTTATGGGAGAAGATTCCGAGCTCTATGACGCTGTTGCGCAAAAGAGGTGATTGATTTGGTCCCAGCTGCTCAAGCGAATCTAATCTCTCAAGTGTAGATCCAGCATATAGAATCTTATCTTGTTGAGGACCAGAATGGCCCAAACGTCAGCAAGGCCCCCGAGCGAGCTGGACTATCTCGTTGCAATGATTTACTGGTTCTGTACGGCAAAGAAGTAAAGACTCTGTCAGCAAAAGACAACAGCGAATACTCACCGAGATCATCAAGCCAAAACGACCCAGAACAAGGTCAAGTGGAAGAAAGTCTCATGCATTCCATCGTAACGGGGGCGTGTGCCCATCTACATGTACAGTCTACCCGGAGCCCTGTGCCGATGTAACAACTGCACCAGCCCAAAGGCGCTGCTCTAGTCTATCATGTCCACTGACCTGTATGTTTACAAAGTAACCCACCCAAGCGCCAGTCCCACTATCCGTCTGTCTATGTCTTGCGGTACCAATTGACGCCCCATCCGAACAGACGGTAGACCGCAATGATGCCGATCATGATGCCAACCCACTTGCCCTCTCTGCCGAGCGGGTAGCCGTAGGTCGAGAGGACCGAAGTGCCCTCGATCTTGCAGGGATCCGTCGTAGAGCTGGGAAAGCTGCAGTAGCAGGATCCGGATCCAGTAGACGCGCAGCGGTAGTCGCGGGCCTTGAACTCGTTGACCATCATGCCTTGGAAGACGTAGGCCTGGTAGTCGATGTAGTGAAAGACGTACTTGTAGAATGGGTTAAGAATGGGCATTGCAACCAAGAAGCCGCCGACACTCATCCAGAGTCTATTGCCATTGTCAGTACAAGTCTCTTCGCTTTCCGGGTGGGATTGCTTACCCGTTTGCGAAAGCGATCAGCGCGAGCGCAATGACGAAGTTCGGGAAGATTGAGGACATGAAGACAACGAGCGACTCCGCGGCGAGCAGGTCGAGGAAGAGCCACATGACCCACTTCATGAAAGTGCTTCCGTCCGAGCGCAGATTGATCATCCAGTATGAGAACACCGAGAATAGTACTGCAAAGATGACTTTGAAAAGGAGGTCAGCGGTTTCAAGACCGGCCGCGTGTTGCGTCAGCGGACTTACATAGGTAAGGAAGACCAATGATGAAGTTGGAGATCATGAATGCGGTTGGCCCGTAAAGACCGTTGGCGCGCTCCTTGACGAACGTGGCACGGTCCTCGAGGAAGGCTGGAACGTAGGCGACGGCCATGAAGGACATGAATGCGGAGCCGAAGAACTAAGCAGTATCAGTGTGTGTGCATCTTCGTAAGCTCCACATTCGACTCACAATAGCGTTGATGAATGGCTGGATGTTCTTCTGAGCATCGGAGAGGCGAAGCCACACGGTGCCCATCATGATGGAGAGACCCATGTACATGGCGAGCCGCACCCAGTAGGCGAGGTAGTCTCGGTTGCTCTTGATGAAGGATCGATGAAGCAGCGTGATGACCTGAGAGATCAGGTTGGAGTGCTTGACGGGCTTCATGGGAGAGCACATTTCGCCGCGTAATTGCAATTCGGGGCCGTCCAGCGCATTCAGCTGCTCTTGGAGATCCGTAGCACGCTCCGAGCTCTGCCACTCTTCGTAGATGTGCTGCAGTCTGGAGGGACCGTCAGCGGAGTTGAAGTCGGCATTGGTGAGATCCAGCATGTGCTCGGCAGGGTTGGTGAGGTCCGGGATGGGCATTTCGATACCACGGAAGTATTGGGACACGTCCGCAACCGAGCCGAAGTAGCAAGTCTCGCCTTTGGAAAGCAGCAGCACCTTGGAGAAGAGCTCGAGAGTCTTTGTGGAGGGCTGGTGGATGCTGGCAATCACGATCAACTGTACGGTACGAGTTGGTTAGAAAAGGGGTGCGGCCCGCGGTCGATGGAGAGGTCGGACTTACGTTGTTCCTCCGTGCAACGCTACGAATGAAGGACATGACCTCGAAGGAGGCGGTCGAATCCAGGCCGCTCGTGGGTTCGTCGAGGTAGAGGATGCGCGGGCCGGTGATGAGCTGGGTGGCGACGCTGACTCGGCGCTTCTGGCCACCTGAAATGCCCTTCTGGATGGGAGTGCCAATGAGAGTGTTTGCCTGGGCGGTGAGACCGAAGGCGTCGATGAGCTGCGCGACACGAGTGCGAGACTCATGTCGGGTAATACGACTGGGATGGGAGTCAGCATGTGATTCATCCTTGGGCTTCCGACGTGCGTACTCACCCCGCGAGAGCCAAGCGTGCAGCGAAGTCGAGGGTCTCCTCGACCGTCAGGGCGCCGATGAGAGTATCCTCCTGTTCAACGAAAGCGCTGAGGACTCGATGGGCGGCGAGTGGGATCTCCTTTCCATTGACTAGGACGGCGCCCGCGTTGGCCTTGGCGCGCTGGGCGAGGGTGTTGAGCAGAGTGGACTTGCCAGATCCGGAAGGTCCCATGAGAGCGAGCACCTGCCCAGGCCTCACGATCCCCGAAGACCTGTGAAGGATATTGCGAGCCTCTCGCGTGTGACGGTCGGATACGGTGACGGTGAGGTCGCGCCATGCCAGGCTGGTGACGTCGTGGTTGAGGAAGAGATTGCCGGTAGAGGAGTGCTTCTCCAGGTCAATGTCGTCGAGGGCGACTTTGGGATGGCCGTGCTTGGCGGTGGCGGTGGCGGTGGCGGTGGCAGTGGGAGCGGAAGGCATGATCAAGAGTTCCACGTCGCTCCGGTATGACTCGCGCGGTGGCATAGGAGTGGTACCTTGGGGAACGGAAGGAGCGGTGGGAGCGGTGGGCACTTCCCTGATAAGGCCCTGGCGTCGGCGTCTGCCTTCTCTCCCTTCACGTGCGCAGGAGCGTACCTATGTCGATGGATGGATGGATGTTGCCGTCGAGCTCTCTCGAGAGCGAAAAGTAGTAGTATAGGATGGATCGAGCAGCTTCCCGGGGCATTGCCGCATTGTTGTAGTCCAATCGTCCATCGCCCGCGGGCTGGCGCGTTCGGTCAGCAAACGACGGCCAAACGGCGAGTCTGCTCAGCGAGCGGGAAGGTGCAGTGGTGACCTGACCTGCCCGCCGCCTGCTGTCGTCGGCGGGACGGTGCAGGCCGAGCAATCCGTGACATCTCCCGCCATTCAAGTTGACTTGGAAGTTGATTCGACTGATTAGCATCCCCGCCCGACACCTCGCGTACCACCGCTCCGCCGGGGCACGCTCGAGCGCCGCGGTGATGATTCGCCGTGTGTCGATCGCCCAGCAGCGATTGCTCGTGCGAGCCGGTCGCCGACCTTCAGCCTGGCTCGTCATCCCGTCAGGACGCCGATTACCAACAGACGCCGGAGTTCACGCGCGGGCGCGGCTCCAGCTCAGCCTGGAGAGGGCCCTAGTGAAGATGGGAAGATGGAGTGTCCATCGCAGCTGCCATGATATCGCCAACACATGCAGGGCGGTATAGATATAACCTGGGAGGTGGACTCACCGACGGACAGATGAGATCCATCGGTGCGTGCATATGTCGCGTGACAGACGCGCATGTACTGGACAATAATGCCCTGCACACTGCCAAGACCGCGACGTGCAACCTCCACCCATCCCGGTGCCTCGCCGCCTGTCCCCCCACTTGCCCACCACCCGCCTCTCATATCAACCACTACTCTCGCGTAACTTGAATGGCACGGCACGGTGCAGCACAATGTCTGTACAATGTTACTCTCCGTGACAGGAACTGCAAGAAACCTGCATCTTGTGTATGGCCACAGGCACAGTACTATCGCATCTCACAATGCTAACAATGCGATGCGTACAGTGTCTTCAAGTCTCGGGTCTTACGCCCGCTACCTTATGCGGTAGACGTTGCCTCGACCAATCATCTTTCCAACACGGCCGTCTCCGCAACGCAGGCACCTCCGGCTCGCCATCCGAAATCCAAAATCAACCGGAGCCGCCCGGCTCGGCTCTCTTGGCATCCGGATGTGTGACCTCAAAGACATATGCTGCAGCACACAATAAAGACGCCGTTACCATAGCCGGGCGGCAATCGTCTTACCGTCCGATGTGCGACTTGCTGGAGGATCTTCGCAGGGCGGACATCCTCCTCGACTCGGTTTGGAGTAGGCACTAGGCGCCGATCACGTCCATTTAAGTGCTTACATATGTCTCTTCCAGTCTAAATCAACTCCACAGACACCTCTCCTCCGACACCAGGTACAATGTCTTACTCCGACGTGCTCTACATGCCATGACTGCTCAACACGGCGAACAACTGCAATGCTATTAGGATGGCACCTGGCCGGCCGAGGGGATGGAGTTCTACGCCGGGTGGCGTGCGAAGGGGAGGGTGAAAGGGAAGGAGAAGGTAGAGCTCGATGGAGACAGGTGAGTGTCACAGCCCATGGTAGGGAGCTCTGAGGAGATTCTGCTTGCCTTGCAGATTTCATTCCTCTATGTCTATGTCTGAATCTATCCTCTCTCAAACCAGTCACGCAAAAAGGGAGCAAATACGCATACTCTCCATTAGACCCGGGCCTCCCAACAATCGAGAAGATCAACAATAGCCTTGGAAAAAGCTCAATCATGCAGTCGGTAAAAATTGCTAGACGTCACGCGACCAAGTACGCTCAAAGATACGTACGCTCGTGAACACTACTGTCCACCACCACCACCACCACCACCACCACAGGGAAATGACCATTTCCTTATCTATCCAACGCCCCGCCTCCTTTTCGATTTCGTATAGTACACCCTCCCCCTTTTCCTCCGCACCGAAAAACCTGCCTGGAGACATCATGTCCTATTCCCCCCCTCGCGATCGAAGCCATGGAACGTCTCAGTCTTCAGAAGTGGAATGAAGAAAATCCTCGTCCTTTCTTCGAAAAGTGTCAGGATGAGGGGGGGGAGATGTTATAGGGTACGGCAATGATTTGCGTGCTGTTATGGAGGACGATGAGAGTTGGGAGGACGCGGGGCAGGTTCGGGTTGATGAGGAATGTTGGGCGGATGGATGTAGAGGAGATGAAGGGTCATCGGGTAGTGAATTCTGAATGAGGGAGGCAGCGTATAGGGGCGCGGCCTAAAGGGTGGAATTTGGGGATAGGGGCGTGGGAGGCGAAGGGAGTTGGGGATATATGATGAATAGAGCTTTTCCTGACGACGACGACGACGACGACGAGGCACGATGCCTTTGTTAATTTGATATATCATACAGATTTGATTCAACATGCAGACTTACCAGGCAGCTGTCTACTGCACCTTCCCCTTCCGCACTCCGCACGACGCGAGGCTAGTACAACCTGGCTGTCTGTATAGATAAATCCCCTTCTCCACGTAGAATTCGCTTTGAGCTCACTGCAACTCGTCGTCCGTCAGCACGGCAATGACCTCTGTCAACTCCGCTTCGCCGTCTGAAACCGCGGTCGCAGTCGTCGAGAAATTGAAGCTGATTGCGATGCCGAGCGCCGAGACTCCTGCGCCTAGAGATCTTCTGGCTACAACTTACACAGCACCAGTCCAGGTCACTCCCTGGGTTCGTGTACCTGCTCGCCGGAACGAAGTTGCCGTCGCGAATGCTGATGAAGAAGCTCCCAAGAAGGGCGGAAAGTTCGTTCGGAAGCGCTGGACTAATCGACTGGGTACTCGAAGGCGGATGTCTGTGCAGTCTTGACCCGCAATGCGTGATCCGAGAGATATGAGAGAAGCGTTTTCGAATTGAAAATGCGTCAAAGGTTGTGGACGCAAGGAGTATTGGTCTGCAATACGTTTAGCGGATACCCCTTGGGTTGAATTGGCGTCTGCTTGATTAGCGTGAGTTCGACAGTGCAGTCATATTGTACATGCCCATTGTCATCTCTCATCATAGGCCCATGAAGCCTTCCTTAATCCTTCTGCTTTTGCTGCTCAAACATCTCCAACCATTTCTTCACAATGCGAATCTCCCTATATCAAAGAACGTCAGCGTACCAGGTCAATGACCGCAAGAGGGAGGGAGAAATACACTCACCACAAATGCGCCTCCCGAATGAAGTCCGGCTCCGCCGACACATTCTGAATCCCATAGCTATCCCACCCATGTCCAGCGCCAGGAATGAGCAACTGCGGATGAAGATACGCCTCCTCCGCACTCGCCGTCACCCTCTCCGGCGCGTCATGCGAATGGTAGCCCAGATCCAACCACACATCCTGGTCGCCATCGATATAGGCCAACCGCGGTGCGGAAACGTCGTAGCCGCCATATTTGTTCGCCCACCAGAGTTCCGGCGAAGGCGGGATCTTGTTGTATTGGCCGGGAGGGAAAGCCCATTCGCACCACTGTTGGGTATGATCTGCCTGGACGACGCGAGAGAGGAGGGTAGGGCCGTGCAGGCGCGCGGCTTGGTACGATCCGATTTCGGTACAGACGGTGTAGAGGTAGGATCTGTCCTTATCATTCGTGGTATTGGCCCAGTACGCGGGATCCTGTGTGCCGAAACAAGCGCTACTGTCAATGGGGGCGCCGTTGCAGGTGGGAATAAGCTGCATCTTGATATAGTTGGCATAATTGCCAAGATTGGTCCACGGCTCGCCGTTAGTGTACGGTGCGAGTTCATAGTCCACTTGAGGAATATTATGCGGTGCATCCAGATTCGTCACATTGCGGCAGAAGTACCAAAAGTCCATGTCCGATTGGGCTGGGTCCCAAATCAGCTCTTGCCATGTGCTGGTCGGGTAATACAAAGGACCTCCAAGTGGGAAGGCTATAGTCATCGCGAAGTCGCGGTTGTCTTTCAAGGCCTCGAGACCGAATATGCTTTTCATGTGATGGATTTGCGATGCATTTCCGTGAGCGAAAAGGTAGTCGATATTGTCGATAATGGCGTTGATACTCCCGATGCAGTCCTGAGGCCCGAATTTCTGGATTGGATCGTAGAATTCGACATAGGTATGTTTCGCTTTGATGGTCCCGCTTGTGCAGATACCTCCCCATAGCAATGGCGAGTATGTCTTCAGGGAGTACGCTGTCTGTGCACCTGCGTTACTGCCTCCATACAGAATCCACGGTGTACCAGGCGCCTGGAGAGAAGCATTCACGCCGGGAAAGACGGCATGCTGCGCAAAGTAGGCATTGTCCGCAATAGCTACATTCGCTTGTTTAGTACTTGGAGATTCGGTCGCTCTCTCGAGACCTACTTTGCTCGATGGTTAAGAAGCGCATCTCATCCGTCGTAGATGTGTTGTAAGGATAGCTCTTGCCATAGTATCTGTTCTCTAAGATCACACCAATGCCATTGGTAGCTTGCATCAATATTTGAATGACTGGGAGAATTGCAAGGTTAGCATTCACACATTCGCAAGAGAAAGGGTAATTACTGCCAGTTCCCATTTTGCTGAACGAGCCCTCGCCCCTCCCCTCTCCACCAATGTACAGGAAGACCGGCCCTCCCGGTTTGTAGTATGAGCTGTCAAAGAAGTATCTTTGGCTGAAAGTGGCATTCGTGTGCGGCTCATATCTCCCGCTATTCGGATAATGGTCAATCTGCAGAGCATGCATCAGTATCGCGATCAGGCATCTTCTGTGTCATACTTACAGGCTGGTCGATCGTATGAGCAGGATACTGAGTCTTGCTATGCCTGTAAGTGCGAGCAAACGCAGAGCACGTGAGTGCCAATGCGAGAGCTAAGAGCTTCATTGCTGCTGTGGAGCTGTTGAGGATTCGATATGTCGAGAAACAAGAGGTCGACAAGTGTCAGTCAGCAAGATTCAGGCATCAGGGAATACGAGAGTTCAAATCCCTAAACTCCAATGCCATCGGTAAAGCCAGCATGCTAAATTTGCAAATGCATAAGCAGATCGTACCTCCGTAAGGATCATCCTCGATGCAGAGCAATGCTAAGCAAACTACGATCTCGATCCGCCGAGCTTTTAAACGAAGTTTGTACAACATATTTCTCGATCGGATCATTCTTTGGACCTCATACTGCTTTTGGTATAAGACTGGACTGCCGTGGCCGCAGTTTGTACTAGGACAGTTGTGTGTATAGAGAGGCGTTCTCAAGTGCCCCAGGTCTGCTCTGAAACTTGGCTGCCGGCTGTAGTTATATCTGTACCAGGACGTGCATATGCGCCGCGCTATGATCTTTCTACCATGTCGTATCTATCATCAGGAGCATGGTTCAAACTCAAGACTTGCCTTGAAATTTTGATCTGTTCAGCTCTTGTTCTCCTTGTCTGCGAAATCGGAGGCCTGCAGATTCCTCGTCATCGAAGGTAGCTTGACGACTAGACCGTCCAGTTCCTTGCTCATTATGACTTGACAACCTAGCCGGGACGTCTCCGTTAAGCCGAAAGCGAGATCAAGCATGTCGTTCTCATCGTCAGAAGGCTCCTCCTGCCATTGATATTAGTCCCATGCTCAACAGCTTTGGTTTGTTCCCGTCCGCTGTAGCGATTGAATCGTGCAAGATAGCCTTACCATCGAATCGTACATCTCATCGTCTCTTACAATGACATGACAGGTACTGCACGCACAGCTACCACCGCATGCACCCTCCATCTCCAAGTCATTGGCTTGAGCAATGTCTAGCAGATTGTCTCCGTCCGCTACTTCGAATGTGTGCTCTTGAAGCTCCTTGTCGATGAAAGTCACTCTTCGCTCTTCACCGGGCTTTGGAGGAGTGAGATCACCGTGCTGCCACGGAGTGGAGGTCGAAAAGGCTCTTCGACGAGAGGTGGGTGTAATCGGTTTCCGAAGATGCTGCTGTTGGAGTCGGGGGAGGCGTGATAATTGTGGAGGCGTCGACCGACTCGTTATTGACCGCTCTGCTGGTGTTTCTGTATGTAAAGATTGCCGCTGACATTTAGGTTGCCATCTGCAATTCGCTCTTTCCTGGAATGCGCTTCGAAGGATGGTCGATGTCGTCCGTGAGCAAGTGCTTCGTACCATGATGATCGTGCGAATGTCGAGGAGATTTCCGCGTTCTTTCCAACTTCTTCGCGAAGTCTGTGTCGAACAGTTCGCACGTGATGCTCGTGGTAAGCAGTTTCAAAAGCAAAAGCTGTGGATGAATGAATGTTCGAAGCAGCCCTCGCCGGCCCAAGCTTTTGGTGCCAAGCCGGGAGAGATCGACTTGCCCGCATCATGAGCCAACGACTTGGAGCTACGAAACGGTACCAACCTGCGACAACATCACCATATCGAACAACCTGCTGCTTCAATCTTGGACGTGGGCCTTGCTATACCTTCCACGATGGACAGAGACCGTTTCCCGATGGCGCCTTCGCGCGAACCGAACCCGCTGCGACCTTACTACACACCGCCATCGATAGGATCTCATACTCCCGCAGCATCGGCCTCACAGACACCGCATGCCGCAAGGGTGAATGCAGGGCGCTCGAGCGCGACAATATCGAATTCAGCTCGAGACTACTTTCCGGAGTTGGACATCGACCTCAAGTCGACGACGAGTGAAGCTTGGCAGCATACGCGGGGCTTGTTTGACACGTTAGCATGGCGCTACACATCTGTATTGCTGGCGCAGCCCTTCGACGTCGCCAAAACAATACTACAGGTCTCATATCCGCCATCTGGCGCAACGACAGCTACGCCGCAAAAGAAGAGATATGGGCAAACGAGTAGCTATGCGGGTAGCAGCAGAGGTCGAGGACGTGATCGGTACGATGACGAGACGGACGAAACAGACGAGAACGACAGTGAGAGCGATGATATCCCAGACTACTTTTCATCGACGGCACCGCGAAGTCGCTCGCCCCGGAAAAGGAAGAGGACCCCTCCTAGCGACGACATGTCTCTTTCTCCCACTCCTCGGCCGAGAGACCGTAGGGAGCAGCACACTGGCGACGAGTTCAAGCTGCGAGTGAAGAAGCCAGAGAGCGTCATGCACGCCATATCTGCACTCTACAATACCTCGGGGGCTGTTGGTCTGTGGCGTGCCACGAACACCACATTCCTGTACTCTATTCTCCTGAGAACAACGGATTCTTTCATTAGAAGTCTGCTACTCGCGATACTCGGTCTCCCCGACCTATCAGGACCAGACCAAGGAGGCCTGGCGCCAGGTTTGAGCTCTGGAGGTGGCGCTGGTTTCAGCGGGATTGATTTGAGCGAGAGCCCAAATGCGATAGGGTCCTTGATCGTTGTTGGCCTGGCGGGCTGCCTCACAGGGCTCATGTTAGCCCCCTTGGATTTGGTTCGCACGCGACTGATTGTCACCCCAATGTCGGTCCCTCCACGAGGCTTGGTGCAGAACCTGCGAAGACTCCCATCTCTGCTCGCGCCTTCCGATCTTTGGCTCCCAACGGGACTTCTCCATACAGTCCCCAACATTTTCTCAGCTGCGGCGCCGCTTTTTCTCCGGAGACAGATGCAGATCACGCCAGAGCTCACACCGAGTCTCTGGTCAGTTGCATCGTTCGCGACCAGCCTGACAGAACTATTCATCCGTCTACCACTGGAGACCGTCGTGCGAAGAGCTCAAGTTGCGTCGATTGTCAAAACACAGCCAGAGGCTCCTCTGGTAATTGACCCTGCCCCATACGTAGGCGTGTGGGCAACATTCTATTCCATTATGTACACAGAGGGTGAGACAACCACAAAGGCTCCAAGTGGCATGCTACGCACTCGGCGCGGACAAGGCGCGGCGGGATTGGCACGGGGATGGAGAGTGGGTTTCTGGGGCCTTGTGGGTGTTTGGGGAGCAGGCGCTCTGGGTCCAGGCGAGCCGAAGGGAAGCAGAGGCGGACAGTTCTAGTGGAGCGTGGTGCGTGGATTTTTTGCTCAATTTGCTACAGATGATACCCCGTACCTTATGAGGATGCAAGTAAATACAGCATCGATTGTAGTTGCTTAATGATATACTCGACTCTGGTTTTATGAATTTGGTGGGAAAGTACCCTTTCTTGCTTCTGGGTGGTGCCATTACCTTTCGTTAGCGGCGTGGTACCTTCCTGTCCGTATTCACTTAACTCCTAGGTAAGACTCCTAGAAAACGGCAAAATCTACGAATATTCTATCTATATACCCAGTCACGAGTTCGAATACCTTACTTTTCGCTACATATTCGTGGGCAATGACGCCTTCCTGCTGTCCTAGCTCCACACAGTCGGCGCGATGAGCGTCAGGTGCAATGCAGACTCACTCAGAATTCTGGTATTGTGGACGAGGGTGTCATTCCTGCTCCAAAGGACGGTGAGGCGACGAATTTGCAGGTGATGACGCTGAAGGATTTCGATTGCTTCATGCGGGAACATTGGAAGAGAAAAGAGATGCACGGATGAGCACCTTGCGTGGGCGATGGAGGCGGCTTCTTTGGATTGAGGAATTGGGTGCGACCTCGTCTCCAGCAGACAGGCCCAAGTACGATTTGTGAGATGGCGGGTAGTGAACCTCAACGCTGAATGCCTCCGCCTCGCTCAGAAAGTTTCTGATTGTGATTCTACTGCATGGCCGGCATCTCCAGTCCCGATGGCAGGTATAGTATGTCCCACTGATATGAAGCTATCCAAGGCATAGTCTCGCTCATGGCTAGTGATTAACTACGTGGTATTTCTTCCCGAAATCTTCAAACGCACCGCAAGAGCAAGACATAACGCCCTGCCACGGGTGCTCGCCGCGCTTTCAAATGGAAGATCCAGACGGAGATGAGAGATTCCTTGGTTATTGTAGGAGGAGAGGACGCAGGACGTGAAGCCGCAAATTCTACCCGGCGGCGCACGGGCCCCGCCCATCGCACGTGACTAGATTTACCACGAAGCTGTCACTGATTGGCCGATTGGTCCGCCCTCGGCAATACGTTATATCCAGACATCATCACCTCCTCCACCTCTATCGCGCGTTCTCTACCTCGATTGAAGCACTACGGAACCATCATGCTGGCCCAGAGAGTTGCTCAGCAGTCGCTGCGGCGGTGTAAGTGCAGCTGGGAGCATTGCTAGGGGAGAACCTTTCGCTGACAGTCCTTACAGTAGCCGCAAAGCCCAACAATGTCTACCGATTCGCAGCGCCGGCAGCAGTCGCCATGGGAGTCTTTAACAACGGTAGCGTACAGAGGAGGTCAGAAATATCAACGACGATGGTGTAGTCCTGTCTCTGACAAGCCTCCAGACTCGTCGCCGCGCAAACCGTCACAGAAGATTCCGCCCGGGACAACATCCTCGGTATGAGAAACCACAATCCCATAAGCAAAAGAGCAAGGAACAAAGACCCTAACACCATATGCCTACAGCGAACCAACGCCTCAACCGCCCCGTAGCACCCCACCTCGCCATCTACCGCCCCCAGATCACCTGGTATCTCTCCGCCCTGAACCGCATCACAGGCTGTGCTGTAAGCGGCGCCTTCTACCTCTACGGCGCCCTCTACCTCGTCGCTCCGATGCTCGGCTGGCACGTGGAATCCGCCGTCCTTGCGGCCTCGTTCGCTTCGTGGCCGATCTTCGCACAAATCCTGACAAAGGTCACGCTTGCGCTGCCGTTTACTTTCCATTGCTTGAATGGTGTGAGGCATTTGGTTTGGGACACTGCTAGTATGGTAAGATTGTTGGAAGCACGAAGATATGAGTCAACGCGTGCTGATTTGGGGCACGACAGATTACAAACAAGAAGGTCAACCAGAGCGGATGGGTAAGTAGAGAGGTCAGCTCGAAAGCCCCGTGAATATGCTAACAGGAAAACAGTTCGTCGTCGGTGCCAGTGTGGTCAGCGCACTTGCCCTTGCCTTCATATAGATAGCAAATCGGAAATCAGGATTTTTCCGCCATACATCCCGGGCGTATACACGCTCCAATATCACGCATCATGTTGCTGCAGACCCTTTGAGCAGCACCAGATTCTGCGCAACATAACTCCCTCAAGCACTGCTTGTGCATAATCAAGCCCAATTTCAAGCTACCCAACCCAGAGAGAAGACCGCAACCGAACGGACTTCACATGCGAAAATTGTGCTCAGCGCCTAGGGCTTGCCGGCCCAGGTCGTCCTGCTCCACTGTGGAACCATCGTCATTCACTGGTGGAAGACTCCGCTCTACTTGCGCTGGCGTGAAAAGCTGCAGCACACGCCAATTTCCAGCAGCTTGGCTTTGGTACAGCATCTTTTCGGAAGTCGGTTCTTCCAGTGGATACTCCTGACTCAACAACAAGCAACGTCCAATATCGCCTGCCAGTTCGCTTGCATGCAGCTCCGACGTCCGATTCTTGAAGTACGAGTGGTCTTTAGCTGAAATTGCTCACTGATTAAACCAGACAAGGACAAAGCTAGATTTGGTAACAAGACCTCCTTGGCATGAGGCTAACGAGCGCACAGATCGTTCGTTCGGCTGCTTGGTGGCCGCCGTCGACAACGCCAGCCGACCAGGGACACGGGATGGAGTGGGTCCTTGAACGTCAAGTGGTGTGCGACACCTTCATGCCGGACGGCACGCTTCTTCCACGAGACTCAACTGTTGCTGTTGATGCTTCCTCAATGTGGGATCCTGAATTTCACGCTGATTCCTGCTGCTCTGGTGGCTATCGATGATTCTAGATGCGTGAATGTGGCGATGACCGTACTGCCTTTATATCATCCACCAAGAAACATGGCGTGTTCGGTAGGAGAAGGCACATCTGCCCTGGGAGATTTTTTGCGGACTTCGAGATCAAGTTATGCTTAGCTCGTATCCTGACTAAGTTCGACAGCAGACTGAAGGTAGACTTCAACCAGTGACGGTCGAGAATGGACTGTTCCAGATGGTAGATCCAGTGGCTCGGGTTGAAGTGCGAAAGAGGCAGGAGGTCTCTGATCTTCCCTTGTCGTAGAGTTGAGCTCAAGGATCGATTTTGCTTGCAAAATTCCGCAAACGCTCGCGATGGTTTGATGCAAGATTGAGGGATATGGGCAGCAGGGCTCTTGCTCTCCGGGCACCAGTAAGATGGAAAGCGACCGAACCGCACAGCCCCGACGACGGTCTGAGTCTGACCCGGTCTGGTTTCCTACTCCAGCTAGCGGTTCGGCAGAATCGGTCATGGACAGGACCGTGCAGGGAAGAGGACCGGGCGACTTGTGGGGCATCACGCGAATCTGGAAGGATCTCGATGCAGAAGATATGGGTCGTGTAGGTGCCGAGAAGGATGCTTGCGAGAAGAGAGGTCGAAAGATGGCTCTGACGCGATTTATTGAGGAGACGATGGAGTGGATGTGCATGGTGCCTTGTCAGGTAGAAAGAAGGTTGCTCATTGGACCGATGTAACTCCAATGGTCCGGGTAGGATGCGTTGGGTGGTTGTAGCAGACTTGACGATTGGAGATTTGGAGATGAAGTGTAGCTTTCCCATTCCGAGGCAGCGCCTTCTCAAAATGGAGATTGGACCGCACCTTCCTCTTCCTGCATCCTTGATACCGAGCAAAAGGCACAATAAGCTCAAGAGAGCACGTGTCTTGGCATTGGGAGAGTGCCCCTAAGAGAACCCTGCAAGTGGGCAAGAACGACTGACAGCGGAGCCACCGTGCGTCAGCGGGCACTGAGGACGGGGAAGGAACAACCGCGATGTCTTCAATTTACTTTGATGATAGTGGAAGTCGCCAACCGCGTCCATGGAGAGTGCTTGCGAATCTGACTTATGTTCCTTCCCCGTTCACGACAACACCATCCCGTCACTTTCCACGTGCTCCCAAGGATCCGCACCAGACACCATCACGTTCCACCACCTCCGTCGTAGAACATGTGCACGAGCATCGTCAGCGCATGCACGAGCATCGACTGAGCACAAGCACAAGCACAACCCCGCAACAGCAAGCAAGCGACAGCTTGTCATCAACAACGTGACCGGCGGCCAACCAGCCAACCGTTTCGCAGCCGCCCGATAGCGGATACGATAGCCGCAGACATGGGTTTGTTCTCGAGAAAGTCAAAGCCCTCGGCCAACGGCCAACATCACTCGTCGAACGGAACTTCAACTCCAAGATCTGTTCTGAAGTCCATCGACACCAACAACCCATCACAAATCATGTCGGATGTCCCGCTGCCTAGGGCTCCGGATCCAAATGCTGAGCCCGCCGCCTATCTGCGGAGCATCTATGCCGTGCGCGAGAGGAGCAAGCTGGTGCTCGAGAAAGCAAAGAAGAATCAACTGCGGCACTTCGATGTCGATTTGTCCAGTTTCTCGAACACTGCCGCCTATGTTGTTAGTATCATCAAGGTGAGTTGCAAATGTTACTTCGAGGCGTACGCTCATCAAATGCTAACACTGAGACAGCGAGACTTCGAGCCGGACTACGCAAAGATCCCGCCACATGGACGGTGGCAGCATTTTGAAGTCGGCGGGCGGCCTCGGGTTGATCAGCTTATGCAAAGCTGGCCCAGCACTGTCGACAGTCAGGAACGGACACGGCGGTTGATCGACCTTTTCCTGGTTTCAGTCCTTCTTGACGCCGGTGCAGGAACAAAGTGGCAGTACAAGTCCAAAGAAAGTGGCAAGTTCTACAGGCGGAGCGAAGGTCTGGCTGTTGCGAGCTTGGAGATGTTTAAGATGGGTCTCTTCTCAAGCCATGCCGACCAGCCATTCCAAGTGGATAGCCAAGGCTTGAAGAAGCTCACCACGGAGAAAATGGGCAAAGCTCTGCAAGTGTCGGAGGAGAATCCCATCGATGGTCTAGAAGGACGGACTAGTCTGCTCATTCGGCTGGGCGACGCGCTGTTGAATCAGGAAATTTTCGGCCCAGAAGCACGCCCTGGCAACATGCTCGACTACCTACTCAGCCACCCCACAACGCGTGCAACGTCAGTGCCGATGATTCCTCTTCCGACACTGTGGGATACGCTCATGAATGGGCTTTCGACTATCTGGCCAGCTACTCGCACACAGATCGATGGCGTACCTCTTGGAGATGCCTGGCCTTGCCAGTCAATGCCTTCGCACCCAACACATCCATGGGAGAACATTGTTCCCTTCCACAAGCTCACGCAATGGCTCACGTACTCCCTTATGGTGCCAATGCAAAAGCTGGCTCACGTTCATTTCGTTGGAGTGGAACTCATGACTGGTTTGCCGGAATACCGAAATGGCGGTCTCTTGGTCGACACTGGACTTCTGACTCTGAAGCCAGAGGACAGCAAGCGAGGCATCGAGCACTACCAGATGAACGCCACCCGTCAAGGGCAGCCCAACGTGGAGGTTGTTCCACTGTTTACAGCCGATGACGATGTAATAGTTGAGTGGCGGGCAGTGACTGTGGGCTTCTTGGATGAGCTGCTTGTGGAAGTCAACAAGCTGCTTGGCCTGAGTGGCGGTGACAAGCTTAGTCTCGCGCAAATGCTCGAGGCAGGTACTTGGAAGGTAGGTCTCCATGCTGTATCACCGATATTAACGCTAACACTTTCCAAGGGCGGCCGGGAACTCGCAGAGGTGTCACGTCCCAATACTAAAGAACCTCCGATCATGATCTTATCCGATGGCACAGTGTTTTAGCAGAGCTCTATGTTCGACGGCTGGGCTACTGATCCGCCCTACTGGGACGGTCCGGAGACTCTGGATGCAGGCATCTGGTCCACGAAACGCATGTCTGCAAGCCTAGACGGCGTCATGCATTCACGAAGCGGAAGTCTGGCGCGTGAGAGAGGGAATGGCACTTTGGTTCCGTGGTCAGAGGGGACCCATCCACTTCGGGCCCATCCCGTGCGGCACGACGACAGCACTGGAGCAAGCTATCATACCACCCGCTCTTCGGCAAACTCACGGGCCTAATCGAAGGGCAACAATTGAACGACAGAGGCAGTACAAGCAAGACACACACATTGCTCTTGAGCGAAGTATGAAGAGCATCAAAAAGTTTGCAGTCACCGTTACTCTTGGGAGGGATCGCTTGCAGCATGTGCTTTCACGGGAGCGGCGTCCTGGTAATGTTGAATGTGGAATGCGGAATGCGGAATGCGAGAGATTCTAAACGAGTCTTGCGCTGGCGAAACGAACGCAGCGAAAGCGTATAGACATGAGATAGACGACGGATACATTCTGCTTCTTGCGTGACAGTGGAGACGTGACAGAAGCGTTGCAAATCAAAACCGAGCTAGACTGAGTGCGCCTATCCTTAACTCTGCCAGCCATCTTCTGCTAATGCTTTCTCGTTGCTTTCTCGGATCTGTGCGATGAAGACGTCCCAATCCATCGGAATCTCAGGCAGGTTTGGCGTCGCATACCATTTCTCATCATCTTTAACTTCGGGAAATTCTCCCTTCCCAATCTTCATGATCTTCCTTCTTCACCAAAACAGCACGGCCCCGCATCTCTTCCTCAGTCTCCTATTCACCACCTCGAAATTTCTTCTTTTTGCTTTCTTGCTAGCAAGCGTTTCCCTTGGTCCGAATAGGCTCGTATGCTGGTCGTGAGCTGAGGTAACATTGTAGGTCTGACATCCTTGTGGTGTCTGACCGATTAAGATTGGTGAGGATGAGAGGGAAAAGAGAGTCCGATAAGGTATATTACTTGGCTTCGCCCATCATTACCATTGCAATGCGATCGATTTCCTCGCCCTAGAAGGATTCAGGCCAGCGATTGTCGCCTGCTTTGCAGAGGAAGAGGAGCAGTGGAGAAGGAGGATGTTACGGAATTCATGCTGGCCCGTGCACATCTTCGTGCATTCACTTACCGGCCCGGTCCTGGTCTTCCCCGCCAACTCTCGTCCTCCATCGGCCACATCGCCCGAGGCTATCGTCTCCCGGAAGCTCCTCTCACGGCATCTCCTGATCGTGTCAGATCAATATGTAAGCGCCTTCCGGATCTTATGGCAAAGTTGCCATAGGAGAGAACTGGATTTTGGAATTGGAATCGGTAGAGAAGCAAGATGCAAGCACCGCCGTTGCAGGGCATTCGGGTCCTCGAATTCGCCGGGTTGGCTCCAGGCCAGTGAAGCTATCTCACCATCTCGCATTTCGCGGTCTCTAACGACTCTGTAGGTCCGTATGCTGGCATGCTACTAGCAGACTATGGCGCTCAGGTCCTCCGTGTCGATCGTGCCCATCCCAATGCCTACGACTCCGAAAACCCACCCCCACCGACCAACGATCAGCTTACCCGGCACAAGACCTCGATAACCGTCAACACCAAATCGCCTGAAGGCATCGCTCTGATCAAATCCATCATTCCCAATGTCGACATCGTCATCGATCCCTTCCGTCCAGGAGTGCTTGAGAAAATGGGTCTCTCCCCAGAGAAGATACTCCTGAGGATCAATCCGCGACTGATCGTGGGCAGGATGACGGGATTCCGAAGAGATGGGAAATACAAGGACATGGCGGGACACGACATTAACTACATCGCGGTGTCTGGAGTTCTGAGTATGTTGGGAAGAGCGGGAGAAAAGCCACATGCGCCCGCGAATGTCGTGGGAGACTTCGCTGGTGGAGGTGCAGTGCTGTTCATGGGCATTGTTATGGCTTTGCTACAACGGGATTCGAAGACTGGACTTGGACAGGTTGTGGAAGCGAACATGGTTGATGGCTCTGCGCATCTCGCTTCCATGCCGAGGTTCTCTACCAAGACACCACTGTGGAATGCACCGCGCGGCACGAACACGCTTGATGGCGGTGCGCCGTATTACGATACGTACGAAACGAAGGACGGAAAGTATGTGGCCGTCGGAGCACTGGAGCCGCAATTCTACTCTGCTTTGCTGAAAGGATTGGAAATCGATCCTAGCAAAGAACGTTGGGTGAAGGATCGACTAAATAAGCAAACGTGGCCTGACCAACGAAATGCTTTCACCAAGATCTTCAAATCGAAGACGCGCCAAGAATGGGAGAATATCTTCGACGGTACGGACGCTTGCGTGACACCCGTCCTCTCGCAAGAAGAACTGGAGAAGGGAGGTTTTGATCAGAGACCTATTGTCACGCTGCAAGGTTCTCCGGGTCTGGCAATCTCCGACGGGGATGCGGATAAGAGGCCTTATGCTACGGGAGCGGGAATCGGAGTCGAAGGAGAAGGATGGAATACGCCTGGGCTGAGACCTGGAGAGGGAGGTGAGGAAACGCTCGCTCAATGGACTGGGTGGCATCGTGGCAGGCATTATCAAATCAAGGATGGAGCGATGGAGCTGATTGACAAGAAGAGCAGGCCGAGACTGTAGTGCGTCTGAAGCTATAATCGGAGTTCCATCTTCAGGCACCATATCTTAAGCATCTGAACCATGAGAAAAGAAATGCCAGCACATGGCCATAGACGTAAATTATGGTCGAAGTGCACTATATCGGCTACCTCCAGCTGCAGGTAGGTGCAGAGACCACGCGCTAATCTTACAGTACAAAGCTCCCGTCCTTCCCACAGCCTTCTTTGCTCAGCCTCGAAATCCATCCTTCCATTTCACCCGAGCTTCCAGATCCAAACCTCATCCAACAACGAAATGACGCTTTGTTCGTCCGCGGTCGAAGATGTGGCTCCTCAACGCAAGTACCCTCCAGCTTGAGCATTTCACCAGCGAACGAGACAAGTACGGCCGCTATGCCGTCCTTTCTCGCACGCCTAGCTCATCCCACTGGAAGACGAAGTCACGCTCTAAGATATTTTTGAAAACGGGAAAGACAAGCCTGGATATGCAAAGATCGAGCAGACATGTCGGAAAGCATTGGCTGACAAATTGGACCATGTCTGGGTCGATACTTGCTTGCTGCATAGGCAAGACCTCGAATGCCGAACTCTCTCCCAGGCCATTAACAGCATGTGCCGCTGGTACTATGAAGCCAAGTTCTGCCACGCCTACCTTGCCGATGTTGAACCCGGCGTGCCTCTGAAAGATTCGAAATGGTTCACAAGAAGCTGGACTTTGCAAGGAACTTATTGCTCCGGGCTACGTGGAATTCTACGACAAGGATTGGGAGCCCCATCGGAATCAAAACAGCGCCTCGCGGACCAACTCGCTGAGATCACCCCCGGATCGACATCAAAGTTCTTCGAGACCGCGCGACGTTGGAAGAGTGTTCAGCATCGCAGCTCGAATGGCCTGGGCGACTCTATCGGGAGACGTCTCGGGAAGAAGACCGAGCGTATAGCCTAATGGGCCTCTTCGATGTCAATATGCCGATGCTCTACGGAGAAGGGCCCAAAGCATGCATCAGACTCCAAGAGGAAATCATCCGGAACTCCACGGACCATTCCATGCTCGCTTGGACAGGCTGGGAACGTGAGCATTGCGCCCGGCTGGTTCTCACCTAGTCCAATTTGGCTTCCGTCTGGCGCATGATGTTCTGAGCTGGGAACAATCCGGGCATCGACGAGTCTTACGTTCTTTTCCAACAAGGGGCTAGAAATTTCATTGCCAATCAGTAGCCGGCCATACGTCCTTCTCAGCGGACCGTGTCGTGGCAGTGTTGAATTGCCAACACTCTGCAGCACCCATGACGCAGGTCGCGTTGTGCTTGAGCAAACAATCTCTTGGGAGGACCGTGCCAGCGAGGCATTTGACAAGCGTAGTCTGCCATGTGTTGACAGCTGTGCGTCCAGATGGAAGTATGGATAGTCTGCGAAATTTTGAACGAACATTCTTGTTTGAAGCCAAGTGGCAAGACTTGACGATTTTGCGAGAGCGTGGAAGAGCTCGAAGCAGAGCTCAAAGCGAAAATAAGCGGATCATCCACGGAAGGGTGCCACAGCTTTTTCTGGAAGAAGTACACCCAGAAGACGCTTTCGACAGCAGCAGTCGTGTCACAGAGCAGCTGTTGACCGGCTCAGAACAACATGACAGGGGTTGTGTTGTCTTTTGGCGAACAAAAAGTAACGAGACAGTCACTCTCGCCTTCGGACACCAGATCGCTTCTAGTGGAGTAGTGCCTCAGCTAAGCTTGACCAGAGGCCCTCTGAAGCTTCAGCTTATCCCTCACTGGCACACGTGGCTCGAGTAGACTTCAAGAAAGGCGTCTCGGAAATGTCGGCCCAAGCAAAGCACATTGTCGCCAATCGTCGAGCGCAGAGGTAGAATGGGTCATTGAGCTTGGTTTGGAACACTACTCCAAAATCTTCCAGCAGATTGTGCGAGACAGGAAGAGTGATACAGCCCGCTGACTGATTTACGATCCTTCTCTGCGCCTCAGACCCGCATTAAGTCCTTGGAACCTGCTGTTTGCAACCGCGTCTTCGCCGTCCTCGCCATTCTGAAGATTTTCTTGTTTCTCCTCGTCCTCCTTGACCTCGTCCAGATACACTCCCCTCCAACCCTTCTCCAACCCAAGCAACTTTCCATTGAGGAGACCCGCAATCGTAGCCGCCGCGTTGACTAACCAGAGCAAGACGAGCAAGACCGTCAGGACAGTAGACCAGACATTAAACGCGACGGAATCCAGAATCATGCCCAGCTCCACCGCGGCGTTGGTATACACTCCCCAGGGAAAGACCAGACTCCAAGCGGCCAGAATCTTAGTCCAGTGGAAAATCTCTTTGGGCGTCGTGACGAGAGCATGTCCAATGGCTATGCAAGCAAATGCCCACCAGAAAGTCCCGTAGCCCTGTAGGTAGTATCCACCATCATCATCAGCAAACATGTCCCTCTTGTCATCATCATCATCATCATCTGTAACCAGTAGGTAAGGTAGGTAACTCACCCAAGTAATCATGCCCAAAAACTGACTACTCTTCCCCACCGTGTCGTCATTTAAAAACGACCCCCCACCCACTTGCCGCGGCGCCTTCTCAATCACCACCCCGAGAATCATCATCGCAAAGCCCCCCTGCCCCAGCGGCCCGCAGAGAATCATCAACTTGAACACCTCCTCATGCACGGGGAAATGCCGATCCATCAAGCGCGCCAGAAACACCGCATCCACCACCACACTCAACGGCAACCCCAACCCGATCAGCAGAAAGGAAACCGCAACGACATCTTCCCGCTTCGCACCCGCCACATAGCTCGCCACGACGCCGCCGCCCGCCGCCGCCGTCAGCGCCGCGATCAGCGGCAAAAGGATCCCCGGCGGCACCCAGTCGATGCCCGGGCTGTGGACTTTGGTGAAGACGTAGGGCGTCCCCACGCACGCGAGCGCCGCCAGCGCCACGTTGGCCCACCATAGGCCCACGACGACGCCTTCGGCCCAGTGCAGGTTCAGCGCGATGTTCTGGATCAGGGTCGTATAGGAGATGACGATGGAGGAGAGGCAGGCCGTTTCCATGATGGCGGTGCGCAGCTGCGTCCAGACGTGGGCCGGGAAGAGGCAGCATCGGAGGAGGTAGAGGGCCAGGAAGGCGAAGAGGCAGACGGCGGTGAGGATGCCGCAGATGCGGGAGATGATGGTCAGGCCGGGGAATTGGTAGTGCAGTTGGTGGAGGACGACGGAGAGGATTCCGGTTCCCTGGGGGATGAGGAAGAATTGGGAGGTGAAGTTTTTGAGGGCCAGGCGAAGAGGAGAGATGCGTTGACGGCCGGGAGTAGTCATGTGATCGTGTTCGTAGTTGTAGTCGTGGTCCTTGTTGTTGTTGGCGATGGCAGCCATGATGGTCAAGCAGCGCCAGCTGCATATCTATGGACGAAACAAGGTGTTGTCGCGATGCGTGTTGTCAAAGTAGAACTATTGCGTCCCGCGACGTCATGCGGGAATCCCGCGTGTAGCGCATGTATTTCGTGACGACGATCGCCCACAACCGCGTAGCCGTTGTAGCTTGGGTCTCCATAGGACGGAGGGCAGTGCGCTCCGAAGATGGAAGAGGGAGGGAGGGAGAGAGAGAGAGAGAGAGAGAGAGAGAGAGGGGACAGAACGAGAGACGTATAGTTGACTTACCTTGCCCAATATCCTTGTCATCTCTATACATCCTTAATATCTCCTGTCAAAATCATCACATTCAATGCTCTCCACCAGCATATGGCAAGAGCGGTGTCGTAGGCGTAGATCCTATGCTTGCGCCTGTCCAGCGCTTGATTCAAATGCTACCGTGCGCCGCCAAATGGGTAGTATCTCCCTTCGCCTCCACTAGGAGGCTGTATTGCGCCTGATAATGCTTCTGAGGAATCCTGTCTCCGCCTTGATGAAGCCGAAGTCCATCTGCAACGAGTCAGCTGTGTTCCCGCGAGCATTCTTTTGGAGCACCTACATTCTCACTTTCCGATCGTCGCCAGCGCTCGCGAAAATTGCCGGGTTTGTGGGATGCCACGCAACATCATTGACCGCGCCGGGGTGGTGAGCATCCAGGGCTGCCACTTGCACCCCAGTCTGTCGTCGCCAGATGTACACTCGTGAATCTAAGTCTGTGGTCAGCATATGAATCCATCGAGTGTGATGGCAGCGACCTACCCTCGCTTCCAGAGATCACGAAGCCCTGTCCAGCACCTCCGAATGCACTCCTGACGACGAATTCCTTCTGAGATGCGCCCTCATACCTATACACAACTTCGCCAGTCTCCGAGTCTAGAGCAATCACGCGTCCTTCGTTCATGTTGACGAGCATAAGCTCGCCATCGGCCGAGAAGTTGATGGATGTGAGCTTGTCCTCCATGGACCACTCATCGATCTTGTAGTATCGGGACGTCGGCTCCAGCGAGTACAGCATGATGCGGTTATCGAGGGTTGTTGCAACCATTCTGGTGCCTTCCGTGTTCACAGCACAGTCCGAAATGCGGAAGCTATTGGGCTGGTCCTTGACTGATGGGTTCCACGGTGGTTCCCGCCATGAGTGGATCTCGTTGTTCTTGACGACCGCAGCGGACGAATTCGGCGGTGCCCGGAGCGAATACAAGCCCAGTGGTCGTTGCGAGCCCTGCGATCCTATCACAAAAGTTTCCGAATCAGGAAGCCATGCTGCTGTTGTGACCGGATAGTCGAAATGGTCTGCGGTGGCCACCCTATTTCCGCTTCTCACATCTACGACAACGAACTCGTTGTTCTGGCTGCACGAGATCAAGTATTGGTCATTGGGCGAGAAAGCCACAAACGTGACGCCTCGGTTTTCTGCAGCACCGGCAGAGCTGCTAGAGCCGCTAGCCAGAGGACTCCGCTCGTGTTCTCGAAACTCGTATCTGAGTGTCCAACCAGCGGTCTCGTATACGCAAACCAATCCGTCCTTGCCAGCAGTGGCCAGCAAAGTACCGTCGTGGCTGAATTCCACAAACCAGACTTCGTCGCCGTGATTTCGGAGCTCGAACTGCGTGTGCAAAGGGAAGTCGTCCGACGAACAGGCATGATCAGTATACAGACTGGGCTGGACCGTCGTATTGTGGTATCGGCAGCCCAGGATGTGCTCTTCTTGAACCGCCGAGAGTAGAGTCGCTAGTCGGTGTTCGGGTATCATCACAGACGGCGATATCGATTTTGAGATATTTGAGAGGAGCAGACTCCTACTTTGGCCAGCGACGCCATCCCACTCGGCTTGTGTGCGGAGATCGTAGGCAGACGGGCACATGACAAGACTACATCAACTGTCAGAGTCGCTCGACGAACAGAGACCAAGCCGTGCTTACCTGGACAGAAAGTGCAATCTGCCTATATCAGTCTTCAGTGGAGTCAATTCGGTCCTCAGAACAATCAATGCGGCATTCAGGTCGCGTTGCTCAAGAAGCTCCAGATACTTCTGCTGTCTCAAGAGGAATTTCAGCCATGTGGTATTTGCGCCTTCCGCTAATGGCAACCCATTTCTTGAGTAGCCGTTCTGACTGCTGGCAGACAGCCTCCCGGCACCGTCTTTCCGCCGCGATGGAGTGGTTGTATGTCCGTTGCCCAGAGCCACGCCGCCGCCTTCCAACTCTTCTGCGCCTAGTCCAAACAACAGAGACTCTGCCTCATCCCACTCGCCATCTAGTACGGCATTCCGAAAAGCCGCTACTGATGGAATTTCCAACTCGTATCCACTCTCTCTTGAAAGCTGCTGCGCTGCGCCCTGATAACCAAGATCACTTAAGCTTTGCAGCAGTATCCGTGTGACCTCTTCCCGATCATGTCCAAAGAAAGGCTCGTTATTTCGCGCAGCAGCTACCGTCTCCTCTGCATGACCGTTCGCGTGATAGCCGTTCGTCTCGCTCTTGACGGAGCCATTTGTGTGCGGGGAAGAGCCATTTTGGGAGGAGCCGTTGGTGGAAGGGCGTGGATGGGGTCTTTGTGTGTTTTCGGTGTCGTGGTCAGGCCGCATAGTCCTGTCGTCCTGATGTGGGGGTTCGTCGTTGGATGCTCGGGCACGCTTCCGAGGGTGCTTACCGGAAGCTGTAGCCCTGGCTGCGGGTAGGTGAGCAGACGAGCCGTTGACTGGCGAAAGCGAGGAGCGTCTCCGACGTTTGCGTGGACGCTCTGATTGCTCGATGATGCTATCGTCGGGGCGGTAGGTAGGATCTCCCGCAAGAACCTCGGATGAGGCGGTGGTAGGATGGTCGTGATTGGGTATGGGCGATGGGGCAGTAGATTCAGATGCTCGTTGAGATTCCTGTGTAGGAGGGGAGTTCGAAGTGGTTGGGCCGGCGTTAATGATAGGGGACTGGGGAGACTGGTCGCGCTCCAGGACGGTGGTGGTGCTGGCACGCGGATGGAGGGTGTTGGAGAGTGGAATGAGAGAGAGAGAGAGTCCAAGTGTCTTCGGTGGCCTTAAACGGCCGAAGACATTGGCCTCAAAGCGACGACTGGGCTATCCCAAGCTGATGTGCAGCTGATGGATGTATGGAGGTGGTGTGGGTGAAGAGGAGGGTAGCGGTATGGTCGTGATCGAGTCCGGTTGGCTACAGGAGGAGTGCTCGGTGAGGAGGCTGAAGGGCGAACGGTGCCCGGTCTGCCTCTCTGCCTGGAGTGTGTTCCGGTTGTAGATGCCTGGATGGCAGGGTCGCGCTTGCGCGGTGTTGGTCTTTCTCTTCCTGTTGAGCCGAGTGCGGTATGGGGAAGTGGGTGGGTGTGAGTAGGATTGGAAGATAAGTAGGTAGATGGATGGGTGGAGGTAGTGCTCCAGGCTGTGTGGAGAGGGTCGGGAGCGCCGCACAGGTAAAGTAAGGTAGACAGGCACGAGGCAGGCAGGTGCAAGCAACAGCTCCGCGATGACGCTAGAGATGCTCCCACTCACGCCAAAGCCCGACGAGAATCACCTCTCCCACCTCACACCTCACACCTCACACATTCAACCACAACGCGTGATTCTGTCACAACGAGACGTACCCGTATCCGTACCCGCACCCGCACCCGCACCCGTACCCGAGATGCTGCCTCTTCACCCTTCGATGAAGCTGAAGCCGACTGTCTCCCGTCTCCTGCACCAAGAGACACGTGAGGGGGCATGGGGGAGGGGGGAGGAGAGATGAGTAGATGACCTGCTCTCGTGCCGCTCCGGCTCTCCCGAACAGACGATAAGGAATGTCTATCACCAGCCTACCACGGCAACCTCTCCCTCTGGACCCCCTCGGGCCTATTTCGAGCCGCTGCGTGACCTTGCCGACCGCGTCAGGAGGATTCAGCCCAGCGCGTCTCTCCGCTTGATGGGGTGCGTTCTCTCCCAACCACATAGTGCTACTGCTGGATTGCGCTGTCTTCTCGCTCTAAAAGGTTGCACATCAAGAGCTGCCGCGGCAGCGATACACTTCTTTCGCGGGCTTCACAATCCCTCCAGGCATCCACAATACCGCTAAGGATATCGGTCAATCACCAAATCGCCCTCGTGATAAGCCGCCACATCTGTCTCCCCTGCCTGGTTCTCAATCGCCCACTTCTTCACCGCATCAAAATCCTTACACTTGTGGTGCGTACTGAAATCCGCAAACGTCCTCATGCTGGTCGTGTTCGCCCACATCTGACCGAAGAGCCCGGTGTCGGCTGTACACATGAGCTGTTGGCGCAAGATGTCGATGCAATGCCCGACGTGCAGGCGTACGATCGCTTCAGTGTTGGCCCAGACGCCCATTCGTCGTTGGCGGTAATACTCTGCGTTGAACCAGATGTTTTGGCGTAGCACGTTCTGCACGCCTGTCAGCTGTCGTCTCGATTTCGGAACTAGCGAATGGTGACTTGCCAGGCAATGGAGGTGGTGGATTGCTTCTACCTCGACGTAATAGCCTCCTCCCTGGGAGTCTAGACGCTTGGCTTGATCCAGAGTGAGTCCTGCTCTCTCCGCTTGTTCTGCTGGCAAGACTTGAGGCCGGACTGGGGAAACATGCCCAAGGTCAATATGCCATCATTTGAAGCACAAGGCAAGCTTGACTTACGATTCAACCCCAAGTCGAGCCACTTCTGATCTACCTCGGGGCTCGGAGGCTGTCGATAAATGCCAGAGCGAAAGAGCGAGCCGTTGAAACGGATGTCTGAATACTTCATCGGCTGTTCGAGAATCGGCGACCCTAGCGGTATGGCCGTGAGCATTCTCAACTACTCATCATTCGACGCCACATACAATGGAGTGTTGTCTGCCTTGTGCACAACGCATCGAGATTCCGGCCATAACTTTGGAGCGCGAGAACGATGTTGAGTACGGTCGAACACAGCAGTGCCAGCCCAGACAGCAGCAACCATGATCTTGAGGAAGGTTTTTCATCTCGTGATGATCGATTGGCGAGAGGTAACGAGGAGCTCGCGATGTCTTCAGGCTCATCGCTGATTCCTGAGAGGAGATGCTTCTCGTCTTGTGGCAACTGTTGCCAGCGAGGAGTAGATGACATAACGACAAGCTGACTGGGTGTGAAGTATGAGCGCTGTTCAAGAATGTAGGGCACTGAAGTGCTCTTATTATCGCACAACTCGACAGTCTGGTGACGTTTGACTCTTCGAGCTCTGGATGGCAATCTTCCTCGATCGGCATTCCACGCGGCTGAAGATAGGGAAAGTGTACGAAGCTCCGCACGATGGCTGGACCTGACCCACAAAGCTGAAGTCGACGTAGCACGAAGGGTTGCATCTGTTCAGCACGCCAGCTGCTCTGTGGAGGTACGATCTCCAAGCTGAAAGAATGGTACACCAGGGCAAGCCCAATGAGTGCGCGTCCTTCTTCGTATCCACTCCACGGAATTCAGGCATGACCTCCAAGCTGAAAGAATGGTATACCACGGCAAGCCCAATGGGCGTGCATCCTTGTTCGTATCTACTCCACGGAATTCAGGCATGACCTCCAAGCTGAAAGAATAGTACACCAGGGCAAGCCCAATAAGTGCGCGTCCTTCTTCGTATCTACTGCACGGAATTCAGGCATGACCTCCCAGCTGAAAGAATGGTACACCACGGCAAGCCCAATGGGCGTGCATCCTTGTTCGTATCTACTCCATGGACTCGCATTGGTGCAACAACACTGCACGCGTGACAATGCGCTGCAACTCTCATCGAAAGGTGTGAAGGTCGAACTCTGGAGCACTAGTCAAGAATGGTCACGCGCAAGCGTCAGTCCCGGGCGGATTCAAAAGACTCGTCAATCGCCTGTGAACGTTCGAAGCAACTCATTCAATCGCCAACACTTTCCTCACAAGCAACATGAAACTCACTCAGCAACTCATCGCCGCCTTCCTGGCCTTTTGCGTCGTTGGCATGGCAAGTCCAATTCCAGACACGGTGAGTATTGTTCTCTTATCTTTCCATCCGTTCGTGCTCAGAGCTGATTTTAAAGACCATCGTCGACTCTCCTGACAAAGCCAAGCCGTACAAGGAGGAAGTGGATGCGCAGGCTGCTGTTGCGAAGCGTGACGACTTGATCGTCGACTCTCCCGACAGAGCCAAGCCGTACAAGGATGAGGTGGATGTGCAGGCTGCTGCGATGCGAGTTTGAGCCCTCTTGGCCCTTCAGGGCAGAGAAGGGTCATGGAAGAGTGGCTAGTCTTGGCGGTGTTTCAGAGGAAGGGAGTGAAATCTAAGTAAGGTCGTGTGTGCAATTGGTTGTACTAGCTCCCAAGAAGCCAATGACCTGTCTGATCAACTGCGTCCTTGGTCCGTAGCCAACACCACGACATGAGATGAGCATTGATAGGTAAGTTGTTACCGATATCTGGAAAGCCGGAGGTGGCGGGAACAGAGCTGGAGGGTGGATTTAGCAGCACCAGGATCACAGTACCGGAAGCCACCGAGGGGCGTTGAGGGCCGGGGCGTTGAACTTTGTGCCCTGAAACAGGTTACGAGACACGCACGCTCCCGAAGCAAAGGCAGGGCAGGGTGCGGAGAGCCTGACTGTAATTCCAAGGGAAGAGATCACTGCAGTGAGCGCAAGTGTAGTAGAGAGGAGAAAGGTCGACGAGAAGAAGTCACAGCTGAGACGATGAAGCAGTGAAGAGCGCCACGGTACGGCACGGCACGGCGCGGCACGGCTGATCGACGGCACCAACAGAGTAGCGCGGTCTCATCAAGTTAGCTCTGCGGTGGTGCCATCGGCGGTGGAACCATCGGCGGCAGCGGCAGCGACGATGATGATGAGGCGCTCCTGCTCCTGCTCCAATCCGCTCCGCCGTCTGCTCCTTCTGGCGGCGCTGGTTGTTGGAGTGACCTTCTTCCTGCTTGCCAACTCACGACACGACCACCTGCACACCACTTCCACTTATCTGTCCGATCACGGTCTTCCCCACCTGCCATGGAACACCGAGCACACAGGAGCCAACTCCGGCGAGCAGAATCAGGAGGCCCCTACGATTGAAATCCCCGAGCCTGACCGAGAATGGGACCAGCCTCCGCAAGAGAACACCTACTTCAGCCCCGACTATCACACCGATGAGCCTCCTGATACATACCCCATTCCGGAACAGCCTCATACTACATTCGTCTTACCCCCGCAACCACTGACTTACGAAGAGACTCAAGCCAGGATCAAAGAATGGGTCGAGACCCGGCCTGTCCCCGAAGACAAGGAGCACTGGCCCCCTTACGATGGCTACCGTGAGCAAGACTACGATCCCAACATCTGGGAGAGCTTCCCATGGAACACCGACTTCTACACTCACCCGGGAATCGATCAGGTTGACCAGGTGAACAGCACATCGGTATACGGCCGCTACCCGCACTACAACTCCAAAGCGTGGTCCAGGAAATTCCGCGGCACCTTCCGTCCCTGCCAAGGTGCGAGAGGCAAAGTGCTCAATGCAAGTGACGAGGATCTGATCAAGCCATTCGGCATCCTGCCAAGCGGCTTCCCGAATCCTGTCATCGGCGATCCGAGTGTCACCGGCATCTCATTCAACCATTGCATTGATCGATACCATCGCTATGGCCCTTACGGATTTGCTCATGGTGATCGGGACGACGTGCAGGACTGGCAGAGGCCGCTCAGCATGCCAGACTGGACTACCGTAGATTGGAAATCACTACAAGACCAATGTCTTCGCGATAATAGCGACCGATACCTGCCAACAGCTCGAGAGCCGGCCGACCTGAGTCCCGGGCGGGATGATCTACCAAAAGCACAGGACTTTGTCCCTCCACAGCAAGTACCGAATTCAAGGTATCACCGTCGCACCGCGGTGCTCGTGCGTCTCGGAGAAGGGTATAAATACACTGAGGACGACCTGGAGAATGTTCGGGCTTTAATTACGGAGCTTTCGCTTCTGAGCGGTGCGGAATATCAGGTTTTCATATTGTTTGAAGTGAAAGACGATAATCTGGTGAGCACATCAAAAGCGGTCTCCGCCTTACCTGGCATCAGGGGTGTCGGCAGCCACCCTATAGAGATCCCAAGCTGACAACCAACAGGACGTATTTGAAAACAAACAACTGTACAGAGACGTCCTGAACGCAGTTCCACGAGAATTGAGGAGCATTACCTTACTCTACAGTGAGAAGCTGCTACAGCGAATGTATCCCTACGTCGGTCACTACGACACCTTTTGGCACCCGTACATGCCTGTCCAGTGGTTCAGCCTCAAGTACCCCGAATTCGATCATGTCTGGAATTGGTATCCGGACGTCAGATACACCGGGAACTACTACGAGTTCCTCGCCGGAATTTCGGCATTCGCTAAAAATGCTCCGCGAAAGTACCTATGGGAACGCAACCAGCGATTTCACATTCATGCGATCCATGGCTCTTATCGAGAATTCTTCAACTCTACTAACCATATGGTGGAGCAGGCGTCGGGTGCTAGCAAACTGAAGCCAGTCTGGGGTCCACGGCAAGGGAGTCACAAGACTCCCCTATACGTCGATACAAAGCCTCCTCGACCCCTGGAGACAGACAACTTCGAGTGGGGAGTTGGCGAAGACGCAGATCTCCTCACGCTGCAGCCCATCTGGGACCCTAGGGGGGTGGACTGGGCGTTCAAGGACAAGATCTGGAATTTCTTGCCAGGAATCACACCGGCTTTCACGGATGGCGATCCTATGGCTGTCAACTTTCGCCATTCCGCATTTGCGAAGCTTCCTCGTCGTACCAGTATTGGCACCCATGTGAGGCTGAGCCGAAGACAACTACATATCATGCATCTGGAGAATCTGGCCGGGCGGACGATGGCGGCAGAGATGTGGCCTGCGACTGTTGCGCTGCGTCATGGTCTGAAAGCAGTCTATGCGCCACATCCTGTTTGGACGGACCGAGAGTGGCCGGAGTGGTATCTTGACGCCGTTGTGAATGCGGATCGCGGCGAAGACGCTCAATGGGGCCAGAAGAGCGACAGTATCTGGACGTACGACCGTTCACGCAACCTCATCGGTAATTCGTTCTTTGTGGAAGCGCAGTTCCCAAAGACACTCTACCGGCGGTGGATGGGCCTCAGACGGATTGACGCCAGCCCGCTGGCGGAGATAGGCGGGAAGCCATGGGAGGAATATGGCATGCTAGTTCAATTGCCCAATCCAGAAGGCTGGGAAGAAGAGGTACTAGTGGGAGGCAACGGAAGAATTTGTCTTCCACCAATGCTGCTGCAGCCAGTGAAGGATGTGTACGACGAGGCGCCAGTAGTGGGACCGAATGTTTCGCACACGTCTGAGGATGCAGGGGCCGTTGAAGGCCATGAGGAGGAGCCTGTGGAAGAGGCACCGCTCTCTGTTGCTCAAAACGATTCATTGGGATGATGGAGTTATTGCTTGAAGGGGAAGCCGGATAGAGTCTTGGATAGGCATCGAGCCATCTCGTAATAGCTGGAATGCACCAACGTTTCAACGCGGACTCGTATTTTTCTTTTTGCGTATCTCTTCGCTCGCGAGAAGACGAGTGACTCTACGGCAAGAAACTATCGCTGCCCATGGAAAGCTGGGGTTGATGGCACCGACTTGAGCTTTCTGGCGCTTGTGAGGTATAAGAGAATAAGAGAGGTCTGTTGTGCTTGTCTCAAGCGAAGGCGTTGAACGTCTTAACACAGATAGTACCTTATAGGTGTGGTGGTGTTACCCCTATATTGGTAGCACGTGACGCCAAGCCAAGCTCGGGCGACATCGGCGGCGATGATAGGCCAAATCTCCCGGCGGTACCCTCCACCTCTCCTTCGCCCTCACTCGCCGCTTCGGCGCAGCAGAGACGAAGGATGGGTACCAGTCTCGTCATGCAACAGCTCTCTCTCACAAGTTAAGTTCCATCCTGCATAATAACTATTCTCATTTCTACTGCGTTGCTACCATTCCACTTTCTTCCCTCTCCCTTTCCATTTCCATTTAACAAGAAACCTCTAAAAAAAAAACAATGGGCTCTACATCCAACGATTGGCAGGAAATCTCAAACCGAGCCCAACAGAAAGTCTGGAGTGATATCCCCGCCGAATGGAAACTTCCCACGGACAGATTGCCCGGTGACGAAGTGCGAGATGTGACAAATTTCCCGGCCCAGTCGGGGCTCTTATCGAAATTGGAAATCGAAATCACGGATTCTTTTGCGGTGGAGATTGTCGAGAGGATTGCGAAGGGGGAATGGAAAGCGGAGGATGTTGCGAGGGCGTTTTGTAAGAGGGCTGCTATTGCGCATCAACTGGTGAGACCGATCACAACGGACAGAGAACAGTCGGGAGTGGGGTGCTGATGTTTTTTTCTTTTTGGGATTGCCAGACGAATTGCTTAACGGTGATCATGTTCGACGATGCGATCCAACGGGCGAAAGAACTGGATGCGGAATTTGCAAGGACTGGACGAGTTACCGGGCCCCTGCACGGTCTGCCGGTGTCGTTGAAGGATAACTTCAACATTCCCGGATTTCCGAGTTCGGTGGGGTTCTGCAGTTGGGCGGAGGAGATTATGGAAGAGGAGAGTACGATTGTGACGACGCTGAGGAATCTGGGTGCCGTGGCTTATGTCAAGACGAACGTTCCGACGGCTATGATGATTGCTGAGACTGTGAATAATTGCTATGGGAGGTGAGTTGATCTTATATATCGAGGAGAGTGTTTGTCGAGACTGACCGGAGTTGGATTAATTAGAACGACGAATCCTCTGAACCGGGCGACTACGTCTGGTGGCTCTTCGGGTGGCGAGTCTGCGCTTATTGCTCTGAGAGGCAGCCCCCTTGGTGTAGGCACCGATATTGGTGGCTCTCTTCGCATCCCAGCAGCTTGCACGGGGATCTACACCCTCCGGCCCTCCTATGGTCGCTTCCCTCACTTCGATGCCCGCAGTGGCCTCGCAGGCCAGGAAGCCGTCGCCAGCGTCCACGGTCCCATGGGCCGTAGCGTAGCCGACATCCGCCTCTTCGCGGAGCACGTCACCAACACCAGCCCCTGGCTCCAGGATCCCAAATGCATCCCCTCCCTCTCCTGGCGAGAAGTCCAAATCCCACCCAAACCGAAAATCGCAGTCCTGTGGGACAACGGCCTCGTCACACCCCACGCACCCGTCACGCGCGCCCTCCGCGAAACCGTCTCCAAACTGCACTCCAAAGGCTACGACCTCATCGACTGGCCCGCGACCGACCACGCCGAAGCCGTCGACCTCCTCGCCACCTTCTTCCTCGCCGACGGCGGGCTTTCCATCCGCGAGATCCTCGCTCCCACCGGCGAACCTTTCCGCCCGGAAATGCAGCCCTACGAAGAAGCGACGGAACTGGGCGTCCACGCGCTCTGGAAGGCCCAGAAACAACGCACCGCTCTACAGAAACGCTACCTCGACCGCATGGAAAGCTCCGGCATCGACGCCATTCTAGGGCCCACGACTCCGTATGCCGGCGCGCCTAAGAGCGGCGAGTTTAAACATGTGGGATACACGGGTGTTTTTAATATCTTGGATTACAGCTCCGTCAGTTTCCCCGTCCCGGACGTTTTTGTAGACGAGGAAAAAGACGGCGGCGCAGTGCAGGTCGAGGGGCAATTTTATGGCGAGGTGGATGAGGAGGCTCAGAGGGCTTTTGATGTAGAAGTTCAGAATGGCTTGCCTATTAGCTTGCAGTTGACTGGGAAGCGCTTGGAGGAGGAGAAGATTTTGAGGTTGACTGAGCAGGTTGTGCGGGATTTGAGATAGATTGGAAGATTTGATTGATTCGAAGAAACGGGAGGAGGAGGAGGAGGAGGAGGAGGAGGAGGAGGAGGAGGATTTGACGGTATCTGATTCCACTTGCTTCTTTCTTTTTCTCTCGGTCTGTCTGTCTGCCTCTTCTTGGATCAGGCCTACCAGCTACTTTTTTTTGGATTTTACGCAGCCAGTCTCCTTTGGGGGGTGTTTTCCTCGATAGATTTTATTTCCCCGATCCGTGGACCATCCGCAGAGTCAACCCTCCGTTCTCAACCACGCATCAATCAGGCAGAAAGAAATCCGTCGCTACCGAGAACCACATTACCCCCCGAGTCGCAGTAACATGGATAGCTAGATTAGAGTCGTCATAGTGATATAGATAGATAGGGCCAGGTAATCTAGAGCAAGCAGGAATTGGTCGGTCCAGTGCGCATTATGCGCATTTTCGAAGAGGGTGGTGTGAGGATGTCTGGACCGGAAGGTGTCATCTTCGGAACTCCGAGGGTGTGGTTCTGTTTCTGATTTGTTCGAAAGCTGGCGATGGCGAGCGGACGGAAATGAAGAAAGACTCGGGTCGCTGGCATCATTGACTAAGCGCGCACGGACGGGAGTTTCACGTGCGTGCTGTCGTATGAGGTGGTTATAGAGTACTCTTGTTCACTTGAAATGAGTGAAAAGCAAGGAAATCGACGATTCATTCGAATTCTATTTGAGTTCCATTCCTCATCTCTTGCCCCCCCCTCACATTTCTGCCCGTTCCTAGGCCCATAATCCTCCTATGCCTCCTAAACCGCCCACATAGACCTCCAGAGCCCACCCTCAATCTGCCAATCGATCTCCCCAGTAGTCATTACGATATTCAAGGCCACCAGCTCGAACTTGGCCGCGTAGATCAAACACAACAATCCCAATCGTGATCTCTTCCCAAATGGGCTGAATCGGTCTCCAGACGGGCAGCGGCTCATGCAGAGAAACTTTCCCTGTCAAGCCAGGAGATAGCCAGATAGACCAGCACGGCCAATCTTGATTGCATTTCCAGCCACGAGAGGAGTACGTATTCCCCATAAGTAATGCCGATGATGGTAGCAAACAGTGTGCAGGCGACCGACATCACGAAGCATACGTTCGTGTAAGGATGCGAGAGGAGCTCTGTTCGATCCAGGGTACGCTCCTGAGGAGCCAGAAGATTGGGCGCTCTAGCGAATTGATGAGCGTTCTTGGTTGCAAGGCTCGAAGCTGCGAATGTGTGTGTGTTTGTTTGAGCCTTGTAGGTTGTTTAGTTTGTGTTCGAAAGTTTGACGATTTGCAAGCAGATGCGTTTGGAGATTCGAAGGCGCTAAATTTAATCATTGCATCTTCAGGGAGGGAGATATACATACATGAAAGGTATTGTACAATAAACAGAGCCATTGTTCCGCGAAGTCCAGGCGCACAACCAATGTCGTGATGAGAGATGCATGATAAGTTCATAGCATTCTCGACACGGCCATGGGGAATACACAATCAGGATCCTGCACGGAGAAAACTCTCACCCCTCCAGAAGTCCTCCCAAGCTTTAGGCCACCTCTCTTCCTTAAGCAAGCGAAGCCATTCCTTGAATTCAACTTCTTCCTCGCCGATGCGAATAACGCCATTCTTGACACCTCGCCAGCCTTCCACCGGGCCTTTGACGTACGCGTGGTCCTGGCCACACCAGTCTGTCCAATGTATTGTGTTAGGTACCCCTCGATTCCAGGCCATACGTTTCTGTTTTAGATGTTAGTCGCCGTAGGTCCCATTTCGTATTCTGAAAGAGAAGCCTACCTCATAGCAATCCTCGCACAGGTCGCAATTAGCACAGTGAACGCACATGTACATAACGCCTTGAGTCCAGTCACTCTCGAAGAAGTCGCAATTGCCATCGCACGTTGCGCCACGATCGTACTCGGGAAGAAGGTCTCCCAGAATGTCCTCGTCCTCTCTCTCTGCATCTTCCTCATTCTCCTCATATGCCTGAGATTCCAGTGAGTCCTTGGGAGGAATACCTATGGAATCGCCATTGACGGTCAACTTCTCCACCTCAGCGGCCAGCTGCGTCGTTAGCTCATCGAGTTGCGGCTGTGTGATCTCGACTGCTTGGCTGTTGACCGTAACTCCGACTGTCGGACCGTCTTGCTCGGCTTGATGCTCGTCGACATCAGCGCCAGCAATAGTATCATTATCTTCGCTCTCATCTGCTCTTTGTTCTGCTTCTTCATCATCATCTTCACGTCCTTCATTCTCGTCAGGGTGCTCGACCTCTGGATCCGTGACAGAGTACTGACACGACAGCGCAATCTGAGCATCCCTCTGAAGGCCTGGAACACATGCCAGAGCTTTCGCTAGGAGCCGGAAACTTGAAGAGTCGTTATTGCCAACTTTATCAGTGAGGCCGGCCACGCAGATTTGGAACAGTCTCTCCATCATCTCGCGGAACTTGACTGGCGAACCTATCGTCCTGGTCATCAACGCCTGCATCACAAGAACGGGCGACTCGTTCAGCTCCTCCCAGGAGCTTATTGCCGCCTCATCCCTTGCTGTTGCATCATCTGCAGTGCCAATCTTGATGATTGGAAGATTCATCATCGTGTCGAGGAGCTTCAACTTCCGCTGAGGATCGCCGGACTGGCGGAAAAGGGTGAAGAGGTCGTCGCAGAGGTTTTGTCGCACATTGAAAAGAACGGTCTCCAGGTTCTCTGTGTCGTCTTCCGAGTATTCAACACTCAGAACTTCGATCGCGGTATCGCAAGCCTTCTGCAGGTCGCCTACAGAGAGGCTGTAGATTAGGGCGAGGTCGCCCTTGGCCTGCGCCCATTTGCTAGACGTACGACTGACAGACCTGAGGTATGCTTCATAGACGTTGATTGTGATCCTGTGACCACGAGTACCAGCTCGTTTGGCACACTTTTGCAACGCCCAGCCGGACATGGCGCCCTGGTTTAGGTCCACTTCTATGAGGAACGTAACCCATTTCAAGCGCTCCGAGAGCGTCCAAGACTCAATGATGTCAAAGTATTGTTCAGGATGGACAGCATCGGCAGCCCACTTTTCCCCTGCGTGAAGGTCACACTGCCACATGTTGAGCATGGCGTTGAGAATGGAAGCCATAAGATTATCAACTTCAGGTCGCACAGCACGCGCGTCATGGTAGGCTGCCAGAGCTTCGTCTTCGCGTTGTAAAAGCCGGAGAATACCGGCTTTGAGCGTGTAGATCGATTCTACTGATACGACCCATTTCTCATCATCTCTCCATCCTTCTGGCAACAGGGTCATTGCAGTATTGGTGTGCTGCAAGGCCTCTTCTAGCCTGACTTTGCCGGGTGTTGCTGGAGACAGGTTGTTGACTTTGTTTTGCTCCGCACCAGATGCTGCTTGTACATCTACATCAACGCTTGACGTGGTCTCAGCCGGCTGCGGTAGCTGCTCAGAGGTCTTCTTGCCAGAATCTACTTCTGAATCGGTGTCATGTCCGCCTGTGGACTCTGCCGCTGCCACATTGGCGTTGTAGCCTGCAAAATATTTATTGTAACTTGAAATCCAATGGAGCTTAAAGCGATTTCGAGGACTTGGGTCATCGAGTGCAAGGGCCTTGCTTGCGTATTCCTCGGACAATTCAAGTTGGTTGCGGCGTTGCAGCACATGAGCGATGCCACGCAGAGCATGCACGCTCCTGCTGTCGATGTCGGGAAAGTACTCGAGCACGCTGACAATGTCCAGCTTCTCATCTTCCCCCGCCGTGAAGACGCCTGCTGTAATTAGAGCTGATCGGGAGTAGAGAAAGCATTGCTCCACCAGGCGCCTACTGAGAGGGTCAAATTGATTGCTATGAACGGGTTAGCATCAAAGTCATAAGGCGAGTACTCTTCAGTCAAGCTACCTGATGTGACCTCGCGCTAGCGGTAATAACACCCGTCGAGGAGCCTTCAACGATTCCTCTGCCCAGTCCTTCAGTGTTGCAGGAAGGTCGTCGACGACATCTACTAGCTGTAGGAAGGACTCGAACTTGGCTAAGAAACCTGTACGCTGCTCCAGACAGTCGTAATACGGGGCCTTGTACGACTCAAAGGACGCAGCCGCGTTGTTTTCGTTGGTGAAGATACTCGAGAGCCCGCCCAGGACTTCTGATACGTGTTTCGCCGACACATCTATTTTGACAAAGTGATCGGCCCAGTAATTCGCGGCGTATGCGTGCAAGCATGGCTTCTGGATCACCTCTTGAGGGGCTTCGTCGGATAGCAGTTGTACAAGGAGCTTGAAGATGAGCAAGTGGCTGTGCGCCGTAGACGTGCGTAGTCCATCTTCCTCCACGTTCACTGCACGAAAATAGTCGCGCATAGACCGTTCTTGGAATGCTATCCTCGTTTTCTCTCTTTCGCTGGATACGTCGGCCACGTGATCGCTGTCACTGGCGTCGTTGCCATCAGAATGTAGATCCGATATGAGTTCATTGTCGTCGGTCTCGTCCTGATCCTGGGAGAGGTCCAACAAGCGAGCACAGCGACCAATCACCTCATCTTCGATGTCGAAGGCGTCGTCAGGGTCGGTCAGGGTGACAAGGTCAGCTGCCTCGCCCAGCGAAAGAGGCCTCTCGCTATACGCCAAGACTGCAAAGAGAGTCTTGAGCGTCACGTATTGCGCGTGTGTTCGCCCTTTTTGACACTCTGCTAACAGCAGCTTGTACAGCTCTTTCAAACTGTCAGGCATGCCTTTCTTAAGGTCCTTCAGAACCGCGCCTTCTCGACCGATTGAGCTGAACCTTCGAAGCATGTGCTCGATGTAAAGCATGCTGTCTGCCTTCTCGCCGAGCTTCTGTTCCAGCTGACGTTTGGTTTGTCGATGGAATTTGCGCAGCCTCGGTAGAGATCTGATCCGGGCAGCAGTAAGAAGTTTCATATCTGCTGAGATGCGCTCCTTGGACAAATTTATTCTCACCGGAGCTGAATTCGCGAAGAGAGTTTCGAGTGATGGCCGACCTGTGAACAAGACGTGGATATTAAGGTCTGCGGTAGGAAGTTGCTGGATGAGCGCAACAATGGCCTCCTGATCTGCCACATGTGCTTCATCAACTCCATCAACAACAAAGTATAGATGGGCCTGCGACTCTCTTGGGAATCTTGACGCGAAGAATTGTGACCATGGGTCGTCATCGGCGCTTTGCTTTGCAATCTCTGCTGCGACCACTTCTAGGTAAGCGGGATTGGAATCAGCGATTTGCAGCACGGCGCAGCGGAGTGCGTTGCGGAGTGATCGTAATGCATCTTGATCTTCCCGGAAGAAGAAACTCGCGACGGACGCGTGTTCCCTTTGCCGTTGTTCGAGATTGGCGGCAATTGCATGCGCGAGGAACGACTTTCCCGTTCCAGCCTCGCCAGCAAGCCAGAGGGCTGGTACTTCTCCCTCTGACCAGGACTTATACGTGTCATCCTCGAAGATCCATTTCGTGGTGCCCTCTACGAAGGACTCAGAGATGTCTCCGCGCTGAGCTCGGACGAAGTTGCGTGCCTCTGCGCCATCGGAGAAATGGCGTTTGACCTTTGCATTCTTGTACCTCCTGCTTCCAGTAGAGACTTCGCTTTTCCCAGATTTCTCCGAATTAGCATCGACCTTTCTTTCCGCCGCAGATTGCTTCAATGCGTCATTCTGGATTCATGAATGTCGTGTCAGTCAACGCAAGCACAACTCAAGTAATAGTAGTCAGTACCCACCATCATTTTCTTCAGATCAGCATGAAGCTGCTGGTTTTGAGCAGTGACATCTTCAAATCCAGTACTCATTACACGCCGGAGCCCGCCGATCTCTTCAAGCGTCTCTTCCTGTCCTTCCCTCAAAGAGCTTACGTCGCGGTGCGTGTCGACGCTTATCGCTTTGATCTCTTGCTGCGATACGAGCACTTGATCTGTCTTGCCCTCGATACGTGTGGTGACCTCCTGAACATCCACAAGAACCGATAATGTTGCAAGCCCCACTGCCTGATGCAGCTTTACAATTGAATCGTCCATTGTACCATAAGCACTGGCCAATTTGGGATCGCCTCCTCCGTCTACGAGGTTCTTTGCCCATTTCTTAAAGCGACCCTTTGACTTGTAGTCGGCGGCAATGCCAGCAATTGTCAACATAGCGCTGAATACTTTCCGAATGCACCGCTCAAATGGTTCCAACTTGGGTGATTTGTTCTCCACCATCGAAATTTGATCGAAAAATGAGCCCATCTGAGTGTAGAACCCACACACCCGGTCGTAGTCCGCCTTGACGTCTTTGAAAGTTTGGAAAACCACGGTAAATGCCGTCATCAGCAACGTGGCAGGGAGAGCGGGAGGAAAGGCCCCTGCGGCATCAGCCGCCATCTTTGCACCAGTGACCACTTTCTGGATGTTGTTGAGGTTATTCCCAAGCAGCGATCTGACATGGTCGACCTTGGTTCGGTCGTGTCGCCAGCCGCTGAAGTTTTGTGACTGCTGTTTTGCGCTGTCCATTGCTTCGTCCATGGATTTGAAATGCCATTGGGTGAGATCCAACTTTGTTGACCCTTTGAAGTCGGCAATGGCTTCCTCCCAGAGCCTGGCCAAATCGGAGGCATCCTCGCTACTCGCCATGCTGGAAGTGGTCGAGCAGTTGAAGAGGGATCAGAACTGCAAAAGATGGTATGCCCCACAAGACGAGACAAGTGAGGGGCTCCCAAATCCTTGACTTTGGCCGCAGAGGGCGATATACAATATGTACTGTCTGTCCACGTAGCATCCATCCTGCTGCAAGGCGTCGAAATAACAAGGCTAGACTCGTGCGGCTGACGGAGCTGAACAGCCAATATCCGCTAGCTGACTTCACCGGCCATGTGGCTGCAGCCACACGGATGCATGTCGACATGACGCATCTCATTGGTGCAGATGTTGTGTCCTGTTGGAGTGTGGTGGAAATAGAGACGGAGATGGAGCACGCGAAGTGGAAGTAAAGAATACCTTAAAGGCTACGACCCGTACCTCGCGCCACGCGCTAAGCTCTTTCTGCGAATCTAACGCCGCTAGCGTGGCGGTCTGAGCATCGAGATGAATTCTTCCGATATCATTACATCCGCCTCCACGCGACGAACAAACCAAGTCCGATCGTTCAAGACCAACCTCGCAAGCGCGCCAGAGTCCTCAAACCCTATCAACTTCAGCCAACTCAAGAAAGCTTTCCATTCCTGATTCTGAAGATCAATGCCCCAGTTGGGGACCTCAAAGGTGTTCTGAACACGGAACATGGGCAACGCTTCTGCTCTGATATGTCTACAAACGTGTAAGCAGGGTGTTTCGATGGACACTATCTTTCTCTACTGCGCTGCGAAGCCGTAATCTCTTTGTATCTGTAGAGTAACTTCACAGGACTGAGAAGTCTCACCAGATAGCTGTAGATCTCAAGACGCAACTCAGCTGGGAGGCTCAGCAAGCGGGTCTTGGTGTTGGCACGCTGGGCTCTGTAGCAGATTGCCCCCTCGAACAGTCGATCGTTTTCTTTGGAGGCGACCCCTCTGGTTGATTTGAATAGGAAGATCCGAACAACGATGCGGATGACGGCCTTTGCTGAACGCTCGAAAGCGCCATCGCGTACCTGGACTCTGGAGCATCTTGCGCAACATTCTCATTGCTTCGCAGACTATTCTACCACTGCAGCTCTTGTGCAGTGTTTGTCGGTGGACTACATGCGGAGAGCTCTTGCATCGAAGCCGCACAAGCTACGCAGCTTTGCCAGATAGCTCAGCTCAGCTCAGCTCAGCCACGCGCACCGGCTTGTGTCACCGGTCGGTGAATGCCATTAGAAATCTCTCCAAGAACGCAGTGAGCAATAGATCCAAGACAATTCCACTCTTGCGTTGTAGTCGTTAGCTATTTAAGATTGACCGCCATCCTAACGAATGCATACATCTGTCTACAACGGCAGGCATGATAAGTCGCTCTACTTCTCCGAACTTCTCCCCTGTAATAGCTTGAGAGTGTGTATCTCAAAGACTACAGTCTGACGATGGTCTCCCTCTGATTTGCCCATTCGATCGATATAACCTTTTGGATCGCTAAATCGTGTGTCGTGTGTGCTTCGGCGACTCTACATGCAAATTAAGCTCAAGCTTAGCGTGTGAAGCACGTGAAAGTGACAGGGGACGGGAAATCATCGGCATGAAAGTGCCGCCTTCACATTTAAAATTGGGTACTCCGCGCTCGGCAAAGACAGAGGTTTCGCGAGGTATTTGCAATCGCAGCGATCGCGAAAGATCTTTCTGCACCAGAGCTTGTAATTAAAAATTAAATTGATCACTTTTGATCTTGAAAGACAACGTCCTCTCGTCAAGCCTTGGGTTTCTTCCGGATCATTCCAGCGTCCAACACGTTGACCGCAGGCTGGTTTTCTGTTCCTCCTGCAGACTGCCCATCAGACACAGCACCGTTAGCCTTCCTCTTCTTCCGGATCATGCCGCCCAAGTCGTGGACCGCGGGCGTGCCGTTACCTGTGCCATTGCTTGCGACTGTTTCCGCTCTTCCAGAACCTGATATGCTGAATGAGAAGTCGTTGTTCCGACCAGCAATGCCCTTGATTTCGGAGATCCATTTGGATGTCGATCGGGCTGCAATCTTGAGAGATGAAAAGTTCTGCTGCAGTAGAGATTGCATTGCTCGATCGTAGCCCTCTTTTGGCAGCATGAAGCCTTCGCCGGCGTGTGCATTAAGCTCTGCTTGCATCTCCGAAAGATTCAATGTGGAAGCCGTCTTTAGTCTTGGCATCCTGGGAGTGATCGGTCCGGTGAGTGGCTTTCGCTTGCGCTTCTTTGAAGCCGCTTTCGAAAGAGACGTAGACGCAGACTCGTCTAGCGCACCACTTCCTGCCGGCACATCGAGCATCATGGCTGATTCTTGGCTGTCCACGTCAGCCACCTCAAAAGATTGACTTTCGAGGTTCTGACTGGCGGAAGCTTCTGCATCACTGTGCTTTGGTGAGATGACGAGCCACAGGAATCCAACGACCCGACCAGAAGAACACTCCTGTCTAAATTCCATCTGCTCCCAGAATCGATCAAGATCGCTCACCGAGGCCCATCTGCCATTCTTGCGCTTCGAAGGGCTGACGGTGACTTTCGAATCCTGCGAGATGCCAATCTCATCATCTAGGTCTTGCATGAACCTAGCCTTCGGGTCGTCAGGAAAGCGTGGCAGCAAGCATCGTGGCGGCACGTGCTCCGCCACCCCTCTTGTTCGAGCAAGTTCCAAGAGCGGGTTTCCAGGCTTCCAATGTGGCTTGTCCGAAGTCTGCGAGTTTGAAGATGGCATGAAAGATCGCAGCTCGTTGCCGACATAGCCCGGCACAGTCATGTAGCCTTGGTAGCGGACCCCGGACTCCTCATCAGACGAACCAGCTTCAGATTTCGGAAAGATCGGATCAAGTACACGAGCCCACCATTTGATCAGCTGGCGGTCATCCAGTATATGTTTCGTCTTGTCGTCGGAGGAGCCCGGAAACAAGTACTGAGCTTGAGCTCGCGCAAACAACGAGATGACGATTTTCCTCTTCGGTCGCTTTCGGCGCTCTTCGACTGCTAGCCATCGAAGAAAGGTCGTTACGGCAGTTTTGATGGGTGAAGGCTTGATTCGTGGGATATACGATGTGGAGTCCACTTTGCTCACAAACAACGTCGTCAGGTGCTTGCTTGTGTAGGCCAATACCTCCACGGCAAAGCTGATAACATCGTCTCCAGCCTCTCCCGATGCGGCCTCTTCTAAGTGGGAAAGTGACGCTGGATCGACGCTTATTGTCAGGAAATGGCTGGCCAGCCTTGTCTTCTCGGGCTCCTGACCGGGCAACGCGGAGAACAAAGGATCACATGCTTTGGGCGGTGAGTGTACGTATCGGACCTTGCCATTGAATCCCGTCGGTAGTGCATTCGTGAGCTGCTCTTTCAACGAAGACTGCGCCATTCGAGACGCTGATCCGTTGGTCGTTGATGCCATTTCAACGGTACTCGATGTTTCGTAAGATCTCAATCCTCCCGGTCCCAAGTCCGAGTGTCCAAGAATCCAAATTATCGGTGATTGTATCTCTGAGAATAGGTTCAGCAATGCTTCAGTCCAGACTGCAACAAGACAACAGATGGTGAGGAAGTGCAGTCGCGGACGAAACGCGCGGATACGCGGTCAGGGATGTTGGGTATTATTGCTGCCTCAGGCCACCACATCTCGGGAGTCCCGTCTCGCCGCACTTCACCCAGACAACTCAACTCCTACACAACCAACCACAACGCACCACATTCGCCCTCTCGCCCTTTCGCAACACATCATGAACCCATCACGCCCCTCGTTCGTCTGCGCAAGCTGCGCGCGCGCCCTCCGCCAATCCACCAAACCTACGACCGCCCTACTACGCCCTTTCTCCAACACGCCCTCCCAATCCGCATTGGCCGAAGCCCACACCGGCGACCAACTCCCAAGATGGAAAACCACCCCCAAAGCCATGAAAATGCCCTATCGTCTCCGTCCCGTCCCGAAGCAACCCACGTGGAAAGCAAACGAAGATGACGAAAAGCTATACGCCATGTACGACCGCCTGCTAGACAAAATCGGTCCCCCAGAGCAGCTGGGTCGGGAGTTATTAGATGAAGACACACGGGTACGTATATCTCCTCTGTCCCTCCCTTATCCCGTCGATCTCTCCTCGCTGACACTTTGTTTTTTCCTTTGGGTGTAAAGTGGCTAGCAATCACCCACAAATCCTTCGACCACGGCCGGAGGGGTTTCAACGACCGCCTCGCTTTCCTGGGCAAAAGAATCGTCGACCTCCAGACTTCCCTCGCCCTCCTCTCCATGCCATCCCCGCCTGTCTCCCTCCCCTCCGACCACGTCTTCAGACATCCCTCCCTTGAGGGAGCGGACAATATCACCGCCTTCACGAAAGCACAAGTCTTGGATAAGAGGCGTTTGGCCGACTTGGCGAGGAAGTTTGGGATTCAAAGGGTCATCAGATGGAAACCGAGACGGAGTGACGATTTGGAGACGTCCGGGGTGGACGTCGTGTTGGCGCATACTTTGTACAGTATCGTGGGGGCGTTGGCGTTGCACAAGGGTGGAGAGGTTGCGGCCAAGACGGCGAGGGAGAAGATTTTGAGGCCGTTGGGTTTGAGATTTTGAAGAGAGCAGGGGCGAAGAGAGGCAGAAGGGCGCATATTGCGGTAAATAAGATCTTGAGAATGTATATCTATCGTACAGCGACATCTGCCACGCAGTTACCGAGTCCTGTACAGGTATTTTACAGAGTACCCAGGCCATCACCTCAAAAGTGGGTATCTTTCCTCGTCAGTCGTGATCGTAAGCCAAAGCAGAAGATCCGCTCGTCTTCAATTCCAGGCAGCTTTGCAATGCCGCATCACTCCGTCAAAGCCCCCAAAACGAGACTCTGCACAACAAACTCGTCATTGACAATCCGCACATTTCCATCTGTGGCAGACAGTTTGCTTCCATCCTCTTTCCTGGCGCCATCGCTCTCCCGCTTCCTCTTCTTGCCGGCAGCAGTCTTGCCAAACAAGACCTTCTCAGCCTCTGCGACAGTTCCGTCCACATAGACCCACTTGGGCGTGTCAGGGCTCTGCTCCATCACAGCCTTTGCTTCCTGCAGATCATTCACACGCTTCACCTGTCCAGCGCCAAGGGCAAGCGTGAGGAAGGCATATGTCTTGCGCTTGTCCCAGCCAACTTTGCCCTTCTTCGGAGCAACAATCAGAACGCTCTCGCCATGGAGAAGAATAGGCCGAGACGCTACCGTCTTTGGCAGCTCAGCCGATCGAGAATCTTGCAGAGCAATGGTGCGAGAACGTATCGCGCCCCGCAAATAGCTACTCTCGCCAGAAGGTAGAAGGTATGTGTCCCAGGCCAGGGGAGCGACTTTGCCGTTGCTTAATGTCGGATTCCTGGATGCGTCCAGAGAATCAATGACCCAGCGGCCGGAGAGTGCGGGCAGCCCTAGAGCAAGCGCTTGCATGTATTTGGCTTTTCGGCTGTGCCGGTCAGCGATAAGTGCGACGAACCCAACATTCTCATTCTCGGACTTGAGCTGTAGTCCAGATCGCTGCTCTTCATTTGACTCTTCCTGCTGCTTCCGCGGCGACTTTTTCTTTGGCGAACTTGTGTTGCCTTCTCCAAGGCTAGGGAGCTCGAACAGCTCCTCAAATCCATCTTGCAGGATCGTCCCGCCGTTACGTGCGATCAGGCTGGAAACGTCCGCCTTTTCTGCTTCGTTGCCCACGTACGATATGGCAAACGCCATGCCGCTGAAAATAGCTGCCGGGGCATCAACAGGTGCAACGTCGTATGAGGCAACAGATGCTTCGCGCAGATGAGAAGCTCGGCTCTTGCTGCGTCCTCTCACTTGGCCTGGCGGCGGCACTGCAGCGCGACGAGATCGAGACGATGGGGTCTCGCTGTTTGGAGTGCGCGAACGAGTTGACGGCGTCTGCGCGGGGGCAGCAGTGGTCGACTTCGTAGCCGATGCTGGAACATGAGCTCGCCCATCCAGTTGCGGCCACAGCGTAGGTGGGATGAAAATCTGCTCGAGCAAAACCTCAAAGATCTCGCCACCGGCCTGATTGCTTGCGTTAGGTATGCCTTTCGAGGTGCCTTTCCGACCGATTTTAGCCTGCACTTTGACCCGGGCACGTCCATAGACATCAACACCGAGTTGACGCTCTTCAGCACTTGCAGCATTGCCAAAGCCAGCAACGCGCCAGACTCTTCCTTTGGTCCTAGGGTCATCCACCCTCACATTATCGCCTATGCGGAGGTCGAGAGCTCGAACTTGGCCAACTCCGACTTCGGTAACGTTACCGTCGTCGAAGCGTACTTTGTAGTTCATTCCATCTGCCGTGCCTCCAATCCAGGTCGCAGGATAGTAGTTTGTCGGCATGCCTTTGAACAGGGCGAAGATGCGATTCGGGGCGGGGATTGCTTTCTGGGCCCCGTCGTCGGTCTCTCCAGGGGCTTCAGCGCTAGGTATGACATCTGCTTGAGCGACGGAGGCGTTGCTGGGACCAACGACGTCTATATCGCCACTGGCAGACTCGACTGTCATTGCTCCAGACTCATGATAGACATCGTCAGCTTCAACATTAGCATCGACTCGCGGCTCCTCCAAGTCTGCCGCTGGTCGATCCGTCATCTCCTCATTAGCGGTCTCGTCAGGCTCGCAGAGCTTCGAAGCGCTAGCTCTCTTTGATTTCGCAGGCTCGTTTATCGTGGACTTCCTCTTGACAGTTCGGCCATACGTGACCTGCTTCGCCTTTTTTGAGACTTTGGCGGTTCTTGCAGAGATCAACTGCGAAGCAGCATCAGCACCAGCCTTCTCGCGCAAACGTCGGCTCTCAGGAGTCTCGTTTCGCACTCTTTCTGAGGTTACCGGTGTCGAAGTTGTAGCCATTTCGTTGCCCTTGCTTGAGCGATCCCGGAGCGCGTCTGGCTGCTCCTTATCGACTGCGAGATCTGGACTCTTGTGTATGGCGGCTTTGCTCTCGCCCGGCGGATTCGTTTCACCTTGCATTTCGACGTCAGAAGTAGCATGAGTAGAAGGAAGAACCGAATTGGCTTCCGATGTTGTAGCATTGGAGGAGACCTCCTTGTTGAGCCTGCGCCGCTTTGTTCTCGGTTGTTCTAGAGAATCCGATGTAGCTGCTAGAACCATGCGGTCGTCATCGGTCATGATTCCGTTCATGACAGCGTCCACATCTGCAGTGACATCAAAGCTGGAGTTGCTCCTATAAATTCCGGCCATGTCACCAAAGTGCCGAACGCCGGCCGCTTTGCGCGGCGAAGGATCTATCAAGCTGCTGGCCTGACTCGGAGCTGGTTTCGCCGGTGAAGGCGCAGAGCCGCTGACATGCGTTCTCGCCGTGGAGTAGGGAACAGCGAAGTTACTACCTTGGCTCTCCTCCTCTTTGGCGGGATAAGCTTCCAGGTCCGGTCTGTCGCTCTCAGGGATTTCTCGCGGCAAATATGATTCTTCTTGCTCTGCAGAACGGCTGCGAATCTTGAATTCCTGGAGCAATTCTCGCCGCTGCATTGACGCTTCATCAGAGTTGCTGGGTAGAGTGTCGTCAAGTGCTGGCTGTAGCGGAGGACTGCTAGGAACACTGTCCTCGTCGGCTGCTTGATTTTTGAGTTGCGATGCAGGAACTCGATTCTGTGACCTCCGCTGGGAAGACGCGAGTATCACCTGCTCCTCACTCGTCTTTTCCTCATAATGCGACCCAGGCACGAATGGCGAATGATGCAGCTGGTGCCTGGGTGATCGCTCGACTGTGGCATGCTGCGCAGGTGGCTGAGAATCTGCGATGGTTGACCCTTGTGTGCGTTGTATGACATGGCTTTGATCCAGAATCCCGTCCGCAGGCGCGGCCTCACCATCTACGTTTTGCAATCCACTGTCCAAGTCGAAGTCATCCGTGGCATCGCCTTCTGCGACTGAGCCATCCTCCTCATAGCGCTCCGGCTCATTTCCTTGGCTCCTCAGAGTCTGTCCAAGCTCATCGTACTCATCATTGTCGCTGAGCTCATGCAATTCGCCACGCTCGTCGTCGTCATCGAGAGCAAGCTCGTCGATATCATCCACTGTCTCGTCATCTTCCATGTTCTCGTTCGGCTCCCGGTCATCCAGTAGATCAAGATCCTCGTCCACGGGTTCCGAGCGGGTTTGAGGCTCATGATGGCGCCGGATCGCGGGCGTGACCAAGTTTATTGTTTCACGCTGCTTTCGATTGCCATATGTGCGGGATCCTAGGCGCTCGGGAGCACGCAGCTGGCGAAGATCCGCCATTGCCTCGGCGCTCCTCGATCGCTGGAGTGCTTTGGACTTGCGACGCTGCTGGGACTCATCTTCTTCGTCCATGTCATTTCGGACGAAGCCCTTTGCCCGGTCTCGCTCGAATCGTTCCAGCTTCTTTCGCGCCTTACGCTCCTGAGACTCCTTGGTAGTCGTATAGTGACCCCGAGGCTCGTTTATCGAGTATGAAGACGAGGGCCTAGCAGTCATAGGCATTACTGGCGAAGAGAAGCCGTACTCTGATGTAGCTTCCATGCGCGGCTCATTCTGGGCAAAATTGGGAGAAGGGCGAGTAAGTGCAGGACTCGAACGGAGTGGCTCCTGAATTGGCGATGAGCGTGTCTGAGTCTGATCAAACAATTGTGTGCCGCTCAGGATTCCGTCCGCCGTGTGTTGGAACATCTGCGAGAAGCCCGTCATCTTCTTCGTTGTCGATTTTTCAGAAGTAAACGGCTCGCCATTCCTATCATGCTTTTGTCCAGCCAGAGCAGGCGCAGGCGTGGCTGGCTCAAACGGTCGCGGTGGCTTCTTGAACTCCGTCTGCGGGCTATCGGAATTCGGAGCCTCAAGTAGCTCATCGTAGCCTTGCGTCGAACGTGCTGGGGATGAGGTCTCTGGCCATGCCGTGACCAAATCGATATGTCCAGTCTCGCCTTCTCGAACCGTCCGCTGCGTCTTATCGCCATCTTCTATCTGATCCGTATCCGACTCTTCAATGGGGAAGCTTTCCTGCTGTCTCTCAGGTGTGGCCCTTGAATCTTTCACCATTGACTTCCTAATCTCCTCGTGGTAGACCTGCGACGGCATCTCCTGCGTATCGTGCTCTGGTTCCACCACATCTCCAGCAGGGAAGCTCTTCGCCTTTGTCAGCTCCGCGAACGCCTCCTGCGAAGGAGTTGAATGAGGAAGCATAGCTTCCAAGTCGCCTGGCGCGGAGTGCGACGCGTGGGTACCCGGTTTAGGTTTGCCTATTGGCGATGAATTGGGGGAGAGGTATGCGCTCGCGGATTCCTGGACGGTCGAGGGTAATTGTACAGACGCGTTGGCATTCTCCCCACTCTCTTGATGTTGCTTGCGCGCGTCGTCGCCAGCGGCATTAGGTTCGAAATCCTGGGAGCATGGCGTCAGCTTTGGCTTCATGAAGCACAGACGGCGAAGGATGCAGTCCGCGAGTGGTAGTCATAGAGACACTCACCTGCCCGCAATACCGTCGATTCAGTGATTCGAGCTGAGCGAGGTGCTCCGATGGCAGGCTGTCCTCAGTCAAGGATGCCATTGTTTGCGACAGGTCGAAAAGATGACCGGTCGCATTGATGGATATCCAGCGACTGAACCGAACGTGGAGTCGCAAACTAGCGCGCGTGAAAGTTCGAGCGACGCGTCAAGACTCGGGACGCTGTCACGTGATGCGATTCAATTAACATCCATGCCCTCCGTGCACAGTGCTCTTCACATTTCCTTTGTTCACTTAGTACCGTCCCGCCGACATCATTAACATTGCCAAAGGATAGCGCGGTCGCCGCAATCACACTGCGATAGAATACGTAGTCGTCACATGACCCCGTCCTATCGGCAGCAGTAGTCCGATGGCTCGTCGTACGATACTTACTTTACAGATTTTTCGTAGCTTCAATTCGATACCGCGTGTTGACCGAGCCGCCGCTTGAGGTCGAATCAATTGCGTTGGATAGCTACTATCCGGGATCGTGGGACATGTTCAGCAAGTACATGGCGGATTTCCAAACCAGACGGTCTCATGGGAAGAAACGCCTGTAGTGAGAGCAGATCCGGACTATCGGAAGGCGTATGTGGCTGATTCGATCTTGTTCATTGTCATGGCGAAGAATGGAAGCCTGGATGGTGATGGAGCAGTGGAGCGGGTAAGGTGAGCACGGAGATAAGGTACCTTATCGGTGAACGGTGGCTGTGTGGCTGTGGTGGCACAGAGTGGGATGGATGGATCGGCTGCCAGGGTGTCATGTCCCCGATCGGCTTCTCGCTTTCGTTTTCCACAGTGAGAAGTCATCGTCACCAGACACGAGAGCTCCATCCACACCTTTCCGATTGGCGTAGTCTGTTGCCGTCAAGACGTCTGCTGATATCTTCTCCTAAGACATGCACTGAGCAGACAACTCAACTACGCGGCGCTCGCCGGCGACGCTGATCCTCCCTCCCAGTCGAGCCTCTGTTACATCCGGCTTTGCGCATCCGAGAACCCTACCACCGACTCCAGACCCTTCCTTTCCTCATGAGCGAACTCAAGCAACGCAAGACTGCGCCGCAGTCCGCCGAGCGCCCGAAAGAGCAGAATGGAAACACAACACCTACGGCGGGAGATCATCCCCTCGGCGCCCCTAAGCATGGCGGAGCAATGCAACTGCTACGCATCGTCGGCTTTGGCATCTACTTCTTTGGTTGCTGCTTCTGCATCCGAGGCGCGCAGACGCTGGGATACCCTCTCTACTTCTTCAGCCAGGACTGGTTCTACGCCTGGCGGGCCTTGACCAAGCAGTTCTTCGGTCTCCTCATCACGAACATGACGCAGTTGTGGAGTCCTACAGTCGTGCGCGTCAGCGGGGACAAGAGTGTGGCAGGTCTACTCAAACAAGACGAAAGCGGCATGCTATCCGTAGATTTCGGAGAGCGCGCGGTCTTGATGGCAAATCACCAGCTGTATACAGACTGGCTATACCTATGGTGGATTGCGTATACGAATGTCATACCCATGCATGGACACATCTACATCATCCTCAAAGACTCCCTCAAGTGGGTCCCCCTCATAGGTCCCGGGATGCAATACTTCGGCTTCATCTTCATGTCCCGAAAGTGGGCCAACGACCAAGGAAGCATGCGCTACAGACTGCAAAAGCTCAAAACCCGCCATTCGGGCCCCATGTCCGGACAACGGGGCGCCCAACAATTAGATCCCATGTGGCTCCTCATCTTCCCCGAAGGCACGAATCTCTCCGCAAACACACGCCGGGAATCCGCCAAATTCGCCGAGAAATCCCATCAAAAGGACATGCGCCATCTGGTCTTACCGCGGAGCACGGGCCTTCAGTTCTGCCTGCAGGAGTTGGACGATACGGTCGAATACCTCTACGACTGCACGATCGGCTACGAAGGCGTTCCCCCGAGCGGGTACGGGGCGGAGCTCTTCACGCTGCGCTCCGTCTACTTCCAAGGCCGACCGCCCAAGAGCGTAAACATGCACTGGCGTCGCTTTAGAATCAAAGACCTCCCCCTCGACGACAAGGAGAAAATGTACGAGTGGATCGTCGCCCGATGGCGGGAAAAGGACGAATTGCTGGACAGTTTCATGAAGACGGGGAAATTCCCGGCCGATAAGTCCGCGGTCGAGATCGAAGGGGGTCCGACGGATTCCTTCAAGACTCCCTACGTCAACACCGAAGTCCGACCCAGGGCACCTTGGGAGATTTTCCAGATCTTCGCCCCGGTGGCTGCTGCTACGATGGTCGGGAGGGTTCTGGTGCAGTTGTCGGATCGTATCTTCCCGGCGGGGGGATAGCTCTCGACGGATGGACGGACGAACGAATGAATGAATCATATGGGCAATGGGGGAAAGCTCGAGTTTGGGGGGTTTTGATTGATTGATTGATTGATTGAAATCCCAGCATAGATAGGCCGTTTGATGTATAGACGCGGACAGGATAAGGTAGATACCCCCACGCATGCATGCACTTGGACACGATTAGAAAATTCGAAAATTTCAAACTGAGAATTTTACACATTCCTAGTCTTATCATATCTATAACGATGATTAGATATTGAACCCTCTTATTATTACTTTAACCTTGTTTTTCTTTTGTAACTATCTCGCTTTAAACACCCGACCAGCCAGCACTACACTACACTACACTACACTACATACACAAGGCATCAATGATAATGATATCTGCCCGGGCCGGGTCCTCGGAGTTTCGTCTTACTTACTAACCCTACCTTACCCTACAACTTGCTCAATCAAATGTTTACACCTTATAATAATAATTATTGTAAGTAAGAAGATCTGTCTGGCTCCTGATTTTCTGTAGCTTCCACTCTTGTCATGCATGCATGCATGATTTGGTTATGCAAAGGGGGACGGACTTATTAATACCACCCATGCACTGTGCATGGACAGAGATACGACGACATCTCCCTGCTAACTAACCCCAAGAAACCCTAATAAAGGTGGTGGTGCCTTATGACGTTCAACCCTAAAGCAAAGCAAGGGCAAGGCAAGGCAAGGGACGATGACACTTCGTTCAATTCGATTCGATTTGGAAAGGTTGCATGCATCGTCTTCTGTACACGGAAACATCAACCCAACCACGATGCTGCAATTGGAAATGCCAGCCAGAACATAACGCGTGCGAACGCTGTCGTCTTAGGAAGCTGAGAAGGATAATGAACCCGTCCCCGGCCGCTGCCATATCGAAAAGGGGGCATCATCGTGTACACGAAAACACAGCGCCAATGACCAACTGAATCAGCTTTTGCCGTGCCACCGATTTCCCAATAATGCCCCAGTCATCGCACAATTCCACACCCCCACCCCCCAAAAAGCCATTATCTACGTCTCCCTTATGCTGCGCGTGGAAACTTGGCCCAGGAACAAATTGTTCACTTCCACCCAAAAAACAAAGTGGGGAGAAAAACGCCGTCGCCGTGCTAACACGCTAAATGTTCAAAAATGAGGTAAACAAATAGGGGCCTCGGATCTTCGAAGCGGTTGTCAAAAGTTCTTCAGTCGTTGAAGTCGTCAAAATGAGGCAGTCGAGGTGGTGGTAAAAGCCTTCTGCGTCGGAGTCCTCGGCTCATCAAATGCATCCACACTGGTATCGGAAGTGGTGTACTGCGACAACGCAGTCGCCAGATCCTGAGTCTGCGGTCCACTTTCCAAGATGAAATGCTTGAAACCCACAGAATGCTTGTCGCCATTCTCCAATGTCGTCGACCGCTGGAGTGAACAATTCGGGAGATCCGGTGGCGGTGGTGCATCCAGCGGCGAGTCAAAGTACTGTGCCTTCTCAGCCTTCGGGGTGGTATCGTACTTGACTTGTTCAAGCATCTTGCCAATAGATCCAACAGAGGAAGGCCTCTCGAATTTTTCCTCCTCAATTTCCATGTTGCAGGGGATGTTATTGAGCAAGCACCAATTTCGATTGAGATACTGTTCGAGTCGATAGTACTGGCGATCCCACTGTTCCGTCAGCAAGCGGTGGGTGGTCTGAATGTCCTGAACAGTGAAGCCAGACAGAGGACCTGTGATGATCGAAGTAGGACTGTGCAGGCTCGGATGAACGTGTTTGGTCTTCAAAGCCGGCATCGAGAGCGAAAGATGTGAGCGGTTACGGCTGTTCGACGACGTTTTACCAGAGGAGGGCAAAGCTGGAAAAGACGGCGTGCGAATAGATGCTGAACGCTGAGCAGTCTTCTTCACGTTTGCGAAACCCTTCTTCATGGTCGAGCTGGCGGTGAAAGACCCAGTCCTCGAATGCGGTGGCGAGCCGGGAGCTTCTTGGTCTGCCATGAGCTTCATTGTCGACTCCGCAGATCTGAACGCAGCAGAACGCCCGTCGTTCATCTTCGGCAGGTAGACCAGAGAAGTGTTCTCACAGAGTGAGTTCACCAAATCGGTCAGACCATGCAGCGGTATCTCATTGTTGTCGCAGTGCAGTTCCATTAAGGTGTTGTTCTCTCGCAGGACCTCCGCCAAAGTGCTTGCTCCTTGGAAGCCTAACTTCTGCTTCTCAATGCGAAAGACCTTCAGCGTTTTGTTGTGCTTCAGGCCGGCAAGAGCCTCATTGATACCTGGACCGAATTTCGAAGTCGCCAATCTCGAATCATCGCCGGAAAGATCCAGTTCAACGAGCGTCTCGTTCTCAGCCAGTAGCTTGCTGAGTAGGCGGCAAGTCTCCTCGCTCGCATCACCAGGGAGTGCGGTCTGTGACATATCCAGATACTGCATTGTCTTGTTGACAGTCACCGCAGCGACGATCTTTCTGAACTGGGACTCTTCTTTGTATTCGATGGCCCGCAAGCTCAAGTGCGAAGGAGTCATGCCTTTGGCAATAGTTTTACTGAGCTGCTCGAGGCCTTTGGTCAGGAAACACTGACTGATGTCCAGGTGCATGTTGCGAACGCGGTCCTTGTCCCACGATAGACTGTACAGCAGTGTCGCAAGATCTTCCCCGGCTATATGGGTGTTGTCCAAATAAAGCTCATGGAGACTGTCAGATTGCGGATGTGCCAGATACGTGGAAATGGCATCTATGGTAGCCTGGTTGAGTGTTGTCCCACTGAGGCGAAGCTCCTGCAGGCGCCAGATCAGTAGCGTCTCAGCCTGAATGAACGGCTCCGAACTCGAAGTCCTCGAGACGTTGGATAAGTTGAGTTTTCGGATGAAACCGAACATTGCCAATTGACTGTCAAATGCGCCCGGATTCAGGCGGGCTCCGTTGCCTGCAATCTCCAACGACTCTAGAGTATTCTCCTGTGCGCGAAGAGCGTCCAGAATGAGGCCCAGGCTACGATCGTTCAGTCCACAGCGATTCAGCTCGATAGCCCGAAAATGGCAAGATTTATCCACAGCAGCGCCCACCAAGTAGTCCAGATCGGTATCGCTGAGCTCAATGCCATTGAGGCAGATCCAGTCCACGTTCGTTGTCTGATGCTTGCAAAGCGGGAACAACGCCTCCACGATTCCGCAGCCAATGTCCCTCGTCCTACCGGGCTCATCATCCGTTGGATCAGGCGACGCGTGCTTGGTGGTGATGCATCCCGAGAAGTCCAAGCGCCGTAATCTCTTGCTAGTAGCTGCCAGCGCCCGGATCTCTTGCACTAGAAGCGAAGATCGATTGAGTTCTTCTGGAGAGAGCTTGATCGGAGTGCCTCGCTTGGTTCGCGTGCACACGTGCTCTTGGCCGTAGTTATCATGCAATCCTTGCAGACTATCCAATGAAATGCTCGCGAAGGACAAGCTGCCGAACGTCTCATTGTAGCGCAGAGAGCGCATGATAGCGAGAAGTTCCAGTGGGCCATACTTCTGTCGACGGGAGTCCGCAGGAGGTAGAAGCTCGAATCGAGGTGCATCTTCGCAGTGATAGTTGATCGTATATCGGAGATTCGACGGATTCAGACCATATGCTACACAATAGGCAATTAGTGTGCGATCAAGACAGCAGTGCTCCTCGACATCGGCAGCGGCAGGTGGCACGAGCAGATCCTCGACTTCCGGCGGCGCACTGAATCTGTATAATCGATAGCCACACTCGGGTCGCAGAAAGTTTTCGGAGAAGCGCAGACGGGCAGCGATCTCATGGGAAGCAGAAGATGCCAGATACAACGTCCTGGCCTTCTGCAATGGCTGCCTGAACGTGATCTCGAACGTATCATCCAGACTGTGCACCTTGACTGCTGTTAAAGTGAGTATGCCATGTGAGGATTGGGCGTGACCTGGCGCTGCCAAAGAAGGGCTTGAGTTCCGTGCCACAGGCTTCACTTGCTGAACGAAATGCACCTTGTGCACTCCCACAGCCAAGAAGCAAACGTTCGATGCGACTTTCGTCACATCGTCGGACGAGGATCTGCTCCCTGACTTGGCGGTGGGCTGTCGCTGAACGACCTTGAAGATTGCGCAGTTGGACGGATGGTAGTCGCTATCTCTCTCCACCACTCGCGCAACGTTCTCGAGGTTGAACGCCGAAATAGATGAGGGTTCTTTGAGTCGAGCATCGTAGACAGCGCTACGGATTCGCTGCAACCAGACATCCCTATCCTCGGGATTTCCGAGTTGGAGATTGATCGATGAGGCCTGACCTGATTCTTCATCCAAGTAGCCCACTTCGAGGGCAAAGTAAGGCTTGCCATCATCCAGCTTATAAACCGCGACTACCTGTCGTAAAGGCACGCGACCATCCTTGTCGCCGGAGGAGTCTGACAGCGTCTGCAGATCGCTCTGGGAGCCAGCCGATGGCATGGAGCCATGTCTCACTGCTGGGATGCGGCCGGCAGTGTTCGACAGTGGTGTGTTCTTGAAAGTTTCCGCGGCTTTATGCTGAGACTTGTATCGTATGAGATGCACCTCAGTGAGGACAAGGTATTCCTTCTTCTTCCGAAACATGCCCGCACTGGTCTGCACCTCTCCATGCACCAGGACCGACTTGGAGGGAGGCATGCCGTCGATGGCGTTCTCCAAGCTCAGAGAGGGAGCCTTGGAAGAGGTCGCTGACAGAGGCTCTCCCTCCCTATGCCCATAGCCAAAGTAGCTCAGCTCTTCACTGCTTGCGCGCACACTACTTTTCAGAGAGCCGAAGACCGAGGGCGGCCGGCGGGCTACTCTCATGCTGAGCGAAGGCCTCCGCGCATTGCTCTTGCCGGGTGCGGATTGGTCGGATGGCGGACGGGACGTGGTATGGTCCTCTCTGGCCACATCCGGATGGTTGAGGTCGTGGTGGGCGGTGGGCGGTCGGGAGCGGTGGTGTTTGTGCTTCTTCAGAGTGTTGGGTGATCTGGCAGAGGCATCGTCGTGGTGGGTGTTGTTGGAGCGATTGTCGCGGCTAAGGACAGGAGTGAGGGCAGAAAGATTCAACAGGAGAGACTTCCTCCTGCTCCGCGTGGAGCTCTCATTTGAACTTCTCGCCGACATGGCCTGACAGGCTCCCCGGTCGGATACGGACGTATCAATGGGCTGTCAGCGGAGATTGGCGGGCGGGCGGGCGGGCGAGCTGAGCTGAGATGCTTATTAAAGCGACATGTGATATAGCTAGTATTGGATATTGCGCTTGACCAGGCTCTGGCGTCAGCGTTTGCCGCCGCAAGTACTTAAGAGATCGCTGGGGTCGTAGCTAGAGACGGCGCTGACTGGTAGTGATTCTGGTTCTGAGGTTGGCGGTGCAAGTGTGAAGGCGCATGGCAGTGCGAAAGCTAGCACACTGAGACGTCGAGGGATATCGTTGAAGCATGGAGCATGGAGCATGGAGCATGGAGCATGGGAGAAGGGCGGCGCCTGCACCGTGGGTTGGGTGGAGTGAAGTGAAACGAAGAGGTGGGTGAGGGCGAGGGCGAGGGAGAGGTGAGGGTGTGTCGCGCGTAGGTCACCGCATCCCGTGAAGGGTTCGGGGGAGGCTCACACTACGGCGCGGTGTAGGTGATGAGTGGTAGAGGCATCATCGAGTGCTGGGCGGAGGTGTTGTTGAGAGTCGTGGGCAGAAGAGGTGGAAAGTTGGCAGAGCAGATGTGGGTAAAGTATCTTGCAGACCTCCAGCTGCAGCTCTCTCTCTGCCCGTGTGCCCGCAGGCTTCGCCGCTCGGGGACGACTCCACAGCCGATGAGGTACATGTAGGGTAGGATAAGGTTGGGAGGAATGCCACAATGCCCAATGCGTGGCCAACGTCACCAGCTAAATCCGTAGATCTACAATACTGCATCACTCACCACCGTCGTATGTCTGTGACATTGAATTATCGGATCGCCGTCACAACATCTTCTACCTCGCTCGATCCCACACCGCACACCGCACACCGCACACCGCACACTCACGCCCACTCCGACTCCCGAGACTCCATCATCTTCATCGTCCACAGCTCATACCTCAGGAGCAGTATTTGTGGCACCTCATTTCGCGAAGCTCGACCTGGAATTGCAGAGTTTCAGATGACAGCATCACAGCAAAACATGAATATACGCACCCCTGCAGATAATATTTGCTGGCTCCGTCCGCGGCGTGTTGCTACACGGCACAACTCATTCCGATCGGATGTCCTGGTATTCCGTCGCCACTCTCAAGCCATGTGAAATGATGAGAGCACATACAGCCAGCCATGATACGCCGCCTCCTATCCCTCTGCACTCCAGCCGCCGCGGCCCCGGTCCGTCCCCGAGCTCGCCTAGGTGACTTCTATCTCGACCCGCTATTACAGAACACCTCATATCTACTCGCATTCCATTCTCGCTTGGCAATGAAAGTCTCTAGACGTCCCGCGCCGCGCGACTCTTCCCACGAAATCTGACCGAAATTGATGAGATGGTGGAAGGAACGAGTGATGTCTTAGACTCTCTAGCGCAGCGTCCCGTCCTCACGTTTCGCACCTTCCCTTCCAAACCGGCGCGATCCTCTCATCATCTCGCATCATAGCTTCGCGCTAGCAATGAACCGCTCGGATGCTTTCCGAGCCGGACTGCCACCTCATATGTCAACCGCAGCGCCATCGCACTAGATTCGTGTACAGTATATAACACATTCTTCACTCGCAACAACCGACAACAGCGACACCGCAGGAAACCTCTGACGCCAACCTTCGGGAAGCGCAGCAGAAGAGAGGGAGAGAGTTGGCCATGCAACATGCTATAGTCGGGTTGCCTCTCACAGCACAGAGATGATCACGAGCTCCTGGAAACAAACCAAGCAAAACCGGATGGCGACGTCCGAACAGAAACATCACCATGCGAGACATTCTTTGATACAAAACCTCGTCCTGAATGGTGTCGAATCCAACAACCATAGTCCTTGCAGCAGATCCAGCCACGCAAGCAAACTCATGTCTTGGCACACCATTGGAGACGTTCCAGTTGCTCCTGCTCTGGCACGCGGACTCGAGGGAGAACAGAACAACCATCTTCCCTGCAAGATCTCAATCGATGCCGATCACGCCGCCACACCCGGGCAACTACCGATGGCACTGACAACACTTCCTCCTTCACAAAACATCTTGTTGGCTTTGCATTAATCTCTCCAGGCATAGCCATGCCCTACCCATATCGCCAGGTCCGGGGACAGGGCCCCATCTATTATCTCAGTCGTCTAGTAGCCCTCGCGGCAGCAACGGAACACAGAGCCCCAATAAACAAACAAACCCCAATCCCACTCACCCCTTCCGTCGAATGATGTTCGTCCGGATGCGCCTCATCTGCCAATTCAGGACTCTTGCCCGGTTCCAAGATGGAGAAGACCACCCAGCTGATCCCCGTCCCCACAAACTGCGGCAAGGTCGTGTAGATGTTCAGAATACCCAGGTAAATTCCGCTCAGCTCGCCGGTGGAAGAGCTCCCGGCGGAAGAAGTCGACGAGTGTCGGAGGTGAAGCGTATTGTTGGTGTTGTTGTTGTGTCCACCCATTTCGTATTCATCCGAGAAGCGATGTCCACCACCTCCACCACCACAGGACGACAGAGGAAGGGGAGAAGACCCTCCCCCTCCCAGTTTATTCACCTCCACCCCAATGAACGTCCCCACCGCCAGCCCTGCAATCGCACTCGGAACCCCCGTCAGAGCCATCAGGAAAATCGCAAACCTCACACTCTGCACCACAGGCGCGAAAACCATACAAGCCGCAAATATCCCGCATCCCATCGTCCAGACATTGAGCAACGAAGGTTTCCTAGAAGTGATGCCTTTGGTAAAGTCAACGACGGATTTCAGCTTCTCGGGCGGGCGAGGCGTATAACCTGGCTGTTCCTCTTCCCCGGGGCTGGTCACGAGCCACGGAAGCACAATGGCTGTGAAGCATCCGACGGTGGAGTGGATGATGAGGCCCATGCTTCCGATGCGGCCGACTTCCGTGAGGGCGTCGTCGGACGCGGCGGAGGGCGCTTCGTTGCGGAGGTAGATTTCGCCGACCCAGGTGCTGCCGTAGAACCTGTAATGCGAGAATCGCATCGGGTCAGTGCAATCTATTCGAGCTGGCGTTTGTGGGGTATGGATGTGCTACGAACATGAGGGGAAACCAGCCGATCCATGACCAGAATTGGACAGTGCAGATGGCCTGTATGCGTTCGGGGACGTAGAGTGCTCGTTGGTAGATTTGTTGGATGGTGGTCCAGAGGCTTTGGTCGGCGCCTGTAGGTTTACTACTAGATGCAGAACGTAAGTCCCAACTCCCAAATTTCGTTGCACCCGAGGTCTGCACGTACCCATCGGAAACCAGCACCCGCTCGGTCACTGCCCAGCACGTTGTGAATTGGGTAATCACCATGACCAGTGCAGCGACAGAGCAGACCTTCTTGAACTGCGTGTCACCGAATACACTTGGCACAAACGACAAGTCCATTGCGCCGAAGCCAAAGACCAGCATGTGTCCCACTCCTACCATACGAGTGACCCAAGCTGCTCCTATCTGCTGCTGTGATATGGGAAGAGCGTCCACTACCAGTGCTCGACATGTGGCCTGCGCTGCTCTTTCGTCAGCCCCATTTCATCTCTCATGACCTCTCTCCTTGACTCCAACCCAACCTACCAATATTGATCACAAAGTCCAGCACATAGATATCCCCAACAACCAGCGCAATTGTCCACTCTCTCCTCTACTCCCAAAAGTCAGCCTCAAATCTCTTCCAAACCTCTTCTCCAAACAAGAAGAAACACAAATAAAAGACCCTACCCTCTCCCCCTGCTCCGGTATCCACCACCCAACAATCTCCTTCGCCCACCCCAACACCAACAAACACATCGCAACCGCAAGCGTGCCCCCCACCATAAACGGCCTCCGTCGCCCAAACCTCGACGTGCTCTTATCACTGATCATCCCGATGATCGGCTGCATGATCAACCCCGAAAGCGGCCCCGCAAGCCACACCAGACTCATCTTCCTCTTACTCAACCCCAACGCCAGTAGATATGGTGTCGCATACGTCTGTTCCGTGCCCCAGCAGAATTGCAGCCCGATGAGCGAGAGCGTGAGCAGGAAGAGGCGCATCGACTCGCTGTGCCCGCGGATGCGCGGCTGCCCCGTCCACGACGACAGAGGGCCGGCGGCTGCCATGGTGGGGGGTGGGGTCGGGGGCAGTGTGGGTTTTTGGTGGTGGGAATTTCCTCTCGATCTTCTGTTTTTCTCGCGGTGCCGTTTTGGCGTCGAGGTGCGACGTACGTCAGCCAGTCCGGGCTGTATTTCAATTCAATGGTGAATAGGAGATTCGTGCCGGGCGCCCCCGGCGCGGAGCTGTGCAGTGTTTCACTTGCGCATTGGGAGTGTCTTGGGTCCTTCCCTGCAACTACCGAAAGATGGACGGCCTCGCATCAATCGCGCGTGGCGTATACAACGTCGTTAAGGTGCCAACGGTTTATAGATCTTGGAAGGCGGAAGGGGCGGTGATCACAACAAACTGTGGGCAGAGAATATGTTGGTGAAAAGTGGAATCGGGGCGCGTGTCCGGTTGTTACGAGCCGCTAGCAAGGAGCTTGGACCAGGACCCTTCATTCACATGGAAGTTGCGCAACAGATCATCGTCCAAGAATAGTTACCGACATTCAGATCAGAAGGGAGGGTCGTAATGCACTGCTTTTCTCATTCCAAGAAGTGCACCTCTATTTACAGGCTCTAGGCCCCTTTTCTAGTCCGCTCAGCGCCCTGTACTTCGTTGCATCGTGCAGTCACAGTCAAGAAACACCCGGCTTCCCAGCTCTCCTGCACGCCGCGCTCTAAAAATTCCGCTGGCTTGTTCTCTGTCCGCCGAAGTCACGCTGGCAGCTCATCATGTATAATCCTTCTATAGATTGTAGGTGCTCCATTCTTCGAAGCCAAGCCGGGAAATCGACTGCAGAGATCGAGCACCCTACAACTTGTTGGGCTCGATCTGGTGCTGTGGCCACTGATACCCTGCTGCGTCGGCGAACTTGTAGCCGTAGGAGGAAGTGAAATCGTCGAGAACAGCTGGACCGCGGGAGCCTATCGATGCTCAATTAGTAAGCTGTCTCAATCAATGCATGTAGCATACAAAGCTTACCGTATGGATAGCCCATGGGGATGATCTCCTTGTTGTCATCCAAGTAGTGGAGGAGAGGAGTAAAGATGCGCCATGAAGCATCGAGCTCGTCGTCACGGACGAAGTTGGAGTGGTCGCCCTTGAGCGAGTCAAGGATCAAGCTCTCGTAGGCCTCTGGAATCTTCAAGTCGGAGAATCGTCTCCGGTAGGTCAAGTCAAGCTCGGTAACGACGGTCTGCATGCTGAGACCGGGAAGCTTCGAGTTCATCTTGATGTAGATGCTCTCGTTCGGTTGAACTCGGATAACCAGCTCGTTACGCGGGATATCCTTAAAAATACCGGACGTGACATCCTTGAACTGGATTCGGACTTCCGTCTTCTGCTCGTTGAGAGCCTTGCCGGCCTTGAGGATGAATGGCACGCCGTCCCAGCGCTCGTTCTTGATGTAAGCGACCATGGAAGCAAACGTTGGGCATCGCGACTCCTTTGGCACTGTATCGTCCTCCTTGTAGCCAGGCTTGGAGCCGTCGAGCGACTTCTCGTACTGGCCGATGATCACATTCTTGGGCTCAATGCTTGGCATGCCTCGCAGCACGCGCACCTTCTCATTGCGGATGTCCTCAGCGCTGAAGGAGATTGGTCGTTCCATTGCAAGGAGGGTGAGGATCTGGAGCAGGTGGTTCTGCATGACATCGCGGATGATGCCGAACTCGTCGAAGTAGCCACCACGACCCTCAGTGCCAAACGGCTCCTTAAAGGTGATCTGGACATTGTCGATGTGGTTGCGGTTCCAGGTAGCACCGAAGAACTCGTTGCCGAATCGCAGAATGAGGATGTTCTTGACCATCTCCTTGCCCAGGTAGTGGTCGATACGGAAGATCTCCTCCTCCTTCCAGTTGGGACGCAATGCCCTGTCCAGCTCGCGGGAGGATTCAAGATCCTTGCCAAAAGGCTTCTCGATGATGATACGGGCGATGCCTTTTTTGGGGTAGTTGTTCTTCTTGAGGTGCTCAGACACCGGGATGAAGACGGATGGCGGAAGGGCCATGTAGAAGACACGGTTGGTCTCCTTCTGGCCCTTCTCGAGCTCCTGGAGCTTCTTCTCCAGCTCCTGGAAGCTCTCGTCCTTGTCGTACTGACCGCTGACGTATGTGGTGAAGCCGCAGAAGGTCTCAAGCTGCTGCTCAATGTCCTTAGTTGGGGTCTTGATGTTGGACTTGACCCGCTTGAGGTACTCTGCGTGGTCCATTTTTGTCCGTGCGTATCCCACAATCTTTACGTCTCGGGGAAGGAAGCCATTGCGGAAGAGACCGAACAGTGCCGGGAAGGTCTTCTTCTTCGCCAGATCGCCGGAGGCACCGAGGACGACGATGACGGTGTCCTCCTTCAGCTCGATGGTGCTGCAGTAAGCGCGTATTAGCCGCTGGTCTCTCGAGTCCGGTCCGGAGGGAGGAGAGGGCCAATGCGAACAGTCGAGACGGTCGCACATGATCCTCGTCCATAGCCTACGGCCGTGGCCATCTCGAGGCGAGATTCGCGATGAAGTGCTTGTCTGAAGCCGCCGCCAAAAAGGTTTGAGAGTGCGTTGAACTTACCCGGCAGTCTGCTCGACGCTGGGGTGGATGACCGTGTCCGCCATGGTGCGGATGGATGTATCAGTCGACGAGGTAAGAGTAGTTGGTGGGTGAGTGGTATTGTAGGTGTTGAAGAGCGCGGGAGCGAGGAGTAGAAAGTAGAGGAGAATTGTTGAGATGTAAGGTATATGGTGTAAATGCGGCGTTCATCGGTCGGTGAACCCTCGCTTTTTGGTGGGGTTCTCAAGTTTATAATCAGTCGACGAGTCGAGATCGTACGTCACCAGGACTTCACGCGGCGAGACACCACATGGGATATCTGGCAACTCTTGTGATGAATGAAAACAATCCGAGTCACGCAGGAGCACAGGAGCGCTCCAATTCACCTGCCACACGCAATTTTTTATGTAGGTATGTACTTTCAGCTGCTCGGCGTGTGATATCACTCAGCAGTTTGTAAGGTTCGACGCACACCGAGGAGACGCCCGAGCTCGCACATTCCATCAGAGCCGCAGAGATCCGTCGGAGTGCCTAGCCTGGCCCCGTATCAGTGGTCTATCTACATCATTCCGCTCATCAGACACATGCGGCCGCGATTGCGGACCGGAATCTGCTCGCGAAGCTTATTCTTCACATCATCGAGGCGAGTCGCTTAGCAGGAAAATAATCAAGACGTGCAAAATTCGGCAAGGTACCAAAGCGCGGAGATAGCAAAAACGGGAGTGAGAAGTATCTCTTCAATGTACAAAAGAAATTTCTCGTCGGAGTACGTATCGGACCCCCAGGAGCCGGGATATAGAGACGGAACGAAGGAATGGGAACGGACCACTTTGCTGAAGGATATAGGAAATTTCCTCCGAGGACAAATGTTGTGATGGAGGAAGCCGGACCAGAGAGGAAGAAGTTCGTTGACCGAAGATAGCCAGTGGTAGTTGGTCAACCAAACAACCACATCCACCACGCAATTGAACAACAAAGGTAGCAATGTTGCGTCCTGGTCAGGTCCTAAGTACCTGTGGGTAGTTTCCAGTAGGTCAGTGTTGTGATGCATAGAGGCGTTCGACGATTCTGCAGGACATGGCATTCTCGCCTTCCACGTGCCCACTTCGTGCCTTGCCCTTTCTGTGGGCTTGGACCAGAGCTGACTTGCTCTTTCCTCTGATACAAGCCCACAGAAAGGCATAAGAGTTGCTGAGATGGTGGAATCGAGTCGAATTGTGCTGAGGACTGAACATCTTCGACTCATCCATCGACAAGTCAAATTGGGTGCAAGCAGACGAAGCCGAGGGGGAAGGTGGACGTGTGGACAACCTGAGGCTGAGACGCTATACCCGAACAAGCCCTAGCGCATGTTTCTGCCAAGAGACACACTCCAATTCAAGCCCGAAGACCTGCGACCGGCGATTGTAGTGACGAGAAGGCACGCATCCGACAACATCCACCCCAAAACGCGACCGCTGGATCAGGACCGCCAATATGTCTGGAGAGCAGGGACACCGGTTATACGTCAAGTACGTTCGCCCTCGTCGTCCCCTTCGAACCCACTGCGAAAGAGTCGGCTGCGAGATGAATATCAACTCAAGAAGGCGATCATGGAAGAGGATGCTAACACAGTATTTCTGCAGGGGCAAGCACCTTTCCCACCAGCGCGGCAAGCGTAACACCAACCCGGGCACGTCGCTCATCAAGATCGAGGGCGTCGACGACCCGAAGGCCGCATCTTTCTACCTGGGCAAGCGCATCGCATACGTCTACCGCGGCAAGAAGGAGATTAGGGGCACCAAGATCCGTGTCATCTGGGGCAAGGTCACGCGGACGCACGGTACGACATCGTCTCTGAAATACAAAGTACCTGGATAGGGAAGAAGAGGATAGTGACTAACGGACATGATACAGGCAACTCCGGCGTCGTGAGGGCACAGTTCCGCAACAACCTCCCATCCAAGTCTTTCGGCGCCATGGTGCGCATCATGCTCTACCCATCCTCGATATGATTTCGACGATCCCCGACAAGAGGCGGGGCAGCGGGAGGGCTGTGGGAGCGGATGGGCACGAATGAGTGGTTAACGAGGAGCGCGGAGATTCAGTTCAGCGCGGATTGGCCCGCATGCTCATAGGGCGACGGCGTCACAAACGGAAGGGAAAGATGCCTGGTCGGCTCTGTTCACAACGTACGGAAATGCATTCAAGAGAAAGCTCATAAACTGCTGCAACGCCCACAGCCTGAAATGTCTCAATACTTGCAACGACCGGTACACTTTTGTGACTATTGCCGATCGTGTAGGCTCGAATCGTGTCGAAGGGGCAATTTGGGATGCGTTGGCAGGAAGCTGATGCCGAAGGCTGTTTTGCAATACTGACAGGTCCAACAAGCATGCCAAGCTCTCTACAGATATACTTCCTATCCACCCGTCGCCTCCAGACATCGACACACTCAACTTTATCGTCTTCGGCATCGGACGGTCATGAGGAAAGTATGCCAATCAACGAAGCTTGCGGATTGTCTCTCAGCCACCGCAAAGCAGCCTTGATCCACAAAAGCAGCTACTTCCGCCTGGCGATCTCTCGGCGTGCTTCATATCACACCGCATCTTCCAGCAGATTGCCGACCGATTGGCCATCGCGACAATCCTATCAACCTGATTATCCGGCCGGAGAACGGCGCGACTTAAGGATGTGGTCAGTATCGTCTTTTGAGGGCATTTTCTTCCTAACACTTAAATCTGCTCCACGATGTGAAAGATACTTCGCATGGCTGGGCGATCTTAGCCTACAAAAGAAACGGATTCATATTAACTGACCTTCTGCGCGACCGACAAGAACATGATCATGATGTTTTCTACCGCGAAGCATCTAGTGTTCGCAGGACCCTGTCGGCACGGGGTTGACATCTACGCTCGTGGAAGATTCCCGTGTATCGCACACAGATTGAAGATACTTCTGTTCGTTCTCATACGACGACCTCGTAAATCTCTCCCAATCCTGACACACTATTCCCCTGCCGTCTAGCTTCCGACCGCTTGATTTTCGATCACCTCCTCCTGCATCAACAAGCCTTCTGTGTGTCGTGACGCTCTTTCCCCCTTCCCAAAATGTCAAGTTTCTTCTCCCTCACTGGGAACGAGTCCAAACGCCAAGCACAGCAGTCTCGAGATGCTGAGTGAGCTGCTGTGTGCGCGATGGGGGAACGTACGCGCCTTGCATGTACTTCAAATAGAGCCACAGAATACCAACCGCAACCCCAAGCAAGCCTTCCAACCGAAGAACCCGAGCTCCCACCTCCCGAACGAACGGCAGCTCATCGTAGAAGCCCAAAGCCGTCCTGTCAACGTCCTGTGCGAAGTAGAAGACACAAGCCGGGGCAACAAAGGCCGGCGCCAGTAAGAAGTTTTTGTAGAGCGCGGGTTGCTGGCGTTGGAGTCTGCAGATGGTATAGGCAGCGAATTGGCAGACGTAGAAGGCGGAGATGCCGACGGCGATGAGCCAGGCGAGAGATTCGACCTGGCCGAAGAAGAGGCAGATGTTGCGCTGGAGGACGATGTCGAGGGTTGGGTATGGCAGCTGTTGTTGTTGCGCTGCTTGTCTTGTCGCCACTGCGGCTTGGTACTGTGAGGAAGGCTGCTTGCTGTTGTAGTAGAAGCTGGAGAAATCCATGTTGCTGGTGTTGGACGAGCACGTTAGGCACTGAACTCGCCGTCAGCATCGCTGTAGCGCGTTCAAGCAGTGAGCGCTGAAGATATACCTGTCTTAGCTGGGCTGCAAGATGTGAAAAGATGCGACAGTCAAATGGTGTTGTAGTGCTTGCGATGCTGGAGTGAATTGTCGAAGAGTCGAAAGAAATGATCAAGGATAAAATGGCAGTTTCTGTGGGCTGTACCGGCTTTCTAATTCAGATGCTTACTATCACATGTAAATGCCAAGCCGAAAGTGTTGTCCCTAAGTGGCCTCACCGACTCGTTGTCCAGGAGCATGTGAGAATATACCGTCTCACGCCCCAACCTGCCGTTCCGCCCATTCCACCCATCTTTTCACACACTCATCCACGCCTCGAATGCCTTCTTGACTAGCTTCCACCTGGAACCATTCCCGATGCTCCTTGCCGCAGGTCTCACAATCTCTCAAAACCCTCTTCCCAGCAAGTTCCAAATGAATGAGCCTTTCTACTCTCTTCACGCAGGGGACTTTTTGAACTATGTTGCTCTGTCGGCGGGGAGAAGAAGGTCCACTTTCCCGTTGAGGGGATGGGGTGCCAGAGGACGAGACGTACGGATACCATCTTACGAGGTTGAGTTTGTAGCCGCATTGACGTTGCCATTCGTTCATGCGGCGAGTGACGTTGTTCGCGCGGCCGATTTTGAGCATGATGGTCTTCTTGCCTTTCTTGCTGTTGCCGTCAAGACTGCGGGTGGGCTCGTCGTCAGTACCGTTGTAGGAAAACTCCGTCATAACATCGCTGATCCGCCGCGACTGCTCCGGTCTTCGATCTGGAGGCGAAAGGAGCGAGCGAGCAGTAGATTCCGCAGGCGCTTCTCGAGCTTGCGGAGTGAGCCAGAAGATGTAGATGTAGCCCTCCTCGTCCGCGGAGCTGATGGGTTTGATGAGCTCTGCGAGCAACGTGGATGTTGTTTGGGGAGAGCAGTGTTGTGGGATTAGGGACAGCAAGTGACCGGTTTGATGATTGCTGGAAGATCGTTGTTGAGATGACATACGATTTCCTGACGAAATTGGTTTGCGAGGAGGTACAGATGTACTCTGCGGTCTGCTCTCATGCTGGGCTCTGGGAGGGCGGTCTGAAGATGGTGTTCCGATATTGTGGGTCTGTGATGGCCGTTGTTGCTCAGTCCGCTTGCGATGTCTGATAATTTCCACGTAGTCGTCATCGTCGTTCGTGGCGCAACAAAGCGAAGCCCAGAATCCAGGTTTCTTCTTCCCTGGCCTTTCTCCAGTATTCCTCCTCTCTGGTCGGTGGTTACAATTCTCATCGTTCTCGAGACGTCCACTGCTTGGCCTAGGTCTCTGATCCACGTCCATAAAATCAATCGTTTCCGTATGTCTCGGGGGCTTCACTCCATCGTTGGTTTTTCCATTATTCTTGCCTCTGTGCACTTTGCCGTTGATACCTAATCTCTCGACCAAGGTATCGATACTGCTCCTCTCCTGCAAAGGGAAGAGCTCGGCGCTTCTCTTTCTTCTCGCCGTCTTCGCTCTGCCATTCTCCTGTTGCACAACCTCTCGAGCTTGATCTTTATGTTGCCAGCAGTAGAAGTCCGCTTCCTGAACACGTCCATCTTCCTCCACGACAGCTACAACGCCACTCAGCGCTGATGCCAAAGAGCTGCGTTTGTCATTCGATCTCGGCACGCCAGCAAGAGCCCTACGACACGGTCTTCCAGAGTTTGTAATTCCTTTGCAGGTAGAACATGGGTTCTTCGAATCGTTGCGGCCCAGCAATGCTTCGGGTGTTTGAGGGGAGTCCGCCATGGTTTCTTGCCTGAGCGAAGGTGTTTTCACTCGAGGAGCGAGATGTTGAAAGAAAAATATACTTACGATCCAAACCTACAATCTCGATCTGCGTCTGTGAAGGGCGAAATGTGCTATTCACGGCGTGACGTGTGGTCTCGCGCCTGCCCGCCCTGAGAAAGTGGCTGGGAATGTTGCTCAGCCACCAGAATTCAGCTAAGCCACGACGCGCGATAACGTGACTCTCTTGGATGAGCTGTGAGTTTTGTGATGGACGAGGTTTGATCCCAGACTTCGAAAATACAGAGAGGGAGCAAAGAAAGTAATGTCTGAACTAAATGTATTGTCAGAGTGGATATCATTCAACGTCGAACCTCAACCATTTCCATGAAGTTCATACTCATTTCCATCCCGTCGCCACGCTATGCCGCTAAGAATTGCACGAAAGTCATGTCGTTTCCATCATTATGGTGCAAGTGGCCATCAAGCATCGAGAGGAAAGCTTCTACCTTCGCTTCGTCTCGGTAGCGTCGGTCTTCGATAATGGCCGGATGCTGACTTACATCTCACCGAAGAGCCGCGCCGTTACATCTCCCATGTATTCTTCCTCTAGCTCATACTCCTCTCCGCCTGCCTTATCGATGCCGACGTACTCGAACGCAGCAACGACTTGCTCGACTCCAAAGCCCATGGCTGTAAACTTATCGATCATGTTCCGGTTATAGCCTTTGTATGCTGCTCGCCGTTGCTGCTCCTCCCTCCGTTTCTTCTCTTTCTCCTCAATCTTCTTCTTCTCGGAAGCACCGACATCACCGTCACCAGAACTACCGGCCCCAGTCTTACCGCTGCCCGGAGGAGGTCGTGGGGCGTTGGCGTATCTCACAGCCCACTCCTTAGCCACGTGCTTGAACTCCTCCGGACGCGTGAGCAACATGCTGGCGACTTCTGCATCCTGTGGGTCCTTTGGCTCTGGGCTGCTGAGCAAGCTTTGCAAGCTGATGAGTGCGCTCTTGAGTGTAAGCACGGGAGACCACTGGGCTCCCAATGTGTCTAGGCAGATGGCACCGGTCTGTGACGACACATTTGGATGCCAGATCCTGGTGACGAAACGCATCTCTGGCGGCTTGAATGGGTATTCGGAACCGATCTTGATATCCACCTCGTACTGTCCGCCTTCATATGGAGTGTCTGGTGGTCCACGAAAGTGGCCTTTGAAATGCATGAAGTCGGTGATGTCGCTCCCTCCTTGAGGATTGGTGACCGTGATGCCAGAGTGGGTGTCTTTGATGATGTCTTGAATCTCTTTCTGGATTCGGCGATTTCGGTTGGCGGCCATGGTTGCAGGCTTCTTCGTCTCTTCGTTTATGCAGAGTGAGGTTGAAGGAAGGAGGACTGGAAAGGTGGATCAATGTACTTGGAGGCTGCGGTCACGATGTCGTGCCTCAGGCGAGGCTCAGCCGAGAGACTCGTGTGATCGAGCTCGAAAACAAACAATCGGCCGTCACTGCTGGGTTCAAGGGGTTTGGGTCGGTCAGAAACGGGAGTGGTGAGGCCGCACCAAGTGCAGGGAGAAGGTGGGGGAGCTCGGTTGATGTTGACGATGGTGGAAGCGGTGGCTTGTTTGTGATATGGTCTCTGAAGACGGCTATTAGCGTGAGCTCTGCCTTCACGTGCAAAACGATCCGCGGTTGTTAGCAGAGCAGTGGCTGTTGTGTTGTTGTTGCGTTATCGTCCAGTGAAGGCAAGTGGAAGTGAGCACAGGAGGGCCCGAGTAATGGAAGGTAGGCGGGCAGGTTAGGTAAGCTAAGCGGGCCGGTGCTCAGGCATCCGCAACACGACATCACGGCCAGCGCTCCAAACTCCGAAGGGCAGCTCATCATCGTCCCAACACCAACATCTCCACCTCCCTCTCCCTTTGTCATCGACCTCGCCATCTCGACAATACCATCAAGTATCTCACGCCGCGAATAATACAAAACTCTTCTGTTTGAACACCGCGCTGTAGTGAAATGGTAAGCACATAAACAGCACGCGCGCATGGAAACGCCATCCCCGAGCTAACAGCTATCTATCAATAGGGTCAAGGTCAGTCAGGCCTTGGGGGCCCAGGTGGCGGTGGTCCACCCGGCGACGACAAGAAGAAGGGCGATAAGAAGGACAAGCCAAAGTACGAGCCGCCGCCACAGCCAACAACTCGCATCGGCCGCAAGAAGAAGAAGCAGGCTGGTCCAAACGCCGCCGCTAAACTTCCGACCGTCTATCCTACCGCACGATGCAAACTCCGATACCTGCGCATGCAGCGTGTGCACGATCACTTGCTGCTGGAAGAGGAGTTCGTCGAGAATCAAGAGCGGATAAGGAAGGCAAAGGCTGTCAACCAGCAGCAGCCGCAATCGTCGGGCGGCGACAGCGATGCGCTGGACAGGAATGCCGACGAGCGGAGTAGAGTGGACGACATGCGTGGCTCGCCGATGGGCGTCGGCAATCTCGAGGAACTCATCGACGATGATCACGCAATTGTCTCCTCTGCCACCGGACCTGAGTACTACGTCTCCATCATGTCTTTCGTCGACAAAGATCTGCTCGAGCCTGGCGCCTCCATCCTTCTTCATCACAAGAGTGTGTCTGTGGTAGGTGTTCTTACAGACGACGCCGATCCATCCGTCTCGGTCATGAAGCTGGATAAAGCGCCGACGGAGAGCTACGCGGATATTGGAGGCCTGGAGACACAGATCCAAGAGGTTCGAGAGGCTGTGGAATTGCCGTTGTTACATCCGGAGCTGTACGAGGAGATGGGAATCAAACCTCCAAAGGGTGTCATTCTCTACGGTGCACCCGGAACGGGAAAGACCCTTCTCGCCAAAGCTGTCGCCAACCAAACATCTGCTACCTTCCTTCGAATCGTCGGCTCCGAACTTATCCAGAAGTACTTGGGTGACGGTCCTCGTCTAGTCCGACAGCTCTTTCAAGTCGCTGCTGAGAACGCTCCATCTATCGTCTTCATCGATGAAATCGATGCCATTGGCACAAAGAGATACGAGAGTACGAGTGGCGGAGAGCGCGAAATCCAGCGAACTATGCTGGAACTTCTTAATCAGCTCGACGGTTTCGATGACCGCGGCGATGTCAAGGTCATCATGGCTACCAACAAGATCGAAACGCTCGACCCTGCTCTCATCCGACCCGGCCGTATTGACCGAAAGATCCTCTTCGAGAACCCCGATCAAGTCACCAAGAAGAAGATCTTCACACTTCACACTTCGAAAATGAGCTTGGCTGAGGATGTAGATTTGGATGAGTTCATCAACCAGAAGGACGACCTTTCCGGTGCGGACATCCGTGCCATCTGCTCAGAGGCTGGTCTCTTGGCGCTGCGCGAACGGAGAATGCGCGTCAACATGGCCGACTTCCGTGCGGCTCGCGAGAGCGTACTGAAGACGAAGAGCGAGGGTGAGCCAGAAGGCCTGTACCTGTAAAGAAGACCAAATGCCACAGAGCGCAGACAGAAGAATTTGCATCTCTGGGCGCTCGAGGGATCCGTTCGCGGAGTAGTGTATTACCACCCATACTATAGCTAACGAAACTGTCTTCTGCTAGATAGGGTCCGAGCGAATAGAACGACTACATACTAGCCTTTCCAGCGTCGTTTTTTTCAACTATTCCGTGGTAGCAAAAAGCTGGAGAGCCGATTTTCTGATTACAGAATTCCAGATCGAACCAAAAAGAAAAGTGACTTGACCGCGGGAATCAAACCACGGATTACAAGGGCAAGAGCTATGTATCTTTGCCATTAGACCAAATTCAGTCGGCAAGAATTGTGATCTGTTTACTCATACCCCATTGGGTCACATGCGGCGCAGCGAGCTGGAGGCGTCCGCTGCACATCTCAAACCAAGCCACGCCCTGGAAGCCTCTGGACAATTCGGCCTCACGACGCTATTCAGACAAAGAGAGCTGGCGCTGAGTGTTCGGATTCGTACATTGTCAGGAGATCTATATCGGGACTACTGATGCTTTGTTCTTTGTTGAGAGGAAGGATTCCTATAACTCCTTCTACATCCCCTAGCGCCTTCTTCAACATCACAAATTACGCAACGCCAATACAAGCAGTTACAGATCCTGGTGTACGTTTCATTCTCCTTCTTCTCAACTTCTTTCCCGCGAAGATGTCCTCCATTCAATCTACCGACTCGGCCGGTCCGATCGCTATCGCCCCAATCATCTTCAACAACTTCGCTCTAACACTCAGCATCTCCGAACACAAAGTCATGATACTGTACAACGCCCTTCTCCTCACTCTGGCTTACCTCACCGCCCTCTTCGGCTCCAATTTCATCTTCCAACAACTCCATTCCCTCTGCCGCCTCAGACAGCCCGGCGAGGGAGACATCCAATACGGCGCACGTAAACCCATGACATCCCTCCAGCAACCTCCCTCTCATTGGAACTATTCGAGAAGGCTTGCGGGGATGTACATCCTCATCACGATGCTCGTCAGTGTCCCGGTATGTAAAGCATCCCAGATGGGATTCGAGGCATTCTTGCTTCGGAGTCTGCAAGTTCGGGCATGTGTGATGGGGAGTCCTCTGATTTTATTGATGGTTTGGGAGGAGTTTCAGGTTTGGTATGGGGAGTTTGTGGCTTGGGTTGTCATGTGGTTGAGTGTTGATGAGGTTCCGACGACGCCTGTTGTGTCTGGCGGGTTTGGAGTGGAAGAGGAGTAGGGGAGGTAAGTCGACGTATGGGTATCCGTTGGACGTCTAAGGTAGGAGGTTGCTCGCATCGCTCTCTTTGGTGCTGTCGACGATTTGTCGATTTCCTGTCATGGACAACGTGCGTTCATATCGTCTCTATTCCACTCATAAGCTCACAAGGGCTTGACAGCGATCAAGTCATGCGTTGCAGGTGGTGATAGAAGCGGCAAAAGGTGAGGTGGATTCAGGACATGGGGGAAGAGTAAGGTAGTCTCAATTGCCACAGACCCTGGTCACGCTAAGCCCGATTAAATGTTGGAATGATCACTCAAATTGGGGACCCGAACGCGTCCGGCAACAACACCTTCACCTAACTTTCCTCTTCGTGTCTCTGCTCGTCGTTTGCGTGCGCCTACGTCAATATCTTCAACGTGCCTACGGACATGTCATCACAAGGACTGGTAGTCCGGACGGCAGACAGGTGTGGGTGGGACCGAGAAAAGAACATCTCGTTTGATCGGTCCCGGCTCAAGCTTTCCTGTCTCTCATTAGAAGCCGAGTTCGAGACCGATATCGACCAGGAGTGTGAGCGATACAACCGATATGCCGCTTTCCTGGATCCAGAAGGCACGTTTGAGGTACCGAAGCAATGCGCAGAAAAGGTGAAGAACGACTTGTCTGAGATCGAGCACATCATGAGAGATGCGAGTCGTGCTATCGAAGAGAAAGTGCTTCAGTTGCAGAAGAATACCAGTCAGTTTCTGCAGGATGTTGCCGTGCACTCCGGGCCCAGGTGGTATCGAAATGTGGAAGATCTGACTGGTATGTACTTGAGTTACATGTGCCATGAAGAGCAGCTGACCAGATCGCACAGCCGACGAGGACTCCCATTTCGTTGAAATCCTGAATACCATGGACTTTCCCGATGTCCCCGACTTCTGCGCCTACCTTGAGGAGACACTGCCCCTGGCGGCTGCGAAGAGGAGACCAGACCACGAATACTCTGGTAGAAGGTTCGTGGGCAAAGTGCACCTACTTCTTCAACGAGTCATGCAAGGGTACGCAAACAACTACCCTCTGGCGTTATCCCTCTTCGTGGTCGTGAAGTCCAAAGTGCTTCAAAGATCGAATCCTCGCGTGCTTCGAGCCTATCCCACAGAAGAGAAGTATGTCAACGATACTATAAATTGGCTCTTGGATCAACGAGACCTACACGGGTCGCCTGACGAGTATTGGGATTTCGCAACTCACTGGAGAGCCATGCTGCACACATGGAAACCCTCAAGCCCTCATTTCAATGGAGGGCTCGGCGCTTTGCTGGACCTTCTCGAACGTTTTCGACAGAAGGCCGAAAGCGAGATTCGACATCGGACTCTGATTGCTGTCAATGGACGTTTGCCGACTGAGCTTGCGGACTTGGTGTTTGAGTTCGCCATGCTGGTCGAGGAGGTTCCTCTGGAGTGAAGCATGTGACAATCTTCACCCGAATCTCGCGTCTCGAAGCTCTCCGCTTCAAGTAAGTATGACTGGGCAGGTATCATATGCCCGGAGTGCTTCTCACATGCTAGAGCGCCAGCAGCGCTACTTAAGCGGTCGCTGCTGTTGTTCAAACCCTCCTCGCGACACCAAGACTCAACACTCAACAACGTCAGCAACAACACTCTTCGGACTACCACGACCATAACATCTCGCTCGGCGCCAATAGAGCAAGCGTAGTGTGAACACCACCAAAAAAAAATACCAAAACGGATTTAATTGGTGCGCCCCAGCGACCAGCTGCTGTCTGGCAAATCGCGACTAACAAGCATGGCAGGACCCCAGCTGTGACAAGATGCCACCTATCACTCCGGAAGGAAGAAAGCGTCGCCTCAATAGCGAGGACAGGAGCAAGCCTACCAAAACAGTCGCATACGTGCTCAACCACCGACTGCCCACAGCCGCGGCGGCGCGCTCGAAGTATCGTCCAGTGTCGATACACCATCAGAGGTCCCAGGCTGCATACGGATTCTTCACCGACCATGTAGCCTGCGACGATGTTATCGCCAAAGACTTCATGCAGGCCAGCACCTTCAATACGTACCTCAAGTCTGAGCTTCGCCGGCACCCACCAGGGAGTATGGCCATCATCTACCTACATACTCAGAAGGCTGGCCTCAACGGCAAAGAATGGGGATTGTCAGTATATTCTGAATATCGCGCTATTTGACCTTGCTGACCTGTCCTGACAGCTTCTTGGATGGGCTTACGCTCGAGCGCGTCATTCTATACGATTCGGTCCAAATCATGATTGAATCTGGAATTCACTGTGTATTTCTTTTTGACGGATACATTCCGGAGCGTTTCAAAGATGCATGGAAGTCAAAAGATTGCGACAGCCATGTCGAAATCATCGCTAGAGGCGAAATGATGCAAATGACTGACGAGAGCCGGATGGAAGATGACAAGGGTGACTTCTCTACCTGCCTGTTCGAGGATCTCGACACCTTCGTGACCGAAATCGATACCACCTATTCGAGATATCACAAACCACTCTCAATTGCGGAATTGCTCAGCAGGAATCCGAATATGTCTTGCAATATACGCCGCAAATGGGTCGACCGCGACAGAAGCCGCTACCATGGCTGCAAGATCGTGGAGCGCGCGCTCATGCTACCCGACGAGATTCGAGAACTCGGTAAGATCCAATTCTATAGCGTGAGGATCCAAGGACCGACGAAGAATCGAAAAATTCTTGGGCCTCAGGCGGAAGGCCGTCCCCAGAAGGAGGATCGCGAGGCTTCTGCAAATGTCGAGGACGAAGCTATCTTCATGGAAGAAGAAGAAATCGTGCCTGGACGCAGTACTGTGGACTCAGCCAAGGAGGACGACTGCGATGATTCCCTTCTTTGAAGAAAGAAGTCAGGGAGTGACGTTCGTCTCCGTGCAAGCTTCTAAAGAAATCGCATCGAGGCTTGAGACGCCCTCGGACATGGATGATGCTTCTGTCTCAAGGGCCTCATTGCTCGGGAAAGCGGCACAAGCACAATCACTACGATGCTTTAATGGAGGGGCGATCAAGTGGATGCACGTTGCTATGGGCCTCAGTAAGTTTGGATTTCAAGTTAAGAATACAAAAGCAATGAGTTTCAGAGAGGCTACATACGATCAATCACTATCCCAGGAGCAAGGGAAACACTGTCGGAGAACAAGCCAAGAATCTCGCACGTGCTGGCGAGCGTCCTTCTTGAAACTTGGCGCGGCATCGAATAGATGAAGCCGAGCTGTCGGCCGAATTACGATCCTTGTGTCAATCAGCTGTATAATTCGGTAGCTTCATCAATCCTGGAACCGACGTCCCACAATCCACTACGCTCCAAACGATGATGCGGCAGCAGTTTGCGCAATTGCCTCGTGGTGGCTGCGTGGAGTGAGGCCCGACGTTTCCCTCACGTGCCTTCGTGAAGTATAAGTATACCTCTTGAGCCTCGTTCTCTTAGCATTCTAAACAATCAGCTTTTCATTCAAAAACAGTCTTTACCACTTCAGCTTCCCTAAAACCATGCAGTTCCGCACCCTCCTCGGCCTGGCGCTCACGCTGGCGTGTGCCCAAGCTAACATCGACCCTGCCACCTCGAACAGCAAGGGCAAGAAGCCAAAGACGGAAGGATGGTGAGCTCTGTCTTTCTCTCTCAAGCCGTCTGGACCACAGCTGATCAGGGAATTGCGTAGCTCCGCCGAAGAGACCTCCACCGAGATCCAAGCCGCCGAATGCTCCCATAACACCCGCACGAACGCTCAGACCTTTGCCGTCTTCAAGACTGACCACAGCAAGGACTCCGTCCACGGGTATCACCGCCCCCAATATCTGCTTGCGTGTGCACGTTTTCGTTTGGCTGATGTGATGTGATGCAGTGCTCCATACGGTACCTGCCAGGCCTACACCTGCACCGCCCCGACCGAGCTGGAAGCCGACAGCGACTACTGGACGTTCTTCTGGAACAGCGATGGCGACAGCTCGGGCGTTGGGACCGGATGCATCCGGTCTCCGTCCACGGGCGAGTGTGGGTGTGAGAACAGCAGTGGGACTTTCATTGCCGGCAGCAGTAGCTGCACCTAAGTCATGGGGTCTGGAAAACACGACGCAATTTTTGGGGGGAACTGTCGGGCTTCTCGTTGCTCCGATCCTTTCGCAAGCATATTCGTGAGAGGAGCAACGTTACGACGGGGTCGAATACTGCATGTCAATACAAGTTAGGCTCAACAGGACAAGGGGTTGATTCCCTAGTTATTACTTGACCTGCAGGCCTCATGATTTCTCATCGTAGCGAATCGCGGTCGCTCACTTTTCTCACTTACTCATCGCAGGTGCTTTGTAACCCAACCGTACTGCCATAACTTCCGCTTCCTGATTGCTTTGATACTCTATACCACGACTGGACAGCAACGTGTATGAGAGGAAGAGCAAGTCCTAGTCTCGGCTTTTCAAGAAATCTAGATCCGAAATTTGTTGATGTTGACTCCGATACCTATTGGCAGGTCGGTGGTCTGGCCTTAATCGTAATCGCTGTTACCCCGGCGAGATACAATCCTCTTATGGAGCATTCGCGGACGGTGACTGTTCGGGAGAAGTTAACGGGGTGGTGGAATACGTCCAGGCCTGGGTTGTATGAAGGGGATTATGAGGTTCTTGATCGCTTCTATCCAGACGGGAGCAAGAGTGTCGAGGACTGGAGGCAGAGGGAGGATGTGCGAGGAAGGGCGACTGGATTGCGCAGATTGTATGAGCGTGCCATGGAGTTGAAGCCCGTTCTGAAGGTCGTCGAAAATGGATGGAAAGTCAAGGCCTAATTCGTCGTATCGTTCTCGTGCAACATCATCTAGCAGCTCTGTCACATGCAAACATGTCTAGCCGCACTCTCCCAAACACCCCACATCTGCAGTCCAAAAATTCGACTCTCTACGCTGCCTTCTTCTTCCCTCCACCACCAGCGCCACCATCCTTCAGAATGCCAACCTCAACCCCCTTCACCAGAACCCAAACAAACCCCACAATCCCCGCAACACCCGTCTCCAACCCCAGCACCAGCGCGAAAACCTCAAACGTCGTCCCGGACAAACTCCCCAAAGCCTGTCTCGCCCGCAGCACAAGAACCAAAACCGTCAGGCAGAAACTCAACAAAACCGTCTTCGCCGCCGCGAGCGCCGTGGCCTGTTCCTCTTCCGCGGAAGCAGGCTGCGCGCGACCGGTGTACATCCTCAGGACGTTCTTCCAGGTGCGCACGGTGAGGTATGTGACGGCCAGGGTACCGATGAAGACGGCAATGGCCGTGAGGAAGAAGGCCAGCGTGGCGGTGAAAGCCGGGAAGGCGACGTGCAGGAAGCCCGTGCTGAAGGCGTCTCCTGGTTGTTGGTGGTGGTGGTGGTATGGCGCGCTGCCGGGCATATTCTGTGGACGTCCCCCTCCTCCGCCGGTGGATTGGGAGAATGGGGTCTGGGCAGGCGGGTCGATGGCGAGGCCCTTGGTGATGGTTTCCGTGACGGTACGCGGCATGTTGGAAGAAGAAGAAGGGAGGGGTTAAGTATATTACTCGATAAGAGGTGATGGATTGGAAGAGCTGCAGAAGCGATCATCAGCTTTGTGCTGCCCTCCCTTGCGTCGTAGGTGCGAGAGACCGGGGTGTGGTGCATGGGCTTACCCAGAGCTGTAATTTCGTTTTTCACCGCCGCATTCGAGGTTGTGTGGTGAGAAGTGGAGTGCGAGTCTTCCGTGCGTCGCAGACGAGACTGAACATTCACTTACGCGGGGACCTGCATGTGACAAACGAATTTGAGTTTTGGCCGTTTTGCGTTCTTGGATGCTGCTTTTGGCGGTGACAGTTTTGAGTGCCGAAGCTGTGCCGAACGGAAGACTTTTGCTGAGAAAAGTCGATTGAGGCGGGGTTATACCCAAATACAAAGCGCAGTACAGTAATCGATACCAAAAGACAGGAGTGTCCTCTAGCGAAGGAGGGAGAACAACCTGCTGGAAACCGCTTCGACTCGGCATCCATCACCCGCCAAACGTATGGTCCAAATACAGATCCGAACAGACCTCCTGCGCCTCCCTGCAAAACCGGTCAATGTCATGCGTAGAGAGCTGCATTCCGCCATCCAAAATGCCATCCAAGAGCCTCGAAAGCGCCGTCGAGGCATGCCCGCAAAAGACCGCAATTTCCAACCGTCTCTGCTCGCACAGATCGCGTCGAATACCGCTCACAGTCAACAGATGCGTCCTTCCCGCACGAGTCCCAGAAGCAGGCTCTTCAATAATTCCCGTCATAGCTTCCACATTGGGAATCTCCATCATGCGTAGGATCCTCCCGACGCTTGACGTCCGCGTCTGCGGTGCTGCTCTCCCCGAACCACGCGCAATACATACCCCAATGTCCACATAACCCCACCATCTGAATTCAAACCTCCTCAGAAGTCTAGCATTATCCGCTCCAATCTCCCGAAAACAATGCGTCAAGTCGTAGTCGGGAAGCTTTTCTCCAATCTCCAAACACACCTTGACATTCCTGTAGAAAGCCGGAACGCTCTCATCGCGCAACTGCTTGCAAGTTCGGGAGATGTTGGTCGGGTAATCGCGGGAGACCGGATACTGTTTCAGGAATTTCTTGCGTGACGCGGTGGTATCGGCGAAGAGGAAGGAGTAGATTTGTAGTCTGATCTCGGCGGGGAGACCCTGGAGCGTCGGTAGAGACATGGCTGTGTTGGATACGTTAGGAGTCTCTGGTGGAGTCAAATTTAGCTGGAAGCGTATGGTGTATTGGCAGGGGAGCCGGTCGTCAACACGCACTGATGAGTCGTGTCTGAATTGTCTCGGAAGAATATTCTGAATGGGATGTTTGCCAGAAAACGAATAAGGCGATGAATCATTCTCGTGAGATGGGAGCGATGCGTGTGTTGTAATGCTTGCGAGAGATGAGATTGGTGATGAAGCAAATCGGAGTAACAGAATGGTTGCCCAAGTCGCAATGGACGTCGATGGCATGGAGGGTAGGTGCCTGTCCAGTACCAGTACTACCGAGCAGCAAGTGCGAACGAGCCTTGCCTGGCAACTTCGAGATTGAATCCGGAAGGCATGGACGGATGAGTCAACAATTTCCAGGACGGATATGCTGACGACGTTGGTAGATGCTGTATCGACTGACCTCACGATCTTCCAATCTCCCTTCTCAGCCTACCAGCAGCTGAGTCTGGCTTTGCCTCTGGCCATGCATCAACAGCTTCCTCCACTTCCTCTAGAAAAGAGTTGCTATTGTGAATGCCCGTTCCACCCAACACCACTCTGACGCCAGGACTGCTAGCATTGACCTGCGCGACCATCTTGGCTTCCTCATACGTTACGCCGCCCACAATGAATACAATAATATCTTGCGGCTTGTCTCTAGTCTGTCCACCGCCCTCCACGAAGGGGTAGCTGTTCATATTGAGGCGTCCCTTGATGAGGTCCTGTAGGGTGTTCTCAAGACGAGGCGAATGTTGGGTGTACACGTTCTCAACGCCGCGTAATCCGCGATTGAAGCGTGATCTTGCCTCAGAAAAGATGGTACCGGGCTGGAGAAGATCGGGGATGCCGCCGGTCTGTGGAATGGACTGAAGCGAGTGTGCGTAGGCCAAAAGCTTTGGTATGAGATTGATGCGGTGTCGACTGATGCCTCCGGCAACGGCCAAAAGGTCCATCAAAGCAGGCGTGTTGTTATTTGTGTGTCCAGAATAGCGCAGCGCATATATCGCCACAAGCCTGAGCTTGTTCATAGGCGGTATCTTCGGGTCCTGTATGAGCTTCTGCAACGTCTTCACGTCCGTCGAATGGTTGTCGTTACAAGCCAGACTCTGTTCCAGCTCACTGACATCAAGCAGACTGTCTGTACTCACGCGTCTGCTCAGCTCTGTGACTAACGTGACGTGCTTGGTGACGTTTCCGGAGAGCTTTCTGAATTCTGGATACTCTTCCACGAATTTCTTCATATCCTCAATACTGTCTAGCTTCTGACCGGAAGCCTGCTTCGAAGCGAATTGTTCCACGTATTCCTTGGCATTCTGACCAAGGTCGCCGAAGTTCAAATACATATTCTTGGCGAAGAAAGGGTCCTGGTCCTGGGAAAGAACGATCTCCTGTAGAAAATCAGCACAGTTGGAGGAGCGATTTCACAGATGGGACCAAACTACCTTGAACTCCGGTCTTACTTCTGGCACGTCGCTGAGATTTACTCTGCCGTTCTCAATGCCCAATAGCTCATGCACCATTGCTTGGTATGTCCACTGGGTTAGTAGTGGAGTGAGAGGATCTTCTCTTCGATCGACAAGAAGTAGGATCGGTGGAGTGTCTGGTTTCCTGAAATCGAACAGCTGCTCTTCCTGGGTCATAGCATACCGCACCTCGGTCGCCAATTTCCGACAGAGCAGACTGTTCTTCTCGAACCGGATAAGTGGCTTCTTCTTTAAAGCCAGAAGCATCGCAGTCACTCCCTCAACGGTTCTTGTAAGGCTGTCTTGATTCCAGAGCTCGGCAGAAGAAGAGAAGATCCGCGTCGACAGTGGCACGGAGCAGAGGTCCGGGTTGATGACAAGGAAGTCTGCGAAGTATTCCATGATGGACTTGACGACTTCATGGTCGTCTGCTTCGGCTAATCGTTCCAGAGAAGACTTCTTGATGATGTTGCTGAAATCTGTGTCAGTCAGAAGTCGTCCTGACTTTTCGTCATGAGTGCCTGTCAACGTACAGATGTAGTATTCGCCGTACTTTGGCTCCCGGAACTCATCGATCAAGAATTGTATGCTGTCCGGCGAGGGCCGTAAGAAACACAGACACCGCAAGTGCCGCATCTTCTCCCTATTCGGATCATCGAGCCGATTGGTGAGGTAGACTGAGTGGTTCAACAACGCAGACTGTGTCGTGGCAGAAGACACGATTGGAACCTGGATGGTATGAGCTCATGATCTGCCCGTCTGCCACTTTGTCTAGCCTTACAGTATCCCCATCCAGAAGCAATATCTTCATCTTTGCCGCTCCTGCATTGGCCGCATTCTCGCCCTGAGAGACGATCCTGCTGATATAGCCCTGGACGCTCTGGAAGATGTCCATGGCTGTTTGTTTGCACGGAGGCCAGCTGGCCTCATCGCCTTAGTCTCCCCAGCTCTTTCGTCCCGTGAATCTTTGCGATGCTGCTGCTGCGACCGTCCCGTCCCTCGTGCGTTCTGTCCGGTGAAGTGAAGTGAAGTGCATGCGGCGGCTCTGTTTGTCACATGCGAAGCTGCGCCTGGCGCGCTCGGGATGATCGGTCGGAGCCGTGGACCTTGGATACTCCGCTGGCCTGTGCGCTGAGCGTGGCCGGAGCGCATGACGGGTGACGGTATGAGGTTCATCCCCCGACATCGACTGCCAGGTGTCTTGCCGCTCTTCTATCTCTCTTCCTGCCATCATGACTGTAATGCAATAACGCTCCATCCGAGTCACCGTAACGACTCACGCACTGACGGCTCTAGAGCCACGACAATAAGGTATCACAGGTGAATGAACATAACCCACCCTGCCGCATCCGGAAGCCTAAACTTCACCTCCGACATTGAACCCTGCAGGCTCTCGTCAGTCCTCGCCTGCCCTTCAAAGCCGCTGCTTCTCCCTCTTCGCCCTCTTCTCTTCGGCGGACAACTCTCGCTGCTTCCAGTCAAACCACCTACACCCTCACAAGCGAACCAGCCTTCTCGCGCGAAGCCTGAGATCCGCCACCTCGACCTTCACCCCACTTCTGTCTCCCACTGTCGCATCTCCTACCCCTCCCCCGTCGACCGCACCAAACCTCACCCTCGACCGGCAAGATGGCTGAGAAGATTCTCATGAACGAGTACAAGGACCTCTCGAAGCAGACGTGGACTAACATTTCGCTTGTCAACGACAACGTCCGCACGTGGAGCGTCGCCCTCATCGTCCTCAACCCTGACTCTCTCTACTACGGTGGCTACTTCAAGGCAATCATGAAGTTTCCCGAGAACTACCCATACTCTCCGCCCAGCTTCCAATTCGAGCGCCCGCTCTGGCATCCCAACGTCTACCCAGATGGCAAGCTGTGCATCTCCATCCTGCACTCGCCCGGCGAGGACGCGATGAGTGGAGAGATGGCAGGCGAGCGCTGGTCTCCCGTACAGCGCGTCGAGAGCGTCCTCATCTCTGTCCTCTCATTGCTTGACGACGCCGAGTGCAGCTCGCCCGCCAATGTGGATGCGGGTGTCCAGCTCCGCAACAATCCGGACGGATACAAGCAGCGCATCGCCGAGGACCGGGAGAAGAGCAAGCAGGATATTCCGGCCGGATTCGTCATGCCAACTCATGAAACAGCGTTCAAGAAGGAGGAGAAGGTCATCGATGATTTCAGCTGGAGCGACAGTGAGGACGAGTTTGATTTCGACAACAGCGACGACGATGAGGAGATGTTCGACGCCGACGAGGGAACCGACCAGGAGGAAGATGATGAGTGAAGAGTTGATGGGAGATGCATGTATATGAGGCTGCTGGGGCGCGCGAGAGGGGCGCGTGCTACGATACGTTACGATACCATATTTGGCCAAGAGGCTTGGCTCTGTTCCTCAAGCGCGGAGTTCGGGGCATCATGGCTGGCGAGAGTGCTTTTGCAACGGAATTAGCATGGTAGAGGACCGGCGAATCTTTCTCTGGGACGCATCTGCGAGCATGGCACGGTTTTTGGGAGATATGCATATGCATAGAATTCGACAGCTCGTCAATGTGATTTACGATTTGATCTTATAAGCTCTGAATGCGTGTTTCCTCGTAGCAACAGGCGGAGCTCTTCCCGCGCAGTCCGAATCCGACGGTGATGCTCGGTTGGCCTCTTTCCTGCCTAATCGGTGAATGACCGCATGCCTGCTTTTGATATCAGGCCCGGATAATCTCCCGCGTTTGCGACACCAACAACAGACCACTACATACCATTTTCCATTGATGCACCGACTTGCTCGGAGAGAGGACGATAGACGTAGTCTGATATCAGCGGCGCCGATAAGAGTTGACTAAGCGACTAGCTGCCGATCAGCTCCAGCCGACGGGGACGGGACTTTCTCAGAAGCTCCAGCGGCAGCAAGCAAACATGGTCCGCCAACTTCCCAAGCGGAAAGACATTCCCGCACCAAAGACATATGGCAAACAGTCCACGAAACGGCGCAGAGTCGCGCAGCTTCCTTTCATCGACCTGACCGACGACATCAACATGTCTTTCGTCCCGGACAAGTTCTCTTCCGATCCCCTCACATCCACCCGTCCTACATCTCAGAAAGCTGCAACCATGGCCGCCCAACCATCGCAGGAGGATGTCATGGCGGTATGCGCCTTCACCAGCTGTGATGAGAGTACCGCCATTCGCTATCTCAAGGTAAGTTGCTCCAATTACCTGCCTGCACCGTCGCGACTAGTGCTGAGCAGTTGCTAACAGGACGCCTGCTTTCGTCATCTAGGCCAAGCAAAACGATATGCAAGCAGCGGTCAATGCACTCCTGGACGGAGAAGACATCGCGAAGTTGGAACAGGGCACAACATGGGACGAGAGTGTGATGGATGCGGATCGTGATGGGAACCAGAACCTCCAACCCCTCGGCACCAGCGCTGCGCCTACACGAGGACCTTCGCCTGCACCCTCGCTCGGTCTCAACGGTCCTACAACGAAGGCTGAGGAAGATGATCAGCTTGCCGCTGCCGTGGCAATGTCGCAGGGTTTCGGATACAAATCGCAAGAGAGCGGCGTGGTAAGACAAGATGGCTCCGAGCAGCATTTTGGACCAGCTACGCGAGCTCAATATGAGGAACGCAATTGGGGGCTTACCATCCTACCATCTACCGCACAGGAGATAGTTCCGGATGTCCCTGTGATCGAGAGGAAGCACAAGGACTTTGAGCCGAGGTCCTTGAAATACCTGCCGGACGGAGACTACACGCCCAATCTCATCACCATCTGCCATGCCGTCCCAATAGCCCGGGAGGCATTTCTGATGCGCGAGCACGCCGAACAAGACTACGGCTCCGACGCCGACTGGTGGCACGGTGCAATTATCACAATCCCACGTATTGTACATACCCTTGACGGCAGTGCTGTTGAGCCCGACACCGACAAGTACGACGAATTTCTGTCCGAATGTCAACGCCTCATGGCTTTTCTAGCAAGCAGCAAGCGGAGCTATGCGAGTGTTGGAGCGCTCAATAATACCGAAATCATTAAAGACATACCTCCCCACTCAAAATCCGGTGGCCTGTTGGAGTATTTCCTGCACAGCTGGACATCCGCGAGCATGAGCAAGCACGAGCATGATCCGAATCAGCGCGCCCAGCTGGCAAATATCTTCACTACCATTGTCGATACAAACGCACCACAGGGCATGCAGGATTCGCGGCTCAGTGTTATTGACATCACAGTGAAGTCGCAAGACGGCGATGACAGACCAGAGCTCTATGAACACTTGGATAACCTCCTGTGGGACACCGACCCGGACGATAAAGACCGGCCGGATAATTACATCACGAGACCGGCAGATATCATGGTTATGAAAGCTTCAAGCAGCAACCCTGCTGCATCGCAGCTTGGACTCGTCGTTCCAGCCTCCTTCTACATGGACAAGTACTTGGAGAAGAACATCGGAGCCACGAAAGCCGTTCGGGATGACATGGCGCGGGAGAAGGGACGTATTCGTAAGATCTCTGAGATCGAAAATAAGCTGCGGAACTGGCAACATCCGAAGAAGAACGCACAGCTCGGAGCGCAGAAGTTGTTGGAGTACACCCTTGGCCATTTCTCTGGCGCTAATCGACGGAAGGTCGATGAGGCTGACAAGAAGAATGAGTCTTCTCTCTCGGATATCCCTCAGCCCGCTTATTATTCTGACATCAGTGCAAAGCTGGAGAAGGTGGTTGCCAGCATCAACAAGAAACTGGAGCTTCTTGCCGCGGAGAAGGAGAGATCTCGCAAGGCCATCGCGGATATGTCAAAGTCTTCGTTCCCTGGTGGCAAAGAGGAAGACTGCCGACACCGCTATACGTTGCGTGGTGTTGCCACTAAGCCGAACATTACCTACATATTGCATCCTTTGGATCCAAATGATCGACGCCTGTCACCAGCATCGGACGACGATACCACGCCTCAAGGTTATCAGTGGTGGAGGGTGGAGTACAAGGTCAGCGGCAACACAGCCTCCCTGAACACCGCCAAGGCTGCCGACTACGATGTTCTGCGTGCTGTGGAGCTCGAACACAACTCGGCGTTACTTGTTTACGCGAGCGACGATGCCACATCGCTTGACGATTTCTGTGAACTGCCACGCAAGCTCCAAGAGTTCGTCGAGGCCGATAATGCCCTCTTCGAGCAGGAACTTGCGCAAGGACCGCCTTCGTATGAGCAGGCATTCGAGGAAGACATGAGAGATATTCCTCGTCAATCCATCGAGCGATCCGACTCGGTGAATAGTCTGACCGCGGTGCATGGTGACGACGACGAAGCCGATCCGCCAGGCTACATGGAAGACGACATCAACCGTGCCGGTCTCGGGTATGGGCAGAGCTCGAACGACCCGCCGCCGGTGGATATCATCCTCTCCGAGACCGAAGAGGCAGCCCCCGAGGTGGAGATGCAGGAAAAGGCGCACGAGCCGCTTCTTCCGCGGCCGCGCGTTGGAAGTGATACCAACATGGGAGGTATGGGTGGGCAGGATGACGGCATGGGAGGGAACGCTTAGGTAGCGACACTTCCACGACGTTGAAAAGAGGGAAAGAATAAGAGAAACGATACTGATGAACGAACATGGCATGCGTCGGCGGCGGCGTTATGACGGAAGGAAAGCCAGACCTTCTACCTATCTATCGCTTTTTTGGGGGGGGCGATACCCTACCCTACCTACCTGCATGAGCATGAGCATGAGCATGAGAGCCCTGATGATGAGACTCTCTCTCGCTCAGCGATCCACTACGTTTCAATAGCAGTGTATGTATGAATAGAAAAACAACAACAAGAAGAAACCCCCCCTCCAGTCTCGTACGTGTATCTATCTATTGAGATTGCAAAGTTTTTGGTCTTCCTTTTTTCTCTTGTCTGCCTGCCTGCCTATCGAGTGCCGGCACCAGTTAGTTGATAAGAAGGACTGGCTGGATGGATGACCGAATGACTTTATGGGAGAAACTTGGCTTGGCAAAAGTCATGAGGAAATTTTATCGTGTTATGTGTAGACTACGACTACTACGACTGTAAGATCTGTGCTGGCAAGGAATGGATGAATGAAGGCGAGCCAGCAACAAGGAGTGAGTTAGTCGAGGTGATGTTTTGTTTCAAGAGCATAATGGCGATGCAAAAAAAAAAAAAAAAAAAAAAAAAATTGACTCCAAGGTCTCTCATGGAAGTGCGGAGCGCGCGTAGGTTGGGTTGATTACATAGATGACATGTCCGTTGCCAGAGAGAAATTTGAGAATCATTCTTCGTGTCGCGCCTCACAACATGAGACTCAGTGCTTTGATGTCCGTGGGTATCGCTAGGGAAGATTGGCTGGATTCGTCGGTCATCGCTGAGACGATGGATGCGCCGGCACTGCTGCTCTCGCTCGTGGCGGGACTGTCGGGCGTGAAAGTCACTCGTCGCTCCAGTGGTCGGTAGGGGGCAAGGTGGGGCGAGCAGGGCAGAGACAACGACGAAACGCTAGCGCTAGCGGAGAAGGCCATGGTATTCCTCTTTCGATTTTCCTGGTGCCGGCGCGTGAGAGTCCCGGAGGTCGAAGAGGAGGCTCGGAGAGCTTTGGTTTGTAATTCTTCGATTTGCGTCCATTGTTCTTCTTGCCCAGGTTTACGAACGCGGCCTTCCCAGGCGGCGGTGAACGCGTCGATGGCGAGCCACGCTCGGTTGAGGACACCTTGCCTGGCACGAGCAGTGCCGGCGCTTATGAGGCATGAAAGGCAGATGATGGCCACTTCCCATTCGATTTCATCATGGCTGAGCCACGTCCAGCGGGAATACACCGAATTGCAACGTAGCGTCTGAGCGGCTTCCAGGATTTTGATGCACGCGACAATGGCATGTTCTGTTCCGGCTACGATGTTCGAGAGGCTGGGTAGGAGGATCTTGAGCTTCAGTCCGGCGACGAGCATTTTACTAGTTGTGATGGCGAGGACACAGGTCGTCGAGGATCGGCAGCTACAACGGCGGTAATATTTGTCCTGTATCCATCCCTGTCAGCCTCTCTCCTAAGGTCACAGATTATAGCCCTATCCAACTTACCTCGAGAGTTTTCTCCAATGATTCGATAATCGACAACTTGCCTTCTGGGGATAGGACTGGATAGCCGTTGTCTTCCGTGAAGATATCCGAATACAGCACGGTTCGTGCATAGTAGGTGATCTCGAATCGAATCATGCTATAGAACATGTCTGGAGAGTGCGTCCGACTATAGGCTTCATTCGACGTGCCGGAGACGGAAGAGTCAGACGCATCGTCCTGAAACGGAAATCTCGTCGTGCTTTGTCGCTCGTAGATGATTGGATCGGTACTGTTGAGCTCCGCGGTGTAAGCATCCAAGGCGCAGATGTGCCACCAGAGTCGACGCCTGTATTCGCATTCCAGGAACGACAACCCCAGAGTGTCGGGGTCTTGGTGCAATTTCAACTTCGTCGCCAGTCTCACGAGGGTGGCAGTCAAGGTCCACACATAAGCCGATCCGAGATGTTTACGGCCACAGATCAACCAAATTGCCAGTGCCTGCAGTGAGGTGATAGTCGGTGTGATCAATAACTTGGACGTCGTAAGTGAGATCTGAATATCATTTGCAAGCATCTCCAGTAGGGAGTCCACCGACGAACAAGACGACGCCGCGCTTGCTTGATTCTGCATGCTAGCCGCAGCAGCATAGTACATTGCAGACTTGAGAGCCTCGGCGTCCGCTGCCAGTTCCGCGCCAGTTGAGAAGATCAGGCATCGTGCGCTTGGTAGATGGATAATCTTGAGAAGCGGATCGACAGTCGAGATGTATTGGTCCCATAATGCTGCGCGGTCGACAGATGGCTCAATCTTAAGAATGGTTGAGCTCCGACTGAGGGGAAACGGAATCGTCGGAGCGTATTCAGATACTTCTAGTGCTGTAGTGCTGGCGGCGCTGATGCCTTGGGATACTTCAACTTCCCTGGAAGGTTCCTCTCGTGAGCCAAGCGGTGCAAGTGGCCAGCAAGACTCAGCCGTGACCTCATTGGTATCCGACGGAGGTGGACTGGGGACGCCTGGGCTCTCAGCCTTGGACAGTCGTTCGGCCAATTTCTCCAGTTGCGCTTCCACAGATTTCAACCGGTAGTCGAACGCAAGCGAGACTGCCATGTCTGTAAGCTCAGAAGGTCGATTATTGGCTGTTGAATCATCAGGCGAGTTTCGGTCTCAGGGCGAACGCATCTATGGACGACGGATTGGAAATGTTTACGGATGAGAATCGAAGTCAACAATTGACCACGACTTTGCTACGAGATTCAATGGATGCAGGAGCGCTCAAGGACTCCAATGCAGGAAACCAGTTCCCGCAGAGACAGCATCCTCTGCATTGCCGTTTGCGGGAGGCAGCGGGCATCGAATCACAGCATTGATCATTGTTCATGTCGGGGACTTTCTCCTCAATAACAAGGGCGGTAGACTTCTGTCAGGTTTCATGCTGTGTGTCAGCCTGTCATGCTTCCGTTTGTGCAGGGTGGCCATGCATAACAGAGATCAAGATCCGGTTTTCGCCCGACACGGACTGGATAATTCGGCCTGTGATTCCGGATGGTGACTCTGAAGCATGATTCTGGCACACGCAAATGCTTTGCGGCTTCGGATCTGTGTCGCGATGATCCTGTCGCCGATTTCTGTCGATTCACTCCAGGATATTCCAATGGCGGTCTCTGACGGCAAAGCCGATGAGGCGCACGTTGGGCGATATTCATGTACCTATACGGCGGTTGCCCTAGTGAAATGTCTGATATTAACACTCTAGTATTTAGAACAAGACTTGTTAAGCTTCGTGAAAAGGAATGTTAATGTTAAAGAGAAGAAGAACAAGAGGTGAAGTCCTGTCTGCAGTTAACATAATCTCGCATTCGGATTCGGTCTCGCTAGCCGCTCCAAGTATGCCTCAGGCACTAAGCTTCGAATGAGAAGCAGTCAGGTAAATGTTTGCTACACAGACAAAAAGCTCTGTGCTCTGTTACGATCCTGCCATCTTTACAAAAATCTTGGGTATCATCGTGCAACATCGCACACTAGAAACGAAAACACAGAAAACTGAACACGTTCCCGGTATTACGATCACCCCGTCGTCCAGACCGCGACATAGTCAACCGCCATCTGGTATCCCCCAACAGTAGCACTCGTCGGTGTGGTCGTCCCCGCCACCGCATTGGGATATCCACCGCCCATCGCGACGTTCAGAATCAGATAGAAGCCTTGATGGAAAGTCTGATTCCATACTGTAGCGCCTAGATCCGTCGCGGTGATGGTGTGCACGAGTTGACGGTCCAGCCAGTATTTTACAGATTCGGGCGAGGTGGTGCGGTCGATGACGACTTCGTAGATGTGGAAGTTGCCGGAGCAAGTGCTACCTTGGCATGTTGCCTGGACGCTGAGACCGGTGGTTTCGTCGCATTTGCCGCCGGGATTGACGTCCTGGATGAATGACTCTGTCAGTGACTTGTGATTTGGAGATGATGGAAGTTCTTCAACTTTCTTGACTTACGCAGTGGAGAACGGTGTTGGATTGCGTGTTTCCGCCGTTGACTGCCTCCATGATGTCCACCTCACCCACGGCTGGCCAGTTGGTATAGTTGCTCCTGAACTGACCGCCCAACATCCAGAATGCAGGCCAATATCCGGCTCCGTTGGCAGCGGTGACGTTGGGCATCATGATGGATGCTTCTACCCTCATCTTGCCCCCAGCAGGAGCAGCAAAGTTGTTAAGCTTGGATTCCATGCGAGCAGAAGTCCAAGCTCCCGAGGAAGACTTCTGAGGGATGATCCAGAGGTCTCCGTTACCTGCTTGTCGGATGTTGTTGCCGGACGTGGTGTATGTTTCGATTTCGCCCGTGCCCCATTGTGCTGGACCGCCGGTGTACTGAGTTCCTGTCTGTAAGATCCAGTTATTGCTGTTTGGAGCAGCGCCTGACCCGCCGGTGAAGTCGTCGAGGAGAAGGGTCTTGGTCCATTGAGTTCCGCTTGTGCTGGGTGCTGAGGCGAAGACTGTGCTTGCGCTCAATGCGATTGAGACAACGGACGTGAAGGTCTTCATGTTGGGAGAGATGCAGCGAAACACTCAATCGATGACAGGATGATGGGATTACAAGATGGGAAGATACGTACTGACCTGCTGGCGCTCACAGATCTATATGCACGCGTGCTCTACAAATGCCGTGGCTTGCGACACGGAGATGTTGCCGACCACAACGCTGGCGAGCATCCAGATGCTGCCGCCTCCCTGAAGCCGTATTGGGCGAAGTCATGCCTGCATGAGGAATTGCAAAGTTTGGCGAGCAGGCTAGGCTTGAGATGGACTACGCATACATGTTCTCGGAGAAATGGCAGTGCTCGTGGCTGGCTGTAGGCGATGTCCAGGCCTTGGAGGGGAGAAATATGGGCTTAGCGTGGGTGGGAGAGGCGTTGCGCTAGCCTAGTGATTCCACGCAGGAAGTTCTCTCCCACTGCTTGTCTCATGTTTCCCTCGGTCTGGACGTTGCAAGGGAGGCGAGCCCGCAGCGGTCGTTACTGTCCGGTGCACTGTCTGCTTGGCGACGACTCTTGAAAGACATGGCCTTGACGTGGACTTATTCTTGCGCCTGGTGGTGGTGGCAAGCCATTTGGCAGGCCATTCGACTGCTGTGCTTTCGATCGGCAAGGGTTTGCCACCATGCTGGAAGGGCAAAGTGATCAGCATTACTTTTGCACCAGAGCGAGCTATTGATGAAGAAGAATGGCCCGGATAGCATGCCAGGCGCCGACGTGCACAGCACAGCAGAGAGGATGCGGTGAAGTTGCATGATTGGAGCAGAGGCGTTCGAGAACATCTTCCACGGTGCCAAGCTTCTGTCAGGATCGATAGCGCAAACCTTGTCCGTCCCTGCAGTGAGGTCGGGTGATGACTTCTCTGTCGGGTTCTGGCTGCCGACATGTTCGGCTACAGTACTCCGTACACGCGGCGCGGAGGGCGTCTTAAGCGCCCGAACGACGATTCAGATCTTTTCACCCTGTGGCCGAGAATGTTCATCTCTTCGGTGCCCGTGGCAGGCTGAGAGGCTCTCGGTGGAGATTTGCCAGCAAAACAGGACCAAGGGCCAAAGGGATATCTGCCGGCAGATGCAGAGGCCGAGGGCCAGATGCGTGTTATTTGGTTGCATGGCGGGTATCCGCCGAGTGTGTGTGTGCCGGTGGCTTGCAAGACTCCAGCCGAGAAGCATGATCTTCATGGTAGAGAAACAGAAAGAGAAAGACAGAAACAAACAGCTCCCCGTTGGACGCGATCTCGACGATTGACCAGCAGTACTTTCCTTGAGGATATGTAGTCGCGTCGAGGTAGGATGATACATTGGATGATGGATGCCAACACGCGATGGAAACAATTGAAGAGCTAAGGTGGAGGTGATGGAAGGTGAGACGGATCATCTGCCGAGATAAGTCCGCAAGAGTCCGAAGCAATTCCCCCAGCGGACATATCCGTCGACTGGAAGTGCTTACATGTAGTATGACTGGACTTTTCCAGACGCGACATTGCTTCCTCAGGAGCTTTCCATGCATCCTTCACGGGCCAACGAGCGAGGCGCCAAGGCTGGACGAAGCCCGTCAGAGGAGCGAAAGCGTGCTGCATGCGAGATATCATGCATGACTGGGCCGACGAGAATGCACAGCGATTCTCCAGCACCTCCGGAACGCCACGGCCGAAGATTCCAGCATCTTGAATTCACGTCAATGTTCTCCGCGACATATCACACCATGCATTATCAATCCGCAACCCTCTTCCAAAATGCAACCTCAGCTGAGAAACTCAAAGAAAGCTCCCCCAAGACACAACAACTCACTCCACTCTCTTGAAAATCGCACGCACATCAATTTTTCATATATATATATATATATATACATCACGACCCGGAAGCTCTATACCCATCCAACTCCAACCCCTTCGCCTGCTCCGCATTCCCTTCCAACCCCACCAACTGCTTCGGATCCCCCGGGATGATCATCTCGAAGATGGCCTCGGATCGAATCACGGCGTATTCGTGATACCCGCATCGGGCGATGGGTTGAGATTTCCCCAGGTCGATTTTGCCGTCGGTGAGGATCTGGTCGGAGATGTGGATGCCGATCACGCGGCCGATGACGACCTGGGAGTGGATCAATAACGGAGGAGGGAGGGAGGGAGGGGTTTTTCCTTACGTCGACGGTACCCATTGGTGGGTTTCCGGGTAATCGGAGGGTGGAATAGTATTGACATTCGAATTTGATGGGGCTGAGCTTGACCATGGGGACGTTGACGAGACTTGCCTGTTTCATACATCTCAAGAATTAGCAAGATCGCAATCCAATTCGTAAGAACAAGAGTCAAATCAAGTCCAAAACCATCAAAGAGAAAAAAAACACCTGGAAAATTTTTACCTCCTCCTTCTCCAACCCACACTTAACAAACTCATCCACCTCATCCCGAAACCACTCCGCACTCGCATTCACCTCCTCCCTCAACCCCCACGTAGCGAGATTCCAGCAGAACTCCCGCGAGCTCTCGACGTTGGCGACGGTGTTCTTGCGCTCGCAGTTGAGGTCCTGGTTGGAGGCGAACATGATGTAGGGCGGGTCGAAGGTGAGGTTGTTGAACTGGGAAAAGGGCGCGAGGTTGTCGATGCCGGTCTTGGGGTTGCGCGTGGAAATCCAGCCGATGGGGCGCGGGGTTACGCAGGCCTGTTTTTGTTGGATTGGTATGAGCTGAGAGGAGAGGAGGTTGATCTGGGGAGATGTGGATTTACTTTGAATGGGTCCCGGGGGAGACCGTGGGCGGTCTTGCCGGGTTCGTAGAAGACCATGGTTTTGGGGTTTGGAAGGACTGATGGGTGGCCTTTTACATGAAGTGTACTTTATTTTATTCCGTAGTAGAGGAGGAAGTGAAGTGAAAGTCCCACCGCTCTCGGAAGCTCGGGACCGACGCTCACGGAATGCAGATCCGGCAAAAGTGAAAGGCTTGTCACAAAATGCCTTTTGTTATGCAACATCATAATACACGCACCCACATATGATAAGTGCCACTGCCAGGCTGTATAGCAGCGGCGGAGGACCTGCTTCGGGAAAGCTGCAATCGCTGTTCTGATGATCCAACATCGTCTGCAAAGAATGCCCTTCTTCATGCTGTCCAGATCATTTCCACGCGAAACGAAGAACAGAGCCAACGCGATTCCCATATCGCCAGGCCATACTGCGCGATACCTTTTGGCACGGTCAACAATGACAGTGGATCCGTTCGACATGGTTCTCATCTTCACCCAGAAAGCAGGTACCGCAGGAATCCATCGCCCAGTATCGACCGGAACATGATTCGTCTGTAAAGTGTATGCGCCACTATACCAGATCTTATAGAGCATCTCTCTCATCATTGGATTGAAGATCACCCTGGTACGCCCGCAGATTCGACCAGCGGGAATGAGAAGAGAGGAGAGCGAGAGACATGGCCATTGTGACCTGTGCCCTGTACTAAGACGTTCCACTTACAGTTAGAGACTGTCTGGCCAAGCTAGGGTATGTATGAATGGACTCTTTTCTAGGCTCGTTCCCCTCGCGGTGTACTACGCGAAGCTCCCGATTTCTCCGGCTTCAGGAATAGATCTTGCTTGTCGTATACCTGCATCCGACGCGGGAAAGGCCGGCAACCATATCGGAGGGGAAATGAGGTTTCGGCCGACGACGACATGTTGCATCATGAATGTAGGTCCTGGTAGAGGCGTTTGCGGAAGATGCCAGGCAGGGTAGATGGAGAGGAGAAGGAAGCGGTGGTCGAGGTGGGAGCTGCGGGCTGTGGTCAACATGGCGGACTCCGTCGACACCATTAACATGTCGAACAAATTCAACGTGCTAGGGGGATCTGCGGTAGATACACAGGAAGTACCAGCGGAGAACCAAGGATACGTGTCGCTTGGATGACAACGCGAAGAGAACAGATACCGATCGATAGACGGATGAAGCTCGGTCTCGGATTAGCACGGACTGGGGTGGAGGAACTTCACATGCCAAGACATAAACAGGAGGCAAGAGACAATAGAGTCTCATCACACAATTGCATTCTCGCAGCATATCGTACCAAGCCTATCGTAATGCGCATCTCATCGTTGAATATCGTGCCCGCCCTCTCTTGGGAAAGCAAGCCCTCAGCTGGTGTCGTCGCCGCAAGCACAAAAGAAAGTAGAAGCAATCGCCCAAGCGCTATAGCGATAGCAGCGAAGACCGATACCAGCTCTGTTCGCGCGAAAGTGCCAATGTTGGTGTATGCCGCCGTCCCTGTCGCGCTCATGGTGTATCCGTGAAATGCAGAGTCGAAGGTGAAACGCCGTCAGATGAAGCACCGAAAGAGTCAGAAGATGCCGCGCCTACTCGGCGTCGGCAGTGCCCTCCATCTCGACGTCCTCAGTCTTCTCGACCTCGCCATCGGCAGCCTCGACGGTGGTCTCGACCTCGGCCTCCATGGAAGCCTCGCTCTCTTCGACCTTCTCCTCGCTCTTCACAGCCTTCTTGGTGGGAGTCTTGCGCGCCTTCTTCTTTGGGGAGCCGCCCTGGGAGATGTCAGTACTCGCATTGACGCGTGTGATCAGAGCTCGACACTCACGTCCTCGCCGTTCTCGTCCTCGGTAGCGGCGACCTTCTTCTTGCGGGGAGTAGCCTTTGGCTTCTTGATGGCAGAGGCCTCCTCGGCGGCGCCCTCGGCGACGGCGGTGTTCTCCTCGTCGTCGTCGTCAGTCTCCTTCTTGGCGCGCTTCTTCGGGGTGGCCTTGCTCTTCTGTGGAGTAGCAGTAGCTGTCGCGAGTGTCAGAACGCTCGTAGGAAATGTCGCGGATTCGGGTTAACTCACTCTTGGCCGCTTCAGTGCTCTCGACAGCCTCTGGGTTCAGGGCGGCGATCTTCTTCTTGAGCGTGGCCCAGGTGTTCTGGGCGGTCTTCTTGGTCTGGAAGTCAGAGTTCTTCATGAATCGATCGTAGTTGACGTCTGGCGGAGACTTGAGCGAGATCATGGCGGCGACGATGTGCTTGACCTCGCGCTCGGTGAAGACGGGCTTGTCGCCGGTGCTGGCGGCGGCGGCGGAAGAGGTGGCTGGGGACTGTTCCGTGGACATGTTGATGGGTTGGAATTGTGGAGGGGTGAAAGAGGGGTCGATGTTGAGTGCTGTAGATGACGTGAGTAAGACTGCCGGGCAAGGCGTGGCCGAGGGTTGGAGAGAACGGGGCGGGTATTAGCTACCTTGGGATGGGTGGTCCTTGGAGTGGAAGTAATTGGGATGCTGGATGTTGGTGGTTGTCGTAGCTGATTGCTGGTGAAGTTTGCTGGGGAAAGTGGAAGAAAGAAGGGAAGAATTCAAGAGGAAGGGAAGGCCTTTTTGTAGGACGGCCGCTGGACAGCACGGGCAGCACGGGCTCCTGCAACTTCACCTGTACGGGACCTCCCCATTGGTTTACAAGACACGAGGTGTGTGTTTCAGATGTCTTCACATGAGTCCCTCAATAGTTCTCTTATTGTCCCGGCGGGTCCATTGCTATCATGTCGCCAACCCATACTATTGTCGGGATCGAGTGAACAATAGGCAGCATTGGACCTGAACGACACTAGCGGCAAAAGAGCCCCTGATTGCGTTTCATGTTCCACGGCGGAGAGTTTCTGGCCGGCGGGAAGGTGGAGCTGGACGGACAATTACATGTGACTCTTCCTATTGTTGACAATGACCCTTCGGCGTGATTCCAGAAACACCTCCTCGCGCGCACGGTGAATAGCCGTTCGCTCCTACTCATAGAAGAATGCTCCTAGATAGCCCAATTGCGACATGACGAAAGCAGCAGTACAGAGATTCGCGATTGCCTATGCGCGGCCGACCAGCGGATCCTAAGGTGAGGCTTGACAAACGGCGGCGCGGGCGCATTCGAAGCATGTTCACATGCGTCTCCGCCTACCTTAATGTACTAATGACAGTGAGGATAGCGCGGTTGCCAATGTTCGCCAGTCGAGAAAGTGCTTGGCGTGCGCACGTGACTTGCATGTGACAGCGGCACAGGCTTGCCGAAAGGTCCGCGCCCGTCCACGTCAGAACCCGAGCTCCACTTCGGAGGCTTGATCACGTCCGAGATACTACAGGAGAGCATGATGGAGTGGTGAAATACAAAGCACATTGAGGAAGAAGGGGGGCTCGTTGCGCCAATGCGCTTCGCCATTCCAGAAGAGCAGAGCATAAGGATGGGTCCAAACAAGTGTTCGTACAGCACATATGGTATTCTAGTTGCCTTCTGCTCATCCCTAGGGCTCTGGAGAACGAAGTCCAGGTCCATCGTAGCACCCAAATCTCTCCAGAAAATGTATCATGTGTCAAGCTGAGGCTTGATCCTGCAGAGCAGTCGCGTCCAATCCCCCCTGGCTATTCCAAAATGTTCTCCATATTGGCCCGGCACGCAAATCTAGTCGATGCTGATGGCAGGGTCGCAGTGAGTGAAGCCAGCGCGAAGAAGACAAAGCTGGTGTTCATCCTGCCGAGTGGCGAAATCGGCACAATGGATCGTTGCTCTGAGATGGGGAGTACCAACTTGAGCGGCGTGCTTGTAGAGGCTGGACCTGGCATTGGCGCACCGGCAATGAAGATAGCATGCTCCGTCTATCCTATGGTAAGGCACCGCGACGTTGCCGGTGGGGATCTGCTGGCTCTGTTGGGCTGGGAGGACGGTCATCTTTTCGAGCTCGGGGCCAAGAAGGAGCAAGCCATATCGACATGTGAATCCGATGAGTGAGGGCCGTCGAATTTGCCTTACTGCAGAGTTCCAGCTTCGGAAGGTGCAAGATGAAGGGTCCTTGGCGAGAAGCAATCTTCAGCCAACAGCGTGAAACTTGGATTGTATCCTGGCGTTCCATCCTTGGCGCTGAACCACATCGACAGCGCCACTCTACGCAGATATGCTTGTTATCTACGAGGATGGAAAGTTATCCGCATGACTGAGAAGGCGCTGGTAGAGCGCTTCCTTTTCGCTGCCGCCGGGAGCGGCTGCAGTGAAGGCGGGAGTGGTGTTCGTCTGAGCAAAGGATGCGCATCCCCTGTTCGTTTGCGTGCTGCATTTGACAAAGCAAAGCACCATCAGAGCGAAGGGTGCCATGTGTGCGGTCTCGTCCTTGTCGTCGGTTGTGATGGCAGCTGACTTGGAGATGCGAGTGAGCCCGGGGTGCTCGTGTTCGGCGAGTCATTGTTGCTGGCATTACCGTAGCCCATGGCGTAGCAGTGGTTGACCAGGTCGTCTCATGCTCCACGCTTGCAAGCTTGGCCTTCTTATCTGTCCTGGAGATTTCCATGCTGTTCTCAGTCAATTAGGGGTCTCACAAGCGTGGAGAGACGGAAACATACACATCAGAGTGCTTTGAACGCTGTTATTTGTGAGCCAATTCGTGTTGCTGAATGGACTCAACCCACCATGCTTTGAGGTGGAGGTCTTTTAGCAATTCCAGTGGTTGGCGATAATCTGAAGCGCAGCCAAGGCGACGATGCCGTTGTTGTCGTATGGCTGCTGAAAGTTGGTAATCTGAGTAGCCATCTCGCTGGGTAGCCATCTTGTTACTTGCGCTGCTGTTGAGGTGACTGTTGTGGGTGCGATGATGGCGTGAGAGGATGTGAGAAAGTGAGTGCGATGGTCGTCTCCCGAGATTCGAGGCCATCATGAAGATGCTGCCTGGGCAAATTGCATGTGATGGCTGATCCATCGCTAGGAGATAAGTCTGCGTCTCCATTCAAAGCGTAGGCTGGGCTGCACCTGAAGGTCGCCGTGCTGCGCTGGCAGTCGACGTTAATTCGATGGAGCATCCCCGTCAGCAACTGGTGAGCTGATCAGTCCTGTGACTGAGCCACCCGATGCTGAAGATGACTTCGGCAGTAACGTCTTAATGCCGAGGATGGTCGTGATGCTCTTGATATCCTCAGCACTGGATGTCGATGCGGCCAAGCTAAGGGGGCAGGTATGCGGCCGAGGGCTTCGATGCGGTGATCTCGGAGGAATTCTGGTCGTCGTAGAACGAGAGAATGTATCATTCAAGGCGTTGAGCTGCACGCAGGCGGAGCGTCCTAGCCCTCGGCTGTTGGTGCCGCTCGTGAGAAGTATCAGCAAGGCTGGGCGCTCGCGTCCATCGTGATACCGGCTTCAGCAGCCAGCGAGAGATGAAGAAGTCGGCGCGCGCTGCTGACAGCAAGCGCACGAGAAACCTGGTCATGGGTTATGAGGCCACCTGTAAGAAGCGCAAAATGGTTTCGCCCGCAGTGCAGATGACCAGCCGCTCGGAATTCGGCGCTGCTGGGTATTACATCAGCCGTGAAAGGCAAGTAATTCTTGGGTAACAGGCACTCACCCAGCGATTGCTCGCCTCGTACCACCATATCATTCTTGTCCAGTCTTGTCCAGTCTTGTCCTTGGAGTGGCTGAAGTTTGAAGGTTAAAGAGAAGTTGAACAGTAGACGGAGGCTTAAGAAGGCACCTGAGCGAATGATACCAGCTGACGTGATCAAACCATGTGATGCTGCTAATTGAGGAAGGAGCGGTGCGGCACAGCGTGTCAAATTACTCTGTACGCCGCCGCAGTCAAAGGCTCAGATGAGCTTCAATTCAGGTGGGTATCTTCGTAGCTTCATATCACTTCGTGCTGGGTCGGGCAGTGGTCAGTCTCTCCAGTTAATCAGTACTTCATCGGTCCTGAATCGCTGAGTACACATGCTGTCCTCCAGCTTGGTCCGGTACCCCATCTCGTATTGTAGCAGTCCAGCGTGGGCAATCATTATGCCGTTGTCGATGCAAAATCTCTCATCTGTGGCGTATACGCTTCCTCTCCTCTCGGTCGCCATCAGGCCCATCATTTCCTGTAGCCGGATGTTGCACCCCACGCCACCAACGATCAAGACCTGCGAGCTTCCCACGTGAGCCATGGCGCGCTCTGTTATCTCTACCAGCATGGCGAAGACAGTCTCCTGCAATGTAAAGCACAGATCCTCTCTAGTGATAACCTCTCCAGTCTCCGGATCCTTCCAGTCGGCGCCAAGCTTGCCAGCCATCTCCTCTACTCTGGCCAGAATACCCGAGAATGAGACATCCATGCCTTTGACAGCATATGGTAGCTCCACTAGGGCTTTGCCTTTCTTCGCCAGTTGCTCAATGTTGTAGCCAGGCGCTGGGTCATTGGGGATCTCCAACACTCTTGCAAATCGATCCAAGCAATTCCCGACTGCAATATCCAACGCTTCTCCAAATATGCGATACCTTTGCGCCGAGTACGCAATAACTTGAGTATTTCCACCGCTGACGTACAGTACCACAGGATTATCCGCTCCAGTAATCGATCTTCCCATTTCAATGTGCCCAACGCAATGGTTCACCCCAACCAGAGGTTTATTCCACAGTTGTGAGAGCATTCTCGCTGCAATCGCAACAGCGGAAAGCGGAGCTCCCATGCCCGGCCCTTGTGTAAAACATATACAGTCGATATCGGAGATTTTTACGCCTGCCTGCTTGATTGCTTGCTTTACAAGTCTTACTACCCATCTCCGGTGGTGTGCCGCTGTGTCTTTTGGAAGGAAACCAGCTCCGGGAGGAGCGTTGAATGTATGGCGTAGATTGCTCAAGATGCGTACTGGTTGGCGGTCGACTTTCTTGGTAGCACACGAGGGAAATTCATCGTCGGAGTGAGCGCTGTCGTGTGGTGATGGCGGAGAGGAATGTGGATGGAGGATTACACCGACGCCCAGCTTGTTGGCAGAGCCCTCGAGACCGATTGAAATAGGCATTTTGTAGTGGATTGTGTCGTACTTGAAGACGTCGCTGGACGGCAAGTTGAAGACTCGAGATGAAAGTGTTCTTAAATGTTCCAGTATCGATAACTACTTTGGGATGCGAGGAGGGGCAAAATGCCAAGACTACTCCTTGTTCGTAATGCTGCGCGCGGATCTCGGCGCGGATCTAGAAAGCGCGATGGCGCAGCATGTGACGAATGCCGGAAGGAAGTTGCGAGCTGCGAAGTTGAACGACTTCAAGTTGTGCAGCAAACACAATCACTCCAAAATAATCACACTCACACCCACTCGTACACACCACTTATTCAATCAGAAAACACCCTGTCGACCTTGTACAGTACCCTGAAGCACCACTTGTCACCAGTTGCAGCACCAATCCACCCACCATGTCGTGGTCCGGCTTCAAGAAGAATGTGGGTATTGATGGCAATTGGTTGGCAGAAAAGCAGTACTGATGAGACACAGGTCGGACGCGCGACGACGCAGGTCATGATGAAGACGGGCCACGTCGAGAAGACCTCCGACCGTGATTACGAAGTCGAAGAGCGCCGCTACCGCACACTCGAGTCCGCATCGCTACGCCTGCAGAAAGAAGCCAAGGGCTACCTCGACAGCCTACGCGCCATGACTGCTTCCCAGATGCGAATCGCGGAGACAATCGACGCCTTCTACGGCGAGAGCGGAGCTAAAGACGGCGTGAGCAGGAGTTACAAGCAAGCAGTGGAGGATCTCGACGCAGAGACCGTCAAGGCGCTTGATGGGCCTTACAGGTGTGTCACCCAGGACCCCGAGATACGGAAACTGGTCATGTTCGATCAAGAGGCGGGAGTTTTCCGCCTGGGAGTGCTCGACGAGATCGAAGCCGAGCTCAACTTCAAGGCTGGAAACAAGAGGAACTACACACAAGCTGCGAGGGAGGATGCAGAGAGAGCCATGAAGCTCATTGAAAATTCATTTAGGACAACCGTGCTGGAGCCCATCAACCGCTTTTGCGCCTACTTTCCCGACATCAACGAATGTGAGTGATAGTCCAATTCTTCAAGCTCGAGGACATATACTAATACATGACAGGCATCAAGAAGCGGAATCACAAGATGCTTGACTACGATGCTATGAGGAGCAAGGTCAAGAAGCTGGTCGAGAAGCCAGACAAAGATCCCTCCAAGCTCCCACGCACGGAGAAGGAGACTGAAATGGTAATGAGCGCTCAGACGTTTCTTCACCTTGACGAAATGCTCTTCCCCTCCCCTCCAAAAGCGCTCGATGGGCTCAAGCACTCCCACCACAACATGACCACGGACTACCCTTCGGACCGATGGAGGAAGATTCAGGCCCACGAGGACGCTGCTCTGCGCAGTGTTGGTCAAGGCATGCAGCGGAGACCAAGTCGCTTGAAGCGTCTCAGTGCTGCCGGATCCAGACTTGCCAGCACTTTCTTCAACATGGATGAGACCGCATCGAGCTCCAGCCCCGCAACCGATTCTCCGCGCCTCCCAAGTAGTACTTCGAGCAGATCTTCCAAACTGTTCGGCTTGCCATCGTTACAAGAGTCGCCAACAGCCGCCCGTCAGCAGCGAGTCTTCAGTGCTAGAGGCGCTGGTGGTGCGATGATCCCTGCTGTGTCTCCGCAGCTCGTCTGCAGCCCAACAATGTCGAAGCAGACGAAGCAGCGAGGGCCGGAGGATACTCCCTCTCGCCCTGCCGGCATGCCTCTACGCATTCAGCACTTGGGCTTGATTCAAACCAGTCAGGCCCCTTCTGAGCGTTTCACGATCGGAAGCAAGCGTACCTCTGGGACCTTCTCAATGAAGTCTGGCGCCACTTGGGTCACAGAAAAGATACTCGATGGTGACGACGAGAGCGATGACGAAGATGACGACAATGATTCGATCCGAACCGTTCGCAACACCGACTACTTCCCGCCACGGACCACTCGGCCGGCCGCCCGGACTGCATTCTTCCATCCTTCTGAGCTGGAGGAGATCATTGGGCCGATGAGGGAGGAATTTCTTGAGAAGCAGACTAACTTGCTCGTGCAGGCGAAAGTGGCTTACGATCAGCTCAACGAACAGTTGACCGATGAGCTGCCGAAGTTGATCGACTTACGGTGAGTGATGTCGAAGGCAGATACTCGTCATGTGCGTGCTGACGATGACATAGAGTACCATACCTCGACCCATCCTTCGAAGCGCTTGTAAAGATTCAGCTCCGATTTTGCGCGGAAGCGTACAGTCGGATGGCACAAGTGCAGCAGTATGTTTCCTTGAGCTTCACTTGGCTTTGGTGTAGCATAACTCACGAAATGGTGTAGGTACCTAGACGCATCGACGAGAGACCAATATGCTAGCGGCGACCTGGACGCGAGAGTGGAGGACGTGCTAGGCCAAATTCGGGAGCTGAGCATTGCTGGAACAGTGTAATTGATTGCGCATTGATGTCAGTCACTGCATTTAATGGGGGCGACGGTGTAATGATTCTACGTACGGTGACGTACAACGGTAGGTGCAACGAAAGTGTACAGTTTGAGCGATTGAAAAGTCGACTTTCCATTATTGCTTCTACCGACTCTCGCTATCAGACCTACGAGAAGACACAAAACAGAGCCAGACAACAGCTACCTTTTCTGGCCATCGAGTCGAAGACGGTGTCCCGGAATTCGAAGGATGACTCTTGATTGAATCGAACAATCGACCTTCTGGACGGACCATCGTCACATCAATGTCGTTGATTATGCGACGGCCATTGAACACAGCTGCTCTACCGCTGAGCCAAAGAGTCGTATTATTCTGGGTGGGGTTAATTGTTGAAGATGTTGTCTTCACACGTGATTGAAAAGGCTGCACAAATGCACGGAAGCCACTTGGTACTTGGAGGATACTGAATGAGACAGCTGAAAGAATGTCAAACGCAAAGAAAAGGCTGAACTTGATGCGGGAAGCCCGTGATCGCCTTGGGCGAGGGATTGAACGCGGCGCGCCTTCAGTACTACAACATAGCGGGCTGTCTCGCGTTCTCGCACTTTCGTCTCCAGCCAGTGATCCCTCAAGGCTCGATTGGAAAAAATTCTGGGCGTGCTGCCGTCGAAGACATCTCAGCCCACGAGCTTCCGAAAGTGACGCAAACCGCTTACCTTTCTCTCGGCGTTATCCAGAGCCGTCTATCGCCTAAGGAGAAGATCTGATAGAGCCAGCAAGCAACAGTGCCAGCTTTCTAGTTGAAAAGGTCGTTGCTGACTTTCACGGATGATCTTCCGCGACGGGTTGCTCGGCCAAATTCGAGATTGCCTTTCAAGACACTTCAAACCTCGCTTTTGCGCTTTCCGGAACTGTTGGTTATTTGCTCAGCCTGGGGACTTATCGTTTATACTTCCATCGAGTATCTCATTTTTTTTCTGGACTGGAGCTGGCCGCTCTGACCTACTCCTACCAATGCTATTACGTCCTGTACCCCTACCACGGCAAATGGCTCTTCCACCGAACCGAACTACATACGAGGTGATTTCCCTTCATGGACGTGCAGAATAATTTCGATCTTCTGACCGAGGATTGGTGTCGGCCTGTATATTTGAGAAAGCAATCCATGATTAACTCAGGACTGGTGAGGGAGAGGAGACGTCCACTGTACAGGCTTTGGCGACTTCATCAAGGAAAGAGAAACGCTATGTGGCGATCAGAGAGTCGGCATTGAAATTGATCGGGGCTGGGACGGAGAAAGACTACGGGAAAGACCAGCAAGAAAGTAGAACACTGTTCCTTGTTTGCTGCCGCGTTTGCTGACATCCATTCCACCAGCTCGCAAGTTGCCCTCTTCTACATCCTCAACGACACTTCTATCCACGCTCAGCTTTCTCTCCGAACTACGTACTGTCATGCCGACCGCGCCTTCTCCACTCCCATGCGTGAACCCAACTCAGCAAGCTCCCCTACCCAACGGCCACATTCCACGAAAACACCCGTCTGGCTCACGGCGTCGCAGGCCGTCTCATTCGCATTTCCCCCCCGACCGAGACTTCCAATGCCACAATCACACGATCCCCGCAGGCGCGACATTCTGTGTATCGCACTCCTTTTACCATACTGATGCTCAGAGGTTCCTCCAGATATTTGAATTCCAACTAGGGAGGTTTCTGGACGAGGAAGGAAAGGAAGCTTTGAAGTTTGAAGAATCTGGCGCCTTTTGGGAAGGGACCGAAGCTGTGTTTGAGGATGAATCTGGCTTGGAGTGAGATGTCTCTTTCTATCGCGGCTCTCGTAGGTGGCGTGGAGATGGAATTGGTGGATCCATGGACGGGTGTTCTTCTCGGGTATGTTTCCTGAGAATAGTAAGGGCATTGGGGTACGAGTCCTTGAAGTACGGAGTACAAGACTATCGTTGCTATGGAATGCATGTGTTGATACTCAAGTAGATTCTTTAATGGCAGAGCAAAGCAAGAGCGCGGAAGGTTCACGCTAGCGCCTCGCTAGCATGTGACAGCGCCATAACAGGCCGGACTTTTCCCGACGCTCGCTTAACGACAAGCTTTCCAGCGCACAGATACTTTCCAGAACGTGAACAAACACAGCTCTACTCTACTTTGCTTCGCCACTTCCACACACTCGACTCGCAACCAACCACACGCATCACCATGGCGGCGGCGGCCCCCCCCTCCTCGGCGATGCACCGCGCGCTCGAAGTCACCGAAATCCTCGAACACATCCTCGAACGCGTCGCGCTCGCCGACATCGCCCCTCCCGTCTTCAACACCCACCACGAAGAGCCCTCCGCGAAGCTCTTCCAACTCCAGCGCGTCAGCACGCGGTTCCGCGAGGTCATTCGGGCTTCCATCAAACTGCAGCAGCTCATGTTTTTGGCGCCGTTGGATGCTTCCGTGCGCGTCACGACCATGCACCGCGCCGCGCCGATTGTGTGGTTGTTGAAGTCGCTGGGCGTCGAGATCAACAGCGTGATGGAGAGCCGGATCGGCGGCAGTGGGGAGAGCGCGTGTCTGATCGAATTGCAGGACGTGGACTTAGCACGTCCGCAGCGTCCGGGTTTCGATCCTATGCTCTTCGAGCTGGCTACCAAGGTACGTGACTGTTCCGCTTCCGCAGAAGCAGCAGCAGCAGGAGGAGCAGGAGGAGCAGCAGCAGAAGCTTCCTGGCGGGGCATCAAAGTGTCGAATGCGCGCGAGTGCGGCACGATCCTGGTGCACTTCACGGTCATTATCGGCTGGTGGTTTGTGGAAGACGAAGACGAAGAGCACGTGGCCGAGCAGGAGGTGACGTGGAAGTTCAGCCAGGGCACCACGGCTAGGACTCTGGGTGAGGTCTTTGATAGGTATGTGGGTGTTGTGGAGAGGTTGCGGATGCATGATCGGCTGCAGAGGGAGGCGGACTATGAGTTGCGTCGGGCTCGGACGGAGTCTCGCATGACGATGATTGAGGCGGCGAGGGAGGACTTGATGGGACCATAGATCCAGGCGCCGATGGTGAGGAATGGCTTGTCTGGCTCGAGGATGGCGCGGAATCGGAAAGGCTGAAGGAGTCGGAAGGCGGTGCTATTGCTGGCTTCTTCGGCGTACTTGTCGGCTGAAATGTACGGCATGGCAATGGCGATGATGGCGACCTGTGTGGAATCGATTGGGCATGTCAATCGGCACTGAAAATCATGTCACCTGGGGAGCTGGGACAACATGATCAATGGTCACTGCAGAAGGAAAACTGAATTGCAGATGTACATCACCGTTCTGCAAATCCACAATCGCGAATTCGTAATCGTCACCGCATCAACCGTATTATCATCCCTTGGACCTCAAGACCTAATCGAAAGGCCATGTCCTTTAGAATAGTGTCCACTCTCGAACGTGATATTCTAGTTGTCTCAGTCAGTCAAAATCATCACTCCGTACAGTTTATAACAGAGAAGTGGATCTGGAACTCACCGTCCCAGAATCCACAGCCAGGCAATCGCCCTGATTAATAAACCGTAGCCCCAGAAATTACCACATTCAAACTACTCCCTAAATCAAAAGCAGGTCGATACCTTGAGCATTCCTCCCAGAGCACTTCTCTCGATTCTCACTGCTGGCGAAGACGAACCTTGACAAGCATGTCACCGCCAGGGACAAGACCTGCAGTCCCAGGAAGGGCGGGCTTCAAGCCCGGAAAGTCTCCGGTCGGCTTCTTATTGATGTCAACAAAGCCCTTAACATCCAGATCAAACTTGAGCAGCACCATGGCAACCGCGCCAATGCCTTCCTGCTTTGCGAAGATCCTGCCCGGGCAAATGGTCTTCCCGCCACCAAAAGGTCTGAACTTCGCCGTGCTTCGTCGCATGGAGAACGTGTCTTTGCCCGTCTTGGCGTCTTTCGATAGGAATCGATCCGCGTCAAAGACATCCGGTGGTGACGATTCGTCGGACCAGGCTGTAGGGTCGTGATGACTTAGCCATGAGGGTGCGAAGAGATTGTCGCCTTTCCGCAGCTGCACCAAGCGTTTGCCGTCCTCGTCTAATGGCAGAGTGATGTCTTCCGGCAGATTGCGAGTGATCAACACGTCCGTGTACATTCTTAAAGTCTCGGTCCAAATACTCTGCAAACAGGGTTGGGAGACCAGCGTAGCGATGTCCAAGGATCCGTCTGCTTTGCACGCGTCTTTGATCTCTGCCAGCACTCGTGGAAGAAGCGTCTCGGGTGCCTTGGGGTCGATGATGTGGTAGAGCATCCAGCCAGTGATGGGGACCACGTTGCTGGACAACGCGAATGTGATTCCGACGTCAAGAGCAGCAGAGGAGCGTGCGTCGAGCCCACGCAGCTTGTAGCCTATCTGGCGTGCGCGGTTGAGTCGGCTGCCGAAAAGAGGCTCGTATGCTGGTCCCTCCGGATCGACCGGTGATCCTCCGCTCAATCGATGCATCTCGGCGTTCCATCTTGCAAGATTGGCATACATGCGTTCTTGACGAGCGTACCCTTCTTTCATCATGAAGGTAGGAAGGCGGAAGAAGAATTTGAGGAAGTCCACATCGAATTCGTAGAAGTCGTTACAGAATTGCGGGTACATTTGAATGATCTTCTCGCCGAAGAGCGCAGTGCAAGATGCGATGAACATCCGGTCGCGAAGCCATTCGTATAGGCCGATGTGGTCTAGCTTGGTGATTTCGGCGGCATCCTTCCTCAGCACATCCTCCAGCACTCGGGTAAATTGTGCTGTAAGCTCATTCCTGCAAACAAGTCAGAGAGAGTCCTGTGCCTCAAGCTTCAGATGATGGTGTCCTACGCACACTCGATCTATACTTGTCATGTACTGTGCGTTGATATCATGCTCGGTATCTTTCGTGGATTCAGCGTTGTGAGCCTGATGCTCGGGTAAACGAAAGACGAGGCGCCACATGTCATGCTCAAAGACGTCGCGAGAAGGCGATTTCGCCTTGAACATTGCCTGAACGGCAGCAGTGGAGATGACGACGTGCGTCTTCCTTCCGCCGACCAACAGCGTGCAGACGCCCGTCGATCTTGGATACCACCTGAACAGTGCATCCCAGAACTTGCCCGGATTGCTGGTCAAGAAGGGAAGCGTATGTCCCAGCCATGGGATGGTGTATGGTATCGCTGGAGGCGTGACTATCCTTTGCCCGCCAGGACCGGAGTCTTTGAATTGCTGGAGTGCTCGGTAGTAGTTTAGAGTGGTGACCAGACGCGTGACGAGCAGCCCGATGGCCAGCAGAATGAAAGGCGAGACGGCATACAAGGCCAGCCGAGCCATTCCTGCCGAAGGGTAGAAGTCCATCTTGTGAGGAGCAAAGATGCCGCGATCCAACAATGAGAGAGAGGGCCTTGGGCAGAAGAGTGTTTTTCTTTCCCTTCCGAAGTTCAGTGCGGCATGCGACAAAGGCTGGCGGTGTTGCGTATCGTCGATGGTGGTGTCGCTGAAACGAGTCAAGTCATCGCTGTCCCAGTGTGCAGTCTTGACGTGTTTAGTAAGCCGCAAGGATGGTCACTGTTGCATCTTTCTGGAGAGACCGACAGCAGGGCACTTGATTTGGGAAATCTGGAGCCTCACTCCTCTTCTAATGACGATTTATTTCGCTATCCTGGCGAGTGTAACATGTCACGCCCGCATCTCGGGAGGAGCGGCAAGATTTATTGATGCCTGAGGCAGACCTGAAGATTGCCGATACGGAAGCTGTCGCTGTATTCCTACTTACACATCGGTATATATCTAGCATCTATCGAATCTCATCAATTAATACCCTCTTCACGTTCTCACCAATAAATCCTCAACAAGTTATCGTTCAAGCCTGCGCAGGTTTCTCAAACAGATAATGACAAATCCCCCACTCCTCACCCTCTTCCCAAGCAAAGAGCTCCGCACAAGCCATGTAAAACACCTGCCATCGGTAAAACCATCTCTTCACCTCCGACTTGCCATACGTCTCCTCCAAGGCCGGCCACAGTTTTCCTTTATTCGCATTCATCGTCTTCAACCAATCATTGCAAGTCTTCGCGTAATGTTTCCCATTCACCCACCATTGCCTTTCCAATTTCAAATCCTTTTGGAAGTACAACAATAAATCCGCAGAAGGCATCGTCCCTCCCGTGAAGAAATGGTCTGTCATCCAGCCGCTGTCGAAGTCATATGGAGAGGATTTGTGCGCGAATAAGTGCACGAAGAGTCTTCCGGAGGGTTTCAAAAGGGTGGCGACTTTTGATAGGAGGGATTCGTAGTTCTTCATGTGTTCGAATAGTTCAATCGAGAGGACGCGATCGAACGCTCCTTGCATGGGTGTGGCTTGGAAGTCGTAGGTGGCAATGTCCCCGGTGAGGACTTCGAGGTTGGTGAGGTTCTTGGTTTTTGCTTGGGTGTCGATGTGGGCTTTCTGGGTGCGGGAGTTGGAGAAGGCTACGACTTGGGCTTTGGGAAAGATTTCGGCGAGGTAGAGGGAGAGAGAGCCCCAGCCGCATCTTTTGAGAAGGAGGATGGTGGTTAGCTGTGATGAGGAATAAGGGTGATTTTAGGGGAAGTACTCACCCGAGGTCGAAGATTGTCATTCCATCTTTGAGTTGCGCTTTTTGCACGTAGCTTTCCAGCATGGCGATTTCGGCTTGTGCGAGGGTTTCGGTCCCTTTGGGATAGAGGCAGGCGCTGTATTTCATCCGTGGGCCGAGCATGTTTGTCAGAACGCCGGTTCCGACTTCATAATGCTGTTGGTTCGCGGTGGCGGTCTCGATGGCGATGGGTCTGCTTCGGAGCAGCTCGACGTATTTCATCTTGGTCTCGTAGCTCTCGGCCAGGCCGGTGGTTTTGATGATGTCGATGCGTTGTTGCAGCTGGCCACGGATTCCCCGGCGGAGGAGGAATTCGGGGAGGTAGCCGCCATCTACGATGGCCTCCACGACAGCGTCGGGTACTAGAAGATCGGAAGTTAGAGGCGTGTTGTGTCGCGAGTCTGATGTGGATGTCGGAGAAGACGTACCGTAATTCATCTTGTCCCTGTCCTGATCCTGCTGTACTGAAGTGCAGTGTTGGATAGACGGCGTGCGGATGGATGACGCTTTGGGAAAGTGCGGCAGAGCCGAGAGCGGGCCGCTCCTGGATTAGTGTCCGCGGAGGACGGCAGTAGGTGAATGGTGCCGAGCAGCTAGTGCTCCGCCAAGCGGCGCCCTTTCTTCAGTGTGGGCTCGCCCAGACATCATCATGTGATTGTGATTCCGTCTGGTAACTATAATGACCTCAATTCTCTGACGTTTCCTCCGCTCCAATCCATGGACGACATTCGGTCAGCCCATGGATCACGCCGGAGATCGGACTTTGATGCCAAGCTTCGGAGGCTCCACGCCAGGATCCCCTCCCCCACCTGCCCGAACGCCTGCAATTTGACGGCCCGCCGGACCCTGCGCTGTCCAACCCGAATGGTTGGCCCACGCTGCATCTTAAACATTCGCGTTTCACGCGACCTCATTCTTCTTGCGACCTCTCCTATTTCCACTCTCTCACACACTCACACACTCACATCTTCTGGGAATTGCGAACCCCGTTATTATATTACGTCTGGGCTCCGCGACCTGGCACGACCGGAAAGTGAAGTCGCACGGCCAACATCCAGCGCGACAAAACCCGCGTCGCTGCTCTCTCGCGCGCATACATATACTCGCACAGTCGCAAAGGCGAATAGTCCTTGCGCATGCGTCGTAGCCATCTCTTCGACCAGCAACAGCCACTTCAGACACTCACACATTCGCATCTCCCTCTCCAATCTCAGGCTCAGCTTCAGCGGCACGATGAACCATGGCAGACAGCACAGGTGCTCCCTTTCCCTCGCGATACCGTTCGCAAAGACACAAGAACCCCTCGGTCGATGAGCCCTGGGGATACGAGTCGCCTGCGAGCCCCCCGCACGGCAATGATGGCGTTGCCCGGAGCAAGTCACGATACAGGCACAAACAAGTGGTGTCTGCAGAATCACCAACCGACAATGCGCGACCACATTCACAACAACAGCAGGCCGCAATCCCCTCGCGATACCATTCCAAGCATCGGCAGTCACCCTTAACCACCATGTATACAGAACAGGTTGTCCAGACCCCTGTACAGCACCGTTGCACTAGCTCGAGCACTAGACGACACAGACAGAACGATACACCACCAGCACCGCCAGGCGCATACGATCGAAGGAATTTTGAAGCTGATAGAGCCAACTCTAGCACCTACAGCAATGGTCTGGAACGCTCCCGCACAAGGGGTGGCAGCAGCGGGCCCAAAGGCAATGATGTCCCTCCTCCACTTCCTCCTCCGCCCGAACCGGTCCCGCCGCCGAGTGGAGATCTCTTTCCCCCCATGACCCCGGTCAATCAGCCGAAGCGACCCGATGGACCTCCACAATCTGGCAAGATTCGTGCGACAAAGAGCATGAGCGAGCTGCCTGTACACGATAGCCATGGAAATGCAGGATGCTTCGGTGGGCTGTTTAGACGCAGGCGCGATGAGCTCACGCCGGTTCCGCACGATCAAGTGCCGACTACGCGACCAAAGACTGGAGGGGACGCACCGACCGCAATCAAAATGGGCGGAGGAGGCGCTGTGCCTGGTACTGATGCGCCAGTATCCGCAATCAACGCTGGAGATCGCCGTGTACTGGTCGAGTGTGGGAAGTCTAAGGCGCTCTTCCCGGTGACGCCCACAACGACTCCGGTTGATCTGATCAAGAACGCTGCAACTTGCATGTCCGAACGCATCGATGTAAAGTCAGCGCTGCTGTTCGAGTATTTCGGTACGGTGGGCGTGCAACGACCGCTGCGTCGATATGAGCATATCCGGGATATCATAAACAGCTGGGACAATGACAGGCAAAACACTCTGATTCTGCTTGACCCTGGAACCGGAACTGTCGAAAGCGAGCTGACCATGGCCGGTGTGCCACAAGTGCAGCCTGAAGAAAAGACCTGGTACCTCTCACACTCGCAGAAAGTCGGATCGTGGAGCAAGCGCTGGGTCACGCTTCGTTCAAGCGGCCAGCTCGTATCCCAGAAGGATCTCGTTTCGTCAAAAGAAGCGACAAACATTTGTCATCTGAGCGACTTTGATATTTACATGCCAACTCCGGACAAGCTGAGGAAAAAGATCAGGGCTCCAAAGAAGTTTTGCTATGCCATCAAGAGTCAGCAGAAGACCAGCCTGTTTGAGTCGACGCATAACTTCGTCCACTTCTTTTCAGTTGGAGACAAGGCGACTGCTGATGAGTTTCATGACAGTATCCAGGCCTGGCGAAGTTGGTATCTGGTCAACGTCATGGGTGAGGGAAAGAGGGACAAGCCCAAGCCGACTGCAGGAGAAGCTCAAGGCCGAAGGTCGATGAGCAACGACCATTCCAGGTCGCACCATTTGCAGGAGTCGGTAGGCTCGCATTATCAGCTTGGCTCCTTCAAGCCGTTGGTGGACATGGACCAATATGAGCACCGTCCCGGCTCTAGCACATCCGAGGAAGGTTGGCCTGGCTCAAAGGATTTCGTGAAGTCTTCCAATCAGTTCGATGTCAATGTCTCGCCGGAACGCAGAACATCGAGTGCCAAAAGACAACATCCTCCCCTGTCCCTGAGCAGTCGAGCCCAGCTTGCGGAAGACGAGCCGCTTGCAAACTTGAATCGAAGCAATTCAACCAACAAGCGCAGATCATCTACCGATCAGCAGCGCTTCCTTCAGGCGACAGAATTTTCGGACACAGGACTTCTCGGCAGAGATTATTCTCAGCGCCGCAAGGAGTACGATCAGAAGGAAGCACAGCGCCAAGAGGCTTTCACTTCAGGCCCGAATCTACTGAATGGCGGAATGCACGTGCGAGATGACGGGGATGGCTCGGGAGATGGGCTCAAGCGAAACCCTTCAACGCGTCGCCATGTCAACAGCAACGGAGGCATCATGCGCTCGTCGTCCACCCGTGGTCATTCGCAAGGTGCGTCTGGGGATTTGGAAAGATCTGGGTCAAGACGCCAAAAGCCAAAGCCATTGGTCGACCTTACGCCTCAATTCAAGGAGCCACCACAGCACGCAAACAAAGGCAAGGGCTATCGTCCTGATAACATGGGTCAAGGAGGTCTCATCTCGAGTGCTACATCGCCCGAAGATCCTCTTGGTCTACCCAGTAATACTATCTTCCGCAACGCTGGTGGCCAATACAGTGGACAAGGCAATCCGGGCTTAGTCGATCTCTCGCCTCAATACCGCGAGCCCGTGCACCAGGCCCGGAAAGGTCGAGGCTACCAAGTCGACAATCCCGCCGCGGGCGGAGGTCTCGTGGGAAGCGCCACCTCGCCTGACGATCCTCTCGGCTTACCCCAGCAGACAGTCTTTCGAAGCATGAAGGCAATGCCAGAGAACCGCAACCGGCGACCAGACACTGCACCCGAGAGACCAGTCAATCGCCAGAAATCTACAAGACAACAATCACCCAAGGAGGCCTTCACGGGTGAAGGTCTTCTCGCCCAGCAGCAACGTCAGGGCTGGGGCGGAGAGAATAAAGGCCGAGGCGTGATCGACGGGAGCCATGCAGGCGGCAGGCCGTTGGTAGATCTCTCGCAGGACAGCAGATTTGTCAAAGGTTCACTCCTAAACCAGGTTGAACGAGCGGAGGGAGGGCCGATACCGGCTCCCATCATTGACCGCGAGAAGCGAATCGAAAGAGAGGAAAAGCACGGAGAAGGACATTGATACCCAGCAACAAGGAAGGCAAGAGGCAGGGAGGGGGGTTTTTGTCCTCTTAGCAGAAGTTTTTTTGTGAATACGATGACGGCAGAATTTCGTGTTTTGTTTTTTGTGTATGAGTAGACGACCTGACGTTCCTTTTGTTTCGTGTGGCGCGTGCTGTCCTGATACAGTGAGATGGGACTGCTCACGAGCACTCCTCGAGGTCATGTCTCCAAAAGTATTCCACTGTTTCCTTCGTCATTGCTGACCCCGACCCTCAAGCTCGCTTGCAGCACGCACGTAGAATGCCATTTTTCGATAAACAGCTTGCTCTTGGTAGTCCCGAGGCTGGCCTTCGCGGACGGTGGTGGTGAGCGGCATCTTGCCGAGGGTGACACTTTGACGCAGAGGCCGCGCTCTGGATTGATAGTCAGCAAGAGCTCAAAGTTCCCCGTCAGTGCACCAAAGCCTGAAACATGTGACAGAAGGGCCCGTGCGCAACGCAACAATTCGCCATTCCCCAAAAGTTCGCCAAAAGCGAAAGCATCTATCGCAAGATTCCATATCCATGGCTTTCAATACTTCGTGTTCTCGCTTACTTTTTGGATGGATCGGGTCTGTCGCCTTCGCAAAGGGCACCACCCAAGGCGCTTTTCCCTTTGTCCTGCTGAACCCGCTAGCGCGGATCGAGATAAGTACGTCGGCCACTGTGGCACGGTCAGCAGGTGCAGATGTACAAGACGGCTCTTTTTGGGATACGAGGCCTCTGCTTTGCAACCTATGGCACAGCGCTGTCGACTCGAATGGCTCGCCTCTCTAGCCATGGCAGTTAGCCCAGTGTACTATTGACGTTTCATCCTTCGCTCGCTCCTTGCCGCTTACCACATCCAGATGGGGAGGTGGTTCAGAATCCTGACTGTGTCACGGGAGAAGATATAAGTAGGCTGCTGTGGTCGGAGTCCGACCGGTCATCCCGCAAGCAAAGAATTCCAGATCCTCTTCAATTCATTCAAAGATCAACATATCTTCAGCGTAATAATGAAGCTCGTCACGGCTCTTGCGCTCGTGATCGGCTCCGCATATGGTGCAACTGTCGGCGTGCGTATTGGGTCATTTCTCCCATCCATTGTCCGGGTCACTAACAATCCTTCATACAGTTCGACGGCAACCGATTTCAAAACGCTCCCACTCCAAACTGCGGCACCACACCTGGAGGCCAGACACTGTCGACCGCTGGAGCGAACGGCAACGTCGCATTCGGCCAAGGCTTCACCGTCGTCAACGTCGAAGCGAACAGGAACTGTAAAAGTGTCAACGTCAATGTTATCAACGCAGGTAACAAGAACAACGTCGCGGTCATTCAAGCTCCCCGCACAGGTTCCAACTCACGATTCGGGCAAATCGCGAGCAACAAAAAAATCGAGTCCTTCCAATTCGCCTGCGCGTACTTCTTGCTTGGCTTCTTCCTTCCAGTCGACTGTACGCTTACGGTTTACTACTCGTCGAACCAGGTCTCCGTGTCAAACACTGGTTTCGGTTCCGGTTTCAGTAGCGTAGGCAAGACGGTTACTGCCAGTCAGAACATGCAGACATTCGACTTCGGAAATCGAAATGTGCAGTCCATGTCATTCAGCGTCAAACCTGGTGGCAACGGTAACTCGGGATCCAATCCCGGCAATTTGTATCTGCTCTTGGACGTCATAGAGACTGCTTAGTCTCGAGAGAATATTCTCAGCAAGATCGGAAACGAAGTGTGGGCTTAACAGCCCCGAGTGGGCGGGCAGGGCTGATAGATGGCGCACAGTCATTACCGAGTTTTGCTCTTCGACCGTCTCTCGCTCGAAATTTGGCATATCTGACCTCGCACTATATCTCATATTAGCAAAAGAGAAAAGAAAATGGGAGCAAGTTTGAGCAGACAATACAAAATCGATTTCCAATCTATCAGAGCTTACCTCTCACCCTACACCAGATGAGAAACCTACTAGAAGCTGAATCATTGCACTATCATGCCGGATGACAGCGACGAAGAAAGTCTACACGTGCCTGTTAGCGCTTCAAAAGGGAAGGATCAACTTACTACTTGTTGTTCTTCTTCTGCTGCTGCTTGACCTTGCGGTTCTTTAGGACCAGGGTCTTCTCTCCATCGTCGGCCACATCATGCTTTTTGATAGTCTGTGGCTGTTTCTTCTCGAACCAAGTCACGGTCGACTCGCCTGTCGAGTTGATCGTGTGTACAAATGGTACGTACTCGACTTCCTTGGCGACAACCGGGGGAGGGGCTGGCTGCTTCTCCTTCTTAGCAGAGGCAGCGACAGTATCGAAGCTCTCGGCCTCCTCAGCGGAGATTGAGTAACTTGTACCCTCGTTATGACCCGTATTGGTAGGAGCTGATGCGACGGCGGAAGCACGTGGCACAGCGCCCGACTTCTCAGCAAGGACGTTGAACGCGTTGTTCGACATCTTTGGAGTGTCAGGGAGAGTTTCTGCTTTCGTACCTGACTAGAGAATGTTTGCGGTGGTTTTTCCGGCGCTGGAGAGGTGCGGTCGAAGCGTCTCTGGGAACGTTCCGAGGTTTTAAGAGAGTGAGTGTCGGCTCCGCGGTTTCGAAGTCTGCTGGAGAAGAGAAGTCGACATTCAGTACCTCGAGGTCGTTTATATGTTACTGTACATCAGGAGGAACAAAGCAGATTGTTGTCTTTGAGCGTTTGTCCTCTGGTTCGCGATTCTCTTTGTTTCTGATAGGGACCGCCATCGGATACAAAGGCCTTTCTTGTCTCATAACCATGGTCATGGCTCGCTTTGGACATTTGGGAGCTCATGGCACATTGTGCGCGAATGAGAACGTTCCCATTGCGAGCTCGATCGGAGAGTGGTCGAGAGAGAATGGCTTGGACTGCGTAGCCGCTGTAGAGAGGGTGGCATTTGGAATGGGCAAAGTTGCCGGGTCTTTTGAAGCTGCTACTGTTCGCATTCAGTGTCTCCTTCTATCAGTCCAAGAACATCACGCAAGAAGAAGCAAAGACCTTAGTACCGAGTTCGATGGTGTTGTTAAGATAGATGGGAGATGTTCGCATTTTGATAGGAGAAGATTGCAGGGATCATGCGGGTGTCCCCGAGCAGGGTTCACCCCGCCAAAGTCTAAAATGCGAAACCCAGATAGAAACAGTGACTTTCTTCAAGAGTCAAGTTCACTCTCTACTCCTCTTCTGCAATTGTTCGTTGACTATAGCAAACACCTGTACCGAATTTCTGAGCCACAGTCCACGCACTAAACGCCATCATGTTGGACGTCAACGATTTCATCGTCGAGCGAGGGGGAGATCCCAAAAAGATCAAGGAGTCACAACGTCGGCGACATGCCCCCGAAGAGGTTGTTGACGAGGTCATTGCCATGTTTGAGGACCACAGAAAAACTCAGTATGCAGCTGCAACAGATATGGGAGCCAAGATCAACAAGGTGCAAAAAGAGATGGGCTTGAACAAGAAGAACAAGGGCAGCAAGGAGGAATTTGATGCATTGTTGAAGCAGAAGGATGATCTGACCAAGGAGAAGAAAGAGCTGGAAGAACTCGCAGCGAAGAAGTATGAAGCACTCACCAAGAAAGTGAAGAGCATTGGCAACTACGTCCACGAATCAGTGCCAGTCTCCGACAACGAGGACAACAACGCGCTAATACGCGACTGGGCACCAGAGGGGGTCAAGGTGGAGAAGAAGGACTGCTTGTCACATCACGAAGTGCTCACTCGGATAGACGGCTACGATCCAGAGCGAGGTACCAAGCTGGTTGGACACAGAGGATACTTTCTTGTTCGCAATGGCTTCTGGCTCGCACAGGCACTTCAGACCTACGGTATGCGATTCCTGGGCTCCAGAGGCTACGATCCCATGCAGCCGCCCTTCTTTATGCTCCGCGAGTTGATGGCGAAGACTGCACAGCTTGAGCAGTTCGACGAAGAGCTCTACAAGGTCACAGAGCGGGAGAACGATCCCGCGACCGACAAGTACCTCATCGCAACCTCAGAACAACCCATTTCTGTGTACCACTCCAATGAATGGCTCAACGATAAGGATCTACCACTGAGATACGCTGGTTTCTCCACTTGCTTCCGAAAAGAGGCTGGCTCTCACGGCAAGGATGCATGGGGCATTTTCCGTGTACATCAATTTGAAAAGGTCGAACAGTTCGTCTTCTGCAAGCCAGAGGACAGCTGGAAGCACATTGAGGAGATGATTGACTTTGCTGAAGAGTTTTACAAGTCGCTCAAACTCCCGTACCGAGTCGTGGCAATCGTTTCTGGCGCATTGAACAATGCTGCTGCCAAGAAGTACGATCTGGAGGCCTGGTTTCCCTTCCAGGGCGAGTACAAGGAGCTCGTGTCTTGCTCAAACTGCACAGACTACCAGACCAGAGAACTTGAAATCCGGTACGGCCAGAAGAAGCAGACCGACGCCTCATTCCAGAAGTCCTACGTCCACGCACTCAACTGTACGCTTGCTGCCATCGAGCGTGCTCTTTGCTGCATTCTCGAGAACTACCAGACGGAGGAGGGCATCATCATTCCAGAAGTTCTGCGGAGATATATGCCGAATGAAGAGGAGTTCTTGCCTTTCGTCAAGGAGCTGCCGAAGGACTCGACTTCACTCAAGGCGAAGGGCACGGCCGAGCAGAAGAGTGGTGGCAAGCCACAGCTTCCCAAGGAGGGCGAGCTGGCGGAGCGACCGAAACACCCAGCTGAGGAGAAGCGCTCGTGATTTGTTTTGCGATGAATAGATAGGCGTATGTGGAGATGCAAGGGTCACTCCGAGGATCAAAAGCATGTGAAAAAGGTAGAAATTCTGCTGGGAACACTGCTAGAAGCGCCTGTCTATTGTCCAGGTAGCTCGATATCATGCGAATGCAATCACTCCAATTGCAATAAATCATTCTTCGCACTTCACTTCACTGCTCATGCCATTTCTGCGTTGCCTCGGGTCAGGAGTCACCTGAGCCAGGCAACCGTCTCACATCAGCAGGGAACTCGTCCGTCTTTTCAAGACAAATCTTCGTTTTCACACAGAAGTCCAAGACGTAACTCCAAAATCCTCATCCCGGGCCATTAGTCATCTAATAACTCTCAAATACTCATTCGTATATCTCTGAAGCATCCAAGGGTACTGCTATCTCTGTGTTCTCCAGGAATGGGCAAGGTCAAAGTGACGCATGTGAAAATCCCAGCGGTTTATGCAACCCCAAGAAACCCTAACGTCTGGGGATTGGCAATTGGGGCCCCTTGAAATTCGCTGCAAGAAAGTCGTCAAAGGTTCGCTTCTTTTTGCTCGTACATATCGTTGTCGCTGGAGCTGGAAGATTATCTACGAAATCGCAGTATCTAGATAAATCATTGCCGGCCTGGGCAGCTACTGGTCTTTGGGTTTGGATTGCCGCATCCTGCATGTAATGCTTCATTCGTGTATGGCATTCGTCTTGTCTCACGGGCCCTTGCTTGGGCTCCTCTCTTTCTTCAGGTCTCGGCATTGTTTGATTTGAGAGATTGAGCTCCTTCATGGCTTATTGTAATCACTCACGTCACTCATTCAATCCCCATCACTCTCCGGCTCTTCCAACCACTTGCTCATATAAGGCCCATCAAGCCAGTATCCCAATCGCCTATAATACCCTCTCACACCCACACCTGAGATGATACTCAGCTTCTTGCTACCATGTTCATCCCTCGCAATGCGCTCTGCTTCCTCCATCAACAGTGTTCCGTACCCTTGATGTTGCGATTTGCCTTTCACGCGCTCATGGATCGGCACCGCGGAACCATACACGTGGAGCTCGCGAACCAAGCTTGAGGGTTGAGAGACCAGCTCTTCGCGGTATGTGTACTTCTCTGAGCATTTTCGTAATCGTAAGAGGGCGATCAGGATATCTTGTTTAGGGTCTTCGTACGCGAGGAAAGTCTCCCAGCCACCATTAGCAACGTAATCTCGTCTTACGAGTTCCACTTGATTGGGTCGAATCTTGTGCTTCACTTCATTGATGCCGACCTCCCTCGTCCGCACATCTCGACATGTGGTCCCGAAATCTTTCATCCGTGCGAGAGCAAGTTCGCGGAGATTGCCATTCTCTACTCCAGAAGTAACCAATGGCATAGGAATATCCCGCTGCACACGATAGATTCTCGTCCAAGGAGGTATCAGAGCCAGTATCCTCGCAACGATATCAATCAACACATTAGGCGTATAGTTCTTGTACCGCCCGGTTCTCCAGAGCTCGTAAAGACCTGTTCCACGTATCACGAGGGTTGGATAGATTTTGAGCCCGTCCGTTCGGAAGGCTGGATTGGAGAAGTACTCTTGGAACTGGAAAAGATCTCGTTCGAGGCCAACGTTGGGGAGATCGGGCATCATGTGTGATACCACTTTAAAGCCTGCATCTTTCGCCTGGCAGAAAGTTTCGCAGACTGCTTTCACCGTGTGCCCACGGTTGGTATCGCGAGCAACGTCTTCGTAGAGCGATTGCACACCCACCTCTAGTCTTGTGCAACCGTATCGTAACATGTCTGTCAAGTGAGGCGGGAGACAGTAGTCTGGTCTTGTCTCTATGGTAATTCCCACGCATTTTGTAGAACTTTGCTCGCCTGCCATGACTGCCTCATCGACGTTGTTGGTTTGGTATCCACTCAGAGCGTTGTGTAGTTGAGCGATGAACTCTTCTCTGTACTTTGGTGCGAGGGACATGAATGTGCCGCCCATGATGATGTATTCCACTTTATCCACGCTGTGTCCGAGATTGCGAATCTGATCTACTCTGCCTCTTGCTTGCTCAAAGGGATCGTATCGGGCTCGAATGGCGCGCATGGATGTGGGCTCGTAGCCGGTGTAAGATTGCGTGGAGTATTCGAAGTCAGAGTCTGGACCTCCAGGACAGTAGACGCAAATATTGCCAGTGTAGGCGATATGTGGACATCGATGTGGCTTACACATGACTGCAACTACTGCTATTCCAGACGCACTTCGTATCGGCTTTGCGATCAACTTCGGCAAGATGTATTTCTTATATTGCTCCGGTACAGCAGCGATGATGTCCGTGAGAGGCGGTTGCCGGGAGAGGTAGTGCTTCTTTGCGAATTGACCTCGTAATGAGTTGAGATTGATGTCCTTCTTCGGCGCGCCTCCATGTTGCGATTTGTCGTGATCCTCGACGAGGGCATTTGCTATGTCTGCGCAGGCGCGAATGTATCGTTCGTTCTCGGGCGGGAGCTTTGCAATGGTGGCAGGGCCGAGGCGTCTCTTCTTGAGTGTTTGAGTTGTTGTCTCGGTCATAGTGGCCATCTTGAGGGATATGTGCAAGTCTAACAGCCGGCTGTCGAAGTCGTTGAAGTCAAGATATTGGCCTTACGAAACAGAGAAGTGCATGTGAAGATGCGGGACGATCCATCAAATATTGACGACTCATATCGATTGGCAGCTCCATCCGGGGAAAGCCGGAAGTCTTTTACAATCCCGAGGAAGCTCCAGCAACAGCTCTCTTCCAGACAGAGGTCCAGTGTTTCCTTATTCCCAGGGACGACGAATCACACCTCATTCAATCTCCCTCTACCATCTCCACAACATCTCGTCGTCTCGAGCTGCGGCGGTGCGCGACGATGCAGCCATTTCGCCAGCAACTCACGCGGGCTGCCTGCCGCTCCGGCGCCAGCGGCCTCACAAAATCTCTCGCGCCGGCGACCTACGCAACGATAAGCCCTTCACAGGCTCCCGGCCAGCCAGAGGGCTACGCGAAGACCGGCCTCAACCTGCGCATCACAAAGGACACCAAGGTCGTCTTCCAGGGCTTCACGGGCAAGCAAGGAACTTTCCACGCGACGCAGGCCATCGAATACGGCACAAACGTCGTTGGAGGCACGAACCCCAAGAAGGCTGGCATCGAGCACTTAGGCAAGCCTGTCTTTGCGAACGTCTCAGATGCCGTGAAGCAGACGGGCGCGGACGCTTCGGCGATCTTTGTGCCTCCTCCGCTTGCTGCGGCCGGTATCGAGGAAGCTCTGCAGGCTGAGATCCCGCTCGTGGTCTGCATTACAGAGGGTATCCCACAACACGACATGGTGCGCATTACAGATATGCTTAAGACACAGGACAAGACGAGATTGGTGGGACCAAACTGCCCCGGCATTATTGCTCCGGTGAGTACAAGCTGTGTTTCTACATTTTCTTACAGCCCCGAGACATTTTCTTACAGCCTTCTCGGGGCTTTTTTCATGATGAGACGATTTAATATTACAAAATATGATAGGAAGAGTCTGACCTGTCAAATGGCGGGATTGATTATGCTTACATACTCTGAGCACGCACCTTGTGTATACTTTATATCTGCAAAGCAACCTTATCTCGACATTCCGCGGTCGGCTTTTGCTAACAACATGGTGTTTGACAGGGTCAATGCAAGATTGGCATCATGCCAGGCTTCATCCACAAGCGCGGCCGCATTGGCATCGTCTCTCGATCCGGAACACTCACCTACGAGGCTGTCAACCAGACCACTCAAGCTGGCCTCGGCCAATCCCTCGTCGTCGGTATCGGTGGTGACCCCTTCTCCGGCACCAACTTCATCGACTGTCTCCGCGTCTTCCTTGCGGACGGTGACACCGACGGCATCATCATGATTGGAGAAATCGGAGGCTCAGCGGAAGAAGATGCTGCGGATTTCTTGAAGGAGTACAACACTGGAGGAAAGGACGGCAAGGGCAAGCCAGTTGTCAGCTTCATTGCTGGTATTTCTGCACCTCCAGGACGGAGAATGGGACACGCTGGTGCTATTGTGTCCGGAGGCAAGGGTGGCGCCGAGAGCAAGATCTCGGCTCTTGAAGCTGCGGGTGTGGTTGTGGAGAAGAGCCCGGCAAGCTTGGGTAAGACTTTGAGGGAACAATTCATCCAGCGGGATCTTCTATAGGTTGTTCCATTTAGAAGACATGCCAAGTCAACGTGATGGGAGATTGTTTTGATACCATGCTTCCGCAGCAGGCGCTTTGTACAGGCTATTAAGTATTACCTCCGTTCTTCAACCACTTGCCATGCCAGTGAACAGACCTCCGTTCTTCAACCACTTTCCATGCCAGGCACAGACCTCCGTATCACTTTCTAGAAGGCCGGATCATGAGAGGCTTTAGCAAGTCGAGCGCGCCACGAATCCGCTCGTCCACAGCCATGGCATCACTTCCATTGTTCTGAACCTTGTGATCCTTCTTAGCTCCACGTACGGTAGAGTAGACACTTTGACAAAACTGTGTCCAGGCCAATTCCTCTTGATCGTTTTCTGCCTTGTCCTTGTGTGCCTGCTTCTGAACGCCCTCCCGCAGTTTGTTCTTATCCATCTTAGAATAGACGCCCTGCATCTTACTGGCAGCGATCTCTTGGTTGCCGCATTCGTCGTTGCTTCGCTGGAGACGATTTGCTTTGCCTAGAGGTATCAAGTTGGAGGCTGTCTTTCGAGGGCCGACGGCATGGTTGCATTTCGGTGGGATCATGGCCGGGGTGATGGCGATCATGGCTGCTCTCGCTGGGTTGATGTCGTCTGAGACGGTCGGAACGACTGCCGGTGGCACTTTCGTTGCTGAGATTTCGGGAATGGGTTGAGTGAAGTTGAGAGTGACCTCCGCCGGTGCGTTCCACGAGGTGATGTGGTTCTCCTCAATGCCATTGAGGATGGTGAAGCCGCCAGGGGTGTAGACGACGAGTGGGAGCTTTTCACAGCGGCGTCGTGGATGTTGTTTGCTGCAGTGAATGCAACCGCCAGGACATCTGCTCCATGTGTGAGAATAGCTCTTGCAATGCAGACAGTGCGGCAGGGCAAAGGCGCTAGTCGGAACCGTGTGGCACGCTCTCTTGGCGTTGGGCAAGGTGGGGTCGGTCATCTCGAGGTCGGTCATGTCGAGTGTGTGCGTCTTGGACTCAGCCTTGAGAGGCTGTGTGGTGGCATGCAAGAGGATGTTTTCTGTGAGAAATAAGGGTTTTATGTTTTGACGGTGGCCCGAGCTCACGCTAACTCTAGCGTTGTTTGGTCGTGGCTTCTCAATGCGGAAGGAGCAGGTCGGCGAGTGCTACAGTATGGCGGCAGGAGCGACCCGATCTGCTAGACTCCAATTTTCTGTTCCCCCAGCAAGATGCGGCGGGTTCCGCTCTAGGACTCCCGTTAACTTATTCTCTTTCATGAGATGGAGGTAAGCTTGTGCCCCAGAAGGATGCGGCGAATCTTGCTGTGGAAGTCCTGCCGTTGACTCATTCTCTGCCCTTGAGATGGAATTGAATTCATCTCCTAGCAAGATCCGGCGGATCTTGCACTGAGACTCCTGCTGTGGACTTATTCTTTCTCGTGAGATGGAGACGAGCTTATCTCCTAGCAGGATGCGACGAAGCTTGCTCTGTCAGCAGGATGCAATGTATCATGCACCTAAAGATTTACCAGGTGCCTAGTCTCCATTCTTGGGACCAAGAATTCTTATTTTCGCCAATCTTGATTCCAAAGTAGGATGCGAGTAGTTCCGCACTGACGAATGTCCTGTGGCCTCGGACTGCATTGTCGCAATGGAGATTCCTAGGGGTTTTGGAGATGCATGAACAAGTACGAGCTGACCAATGCTGCATGAACAGACCTTGTATGGGCTTGGTCTCACTCATCGAGTTAAGGATAACTGAAACGTTTCAGGATTCGTAATCTCAAGCAGAAGGTGACCAAGGCTGCCTTGACAGGTCTAACGTGGCCCTTTCACCATCGATGCGAACGAGGTACCTGTCTCAAAGGATAGATCGCAAATTTGTGAGCGTTGAGTACGCCAAAGAATTGTTTTCAGCAGTCTCCTCGAAACAGCGTGGTGCTGACAGTAGTCTGCTTGACTGAGTCTGAAGAGGTATGTCGTTGAATGCTACCCCAGGCATGTCTGCTACCTGCTTGCTCCAGCCGCAGTATCGACGGTACATTTGGAAGAATCGCTGATTTAGCCAAGAACATTGGTAGATCAGTCAATGTCATGATACAGGGAGGTCGTACGTTCTGCTTCCGGGCGATCAACGATAGTGTCGTGCGATGATGTTCGCTGTGCTTGGGAAGTCCACCTGGAATCTCCTTGCGCTTGACGTGAAGTCTATCTCCCTTGTGTCCCGAAGATTCTCCGACGGGTTGGGGAGAACCTCCTGCAACGTCAACTGCCAAGATCGCAACGTTTGCATCGATGGCCACGCTCCCTTCTCATGCCCCTTCTATGTTTGCTGGAGTAAAACCATTGGAATGACCAGACCACGGCATATACTACACAGGAATCGACGACCATGGACGACCTATTGGGAGAGGACTGGCAAAAGCCATCCAAACCAACAGCTCCATCGAATAATCCTCCCTTGAACGCAAACACCTTTGCATCAAACATTAGCAGCTTCCGAGCTAGCCCAGCTTTATCACAGTCTGGTACAGCATCGCCGAACATCAGCAGACCTTCCAGCACCCTCAATGGCGGCGCAAAGCCCCCTGCTTCCTCCGGCGACCAGTTCGGTAATCTCTTGTCTCTCAAGTCGCAGAAGGCGACCGCAAACAATGTATCGATACAGGAGCGACAAAAGCAATTGCTGGAAGAGAAGAGACGTCAACAGGAGCAGCAAGCGACGATGTGGGATACTTTGGGCAGCGGCAAGGGAACACTAGAGTCTAGAGGGCCTTCCCCGAATGTAGGCCGCGGCGCATTCGAAGACGAGGACGATATTATGGCGGCCTTCAATAAAGACGCACCGGTGGATAACGCTAGTTACTTTCCGCCTCCGACTTCAGAGGGCGCAAGCGGAAGGAATACTCCTGCACAGCATCAGCCTTCGGCTGTTGGTCAGTCTAGCGCTCCATCAGGTGGCTTCGACGACGACGACGATCCTTTCGGGCTTGGATCTTTGCCAAGGCAAATAAATGGGCATGCTGCACCTCAAACTTCCGCGCCCACTGCAGAGGATGATGACATACTTGGAGATTTGGGAAAGCCTGTATCAGAGCGACCCCGACCGCCCCCGGCCAAGCAGGCCGTGCCTGCGCCTGAGCGCGATCTTCCTGCGGAAGAGGATGTATCAGACATACCACAGGATCGTAATTTGGCCGAACTTGTAGAAATGGGGTTCCCCGTCGACTCTGCTAAAATTGCTCTTGCAGAGTCGGGCGGAAACGTGCAAGGAGCAGTGGGATGGCTACTCCAGCAAGCACACGAAGATTCACGTCGAAAGGCTCAAGCGGGAAATGACGAGAGGCGAGAAAGGCCAGTTGGAGGCAGTAGGAGCCCACAGCGGCGACCTAGGGGAGACCAGGATGCTATGCCTGCGTGGATGAGGCAAGAATCCCGGTCCGGATCCGCCGTGAGTAGGCAAGACAGCCGTTCGCCTGCTGGCTTGGACAAAGACGCTGCTCAAATTGCGCAGGAGTACGGAAACAAGCTTTTCAAAGGCGCTACCTCACTGTGGAAAGCCAGCCAAAAGCAGATGGCCAAAACCATGGCAGAGTTTCAACAGGAACGTGATCCAAGTCAGCCCAAATGGATGCAGGACGCAAGTGCCGATAGCAGCAGATCCAACAGCCAGCGACGAGCAGACTCGGGAAGCCAGAGCGCATCGGTGAGACGCGAGCCAGACGTCACAAATGAAGCTGCCTTGCTTGATATGCCCAGGGAACGACCGCAGAAGCCATCGCGACAGACTAGTGAGAGAGCGGACGAGATACCTCCAAGGCAAAGGGTTCCGGCAGAGCCGTTGCCACAGCGACCTGCAGCTCAGCCTAAGTTCATGCAACAAGCGCCTTCTGCCCAAGAGAAAAGACCAATCACCAAGCTCAGTCGGCAAGCAGTTGAAGAGCAAAGCGCTCAGGCCTACATCAGCCCAGCTAGGAGGAAAAAGGCTGCACCTAGGCATGAACTTCAGCCTGAGCCTGAGGTCGACTTGTTCAGTCCTGCGCCATCCAAAGCCTCCCCAGCGCCGACTCCGACCTCACGATCTGTACCTTCTTCCGCTCCAACCAGACCAAAGGCGCCGCCTCGCAATATTCCAGCTGTTTCTCCGAGTGCTCTTTCTACATCTGCTCAACATCGCAAGGCTGGCGGCGAGGCTTTCAAGCGCGGAGACTATGCCTCCGCCCATGAAGCCTATTCTGCGGCATTGCGGCCCCTTCCATCAATGCATCCTACCGCCATTATCGTTTACACAAACCGGGCTTTGACGGGAATCAAGACAGGCGACGCCAAAACTGCTGTATCAGATGCAGACGAGGCACTGAAAGTCATTGGAGAAAGCCAAGGAGTTGGCGAGACAATCGAACTCGGTGGCGGTGAAGGTACAAAAGATATGCGCGAGTTCTTCGGAAAGGCATTAATGCGCAAGGCGGAGGCTCTTGAGCACATGGAAAAATGGACCGACGCAGCCGCTGTCTGGCGGAGTGCGGTTGGTGCTGGTGTCGGCGGTGCTGTGAGTTTGAGAGGACGGGACAGGTGTGAGAAAGCGGGTGCACCGAAAACTGCAGCTAAACCTGCGACTGCACGGAGCGCTGCATCGGGTCCGGTCAAGGCGCCGCCTGCCAAAAGCTTGGGAAACAGCTTGCAGCGACCTACGCTCACGAACGCGACGTCTGCGGAGGCTGTGAAGAAGCTCCGTGCAGCAAATGCCGCGGCAGAGAAGGCCGATGACGAGAAGTTCGCTCTTGTTGACCAAGTCGACGCGCGCTTGACTGCTTGGAAAGGAGGTAAAGCAGACAATTTGCGCGCGCTGCTTCAGAGCTTAGATGGTGTGTTGTGGGAAGGTGCAGGCTGGAAGAAGGTCGGAATGAGTGATCTTGTTATGCCGAACAAAGTCAAGATTGTCTACATGAAGGCCATTGCCAAGGTGCACCCGGACAAGGTGAGTCAGATTCGTGCTTGTCAATATCCATACGGAGACGCTGACCTATCTCTTTTCGCAGATACCGCAAGATGCTACCACCGAACAGCGGATGGTGAGCGCAGCCGTGTTCAGTACGCTGAACGAGGCCTGGGATAAGTTCAAGAAAGACAACAATCTGTAATAAGCGTGCATGTGGAGGAGAGGTGAAAGCAAACTAGGTTGCGTAGCTGCAACAAGATCTCGTAGCTCCTCAAGCTACCACATTGAATGCGCGAAGTGATAAACGCTTCTCAAGGATTCAAGACAAAGATTCGTACCAATACATCCCAGACGGCGGTAAGGTCGACCACTGCATAAGTGATAGTAGTTGTTACTCACGGTTGACGTGGAATTTTGCGCCCTCAAAAGCCGTAGTGAGGTCTGATTTCGCCCGTGCGCAGTTGTGTGCACCAGTTCGAGTAGAAGGTACGCATGATCACGTGCTAGTGCACATGCATTGTGACTTGAACAAAAAGTGATTGACAAAGTCGAGTTCCAAAATCAGAAGTCGAGTGTGAGTGACCTTTCTCGGTTGAGCAAAAATTGACAAAAAGAAACCAGATCGCAAGCGATCTGGAGAAGAAAACCGATGATTTTACTTTTCTAGCTGCGGGTTGTCGCACTAAGCCAACCTGTAAACAGGTTGGCTATCATCATGCAATCAACCGACTCCGATTGGCTATGAGAAGGAAGTGCAAAAGTTCAATATAAAGCTCACCTTTCTGAGGCGCCGAGCCGAAGCTTTGCCGATAGTCTGCTCCGCGAATGAAGGTTTCAATGGGGATTTGATTTCGTGTGGCGGCGGCGCTTTAAGGAAGATGACTGTCGCGGTCGCAACGAGCAGAGTAATCTCTAACAACTCAACCCCGACACGACCGCGAATGTCGTACGAGAATGACGCGCGCGCACGCGGGTATCTCGCGAGAATAGCCGGCCCCCCCCGCCACCACATCGCATTCTGCTTCATTCGATTCTTCCGATACGATGCCGGCAAGCCGCGGCGCGTGAGACAGCTCGCGCGAGGCGAGCGACATACGGCCTATTCCGAGTGAAGGGCCGACGCATCAGACCTCTTGGAGCCGCGGCCTCTCGGCTGCGGACGATCAGTATCGGCAAGACTCCATTCACAATATGGCAAGCCGTGTGGGAGATATTTGGACGGGCGCTGCCGACCGCAAGGGACTGCATGATTAGGGACGGACGGGACCTTACGCACAAAGGTCGGTGATGTTTCTTACATCTGTCTTTCTCAGCGATCTATCTTTTTCGTCAGAGTCGAGGAGGCGATTCCAGTCAGAGACTGATATAGAATTATCTGCAAAACGTACATAATATCTTCCAGCCGCATCGAACAGTTGTTATTTGGCCTTCTCGCTCGCCGCTGCCTCGGGTCGCTTCGACTTGAGTTTCTTGTGTCTCCGAGCCACTTCTGTCGCTTATGTGGGGAGATTCTAGCGAGAAGACGACCCAAAGGGAATAGATTTGATTCAGACGAAAACCGAATGCCCCATATGATGTTTGGAAGCACTCGAATGCTTCCTTTCGGGAGCAAGACTTCGATGCGTCACATGAGGAATATCCTGTCGCCTAGATCACATGCCCACAAGCCATCGGTTGTACCAGACAGCTTTTCCCCAGCTCACATCTGAACAATTGGCAGAATGACCAATTTCGAGGGATGAACGGGACAGCAGAGGCGGAGGAACTTGAAGAGCGCAAGCCTGTGAAAGACGTGAAGTCGATGTTTTTGGTCCGTGCGTTCGGGCCGGCGTAAGCCTCGCTCACCTTTCCTGTCTGATTTCACAGCTCTCTTCCACGCGACATTGTTACCCTCATGCAAGCGACTCTGCTCCATGCGAAGACTCGGCGCAAGGAAGCAGCCAGCTCTCCAATCTACATGGAGCTGATGTATTGAGCACCTGGCTCGGAGAGCAGAACACTTTCAAGAAAGCAACGGCAGCAGTGCGAGCCTATCCATTCCCGAAACACGAACGAGAAGCTGTGAGGTAGTCGAATGCGATGACGCTTTCGAGAGGCGAATGCATCTCACGATTCGCTAGAAACATAATGCTGGAAACATGGAGCTCCTGGAGAGGCACTTGACGCATCAATGACAATACGGTACATGTAACTTTAATTCGAGGGACAGGACTGGGTTGAAGCGTCATAATAATTCCATCAGGACGAAATCAAAGGAAGCATCTCGACAAAGCGAGTGTCGTCCGGGATGCTGTTCATGGACAGTCTGCAGACTTTTTGAGGAAAAGGAAGCGTCTCCGTCGTGTAGCAGGGTACAATGCCGCTGGGCGGTGTTTTGTGATCCATCCTCGGGACCTCTGATAGTTTCAGAGCTGATCCACTGGCGCATCTAAGCGCTTTCGCCCCGCATACCAGTGATCTCGAAGTCCTGTACTTATGCAAGAGGCGTGGAACGGCGATCAGAGACATCGCGGACAAGCGTCATTGTGCTCGTGATACGTGCACTTGGGGACATCCCCCGGTGCGGCCAAGCGATTGGAACCGGATCGCAGTCTGGTTGCCATGTTACCCAGGACGTCCGTCAAGAAGTCGTGAGGAAGCGCGTTGCTGCTGTTTTGGTAGAAGTCCCGATCGCAATAAGTAGCGTAGTAGTCCACAAAGAGGAGACGTAGTTTCGAGGTTTTGGTAGTCATTGCGTACACGCGGCTGACTTCGCTTGCCAGCGGGCCACAAAGGATCTTTTTAGACATTTTAATAATTTTGTTTATGACGGTGTTGCAAGCGTGGGAGTCTCGAAGCATGTCGGCCAGACAATATAGATCGACCAGTGAATGAAAGGCTCTGGCAGCGTAGCCCTCCACTCCCGGGGCGTCCTTCGAGGGCGTAGCTTCCTCGAGAAAGACGAGATCGCCAGTGTACAGCCACTGAAGGTAGATCTCGAAGACTTCAGGTGCCTGCTCTGGGAACTCGATCTTCTTCGCTTCTCCTTCCTTCCAGTCGCCGTTGCAAGCTCTCTTTAGAAACTCCGAAGTCTTCGAAAGAAAGCTTTTGTGGATGTTGAATGCTTTCTGCGCATCACCGGCACCTACAACCACAGTGTAGGTCTCAGTGAGATCGAGCCTGATTCAGAAGTAGTTAGACGAGGGCGTGTCTGTGTATCGTGTTTTGTCAACATACTTGCGCCTCTTGTTCGGCATGTCTACCGACGCCATTGTTTGCGAGTGTGATGGTTTGGTAGTCAGTCGCGCGTTGGAAGATAGTTGCCGTGTCGAAGAGCAGGAGGTAGCAGAAAAGCCGGTGGTTGGTGTAGTAGAAGCGGGCTGGACAGTCGATGCTCGATTCTCAATGAAGTTTTGATGGAAATCTTGTGTCAACTTCACTATTTGATATACGCTCGACATGCCAAAATTTGATGGGGCTTCCAATGAAAATCGGGTAACAATTGTGCTTGGAAAGCCAGTCAACCTCCAGCATTTCGTCGCCTGGGAAGTGCTCAAAACCCTTCGTTTTGACTTCTAGAACCGTGTCTCCTCGAAAGAAACATAATGCATTCTCCGTCACAGTCAATATTGGGGTATCATCATGTACCGTTATCCTCGTAGCTCCATAACACGCCAACCCAGTTCCGTATCCCATGTGCTCGTACCAATTCCCAACCACCGCCTATCGCGTGTAGTGTTCCATTCGCTTATCCATACTTCGCAAGGTTCTATTCAATTCCCCTTTCAATGATGACCCATGGTCCCATATCCTTGTCCACCAGTCTGCACCTTCTGCGAATAGATACCCGGCGCGGGTCGATCGTCCATATAGCCCTGTTGGATCTGCTCTTTGCGATTGTAGAATACGTATAGGATGTAGAATGCGTGGACTGCGAGCCAATAGTGTCAGTCGCCTGTTTACATTGCCTGTGTATAATGACTTACTGTGACCTGGGAAGTATCCAAGAAGGGTCAACGCGATGTTAATGAGGAGATCGGCGCTACAGCCCGCTACGATTCCTACTGCTACTGGAGGTACTGTAGCTCTTCATTAGCGGGATCCGTATGTGCCAGAGTGGTTGTGCGACGTACGGAAGATAGCAATTATCACAAGCAAGACCGGGGAGATCATCTTAGATACTGTCGCGTGCTTTGTTTCGGTGGTCGAAGTTTCGGTCAACGCGGTCGCAAATTGATATTGTTGGAGTTGCTGAGGAGGTAATGCTGGGATCTGAGTTGGGTGAGGCGAGTATTATTTGTACGGTGAAAAGCAGTCAGGAAGCCAGAAGCACCAAGGCGGCTGTGCGAAGCTCACCGACGAGACGTGATGTCAACATGAGGCGTCGCAAGACAGGTGGCGGTGCAATTGTGGCGTTGATTGTAGCTCATGCACGGACCAGTGACTGAGCAGTGATCGGTAGCGCCGAGAGATCAGAGGCAGAAGCAGTTGCAGGAACTGCATTACATATCTATCAGGTATAAAATCTACAAAATCTCTACTTGAGCTTCAATTTCCACATCTCCAACAGGATCACAATATTCATTTTCTTCACAAGACGGATCTGCTTCATCAGACCGCTCTTGTGCAGCAAGTTCCACAGACACCATAGATAGCACATACAGAATGCCCCACATGCACAAACGATGTTGATCACGATCCAAAGATCTGGCTTGTTCGCTGGAGGCGAGACGAATATTTCCAGAATATGCCATAGAGCAATGCCAGCATAAGCACATAGATGCAGTAGCTTGCTTGGCCAAGACAGGTCAGAATCCACGTAAGGGCCCAGAGTCCATGGAGGGAGCTCCATCAGATACGTCCACACGGCGACGAGGGGAACATAGATCACAGAAATCTCGTCCTTGATGAGTAAATGGAACAGTGACCAGGCTCCGACAATGTTTGCGAACCCAACCCACGCCCGAATTGAGGCTTTGGAGCCATCCTGGCCTGCGAGAAGAGCCGTCGTGGGCAAAAGCGGTAGTAAGACATTCTTCTCGTGAACTTGATAGGAACAGAGGAAGAAGCCCCACGCACATGAGGCAAAGGCCCACAAGAGGAGATTTTTCCGTGGCCGCAGTAAGATGATGCAGCATGGTGGAAGGATGGTCAGCAGCGTCATTGTAAGGGCTGCATGTTGGAGCACTTCGGCAGAATGATGGCTGGCAAGTTTGTAGAAGCCCGAGAAGTGCACCGTGCACCAGATGTTGGCTACTTTGTCTTCGAAAAGCCCGCGCGAGAAGGGAAAGATCCTGTGGAGAGTTTGAAAGACTTGTACGCTGTAGGGATGCAAGTCCTTGGGTACGCCTCGCAGAAAGCTGTTAAGTCCGGCTGACATGTGTGTTCCCGCAGGTACTGGCGTACCAGTAGATAGGCTGTGCCAAGTCCCGACAAGAATCGGTAGATAGAGCGCGCTGAAGGAAGCGCATGTAGCGGTAGCAATCGCGAGAAACTTCAAAGGCTGCACCTTCGGTACCACGCAGCTTCCAGCCAAGTACGCAGCCATTGCTGGTGCATAGAAAAGTGCCATTTGTTTGAATCCAAGAGCTGCAACAAAAAAGGCACAGGCGATCAAACGTCGACCAGCCAGGAGACATGCCAGTGTGGCCATGAAGAATCCTAGCATAACTGAGTTGTACTGAAAGTGGCCATGATCGACCATAATCAGCGCTGGCTGCAGCAAAAGCGCAATTGCTGCGACTGAGAATTGTTTCGCGCGCTTTCGAACGTCGAGGGACTTCCCAAGTAGCAGAGTGCATAGTACCGTGGCGGGAATGAAGATAAGCCATTCTGAGAGAAGGACCGTACTGCGCATAAACATTTGCAGACCAATATCTTCTCGTCCTCGGGACTCATATAGCGTAAACCAGTGCTGGTTAATTGAGGCTCCAATCTTGCCGAGAAGCCAGCTGTGATAGGCCGTCAGAGGTGGGTAGTCAAGAGACCACCAGTTCCAGCTCTGAAAGTACCATTCAGTAATTGATAGCTGGGTCGTGATCTCCATCCAGTGTCTCTGTGCCTCAAAGTCGCCGAACTTGGGTGTCTTGTTCTTTCCCGAGTATCCCCATACGCCAGCGAAGCAGCGTAATAGAATGCCAGCTGCGATGACTATGAGCAATGCGATCCACTTGCTCTCCGTGCGATCGATATGTGAGATTTTGTCCAGTTGAGACAGGACATCTTCTCTTGATGTTTTTCGTAGTGCTGCGTTGCTGTCCTTTTGGCGCTTGTGCTGTCGTTCCTCGTTCGTCTGAAAAGAAGTCATTGTGAAGAGGCAGGGAAATGGAAGATTCGTGTTCCCTCGACGAGATAGACGATGATGGAGTGCAGAACTAAGGGCTTCAACGGCCAGAGTTTGCAAGAGCTGGGGTCATGTCCAGCGAAGACCGAACGCGTCTCAGACCCTTCTTCTGCTGGGACGTGGTCTGGATGCCTTTCGATCTCATGATACCTGGAATCGGAAGGATGATCAGCTTCGATGCCGAAGTATCTTTGTGCAATCGACCAATCCGACGTTGTGTAACGAGACGGCTGATATCTCGCTCAGAGTACGAATCAATATTCGACCTCGTCGCGTGGAAGCGAGCTTCTCCGGCGTAAAGGCGAATGCCAATCGCATGACCCGGCTGCGCGGTAGTAGCGAGCTTGCATCTTTCAGACAGCCATGCTCGCCTGCATGAAGTCGGTCAGTCCGATTATGAAAGCCAGAGGATGGCCATGTGCGTGCCGGGGAATGCGTCTAGAAGAGTTGGTGTAAGTTTGAGGTCCAGATAAAGTTTGTGCTCGACCACGTGTCTCCCACATTGACATGTACCCTTGTATCTCCCATCCAGGTTGTCTGAGACGGAAAGTTGAACCGGATGTGTGGCTTGATCAACCTTGCATTCACTCACTTCGACCTCACCCTCCATCAGACCGCCAACATTGCACCAAGCTGGATCGAACCATCGCTTGCAAACCTTGCATGGCAAGCCACTCGCAGGTCATGAAGAGGGTTCCTCGGGATGAGCAAAACTGGCGTTGTGCCGGGCACGAAAGACACTTCTCGCCGTGGTCTCCTCTCCTCCCAGAAATCTCAAGTTGATACAGGACTGAAAATGTTGGTCGAACTCTTTCACATCTCCCTCATGATCGCGTACGCGGCAGCAGTACCGCCTCCACAACTCAAAACGCAAGATGACCGGACGTTCTTCAACAACATGCGTTGTGGAGCTATCAACTTCCTGGTCACTGCGTTTCTCCCACAACCTCATGCAACGGCTTTCTGCTCAGCATATCTGCAAGTCCCAGAGCAGACATCAACATTCACGAGCACGATTGCTATGAGCACATTGTAGGTCTGCTCCATGTTCCTCTGGATGACAGCTACTGACATCTCTTAGCACAGTCATAGAGACGAACAGCCAAATCGTTCCAACTCTGACGAGAACGGTCTCCGAGACGGTCACCAGCACATCGACAACCACGATCGATTTGTGGACGGGAAAGCCTGCCTGCACTGCAGTCCCCGATTTTGCATGGGCAAGAGAGTGGAGAGGTTGGAAGTCATCTCAGCCGAGGGGCCTCTTGGAACGAGCCTGCAGCTGCTTGTCCATTCCTACGTCCACGAAGTATTTGATCGCGACGACCACTGCGAGGCCGACTGCGACCAACACAGCCGGCCTCACCGGTATCACAGAAATTACTTCGACCAGCACGGTGACCGTGGTGGAGGCGCAGACCAAGTACATCTTCTTGGTCGATCCGCCGCAGAAGCCTACTGTTTCACAAGGATCTGATGTTTACGAGACTAAAGATGAGGCAATGATTTCCGTGATGGGGCTCGAAGCGGGTCAGGGAGCGAGACTGAACACATCTGGAGGGTCTGCAAGACTTTTGCGAGAACGCGTTCAGAAATGGGACATTTTTAAACAGGCGCTGTAGAGAAATTGTTCAATTCACAGTATTTTCTCAACAACTCTCAAGAGCAAGACCTCGTTCAACTCGACTCTCCCGTCGCCCTTCTCGCTCGTTGCCTCTTTGACCTCGGTCTTGTGAGCGACGACATCCTGTTGCCAAAGAATAACATTCTCGTACGCAATGAAGTAGGAGTTTCCCTTCCTGGAGCGCAAACCGACCGACGGTGTACTTCGCTTCAGTGAAAAATGCGAGAGGTCTCTCACGAAGAGATTAGGCTACATCCAATTCATCACCACCATGTGAAAATCAAACTCCACCAACTAGAGGTATTCAAGACGAACTTTGAGTACTGTAGGGATGGAGATGAATACACAAATGCACAGAAGATTTTCAGCTGTATCGAAAGCTACTAAGTCCAGCGTAGGAGAGAACTAGCTGTAAACTCCACTCCAAGACAGGTCGATCAGATCCCTCTTTTCCATCTCATAATGTAAACAAGGATTTACGCCTCAGCATCAGCCTCAACATCTCTCAACATGACCACCAACTCCCTCTTCGTCTTCCTTGCCCTCATCAGAGCTCCACCCATCGGAACTCTCAGAAGATCTCGTTTCTTCTCTACAGGCTCCGGATCCGCCTCTCGCTTCTTCACGGGGCCAGCTGCTTCTTCGGCTTTCCATTCTCTGTACGTTTCCCAGAGCCTTGGAAGGAGTCTGTGGCTCTCCTGAGGTGTATCGTTGAGGTCACGAGAGGCTCTGGACTTTCCCGATCCGCTGGCGCCGTTTTTCCCATGTCCGTAGCCGCCGGCGCTGGTCGAGTTTGTTCCGCTGGTCGAGTTCGTCCCGCTGGTCGAGTTTGTTCCGTTGGTCGAGTTTGTTCCATTGACTGGGCTAATGCAGGAGCAGAAGAGGTTGACATTTGAGGCTACAAGAGGATTGAGGGCTGTCTCGGTGCTGTAACAAGACAGAACTAGTCAGTGGTAATCTCATCTCGGAAAGTGGCTTTCCTGGAAGGAAATGGGGAGGAGGATACGAGTTGGCATTATAAGACCCGTTTTCCAGGCTCGAACAGATCGATCTGGACAGAGGTAGATTGGCTAGCGGAAGAAGCGCTGTGCGAAGATCGGAGGGACAAGTTGTGTCCGTGGAGTTGGTCGAGTTGGTCGAGTTGGTCGAGTTGGTCGAGTTGGTCGAGTTGGTCGAGTTGGTCGAGTTGGTGGGGCTGTTCGGGTTTCTGATTGTTGCATCAACTGCAACTGCCCGAGCGAAGGCACTGAAGAAAGCGCCAGGAGTAGGGAGGGCTGAGACGATGATGGAGTTAGCCGCGAAGGCCGCAATTATGGAGAGGGAGAAACGCATGGCTCTTCAACGAAGCTGGCAAGGCGGAAGCTGCTGAGACTGGGTGGAAAGATGATCAGGCTTCTTTTCGACCTGAAGAGAGACGAGGTGGCTTTATTATAAGACGTCCAGCACACCGCATGTACCGTGGTTGTGTGGTAATCCATGCTTTGTCTATGCTGCGTTGGTACAAGTACCCTATGAGAGTTGCCGACTCGATCGGCGCCCTCCTCGCGCCAATTTCCCGGAATCCGCCAGTGACGCACAATTACAACTGCATGGTATGTCGCGGCAATGGATTCGATTCCATCGAGCGTATCAGGTGAGGAGGGATATCGATTTGGATTCGTTTGAGGCGCAGATTCAGTCCATCGGACAGGGCCCAAGACTCCATGTGATCTTCGTGTGAGGTCTAGAAGACGCCACTGTATTCTTTCTTTCGTGGAGGACGCGAAGCCTCAAAGCCTGTACTGACCAAGATGGGAAGTCGATATTCGTCTGATACCACCTCACATGTGAAGGCGCCGAAAAATAAAATGTCCAAGAAGCTCGCCATAGCTAACGCCACAGCTAACGCCACACATTGTCATCAAAGTTACCTTAGGGAAAGATCAAGCGGGTCGCCAAGTCAAGTCCGATCGTGGCGTGGCGTGGCGTGGCTTGCGTGGGGCCCCGGGCGGTGGCCTAAGCTTACAAATCCGCAAAATGGTTTTGCCGACTGCCGAAGCGGCACTCGCTGTAAGTCGCGACTCACTCTACTACCATAATAACAACTTACGACGGCGATAATAAGGCTCTACGAGTGTCGCGTACCGCTATTGTCGACGTAAACGGTCAATATAAAGTTAGGCGTAGCTTTTAGCTTTATATTAAACCCGTTAATAGCGGTACGCGGCTTTATATTAATTAAAAGCTATTGTCGCGCTTATACTATTATAAGTACGAGTCTATAATATCGAACAATAAGGTAGCTACTAATAATAAGTAGGCTATTTTATAAGAAGGCATTCTTATCTAGCGAACCTAGACCTCTTTTCCTACCTAGATCGTACTCGTAGACTCGTAAATCGACAATTTATAGTATCAATCGACTAGGAGACTCTTACATTTATCTATAGACGACTCTACGACCGATACTAGCCTAATTATTAACCTACTCCTTCGCCTCCGCCTTAGTCTACGCCTAAGAGCGCCCTAGTAGCAACTATGTCGGCCCTAAGGTAAGCTATCCGAAGCCTAAAGAATAGGTAAAAGCTAATTAGCGAGTCTAGCGAGTCCTACCGTAAACTAGAGACGTAGGATAAGACTATATTCTAGTATATCTCCGATAAGGATTAGTAGCGCTATTTAAACAATCTTAAATCTAGTAATAAGTAGGTTCGTAAGTCCGCGGCTAATAGCCTACGGCGGTTTACTTACGCTAGCGAGATAATAGAGACGGATCTAGGTATGCTTTTTCTAATTTATATAGACTCGCTACTAAAATCTAATCGACTCGTAGGTATACTATCTTCTAAGCCTAGCGGCTATAAGTAGTACGCCGCGAGAGGTCTAGATTATATTATCTATAAAGGTAAGGAATACACTTAATACGCGTTCTATAAGCGCTACGGTCGCCTAGGTTGTAATAGTAAGCTCTAGAAGAAGTACGAGAAGTAGAAGGATAAGTAGGATAACTCGCTAAAGCCTAAGCCGGACTCGTAGGCTACTGTAGGTGATTCTAGGGCTACTATAGGTAACTCTAGGGCTGAGATAGGCGACTCGTAGAAGCCTACGAGTCTTTAAACTAAGATTACTAGGCTTAAGGAGGGTTTAGGGTTTACCTATAAGCGTATTAATAATCTAGAGGCTAAGCTCTACTATATAATAGACTTTATTACGTAGCTGCCGGGTAGCGAGTAGTTCGTAGCTAAATATAAGGGCAAATATGCTTAGTAGATAGTATAGATCAATTCTAGCCTACGAGTTATAGCGAGTACAGCCAATTTTAGTCTACGATTCCGTACGAGTCGGGCAGCTTAGGACATATAGAATCTTAGAGCGATCAAATCGCCTACGAATCTAGCAATTTTAGGCCTACGAGTCGGGCAAATTATAATACTACGAATCTTAGAGATCGTAGAATCCCTAAATCGCCCGCGAGTCCACCTAATTTTAGCCTACGAGTCGGGAGAATGTTAATATTAGAGATCTCTAAGCCTTTAATCGTTATTATATTTATACTATTAACCCTATACGCCCTTCTGTCCTTTTAAAGCCTCGCTACCAACTCGCTACCGACTCGCTATAGCTTCTTTAACGCCCTTATAACCCTTTGAAACTCCGGAATCCTTACATACTCCTTCCTTAGCTTCTTATTCCTTATTGCCTCCGCTAGTGCACTCGTAGTACTCGCTAGTCCGCTCGGGGGCGTACTCGTAGGCTCCGCTAGTACACTCGTAGCCTTAGTATCCTTAGGTAAGCTAGTAACCTACCTATCGCCCTAAATCTCCGTCGCTACCGGCGACTCGCTAGCGACTCGCTCTACTAAATCCGTAGGAGCAATCTCTATTCCTTCTTTAATAGTACTTAAATCTATAGGCTCCTTCTTTATTACTATACGTGCCTCCTACTTCACTACTAGCTTGCTTTTAGGCACTCGTACGTACGTAGGCTCGTCGTCGTCGTTATTATTAGTAAGGTTAATAATATCGATAGGGTTATAGGCGCTTAATCCCTAGGCACCGGATATAGATAAAGGAGTAGATCGATAGGGTAATTCGCGACTCGCTTAACGTTTGTAACCAACTAGCGGACTAGTAGAGGCCTCTTTCTCGGTAGATTAGGCACTCGTAGAGGGACTCGTAGGCTAGCGGAATTTAGCTAGTTTATTAGGGCTAGTAGAAGGTACTGCTTTAGATTCGCTAGTACTCGCTACTATACTCGCTACTACACTCGCTACTACCTCCTTAGCTATCTTTCTTTTAGCTTTAGTACTAGGCCTCTAACCTAGACGCCTACTACGATAGCGCCTATTAAGGCTCTTTATTAGATCCGGATCTAAAGAGGAGCTGTCGTCGGTAGACTCGCTAGACTCGCCGTAGTCCTTCGGAAGCCTATTCTACCGCTTATCTTTAGCTACAAGGACAGCGACCCTAATATCTACCTCCTTTCGCGTAGGATTTACCTAGTACCTACGCTTAAATAGTAGTAATTGCTCGTTAAGGTCGTCTTTGTCTCTACTGTTCGAGCTTAGTATAATTAAGAGCTTCTACTCTTTGTCGTACCGGGTATATATAAACGGACGTTTGTAGTACTACAGGCCGGTAACCTTCTTAACCTTAATATAGCTAGCGTATAAAGCCTAGTAGTAAAGCTAGTTACGAGTACGCGGCGAGTCGAGTAGTAGGGCCTTAAAGTCGCTCTAGTAGCCTACGATAGACTAGTAATCGACTAGCTCTAGATCATCTCTAACCGTCCACCTCTACTAGCCTTCCTTCTTAACTACATTAACTACTACTTTGCTTATGTATACTATAACGTAAAGCTTAGGGCCCTTTAGTGCTTTCTTCGGTCTACTACCCTTGTTCTACGACTACGAGTCGGCCTACGAGTCGTCTCGTAGCTCGGTAGTACTACTACTACCCGCCTTAAGTCGATTCGTAGCGATTAGCGTACTCCTATATAGACTCGCTTTACTAGTACGAGGACCTTATACCTCTCCGGATAACGGATTAATACCTATATTACTAAGCGGGCGGATATACTGCTTCTTATTAGCGGCTAAAACGGCATTAGTACGGCTAAATAAGCTTTTAGCGAGTCTAGTAAAGCTACTATAGCCCTTTATAGACGCGGGCTCCTTCTACCGTAGAGTAGGGGAATCGATCGGATCCGGTACTAGTGTTAAGGAAGGGCCTACAGTCGACTCGTAGCGACTCGCTATATTAGTGTCTACTGTTATGAAATAGTAGCTTAGGAGGAAAGTAGGAGTAGGCCTAGTAGTAAGCTGAGTGGTCACGTGACTAGGTCACGTGACACGCCAAGCTTAGTAATAACAGCTAGAAGGGGGAGAGCGGGCTTCTCTCTCTCTTACCTTCTACTACCTTTATACTAGACTATCTTAGATACCTCTATATAAATTAGGTCCTTCTTCTTCGATTATTAAGTCCTTACTTCCGCTACAAACTACGTAACATATCCTATTCTTAATAGGTTATAAGCCCGGGTTTATAAGACAGGTCTCAAATTAAGTAAGAAGTATAAGTTATTCCTTACCTTATAAGACCTTACGGGAGGTAGAAAAGGAAGGCCGACTAGAGGCTCGCTACCGTAGTGTACCTAGAAGACATAGCTCTTACTGTAAGTATATATAAGTCGTGAAAGTAGCCTAGTAAGAGAGTAACCGGTCTGCTCTTAATACCCTATAACGGTCTTAGGAAGAGTCTATCTAGACTACTACAAATTCGAACCCCTCTATATGTCTAGGAGGTACACACCTATAAGAATCCGCCCTTCCCGCCGACATCCGGCACTTCTTTATATGTTATCTAATACATACCTTTTCACTAACAACTGTTTTACTATGAAGCTATAGTATCTACTTATTAAAGAAAAGTATAGAGTTAGATTCTAGGTCTTTTAGAAAGAGGAGGGTAGTACCTCTATTATTAAAAGAAAATTAGAGAACATAGTTTAGTCTTTAGGAGGACAACCTTAAAGGGAAGAATATGTTTTAAGTCATTTTAATTAGTTCAGCTTTAATAGAGACCCTAGTATTAATACTAGAGGAAATCCCTTTACCTAGTTTAAGACATTCAGTTCACTTACTAGAGTGGTCTTAGGCTAATACAAAAGCAAGATATAAACTGGTTATCTGCCTATTAGAAGATAACTAGGATAAGGTAATTAATAAGAAGAGGGCTAAAGCTGTCTAGGACAAAATAAAGGCTAAATACTATAAAGTGTACATTATATATGCGATGTCCCTAGTTAAGGAGTATGTTATATTCAGGATGTTAGAAGAATAGACAATTAGAAAG